CGTCTGGATGAACGCGCATTTGATGATATCCGGATAGTAAGTCGAGCTTTGTAAAAAATCGTGCTGTCCTGAAACGATCTATTAGCTCGTCGATTCTTGGTAGTGGATGGCGATTCTTACGGGTTATTTTGTTTAATCCTCTGTAGTCTACACACATCCTCAGTCCGCCATCCTTCTTTTTAACGAATAAAACTGGTGCTCCGTAGGGTGATGTACTTGGAGAGATGAAGCCTTTGCGCAGTAGTTCTGTGAGTTGTGTTTTTAGTTCGTCTAATTCAGCAATTGATAAGCGAATGACTGGTCTTACAGGTGGATCGGTATTATTTTCAGTCTCGATTCGCATGCTATCGCCACGATCCTGAGGGAGTCCGTCCGGTAGTGTGTCAGGAAAGAGGTCTGGAAATTCTACTTGGACAATTTGTTGAATCGATTCGGGTAGTGTTGAGTCTAGGTTTGTTGGTGGTGAAGTGGTTCTTACTTGGGCCAAGAATGTTGTCGTTTCGGGTTCTAATGCTAATGCAGCAAAGTTTATGGCAGAAAGGCAATTTTGACGAGCGGAGGAGGAGGTATGCCCTCGACATTCCCATAGTATGTGTTTACCATCGTGTTCAAAGTGTAAATCGTTAGTGCGCCAGTTGATTTGGGGATTGACTGCGGTTAGCCAAGGTTTCCCTAGGATGAGATCATATTTTTTCGAGGGGTAGATGATACTTTGAATCTTTTCACCATAGGAACCACGTTCAAGGGTAACAGATGCGGTTCCTGGGGACATGACTGCTGTGCCATTCGGATGAATGATAGGGATAGGGTTCGCGTTGTCTATGATAATGTTATGTTTTCTGCAAAATTTTGAACTCAATACATTTCCTTCTGCTCCACCATCAATGAGGATTCGCGCAGGGTGTCCGTTGACGGCCCCAATGAAGGTTAGTAGTCGTCTCGCATTGGTGTAGACAGCGGACAGGGATTGGAGGTGTGTGGCATGACGACGACGACGACGGGGTGGTTTACTAGCAAGGTGTTCGTGGGAAGTAGAGGGGGTAGGTGAATTTTCATTTGTGTCTTGGTTTGAAGATGATTTGATTTCAGTGACAGATGACGCGGGATGGGAATCGGGGGAGAGGTGATTTAGGGAATCCGGAGGAATGGAAGTGGTGTGGTGCAAGGTGCTTTTAGAGGGTAGAGATAAGAGAGAGGATAGAGAAAATATGGGAGAGGAGCGAGAAGGCATAATCATGGATTTAGGAGAACTAGAGTTTTTATTACTGTTGTTACTACTTAAATCCATATGACTACGCCCTCTAGAGCCCAGGACTCGAGGGTTGGTGGTGAGAGCGAGGCTGGCCTGGTCTACAGCTCGCTCTCCTCTTTTCCCGAGTCGTCGTAGTCGTCTTGTTGTTCCAGGTTGTTCAAGTTCCTAGTCACGCGGCAGTTCTTGGCCATGTGTCCCTTCTTTCTGCAGCGAAAGCAAGCGCCTGCGCGGCGCAGTTTTGTTCTGTCATTTTCGGTGAGCTTGGAGAGTGGTCTGTTGTTAGTCGAGGGGGGGCGATGGAAGTTCGCTAAGCCTGTGGAGTTTGTACTCTGTAGTAGGAAGTTATTGAACATCATCTGCATTGCGTCTAGGTCCATCGGGGTCGGTGTGGGTTGGCTTGTTTGGCTTGTCATGATGGGGGGTCTAGAGGAATGTAAAATGCTGTGGATCATCGTAGCCTGCTTGATGGCCTGGTTGAGAGTCTGAGGCTGGCGAAGGAGGACTTCCTTGCTTGTGTCTTCTACAAGGCCGTAGGTATAATGGAGGACAAGCCATGATTCCTCCAGTTTGGGTGTGAGGCGTTGGAGGCGGCGGAATTTGGCAGTGTATTCCGCTACTGAGGATTTACCTTGTTTTAATTGAACCAGTGCTTTCTGGGCTGAAGAAGCCGTGTCAGGGGGTGTGAAGTTTTCGATGAATTTACTTCGGAAAGTGTCCCATGGTGTATCAATTGTCATTTCCGAGTCTCGCCACCATGCCTTGGCGTCTCCTTTCAGGTTGACAACGGTATATCGGACCCAACGGGAGTGGTTAAGCTCCATGATCTCGAAGTACTCTTCTTGGTTCTCCAAGAAGTTGAGGACCGCGACAGCGTCGACATTTCCCTCGTATGGTTCTGGTTTGGTAGGTTTTATCACAGCAGCCACCGTGCGGACATGGTCATTAAAGGCGGCAGCGCTAGAAGCACTATCCTGTCGGGATTCGAGGAAGGTTTGCACAGCGTTCTGCACGGATAGGCTGGTACTGGCATCAAGGTTAAGAGCTTTCAAGGAAGTGGTGAGGTTGTCCATGGCAAAAAAAAAAATCAAATGCAGGGGTAAATTTTTAAATTTTATCTAGGAAATCTAAGGAAAATATCAGAGGGATCTAGGGAAAAATATCAGAGGGAAATATAAGCGGTTTCTGGCGGGGTCGGTGGTTCGATGAACCTTTGCTACCATGTAAATAGTAACAATCAAAGGTGATCTTAGGTGGAATCGAAGGTCAAAGGATACTTTATTTGGCTATAACGTAGTGGACTATTTATACTGATAATTGATAGGGTTGGGGCTTGGTGTCTTGGCACTTGGGCTTGGCGTCTTGGCGCCTGGGGTGCGCGTGATAGTTGAGCCCTCCTCAAAGGTTTGAGTCAGTATTGTATAACACGTTTGCAACTCCTCTTACCCAATCTTTCCATACATCGTCGCTATCCTTCGTGTCCGGTATAGTAGTGAGGCCTTCGATCTCCCCTTGTCCTTGCAGCCTCAACTACTCAGCATTCTTATTGAATTTTTTCTGCTGCTCTACCAGTGTTGTCCATCTTGCGTCTCTTTGTACTGTTGATAATCCTCTGCGGATTTGATTTGCCAATTTTTTAATTTTAGCGAGATCACGTATGAGGTGGCGGAGACACAATTCTTGTTCTGGCTTCACTCCAGACCGACCAACCACTCTTCCTGGCAATTTTTCTTTGGCGCTTTCTATGAGCAGCTTTGAATACCATTTCCATGCAAGGTCAATGTCGATTCTTTGAAGGTCTTCTGGCATCAAGAGATCCTTTTCATCGTCGTTCTGGGCTCTCCGTAGGCCCATTGTAGAGATTCGCTGCCGTCTCCAATTCTTATATTCACACCGTTCTCAAAATTCTCCCAATCGTCGTTGCTGGCATCGCGAAGTAAGAATTTGTAGCCCTTGGGTTTTTTGTAAATGATGTGATGAAGTGGTTGTTGAATAAGGCGGTGCAGTGTCATTTCTAGAGTGACCATTTTGTGGTCTGACGCCACAATACCATCCAATGATTTGTGTTTGACCCTGAGAAGCCTATCCGTGAATACACTAGATACAAATATCATATCTATACGGCTCGTATTCTGGCAGGTATAGTCTTCACGAAGAGGGTGTTGAGCGCGGAAAACATCATGAAGTGCCTGCGTCTCCATCCATTGAAGTAGTGCCGATTCTGGTCTTATACTCGTTGCGTTCTCTCGTCGTCGATCGAGCCGGGGGTTCCTAGTAGCATTGAAATCCCCAAGAATGATTATACCCCTCCTTCTTCTCTCGCGTCGTTATATTCTTTTTGTATCCATTTAGTAATTACTTCTGCTTCTTCTTCCCTTCCGCTTGGTAGGTAGCAGTTAATTACTCTGATTTTAAATCCCCCAGGAAAGTTGAAATCTCTCGCTTGGCCTCTGCTCCCACAAGATGAAGTTCTCGCAGCGTACTGGAACCAATGCTGAGCGATCAAAAGCCCAACCCCTGTTCCCTGTGTTGCACCTTCTTTACCACTCACCCACCACATTTTATATTTAGTTTGTTTCAAATTTCTTGCCATTTTACTCCCTCCAACATGCATGTTGGTTTCTTGGAGTGCTATCATATCTAAACCTTTCATATCACCATATTCACATAACGCTTCTATTTTCCCAGCTTCTAGCGCACCCCGTATGTTAAATGATCCAAATTTAATAGCACTGCTATTAGATCTAGTATTGTCCTCTCTATTTTGAGTGCTTGCATTACTCATTATGGACTAGTGGTTTTGGCGGCAATCCATTTGAGGTTGATTTCTCTTCTTTTCTACTTTTTTCATTACTACCTGCTCCGTTTGCTATGAGAGCCATAATCCCTGCTAGGGACTCGTTAGTAGGAGGCATGCCTGGAATAGCAGCTGACTTACCTTTGTTTTTGGGCACGTTCCTGTGGAACTCTCCACTCAGTCCTGCTGCCTTCAGGTGCTCGGCTGCGAAGTTCATTCCAAGTGCACCATATAGACCCATATAGCGTATACGATGATTTAATTTACCACTCACGTGGGGCAGACGATATCTTATACACTATCATGCAAAACTGAAAGTATAATTCATTCCCATGTCCATTTCTTTTTCTCATTCCTAGAAACCGTATATGCATACACCACTCACACTTTGGTTTAATAAAGCTCCCGTCTTCTTCTACGTCATAGTTATGCGCTGTGGCATTAGCTTGTCTCATTTAGAAAGTTAATGACTTTTTTGTCCATGCAGGTCTCTCTTTCAGTTTTGCATGTGCTCATTCGAAGGCCGAAGATCTTTATTCTTTTGTAAGCCATATCCTTACATCAATAGATAGTATTCCAACCATGGGCGTCACTGACAGCTTGGAGTCTCTTATGAATACCTATGATGAGTTTGCGGCAGAAGTCCACTGGGATTCTATACCATTCAACAGACATGCCTGCCATCATTAACCTCCTGGCTTCGTTGACTTTCCTTTGTGGAGTGGGTCTCATATTCTGTGAAGGTGTGGTTAAGAGAGAGTTAAGCAAGTGTTCATAAAGGAAAGAGAGAAAGTCCTTCTTTTATTCGCATTTAATGACGACCAGATGTTGTCATGGGCAACATTTGAGACCACATGCAAAACTGAAAGAGAGACCTGCATGAACAAAAAAGTCATTAACTTTCTAAATGAGACAAGCTAATGCCACAGCGCATAACTATGACGTAGAAGAAGACGGGAGCTTTATTAAACCAAAGTGTGAGTGGTGTATGCATATACGGTTTCTAGGAATGAGAAAAAGAAATGGACATGGGAATGAATTATACTTTCAGTTTTGCATGATAGTGTAGTATATAAGATGTCGTCTGTCCAGAAATAGAGACCCCTCTCTTTGTCCTATTGAACTTTGGTTCCATATACATAGTAAGCTATATCAATTAGGTTAAAACATTGCACCAAGATGTTGGCTCATCATTCCTATTAACATTTGGATTAGTAGACTGTTTTGAGCACGTAGTTGTTGTTGCTCTTCCTGTAGGCGTTCCACTGTATCTACCAGTTGCTGGATTTTCTTATCGACTGCACCAGTGTTGCTTTTCTTTCCTATGACGTTTGTTTGACCAGAACTTTGGGTATTGGTTTTTTCTTCCTGTGCCTTCTGTTGGTTGCTTTGAGTAACACTTCCACTCTTTCCCGTGGCGGCTTTGGCGTATGAGAGTTGTGGTACAACTTTCAGTGCTCCTCCCTTTTTGGTATTCCTTGACAGCTTTGATGTGCTGCTTTGTCTCCTGGAGTGCAATGAATACCTCGCATTCCCTCATGATGTGTCCTGGTTTGTGGCATTGTCGGCATCGTTTGTCGTCCTTATCACCCCAGAAAGTCTCAATGCCCCCGATTTTGACTGGTTTAGTCATAGTTTCCGCCATTGCTTCTGCAGAGGGGAAATACACGAATGCTTCTCGTTGATATTGCCATTTCTTCCCGTCCTTTGAAAAATAGCGTGGCACTTTGACGAAATTCGCTTGCTTTTCTCCAAGGAGAGGCTCCAAGTCCTTGTCTGTCGTTCCAAAAGGGAGACCTGAGATTTTTGCGACGTGTGTCAATGTCCACTCGACTCGTTCATTGCCGATTTTGCGGATGCGCGCGAGTTCTTTTCCAATGAAGACGTGCTCCCGGTTGGCCAATTTGAATTTTGTGACGTCCTCAACATTGTTGTAAACTACTGCTGCGGTGATTTTGACTCCCTTGGAGCATGGGCGGGTTGCAATCTTTCCAATAGTACCGAACTGCAGCATTGCTGACTTGATAAGGAATTCCGGAGTCCTAGGAGCAATACCATAAACCTCCACTGTGCGTTCCAGTTCACGTTCACGGGTGTCGGTATTTATTTTAAAAAACAATGGGACTTCGTGTTCATTTCCGTCTTCATCCCTGTGTGTAGCAGTCATTTCCAGGAGCGCTGTCAGGGATGGTTGATCCTCAACAGCAACGCGGAAAGCAGTATATCCATTGACTTTAACCTTGTGTGGTCCTTCTGTACAATAGATGGCAGCATCCAACAAGACTGTTTCTAGGTCTTTCTTTTTTTCGGCAACCGTTGTTCCATAAAGGTCCTCGAGGAAGACGCCGGCCGCCTTCAGCCTATCCTTGGTGCGTCTCACTTCCTGCCATTCTGTGATTCCCACAGTGGCCATCGCGTCATCGTCTTCGTCCATTGCGTCCTGTTCTTGTGTAGCTGCACGCAAGCCATTTGCATCCAGGCTGCGGCTATACGAAGGACGGCTCTTAGAGCCCGTTCCCTCGTCAACGCGGCTCCCGCTCGCCTCTATGCCGCTTGCGGGACCGACTTCTTGGTTGGTGGGCTGTCTTTGAGATCCGATTCCGCTATTTGGAATGCGAGCTCTTTTCGAATGAAGGACATTTCTGTCCAAATTGGGTGGATCATGTTGCTGATTTTTTCCTAATGCAGGCTCCATGATGAGTGATGTCGTTGGCACTCTTGTGCACTAACAGGGGTGTGGAAGATGTGTGTATAGAGAGGGAATGTGTAAATGTAGCGTATCCGATGGTGTACGGAGAAGAGTCGTGATGCGTTCGACCTTTATCTTGGTACAACACTTCAGTGTGTTCTATGTATTTGCGTCTCGCTGCGGTTTTTAAGGGCATCTCAGTATAACCCCCCGGTTCTTAAGACAGTGATTTTTTCACCAAACTGACGTGGAAAGATCTGTCAATGATCCCAAAGATTGACAGAAATGAACAAAATGATAATAAAAAGTTGGACGAAGTGCCAAAAGATAAATTCATAAATGGACAAAGTGCCAAAGGAGGATAATCTGACAAATAGATCACTAAAGGATCATAAATCAACAATGATAGTCCTGGAGAATGCTGCAAAATAGCATCAAAAGTGAAAAAAAAAAATTTTTTTTTTTCTTTTTTTTTTTCCTGTTAACAAGAACCCACAGAGGTGAGGAATTTTATTTCATAATCTCGCTCTAAAGTAATGATATCGCCCTCAACTATGAAACAAGCGAAACTCTCAAAGTTCGCACGGGATGGCTGTGAAGAGCCAATTCGTATCCATGTTTTTCTCTACCAATGTACACCGTGATCGGTACTCGAAGTCCATCCTTCCGATGTGGCCTGTTGCGCCCGTGAAAAGCCGCGGAGGCTGGCGTGCCGACTCTAGCTAAGGACGACTTTTTAATTTTTTCTATTCGATCAAATCCACTGGCATGTGGACCCAAATCTTGCGGAATTGGTCTGAAATTTCTACTTTGGACTCCGTCAAACTTTGTGATCATCGCTGTCCTAGTCAAGTGGGTGGATGGGGGGATGTGCTGCCAGATGTACCGCTGGTTCGGCTGGGGGGTGGAATATATACCTAAGACATGTGGCCAGCCAGGCGACTTAGGGTAGTGCACCCACGATCTTAGCCTTAGCGGAGAACACTAGGCTGTCTCGGAGAGAAAGTATAAAAACTCAAGCAAATCCCTGACCTGGCACATGTTTGCTTCACTTTATGTGCCTTAACCAGGACTCGAACCCGGCCCCTGGGCTAGACAGGAGGGTGCCCTGACGAGTATACTACTCAGTCATTGGGCGAAAAAGAAGCCAAAGTGATTTAAATACTAGGATTGATAAAGGAAATAATGATAAAAGTACTGAATGATGATGGAAATAATGAAGAAAAGGATACGTAGATAGCAGATTTACGATAAAACTTTAACCTCTTCCTAGTTGGTCCAGTGGTCAGGATTTGTCGCTCTCACCGACAAGGCCCGGGTTCGATCCCCGGACTGGGAATTCTTTTAATTAGCAAACAATTTTTGGATTAATCTATTTGGCAGCCCATACCAAATATGGTAATTTTTGCCTCTATTTGGCAGCCTACTTCAGGGGGCTGCCACTTAACTTCGCACTCTTGGGTGGCAGCTGGGCTGCCAAATACATTACTTTTTTTTTTTTTTTTTTTTATAACAGTGTCATAGCATCAGTGGTAAAACAGGCAGCGTTCTGTGGATACATTGCCTTGCACAGCTAATGCCTCCGGAGGTACTAAGGGCAGCGGCGATGACATCTTCACAAAACAGCCTTCAATGTACACGGTTAGGGAATGATTTATTGAAGACGTCTAGGTAGCAGGTGAGACGCGTTTGCTCCGAGCGAAAACCTCTCATAGGCATTGATCTCCAAATGGCACCTCCAAAACTGTATGAGCGACCTACTTGAAAAAAAAAAGTCATTAGTTTTCTAAATGAGACAAGACAATGTCACTACACATAACTATGACGTAGAAGACGGGAGCTTTATTAATTTGAAGTATGAGCGTTATATACATATACGGTTCCTAGGAATGAAAAAAAAAAAAAAAAATAAATAAATAAATAAATAAATAGTTAGAGGCCAAATAGCCCTGGGTAGGCTGCCAAGTAAATAATGAATGTTATTTGGCAACTGGGCTGCCAAAGAGAGTCTTGAAAGTTGATTATATTTGGCAATGGGCTGCCAAATAATATTTAGCAACTAGGCTGCCAAATAGATTAATCCACAATTTTTTTCCAATGATGATATTATTTGTTTGTACGGGGATTAATCTATTTGGCAGCCCAGTTGCCAAATAACATTCATTATTTACTTGGCAGCCTACCCAGCGTTATTTGGCCTCTAACTATTTTTTTTTTTTTTTTTTTTTTTTTTTCATTCCTAGGAACCGTATATGTATATAACGCTCATACTTCAAATTAATAAAGCTCCCGTCTTCTACGTCATAGTTATGTGTAGTGACATTGTCTTGTCTCATTTAAAAACTAATGACTTTCTTTTTTTTTTTTTTTTTTTTTTTTTTTTTTTTTTTTTTTTTTCAAGTAGGCCGCTCATACAGTTTTGGAGGTGCCATTTGGAGATCAATGCCTATGAGAGGTTTTCGCTCGGAGCAAACGCGTCTCACCTGCTACCTAGACGTCTTCAATAAATCGCTCCCTAACCGTGTACATTGAGGGCTGTTTTGTGAAGATGTCATCGCCGCTGCCCTTAGTACCTCCGGCGGCATTTGCTGTGCAAGGCAATGTATCCACAGAACGCTGCTTGTTTTACCACTGATGTTATGACCCTGTTATCAAAAAAAAAAAAAAAAAAAAAGTAATGTATTTGGCAGCCCAGCTGCCACCCAAGAGTGCGAAGTTAAGTGGCAGCCCCCTGAAGTAGGCTGCCAAATAGAGGCAAAAATTACTATATTTGGTATGGGCTGCCAAATAGATTAATCCTTTGTACGGGGTCTTTATTTCAGTCTTAAATACCATTACCAGGAAGCCTTCCATGACACAAGCTCGATACCCAAGCATCAAATACTGACCAGAATATTTATCTTATCAAAGTCGTACGTAGCCCAGAATAGATGTTGATATTCTTTATGCGATTCTGGGACTAAATAAAGAATTACAAACGATTTATAGGTTGTGGTGTCAACTAGAATAACAAAAGAAAATAGAGGTAAATAACCTTGACGACAAACAGCGCCATAGGATGCCAAAAAGGGAAGATGGGAGCTTTATAGGTGAGCTCACAAACTGAGTTACCGGAAGGCGAATGCTTGTTGGGACAAGGGGAAAAGGATAAAAAGGCAAGATAAACTGCAGGTCAAGAACAAGACAGATAGGAGAAACTTAAGACTTATGGGTAAACTGAAGGCTTTATTGAGAAAGAAGTTCTTTGGGTTTTATACTGTATGACAAATAGATTTATTACTGTATCTACTATTGGAATCTGTTATGAAGGTCGAATCCAATCCTTACGGATCTCGCCTTCCCTCTCCATGATGGAAGTTTCGCATTCAACCCTTAAAGAGCCTCTAACATGTTCCAGGATGTCTCGCTTAATCTGTTCAAAGATTTTCTATTTATTTTTATGATAAACAATAATAAGGTCATAAACTGGAACTCTTCATATACAGTATAATTATGACAAACGGGCAGGCAATTAACTAAGAACATACCCTTACTTCCATCATGATGTTTATATCCGTTTCAATGTTCTTGAAGGTACGGCTATTAATAGGGTATGGGAAATTTCCCAACTCCTTCACAACGTAGAGGGCTTCGTGCTCCAAGCTCAGCACGAAGAATTCCAACATCCCTTCTGAGGACGATACATACTTTTTATTGTTAGTAATTTCTCATATCGTGTATGAAATAACAAAATAAAATAGGAAGTATAAAAAAAATCTTACTTTGAGCCAAGATTCCCAGTGCATTGGGCTCCTCACGCCGTTGATTAGCTGCAGATCGAGCACAAGTTTTTGGAGATGAAATAGTTTTTGTTTATCTCTTTGCAAACAAGCGCCACCAGCAGCACTTTTCTTTCCTTCGAATATCATGACGGGAAGTTGTTTTACTGACCACTGGGCATCTGGACGGAGCCTTTGTTTGAAATATGAAAGCGTGATCAAGTGTTTATGTCTGAAAATAGCAAAATAACGAAGGCTTGTTTAGGGGCTATCAAAAATCATTTAGCAGGACAGTGGAAACAGTGAAAGCACTTACGCCTCATAGTGGACCCCTTTACTTCCGAAAAACCCCTCGAAGATTGGTTTGAGCACAAGATCGAAGAGGCTTTGCTCCGTAATTGGGGACCAGTGCTCCTATTCGAACTGAAATTTTGTCAATTATGATGTTTCAGATTAAAAAAATAAATATCAATTGACAAAATTTCAGTTCGAATAGGAGCACTGTTGGGAACGCTTCCCATAGAAATGCTGTGGACAAGCCAATGAATGTCAATAGCAGTGTCCGCCGAACATCCGGAGAAAGTTTCGCAGAAAGTTCTGCAATATTCGAATCAAAGGACTGCGAAAACTCCTCGGACTCTCTAAATGAGCTGGTTGCCTGCAAGCGAAAATGCTAGAAATCAATTGTTACACCAACAATGCTTTGCCCATTTCTAGATTGTTCCTTGCAGCAGAACTACACAATATAAATAGTATCTTTGTAGTATAGCAAAACCCCCCAACGAATAATCAATCTATCAACTATATACCTAACCCCTCGACCCTTGACCAAGACTTTTGCATTGCCTTTCCTGCAGCAAAGTTGACAACAAGGGAGTGATCCCCCTCTAGCTCATTAATCTCCACCGCAAACATTTTTTTGACTTCCAAGGGCATATCTTTGTTGACCGTGCTATACATCTCCAGCAAAAACTCTTTTGAGAAGATGAAGCTGAGAGCACTGGTAGAACAAAAGAAGAACAATAACTTAGCCTGGATCCCATAGATTTAAAAATTAATGGCAAGGATTTAAAAATTTTCACTAACCATTTGTGAAAGATGTTGTTCACCTTTGTCGGCTCTTTGTTACGTCCTGAGGCTAAGGAGTGTACCCAAATGGAGCACTTCCCTTTTTATTCATAGATCAGAGCAATTAGTGACGGCTATGTTGGAGCCTATATAAGGCTCCGACCTAGCTAAAATAATAAACAACTTTTGATCTCCTTGACTTCCGACTTACCATAAAATATTTCACTCTTCCACCAATTGACGCCTGAAGGGCATCATCTCCTGCGACACATCACTACCTTCTACCAGTGCTCCTAGTCGAACTGAAATTTTGTCAATTGATATTTATTTATTTTTATCTGAAACATCATAATTGACAAAATTTCATTTCGAATAGGAGCACTGCCCTCTACTATCCATTTGTCAACTGTGTAGAGGGAGCCATCCTTCATCCCCATGCCTTCCATCCCAGGGGATTTCTGTATGTAAGAAAATGTTTCGGTGCATCAATACCAGTGCTCCTATTCGAACCATTCGAATAGATATCAGGATTCGAATCAAACCAGGATATGGCTTATTCGAAGCTATTCGAATTCGATCCGTTCGAATCGAATAGGAGCACTGGTCTGTACTTGTTAACGAACTTGAGAAAACGGTAGGGTCCACAAAACACCTATGCACTTCAAATATATATAAAAAAAAAAAAAAAAAAAAGCAAAGCACGTGCAGCACAATAGACACAACCCTGTTATGGAGGGGACTAAAGATTCTTACAATGAAACACTCAAGATGCTCTGTCGTAAAGAATAGTTGAGGTAGCTTGCTGCTGGTAAAGAAGAGATTACGAAAAAAAAAAAAAAAAAAAAAAAAAAAAAAGAGGGGAAAAAAGAAGAAACAGAAAAAAAACTACAAAGAAAATGAAAATAAAAATAAAAATAAAAAAAGAGAATGAAAATGAAAATGAAAGAACCAACAGCTAAGCACGCACAGCACAATAGACACAACCCCGCCAAGGAGGGGACTAAAGATTCTTACAATGAAACACTCAAGATGCTCTGTCGTAGAGAATAATTGAGGCAGCTTGCTGCTGATCCAGAAGAGAATAAGAAAAAAAAAGAGGGGAAAAAGAAGAGACAGAAAAAAAACTACAAAGAAAATGAAAATAAAAATAAAAATAAAAAAAGAGAATGAAAATGAAAGAACCAACAGCTAAGCACGCACAGCACAATAGACACAACCCCGCTATGGAGAGGACTAAAGATTCCTACAAGGAAGCACTTGAAGTGCTCGGTCGTAAAGAATGATTGAGGCGGCCTTGCTGCTGAAGTTTCAATTAAAAAAAAAAAAAAAAAAAAAAAAAAACTGAAAGCGCTCCTGCAGGCGTTCTGAAAAGAGATGGCATGATTTGCATCCAGCTAAAAGCTTGTTTAAACGTAACTGAGATTAGTTATAATGGATGACTAGCATGTGCACATAAAGACAACACATGTATTTATCGATGTTTACCTTTGCTTCACTTGAGCAGAGAGGTGCGAAGGCTCCATGATGATTGTGGATGTGAATGAAATTATATTCTGGTTGTGTCGTTCGAGCGTAGCTTTAATCAAGTGATATAACCAGGTTCGTCATAGGCTCGTCACCAACTTGTGTGGCTTATGTGCATTGCACTAACGCTCACTGACAGGCTGGGACCAAACTTGGTCAACATCGTACAAACGGCGAGGAAATGGTCCTTTTTTTTTTTTCTAAGTCGAAATATGCCGCTAGATGTTGACCCCCCCCCAAAATCTTAAGTTTGATCCCAGCCTGTCAGTGAGCGTTAGTGCAATGCACATAAGCCACACAGGCTGGTGACGAGCCTACACTGACAAGCTAGATCCGAACTTGAGATTTTAGGGTATACTACTCAGCCATTGGGCTTAGGGTCAGGTGATTCTCAGAGGAGAGAGAGCACATGACTTGCAGTTAGAGGACTTTGCAAGTACGGAGAATGGTTACGTGGCTTTTGGACAGATGATATTTACAAGACCGCAGTACTTTAACCTCTCCTAAGTTGGTGCAATGACGAGACTTTATAGCTTTCATTGACGGAACGCGGTTTGATCCCAGGACTGGGAATTTTTCTAGTAGATTAATCTATTTGGCAGCCACCTGACTTCATACACTTAGATGCCAGCTGGGCTGCCAAGTATTGTTTTGCAAATCTAGTTTGAAAAGGTTGATTGGCCACACACTACACCTTATTGCATTCATCATATAATTACAAATATTAGTGTTTGTCAGAAAGAGTAAAACCCGTATGAATAAGTTACACTTCAATGCCTGTTAGCGGCTTCGGATGGAAATGAGTGACTTTACTTACAGCACCAAGGTATCAACATGTCCATAAAGAAACACTCCGTTATAATTATTTTTATTTTTATTTCCACAGGAGGAGCAGTGTGTACGGGACCGTGCAAATAATTCTTTTTATGAGGGTGCTCTATGGCAGCTGGGCTGCCAAAGAGAGTTTTCAAAACTGATCATATTTGGTAATGGCTGCCAAATAGATTAGCAAATATTTTTTTCTAAACAATGTGGCGAGAGTAAACTACTTTTTTTTTTTTTTTTTTTTTTTTCTTTCTTTCTTTCTTTCTTTCTAGGAAGGTTGGATGAATGTTGGGAACTCAGCATTGAAGGCTTTAACAGTTTTAAAAAGACAAATGTTAATTTTTATTTTATTTATTTATTTATCTTTTAAAATCGTTCTTGAGACACTGTAACTCTTTCAAAGTTGGTCTGAAGGAACTTTTTCTATTTAGTACCTTGCGATCGCTGGCCTGGGCAAAATGATGGTTGACCAACAATGTTATTTTTACTTCACCTGAAAGAGGCCGCTTTTACGAACCTGCACTGTTGTGCCTTTGTACTAAATAAATGTCGGGTACTAGACGTAAACCTCAGTTTTGTTGTCCAAATGTCCTCAATAGTAATAATTATAATAATAATAATAACAATAATAGTAACAACATTAAAATCGGATACCCCCAACTACTAGCTGATTCATATAATATTTTCTGCTTGATTCTTTTTAATTGCTACTTTAAATAGAGCTTGTTTAACGCGTGGCCCAAGGAGAAACGTAGGAAAAGCCTTTGAAAAAATCCTGCTCAACATTATTGAGGCGATAATCCGTTGGTGTCTCACCAGGTGCCTCACTTGTAAACTCAGAGTCAAAGTTGGACACATCTGTCGCTGATGAAATTTTTGGTATAAACGGAGGTCGGATACGCTTGTGATAAACATCATCAAAGTTTACATTGCGAAAGTACGCATGCGCCTTGATCTCTTCTGCATCTGTTAGCCCTGATCCCAAGCGGAGACTTGGGACCTTGACAAGTAACTGCATTGTGAATAAAACAATTAAAGAAAGAAATTAGTCATTTACCAACAGGCCTCTGGAATGGAACTTCAGAGTACGTAAATAAAGACAAGTAGGTACCGATTGTAACAACGCTTGTTCATGACGTCCAAACCCTGGGGGATAAGTTGGTTCATCCTCCAGGATCGAGTCATAGATGTCATCTTCTTCCTCGCCTGAGAACGGTGCCCTTCTCAGCATCATCTCATACATCAGCACTCCAAAGGCCCACCAATCCACAGCGCGGTCATACGGTTGTTCTTCCAAGATTTCGGGTGCCATGAATTCTGGCGTACCGCAAATAGTCCTTGTCGTTGCACCATAAGGCATGTTTTCTTTGCATAACCCATAATCTGCAATCTTGATATGTCCATCTACAGTCAACAAAATGTTGTCTAGTTTAAGGTCACTAAATTGACGAAAAAGATAATAAGATAAAATTAATATATAGGATTTCTCATAGAGTCACATATCAAAGAGTCTCGTGTTCTTACCGGTATATAATATCATTTTGGTGGAAATATTGCAAAGCCAATAAAACCTCGCATCCATAAAATTTAGCCCGCTGTTCACCAAACCGCTTATCCTTCTGGATGTGCATCATAAGATCCCCTCCGCGGACATATTCCATCACAAAATAGAGTCGAGTCTCAGTTTGGAAGCAAGAATGCAGTGTTGTCAAGAAAGGGTGACGCTCCTTGTTTGCAACCTGATATATTCTCTTTTCTGATCGAGCGCTAGAAAAAGAGAATTTTAAAAGAATCATCAATAAAATAATATATAATCGAACAAGTAGCATCATCAGCACATTTCGGTCAGCTTTGTACATAAAATATTCACCTTTCAACTTCATCTTGTTTAACGATTGACTCCTTCTTTAGGACCTTGATGGCATAGAGCTCTGCCCCCTTCTTGTCTTCCGCTAACATCACCTTTCCAAAGTTCCCTTTGCCAAGTACAGCCAAAAAATGGAAGTCATCCAGTCCATACTTGCGTGTGGGTTTCGGAGGCTGCTTGTTCACGATCTTCAGTGTGGGCATGTGGGCCGTAGGCATGACTAACGGCCTCTGCTCCTGATGATGAGATGCGACAGGCGGTGTCTTCTGTTGTTTCTTTTCTTGTTCAAGACGATATTGCTCCAAACGCGCTTGCTCATTGCGGAACTTGTCTTCTGGGTGAGTGTATTTCTCCTGAGTAGGGGGCTGAGGTCTCTCTTTTTCAAGCTGTTGCTTCTGCTTAAATTGTTGTCCTTGCAATTGAAGTTGCTGTTGTAAAAGAGCATTTTTCTGTTGCTGTATTTGATGCTGTTCATAATAACGTTGTTGTTCCAACTTCCGCATCTGCTGTTCATAATCGTGCTGCTGTTGCTTCTGCTGCTGCTGCTGCTGTTGTTGATGCTTCTGTAATTGTTGCTGTTGCTGCAACTGCAGCTGTTGTTGTTGATAGTGTTGGTAGTGCTGGTGATGCTGTAACTGGAGTTGTTGCATCTGATGTTGAAGTCTCTGCTGATTAACATCCGTGTCGGAAGAGCTATAGTCTGGACGACTGTCCGGTCTTGTCGGAAGCGGAGGACGCCCCCCCTGCGGGATTGGGGGTGCAGGCCTAAGGGATGATACGTTGTTATCAAGGAAAACAGAGTCATATGAAGGTGGTTTGGATGCCTTGGTAGAAGCTGGGGCAACACGTGCATTTTGGGTGCGTCGCCTGATTTCCTCCATCAATTTGTTTGCTGTTTCGGCTGGCATTCCGCAATGGTTAGGGACAAGGTCGCTGCAGCCCTCATGAGCTACGACAGGACATTCTATTGAGTGCCAACAGGACAAAGGGTTGGTGGGTTGGACGAAGGTACATTAAAGATAACTATCTTTGCCTCTTTTGGTTACACGTTGATAATTACAATACCAGAGCATTTCTTGTGCCGGCGACCGAACGTAAGCATATGCCCACAATGAGAGCACCAAGTTGGCGAAAGATTGGTGAAGGTTTCGAAACGGTGAGGAATACGGTGATTGAGCTTGGCTTCATCAGGATCTTCAGTACTCTTGGAGGAAATGCATTTAATAAAAACTTTCTCAGCACATTTTTGATGGCAAGTAAACTTGCAGTCTAGCGTTTAAAAGAGCATGTAAGTAAAAAACCTTACACTATGTCACCTTTAAAGTGGTGCGCCTGCGTTATTTAAAAAATAAATAAATAAATAAATAAAAAGGATTACCTTCGCACTGTGCACCCTTGCCAGTAAACAGTTCTGCACAGAGAGCACAACACATAATTTGGAAAAACTTTTGGGATACAAACTTGTGTCCTTGAACTTCTGTGATCTCTCCTTTACGTTTTCGAACTGCGCCTTGGCGTCCCAGTTTGGATGGACGCTTCCTGATAGCAACATCCTTCACTATTGCAAACAAAGATTGGTCAATATATGTCCTGAGGAAGCTATACAACTGTATAAAGTCATTACATCCAGTATCTCTTACCAAAGTTGAATTTCAAGCTGATCTGCCCAATGGGCTCAAGATCCCACCACGCCTCAACACCTTCAACGCCATTGATAGGGTTGTCTCCTAGAGGTCCAGTTCCTGGTCGAATAGTCGGTGGCCTGCTCCCCAATTCCTGAGCATTAGCTGCCACCCATGCAGCATCATTATCAGCTTCCACTTTTTTTCGACGGAGTTCTTCTATGAGATCAGATATCTTTAGCCAGAACATCCCGATAGGTACAGGTGTTTGGTCTGGTTTATCAAAAACGGTGATTTCAATCTCGCTTGCTTTTGTAACAGGTACCTCAAAATCCTCGTTCCACCGAATGCCGTGCGGGGTATTACGAGCCATCCTTGTTTTTGCACGAGGAGCTCCATCGATTTTGATACAAGCCATAGATTCTGCCGTTTTTGAGTTGCGTGTGGGTGCGTTGTTTTGATGTTTGAGCCCACTGATACGAACATAAAGTGTTCCAGTCATCGGTCGCCTCAGGGCTGTACCAGGGGTATTTGTGATATCGTCCTCTATGGGATGAATGAATGGAATAGGTTAAATTGATTGAGCTGTAGCTATCTTGTATGAGTAAAAAAAAAAAAAAAAAAAAAAAAAAAAAAGGGTAGTATAGGTATACCTTGGCCAGGGATGTAAAGTCCTTGGTACTTTTGAAGTGCACGCTTTAGCAAAACAACCCTCTCACTGCTCTCAGCATTACCGTCCTTTGCAGACATCCCCAATTGCTCTAACCTCTCAGAAGCAATCTTGACCTTCTTCTCAATGTCCAGCTTGTAGGCCAACTCGCGTAATTTATAAGTAACTTTTTTTGTAGTGATGGGGGTCGGTGCCTTCAACAGATCTATTGGTGTTGCATGGTCACAACACGAGAGCATTAGTTCGATATAGCGTAAAAGAATCCTTCCCATTGTCCATCGCACTGATTTATGGAAGGATTGCCGGTTCTTTGGATGATCGCCGACAAGAGTCAGTGGTTGTTTCACAGCCAAATGCAAGGCATTCAAATGCAGAGTTGTTGATAGGCTTTCATTTCTGATGGGTGCTTTGACCAAGAGACAATATCGTATGACATGCAGGTCCATAGCCTACTCCATTTCTAAAAGATAAAGGTACAGAAATTAATGAAACTTTGTTTTGCTTACCAACTGTCGAAAGTGGTTTATGAGAGATGAAGTCATCAGGATACTGTGAGATTGAAGTTGATGGCTTTCTGTAATGCATTGCACGGTTATCAGCATATGATCGCGCTTGGTGCTCGAGCCCAGCCTTCATCATGGGTGGGGCGTTTTCAAGACTAGGAAGGGTAATTGGGATCTGTGTCCGAGGCACTCTTGGTGAATTCTCCTGCTTCTTGAGTTGGAGTTTATCAAACTCATTTTGAAAATAGTTGATGCGCTGCTGTGACTCTGCCAATGTGGCATCGCATGCTGCTTTAGCAACTTCAGATTGCTGAAAGTCGCGCAATTTCATAGTGGCTGCCTTGATCTCTTTCTCTTTTTGGAGACGCTTCCGCAAATCCTCCAGCTTTTGCTCGTCATCCATTTCCTGCAGGGAAGAGTATCGAGAGAAATATGCATTAAAATGTATCAAAAGGTTGTTCTCTTGCCAGCGGGTGGAATCGAGAATGTTGTAGCCGCTATGAGCATAGCATTTCGAATTACCATGTGCTTTCTGTCTTGCTCCATATTAGAAAGTTTGTATTAAGTGTGTGGTCAGGTGGTTAAGGGCGAGCACGGAGGAATTGCAACTCAGACGTTGGTCAATGGTGTCTGTGGCGATGTAGCGTGAGAGTCTTTCGAATTAAGACGTAGCTAAGAGGGGTGATGGTGAGAAAGATTGGAGAAGGAAGAGAAGACAAAATAACTGATACAGCAAATGAGCTTGAAAATAAAAAAAGCTGTTCCATTGCGATGAAAATTACCTGCACAGACAGATGGCGGAGCATGGTGGATGGGCCTGGATTTATCACATGACTCCTGTTACTCATAACTTTGTGCTCTTTCTTCCCTTCTTCTAACCAAATAGATCTTCAAAAAAAAAAAAAAACTCATTTCAGATTTCCTCCATGTCTTGCACGCATTGTAGGGTACTCTACTCTGTATTACAGCTGCTTCCAAAGGCGACTCGGAACAATGCATTTCATGGAAGATTCCTTTTGTCCCACACTGCCCCTTCAGGTGTGAGGTTCTATCCTAGAGATATTTGCCTAGTCTACCCAAACACAGCCACCAGGGCTTTCTTTTCATCCTTGTCCACCACCTTGAATCGATCAAAGCCTCATACCATATCCTCGCGATCAACACAAACATCGTCATTAGCATCGTTATTGGACCAACCTCACAGCTCTGTGTTGTGTGACGGTACAATTCATATCAATACTCCACCGGTACAAGACGTGGAAAAGACTACGCTACGACTCATGAGGGATTATATCCAGCGAACGCCGCACCCGCCTCCAACTGAATATATCACCTTATCCTTCTATCAGTTTCGTCCGATTGATGAGGCTGATGTGTTTAAGATTCAATACTATTTCCTAACAGATCTGCGTCCCATGGATGTTGTTGGCAGAATCTACGTTTCCAGCGAGGGAATCAATGCACAGATCAGTTGTCCCAAGAATCGGGTCGAGGAATTCAAAACGTATTATGCCACACATTGGCCAATTTTTAACAAAATTCGGTTTAATCCTGCCATGTCTGAGGGCAAGGCATTCAAAAAGTTGCATGTTCGAGCTAAAAAACAGGTACAGGATAGCCTTTTTTTTTTTTTAAAAAAAAAAAAAAAAAAAAAAAAAAAAAAAAAAAACAGGAAAGGGATGCAATCTCAAAGCATGGATGATATGCGATGAAAAAACGTGTGTTTGAATAGCTTGCTGACTTTGGATCCTATCTAAACTCGCCAGCTCGTATCCGATGGCATTGACAATAGCACGTTCGATCTGAATAACGAGCCTACATATCTTACACCAGAAGAGTGGCACAAAGAATTATCATCTCTATCGGAGCCTCCTATTTTGATCGACATGAGGAACCATTATGAAAGGTAGCACATGCTCTTCACTTTTTATGATGCAGTCTCTGAAATATATCGGATCCGAATTGATCCCTCCTTCCTTTTGTCTTTAGCGCCATTGGTCATTTTGAGAATGCTATTCGACCGGATGTTACTACTTTCAAGGAAAACATTGAAGCCATGTTTGAGATCTGCAAGGGTAAAGAAGACCAGGATATTTACATGTACTGCACTGGAGGCATTCGTTGCACACGTTCAGGAGCATTGCTTAAATCGAAAGGGTTTAGCTCTGTCAAGATGCTGCAAGGAGGCGTTACTGCATATGGTCGTTATATTCAAGAACAACGTGGTGATGCAAAGGAAAAGGCTGATCCATCTACTTCAACAAAGGATGCCAAAGTCCACTCTATCTATAAGGGAAAGAACTTTACCTTTGATAAACGTCTAGGCGAACCTATTACAGAGGATGTGATCGCCAAATGCCATACATGTGGTGCTCCTTGTGACCTTTACTTGAATTGCTCCAACATGGCATGCAACCTATTGATGATCTCTTGCCCTTCCTGTCTGCAAAAGCATGAGGGTACATGTGGTTCTCAATCGTGTGTGGACATGGTCAAAGAGCTGAATGAAAAGCAGAAGCAGATCCAAAAGGATCATCCAGGTCTTATAGGCATGAAAGCACGGCCTGGTATCAAGCCCTACCATGAACATCGCCTTCGCGTTAGGCCATTGACGGTTTTAGAGATGAGAAAGAACGAAGTACTTTCGTGACTCAAGCGCTAAAGTGGTGATAGAGACAGCAAGGTTGAGCTCACCATTAAATATATATACTCTGGATATAGAGTTTCTTTCCAGCATAATAGACTATAGATATACATAAACCTTAATACACGTACAAGCATGAGACTTTAGAGTTGGGGTTGCTATGCTCGCTGTAGATCTCTAGAATACCTAGTGGTCCCAAGAGCTTTAAGGACTGGGTAACTGAGAAGACAATGTTGTCGTTAACTTTCAAGGAAGGTTATATACATATTCTTGTACCCACTAAAAAAAAAAAAAAAAAAAAAAAAAAAAAAAAGAACTTTAAAATTATCGAAACAATCAAAACGGCGAGATAGTCTACATGCATTTAATGTCGACTGAACTTTGATCTGTTACTCCTTCTCGTTTCTGTATGTGTGCCTCAACTTTTCAGAGATAATGAAGTCCAATCAGAGTATACATGTGGGTGTGTATATACATTTATGTATATGGATGCATATTATAATTCATTAAAGGGTTTTGTCGTGTAGTTGAAAAGAAAAAAAAAAAAAAGAAAAGAAAAAAAGAGTAGTCCCAGTCCGTTATGTTTTCATTATAGTGCTTTAAAGCGGCGTTCTGTGTAAGAAAGAAAAAAAGTGGGTGATTCATGGAGTTTGTTTTATTTGATTGCGTGATGAGCCGGAACAAAGTAATATATCTGTATGTATATATATTTATATATATATAATACATATCAATATGTAGAAGAAATTCTATGGTCGTAGAATAAAGAAGCTTCGAGTACATGTGTATACGTGTGATGGACATTGCGGGTCCTTTGATCTTCCCTGTAGCTTAACTACTGTACTAGCTCATTATAAATAATAATAATAATAATAAAAAAAGAGGGTCCCTCTTACGTTGTTTGATGTTTTGCTATGCCCCTGGAATATGCAGGAACGTTCATTTCTGGGGAAAAGTCCCACTGTCTTATTCTGCGCCATCGGTTATTTAGTCACAACTGTTCTGTAGATGGGTTTACTTCTGAGATTATCGGTTGTGGAGATTCAGGCTTTAAATTTTTTTTTTTTTTTTTTTTTTTTTTGAACCAATCCTCAGTCGAATTTAGACAATACATAAATGTACTTCGATTGAATCAAATGTTTAATTATTACTGTAGGACAATGAAATATATTCCCGACAAAAGCTTCTTTTGTTCGTCATTGACCATGTTCCCAAGCACGTTTCCGGCACGTTTCTTTTCCTTGAAAACAATGACCGCTGGGACTATGAATATGTACGTATAAGTATATAAGCTGCAATGGTACTGTATATATATTTATAATATATATATATAATATATATAAAATCTGTTCCCGTTAATCTTGTTGTTTCTATCCTTTATTTTTCTGTTTCTCTTCCCTTCCTGCTCCTTTGCTTGGAAAAAGAAAACAAAAAAGAGATTGTTCCGTGGACAGAGAATTGTCTTGTTAAAAAAAAAAAAAAAAAAAAAAAAAAAAAGAAACTCTCTATTATATATATAAAATATATATAAAATATTGTATGACAATATTATTAAAAAAAAAAAGGTGGACAACAGTGGTCATCTGCGAGAGGATATCAGTTCATTAATATAAAAATATAAACACATTTTTAGTCCAATTGCATTAACACACTGCATCCTTTCGTCCTCTTGATGCGGAAAATTTAAACCTTTTGTTGCATTGCTGCATGAGGAAAGTTTGTGTATTTGAACTATGAAGAGAGGAGAAGGATTACAAGTCTATACAGTAGTCAATACACATGTTTACTGATCGACCTCTTGGTTGCACAAAAAAAAAAACAATAAATAAATAAAATAAAATAAAATAAAACAACATAGAATAAAATAAAACAAAACCACCCAAATGAAGCAAAGGGAAGAGGAGGCATCCTTTGGATGTGCTTTCATTATCCACTTCAATCTTGTTCCTTTGGCATAAAAGTAACACCCCACAAATCATCTGCACAGACACAAGGATGGGCTTGTTTACAACACTTCAGTCAGATGATGTAAACAAAAAAGATTACGGGGAATGAAAGAGAGACACCAGGGGGGTGAGTAATCCATCACTTTTCTTAACGACCCTTGCAGGGTAAAAAAAAAAAGGTCCCTTTTTTTTTTTTTTTTTTTTTTTACATGTTAGCAAACAGTAAAACAGCATTACATCACCTTCTCTAGCGTAAATCAAGGCAAAAACAATTACCGGCAAGTCAAGTGTCCTGATATTTGTACCTGACTCTTCTACAAACCATGGTGGATTTATTTTTTATATATCTTTCTCCTTTGACTGACTCTGCTTTGATAAAAAGCAGTGGAATAGAAAAAGGCACAGTTTGCTCACCACTTTGCTCTTTGTACACCTGGCTGATATAACCTGATCGAAAAAAAACTATAACGTACTTACAGAACCATTGACTCAATTTTGCATCATTCTATATACACCTACAAAGAGAGGCCAGCTCAATCTAAAAAAAAAAAAAAAAAAAAAAATTCGATTGGCATGTATGTATGAATATGACAAAAGAACGAGAGAAGATGAGTATATTTTATTTTATTCTATTTTGTTAATGGTTTGTCCTGCTCATCTTGCTCTTACTTTTTTTTTTTTTTTTTTTTTTTTTTTTTGGTTCTCAATTCCCCCGCAGCTCTCGGTTTATAAAACCAAAACCTCACTATCATTTTTATAATTTCTTGCGAATTACGCCAACAGTCGTGACTTCTGCGCCATTCGGCACATTTTCCTGTTCTCCCGCAAAAAAACCTTTTTTTTTTTTTTTTTTTTTTTTTTTCAATTGGCTCAGTATATGAACACAAACATGTCTTTCCCATGTTGGTCATGGGGTCAGCAAACAAGAAAAATTAAAAAACCACGCAAACACAAACGCAGAGAGAAGACAAAGAACAGAGGCAGAGCAGATAAAAATGAAAAACTGGAGGTTACACAAACCCCTCTCCCCCACTCATTGATGGAAGAGAGAAGAGAACTTGGGAGTGTAAAAGATATGACAATAATATTTGACTTGTTCAGAGATCAGAGAAGGATGGTTTTTTTTTTTTTTTTTTTGCTGCTATCATCATTTTATTCATTGTCATGTACGTTTAATATACAAATATGATATTATAAATATATATATACTATATATGCATCAACATTAACATCAACATCAACATCAACATCAACAAGACTAATGTTGCCATAGTTAATTCAATATAGAGCTAGCTAAGCTCAACATGTTCTTCCACGCTAGACCCTTGGACTTGCATAGACTACAAGTATATACGTATATATTTATAATATATATATATATATACATAATATGTATTATAGATTGATTTATTTATACTCTATTAAAGGTGTACATGCAGCATCAGATGAATGTGTGAAAAAGTGAATAGGCATCCAACTGTTCATAGACTAGTCTACATGTAGTAATCTAGACGCAAGACGCGCTTTCGCGCAAAACGTTCAAAGCTGCAGAATAATGTAATGTATATATATATCTATATATTTTTATTTATTTATTACATCTGTCGTCCACGTTCAGGTAGTTTGTCTCCTTATTGAATCCTTTCCTTTCCTTTCCTTTCCTATCCTTGAACTTGAAGATGACATATGTTAGTTTTGTCTATGCATCTTGGGTATGGATTTGGAAATCAAGACCATTCCCGATCTAGCTACTTTCAAGGTACGACGACTTTGACATTGTTGATGTTTCTTCTGGACCTATTGTCTTCAAGGGCTTTGTTTACTCAATCGGGACTCAAGAATTTTCTGATGAAGCTATGCCGTTTTTCATTCTCCATCGTTCATTTGTGGTTCGTCTGCATGGAAAAAAAGTATCCGATCCCTTTAATTTTTTTTTTTTTTTTTTTTTTTTTTTTTTCTCTACATCCATCCTAGAATTTTCCAACAAGAGTGCGAACCTTTCGATTATTTCTTTTCTTTAGTATCATATACTTTTCAGCAAATGATGACTTCTTTGATCATTTCCATTAGTAATGTGAAAACATATTTAGTGCTTGATCTAGTGGATGTTACAGCATATATATATACGATATACACATCTGTCGTCAGTTCGATTGGTGCTATATGGTATATACATTTGACATTGGTCATCGTCTTTTTAATTTATACTAGATCCTGGCCCATCCTTTGTTTCCTTTGATCTTAAAAAAATTGGCGAAGCAAAACGTAAAAATAGGAAAAGTCCGTTACCGTAAAAGTTGAGCGATCCTTTTCAGTGGTCATTAGCTTTTGGCGGGTTAGATAACCTCTTGGCTTTCGCCCAACCTTCTTCAACCTGACTTAACCCAGTTGTCCGAAAGGATAAAATAAAAAAATAAAAAAATAAAAAAAAATAAAAAGTAAAAGACAAAAAAGAACATTCAGTATAAGGAAGGAGCCAGAACAACTTCTGATTGGGGTACCTGAAAAAAAAAAAAAAAAAAAAAAAAAAAAAAGAAAGGAAAAAAGAAAATAGAAAAGAGCGAAAGTAAAAAGTTGGGTATTATGCCTGAAAGGCGTGACAATTCTCGTTTATAGTTTTCGTTTGGGGCCTAGAGTACTAGACCAGTAAATCAAAGCTTTGGAAAGGAAGGCCGTTGAGCATTCAGAAAAGGTCCCTTCGCTTCTCTTCCCTTTCTTTCCTTGCTTCTTTGTCGGTTGTGTATGTAAATGTACATGTGTCAGGACGGAGTTGTCGGCCAGAATGATGGACCGTTCTTTTGAACAGCCCTCGGGTATTTCAGGATTTCAGTTCAGCCTCGGCAGTAAGACAAATTAAGGTAGGCTAATTCAGAAACAGATCCAAAAGAGGGGGATCCAGGGTGCAACACAAGAACACGGACTTGTGGACTTTTGTGGAATGGAATCCTTTAAAGTACATGCGCTCTTTTTTTTTTTTTTTTTTTTTTTTTTTTTCTTTTGACACAAACGGGGTCGATGCCGAGGCTGATATACAGACAAAGCTGAAATTGCAACTTTTTTTTTCTAATCCTTTACCCTTTTGAGACACAAGGCATGTCGTTTTTATGTAAATATTAACAGAAGATGGATGGTATATGCATGTTTATATCATTAACTGCAGTTAAGGTGATGAGGTATTCAGAAGAAGGAAAAAAAAAAAAAAAAAAAAAAAAAATGGAGGGAAACTCCACGTTTTCTTTTCTTTCACCGACTGGACTTGCATTCTGGTTTGCTCAGTGATAGATACTAAATATTATCATTACTTTGTCATCACAGTATGGCTCTTTTCTTTTCTTTTTTATTTTATTATATATATATTTATATTATAAATGAATCCTTCTCCCCCTTGGAGTTCTAAGGCTTATTATTGCTTATATATATATATATATATATATATATGTATAAGAACAAGGGTTTTAGAGAGATGGATATGGACAACAGGAGAACCCTTTCCCTTGGCTCTCAGAGATGACGTTTAGAAACTTGAAGTCTGGAAATAGGACAAGAGAGTCCAGGATAGCTATTTGGACTATGTAAACTAATGTTGAACAGTTGTCTGGAGGCAGAGATGGATGATTTAAATATCTAAATGTATAATATATATATACTTTTATTATGATATCTATCTATCTATCTATGTATATATATATCTATGTATCTATCAACTGTCTATATATTTATGTATGATTAATGCTAGAAAGTAAAAAAAAAAAAAAAAAAAAAAAGTATGTGTAAAAGACTACATCATTGAGGATGAAGAAAGATGATGGATGCTCTTTATGGTTATGACTATAACGATGTAATGGCAATGTGGAAAAGAGAGAAGAGATCATTGATTTTAATACTCCGTTTCCACGTTTTATGTTGTAAGCTAAGCTATAATTTGTATTACCGAGTGAGTATTAAATGATGCTACCTGAGTGTGTAATCGAGCCGATTATTTAGTTGAGATGTATTAATGTAATATGTTGAGGGTGTCTACAGCGATATTGATACGGATCAGGTTGCTGGGATTTATTTATTTGTATTCGAATTCATTCACAGCCAGGAGCGAACAAGTGAAGAAAAGTAAAGGAGAGTAAAGGAAAGTAAAGAAGAGTAGAATAAAGTAAGGTAAGGAAAGGTAAAGTAAAGTAAAGTAAAGCAAAGTAAAGTAAAGTGGTTATTTGCATATATATATATATATATATTATATTATAGATATGAATATGAGTATGAATATGAATATGAATGAATAAACAAGTAGATGTGTATACAATGAATACAGATGTATATAATACAAATATAATAAGACTTGTCTACGCAGACATCTAGGGTTTTCTTTTTAGAATGATGAGCCCTAACACAAAAAGAGTCTCTCACATATTTTAGGTATACACACAAGACACAAGACACAAGACACAAGAAAACTGTTTTATTTTTTTATGGTCTAGTTTTATTTTTTATTTTTTATTTTTTATTTTTTATTCTTTATTTTATTTTTCATCCGCACTCATCTCATCGCACTTTCTCAGACTCAGGAACCAGTCTGCTCATCACTTTCAAAAACGTCTGAAATCTATAAAACTCTACTCTTCCCCCACCTTTCTCTTGCTTTTTTCTTTTTCTTTTTCTTTTCTTCTTCTTCTTCTTCTCTCTCTTGCTCTGCTTTTGCTCTTGCTTATATATTCTTACATTCTTATTTCTTTTCTGGTTTTTATTTCTCTGCATTTCATATCTCCAAACAACATTCAACTCTCTCTCTCTCTCTCTCTCTTTCTCTCTTCCTCTCAACGGCTGTAGTATATTCACTCTTCTCTTCTTTCTTTCCATTTTTACACAACCTCCTCTTCCTCCTCCTCCCCCTCCTCCCCCTCCTCCTCCTTTTCCATAATCAAATCAATCCATTGGATTGAACATACAAAGATTCCAGATGCTCACTACTACCATCTCCATCACACAACCCTCAATCCAGGGACCCATCATGCACTTTCAGTCTTCACGTCCCTCCAGCCCTCCTTCTCCCAGCTCTTTCTTCCGTCCCACACATAAGCCTCGTCGCTCGATCTCTAGTTTCGACTCTCGTCAGTCTATAGAACAGGACGGGGATGATTCTCCCATGAACAGACCCTCACTCCACCAGATCCTTCGCAACCAAGGACGCGGTCAATATACTCTCGACAACTTTGCTGCCTTTCTTCAATCCCAATTCTGCTACGAAAACCTTGCATTCTGGCTTGCCTCCAGACAATATAGGGTAAGAACAACGGAGTAATAATAATAATGATAAAAAAAAAAAAAAAAAAAAAAAAAACGTCATTTCGTCTATCAACTTTATCATTCTTTACAAATCGGACTTTTTTTTTTTTTTTTTTTTTTTTAAAAAAATATTTTTTCCTAACCTGTTCATCCGTTTTTATCTTTTAAATAGCTTTGCGCCCAATCACTTTACTTGTCGGTACATCAGTCTGTACCTCAATTCGATCTCACAGTAGAGTCCGCAAAGTATTTGAATCCATCCCAGGCACGCGCGTTCTCGGATCTGCAGTTGAAAATGCGTGCTATCCTGGATGCTTTTGTCTTGCCAAGCAGTCCTCATGAACTCAACTTGTCAGACGCGACCCGCTGCAGTCTTTTGAGGGCCGTTGCCGAGGGTAATTACCATCCTCAGGTGTTTGAGCAAGCACGCGAATCCATTATGGATCTGATGAAATGCTCAAGTTACCCCCTGTTTATCGAAGGCATCGCTGCCAAGCGTGCTTCAAGCGCAAGCTCTGCTCGATCTCAATCAGACTCTGAAAAACCCTCACATGATCATGACAACCCTTCCTGGCGCCACAAGGCCAAACATTCTTTCAAGCTTGTCTCCAAGATGTTGAAGCGAAGTCCTTAAAACCACAAAAAAACTTTCGCTTCCTTTTTATTTAGCATACCCTATTATTTCATTCCTTCTCACTTGTAACTCTTTCATTCTTTTCTTTTCTTTTCTTGTTTGTTGCTTTTTTCATTTTTCGCGTGTTCTTGTTTTTCATTTTGCTTTTTCCACTGTACTATATAGACGTTTAGTTAATGTTTGAGAAGAAGAAAAAAAAAAAGAAAAAAAAAGAAAAAAAAAAAGTCTTACTACTTGTAAATATATATATAAAATAGTTGATGACCAAACCATTATTCATGTCCCTTTTTTTTTTTTTTTTTTGTATGAGAAATGATTGGACAATTGTTGCTTCAAGTGAAAAAAGAAAAGTAAAAAGGCACTTCATTGTTCATCCGAGAAAAAGATACATGTTTTTTTTATTTTTTTTTTTATTGTCCAATCGTGCATTGTGAGACATGGGAAAAAAAAAAATAGACACACATGTGAGCGAGTGGCCGTTATCGAATGAGCAACACTGGACAAGCTAGGGTTGTCTCGCTCTGTTTTTTATCCGTATCGAACTTCTTTTTCTTTTTCTTTTTTCCTTTTTTCCCTTCCCTTCCTTTCCCTTCTCTTTCCTTTCCTTTCCTTTCCTTTCCTTTCCTTTATCCACATTCTTCCTTTTGAGTTAAGAACTGTGCAATTTTTTTTTTTTAATTATATAAAAGATCAAATCGTATTTCCCCTTAATTAGTGAGGAATATATGACATCAATGTACAATTTTCATCGCATTTACTAAAAATGATTTTTTACACCCTTTGAATGTTACAGGCAATTTTTGATACGCACACACATTACACACACAGAGCAGAGTACGACCTTTTCCGATCTAAAAAAAACAAACAACAATCATTCAACTTCATCCATTTCTCTTCCCCACTCCTCTCCTTTCACCATGAACTTTGGAACTGTTGCCCGTCGCGCTTATTCGACCTCCAGAGTATGTTTTTTTTTTTTTTTATTTTTTTTTTTCCTTCTTTCTCTTTCTCTCTCTCTTTTCTCTCTCTCTCTCTCACATTCATTCTTCCACACATTCTTTCTTGCACGTTCCTGATGTCATCATCCATCTACGAAAATCAACCGGAAGAATCAAATCTTGAACATTTTTGATCAACCTTTCCATTTTTCTTTCTTCATCCCAACGAAATGATCTCCTTGCTCATATTCTTTTTTTTTTTCCCCCTTGCTGTTGTTCACTCTCATCGATCATCATTGTTGATACGTGATATGGGATAATGTTTGATCTAACATGTTATATCAAAAATAGGCTGCCATCCCTCCCACCATTGGCTCCACCAAGGCTATTGGTTCCCCTAAGGATTCTGCTCGCGTAAGTATTCATCAGAACAGTTCAAGTTGCACTTTTTTTTTATTTATTTATTTATTTATTTTTTTTATTAATTAAATATAAAAGATGAAAGAAAAAAAAAAAAAAAATACAGCAAACGTGACAAGGATGCTTTTTACTATTAATGATTGTTTTATCTAACGCGCGTCTCATTATTATTATTATTATTAACTTGTATTTTTTTTTTTTTTTAATTAAATCAGATGGCCAAGGTTGTTAACTTCTACAAAGGTCTTCCTAATGGCCCTGCCCCTGCCTCTCGTTCCTCCGGTTACCAGGCCCGCTACTTCGATGGCAAGAACTCGTCCATGACCCCTGTCTTCCAGACCATTGCCGCCGTCTTTGCCTTGTCTTACACCATTGACTATCAGTTCCATTTGAGTAAGCTTTTTTTATTTTTTATTTTTTATTTTTTCTACAAGTCGATGCTTCATATGATGATAATTATAGTTAGGGACATCAGAATATATGATGTTGATTTAACTGGGAAAGATAGTAATTTTATCTGATAACAAAAGCTCGACAAAATTCATTTGTTGAGATACGAGAAATGAGAAATGAGAAAAAAAAAAAACGGAAAGTAGTGATTTTAACATTCTTTACCTTTTTTTTTTTTTTTTAAAAAAAAAAAAAAAAAAAAAAAAAAAAACCATCTCTAATAGAGCACCACAAGAACGTTGCCCACCATTAAATGTGCTCTGGAAAATAAAAAAAAAGAAAAAAGGATAAAAAAAAAAAAAAAGAAAAAAGAATAAATATAACAAAACAATACAGGATGGCAGCCTTCTAATGTCTTTTCTACTTGTACACCAACTGGATTGACAGTAGTGAACGATAAAATAAAGCAAAAGAGTAAACAGAATGGAATATCAGGAGGAAAAAAAAGAACTCTGATCCAAAGCAAGGACATTTTTTTTCTTTTCTTTTCTTTTCTTTTCTTTTCCTTTCCTTTCCTTCTTCGCTCTCAAACACATGTAATGGGCAGAGTGCTTACCACAGCTTTTAATAAGCATTTGTTTGCTCTTTCTACACCTGGTGAATGCCAATTGTTTTAATGAATGGATGTCAACTAAAAATGTATATATTTTTTTTTTTTTTTTTTTTTTTTTTTTTTTTAATATATTGTATATATGAAAATTGATTGATGTGTATAGTAAAAATAGTATATATATATGAATCTGTAATGCCATGAAATTGATTGATTGCTATTTTTTTTTTTTTTTTCCTGTTATTGTAATGTCTTGTCCTGAATTGGAAGAAGGAAAAGTAAAGTATCCTTCTTGGATGAAAATCAGCTTTTGTGCATCTTGATCGACTCAAAGGAAGAAAATGGAGCGATTTCTCCTCTACTATGATTATTTTCTTTTTTTTCTTTTTTTCTTTCTTTTTCTTTTTCTTTTTCTTTTTCTTTTTCTTTTTCTTTTTCTTTTTTTTTTTTTTTTTTTTTGTATTGCTGTTCTAAATATTGCTCAGTTGCATCTGCGGTTGAAGTTGTTGATGAAGAAGTGGTGCAGGCGCTAATGCTGGAGATGCGGATGCTGGGGAAGCGCAGGCAGAAACGGCAGCAGGCGATACAGGGACGAGCTGCTGTTGGTGCAACTGGATTTGTTGCTCAATTGTTTGATAGTTATCACTGTTGCGCTTGATAATCTCCACGACTGGGCCAAGCAACCTCACAAACGCGCGCTTGCCCAAGGTTGCACACTTGAGCCTGCCCTGAGCCTTAACAGTGGCTGCACGTGGCATCTCATTCAACAAGGCCAATTCTGAATGCACGCAATAGCGGAAAAAAAATAATAATAACAATAAACATTAGTATTGAAATCAAATGACCTGTCCATTATGCAGATGCAGTGTCCAGGAGGGCGAGATAGTAAAAAAAAAAAAAAAAAAAAAAAAATAATATGATCTTCTTACCTCCAAAATATTGACCAGGTCCCAGGCCAGGCATAGGGAACTCTTTGCCATCCTCACTACACTTTGTCACAGTTGCTTCTCCTGACTCAATAATGAAAAAGTTATCTCCTTGGTCACCTTGACGGACCACAGTCTGGCCATCATCAAAGTAGACTGATTCGAGAGCATCTGCAATCTTGTGACGCTCATAAGGCTCCAACGACACCAGCAAGGGAACAGTCTCGAGGAAGGCTTCATACATACGTCGCTTTCTGGAGGTGTTTTCCATCAGGATTCGTCGGAATGTGATTCTGTCTAATGCCCAGAGAACCACTTCTGATGTGGTTGTCACTGTGGCCGCACGGGGTCCGTTATACATCAGTGCCAACTCTCCAAAACTACCTCCTGGGCCATACTCAAACACCTTCTCGGATGGGTTGCCATTCTTGGCAACAAATACATCCAACGTTCCAGTCTCGACCACATAAAAGTAATCACCAACAGCGCCTTGCTCGATGACGTTTTCTTTGTTCCTGAATCTTTTTTCTGCCATTGCATTCACAACGTCCTCGTGTTGATCCTCATCCAAGTTTTTGAACAAGAAGTTACTGGCGATCGAAAGCTCGATCCGCTTGCGCTGCTCGGGTGTCTTGGAGACCACAATCTTGACATAATTTTGATGACTGGGGACCATGCTCTCGGCGCTTACAGAAGTACGTCTGCCACGCATGTAATTGATGGGCATCGACAATAATGGGCCAGGACCCTCATCATCTTCAGAATCGCTATCTGTGTCGCTATCCATCGAACGATCTGGACTGGATGCAGCAGGGGTAGAGGCATGGTGGACCTTGGGGGAGGTCACTGACAAGGACGGCGGGATCAATGCAGGCAAAAACTGAGGAATCTCTCTGTTTGCTTGGGGAGCGTTGCGAGCTAAATTGAATCAGTATCCGGTACATCGCAGAGAATGTTGCAGATGAGTAAAATAAAAAAATAAAAAAAAAGAGCATCAAAAAGGGTATAAAGATTTATTGTTAGTCAGTTGGCCAATTCAGTCAGCGTAAATATAGAATGGAGGGAAAGGGTCAATGATGCATGTCAGTTCTATTACTCTTTCCCTCCCCTCTCTTTTTTTTTCTTTGCTTGCATTCCGATTCCCTTTATCATGTCGAGTTCCTTTCATCTCTCGGAGAGAGAGGGAAAGAGAAAAGAATGACATATAATCCGATCGGAAAGGAGTGATGAATGATAAATAGAACAATAAACAAAACAAACGAGAGCCAACATGTGCATCTTTTGTCCCTTCTTTCCATCCAGCCCACGAGTTCACTCAGCTCAGCTCAGCTCAGTGCAGGTCGCTCGACATATTAGTAGCCAAATCAAATACATAAAAAAGAAAAAGAAAAAAAAAAAACCAATAAATAATCCCGCCATGACACCATTGAGCCATGAGCCATGAATTAAGAGCCATGAGCCAAAAGGCAAACATATTATACAAACTGTTGAAGGACGCTTGGGTTTGAATGTAAAGTAAATTAAAAAATATTTCAAATCAAAAATAAAAGAAATTTAGCGCACACCCGACCACGTTTTTTTTTTTTTTTTTTTGCAGATATTGTCGGAGAAAAGAGAGCAGGCATGGCAATACACAGTGCATATTGCCATGGGACTCTACCCATGATAAAATGATCCAGGGTATACCGGGCACAAAGAAGGAAGAAGAAGAGAAAAAAAAAAAAAAGCGAGGATTATGGTTGGTGGTTGCTCATCCAAGCTCAGCAAAAAAAAAAAAAAAAAAAAAAAAATGACACCAAAGAGCGAAGAAGAGTGACACACAGAGACAGGCACGCCCAACATGTGGCAAACCAAAATTCGATGGACCATGCACCGCGAAACACAAGAACGATATGCAAGCACAAGGAAAAAAATTGTGAACAGCTGCTGGCAAGCATTCATCGTCTTTAAAATTATATTACAAAATATATTGCGAGAATCACCCTGCAAGTCCCGGCAGATAGGGCGGTGAATGGGTGAATTCTTAAGAACCATTGTTGCTCTTTATCACCTCTGACTTTATCTTTCTGGCGCATTACTCGTGCTCTTATCTTCCTATCAGCAATCCGATCCCTTCTTTTCTTTTTCTCTTTTGGGTAATAGAGCCTCGGCTGATATGGTCGATACATCCATAAATTAAACACATTGATATAAATATATTATACCACAACAGCTTTATATCATCACCAGGAAATTTGAATATCCATGCGGAAACCCAACCGTGGTCTCATGTTTAAGTACCAGACAGACGATGCAAACCCCATGCATACCATGCATACTATGCATACCATTTAGACCATGCATACCATTTAGGCCATGCATACCCAAATCACACAAACAAAAACAAAAAAAAAAACGAAAATGGGGAGGAAGAAACAAAACCATGTCCATTAAAGAAATTGGTTGTAGTTATTGATTGATGCCGAATTCATCCAAGATGGACATAAAGTGTCACTGTTTTCACAATAAGCAATCCCAATGTGGGCGGATGCAGACAAAGCACGTTGGCACGCATGGACATAAACACATGTATATGCTCTATAAATATATGTATATATATTTTTTACCTGCGGTAAGGAATCGGATACGCTGTTCCTCGAGCTTTTGATTGAAATAATTTGCACAGAATTGAAGGACATCCTGAGGCTGGGCAGAGATCACTTTTTGATTAAGGTCATTAAGGATTTCGGCATAAGCTGGTGGCATAGATCGATGTATAGGCGACTGGGATGTTGTCGACGAGGTAAACATGATGATTTCTCTTTGCTGGTATCGTTCGATGAATAGGCTCGAATGGAGGCGAAGAGAGAGGTAATTAAATCGATAAGACCGAGATTAAAAGATGGAATGAGAGAAAGAAGGAAAGAAAAAAGAAAAGAGAGAGAAAGAGAGAGGAAGAGAGTAGTTGGAAGGTGGGGGAAGAAATAAAGAAAAATAAAGAAAATAAAGGATGCGATATCAGAAAGCAGTTAGGGTCGCTGCAAACGAATTTATCCAAAGAAGTAGGAGGAGGAAGAAGGACAAAGAGGTTAGACGAGCAACAACAGCGTACGAATGACAAGGGGAAAGAGTTCAAGAGTGATTGATTGAGATGTAGTGAAAAAGAAGGATGGGGAGTTACTCACAAGCAAGGGAAAGAGAGAGAGAAGGAGAAGGAAAAGGAGAGGGTCAGGTGAATGAGGAATGAAAAGGAATTGAAAAAAAGATTAATGATTGATGGAATGGTGACAATGAAGGAAAGGAAAAGAGGAAGAAGAGAAAGGAGGAGAAAAGGAAAGGGAAAAGGAAAAAGGAAGAAGAAAAAGAAAAAGAGAGGAAGAGAAAGGAAAGAGCTTAAAAACAAAAAGGGACATAAAAAAGGGTGTGCAATAAGAAAAAGTCAAGACAGTCAGGTCAGACAAACAAAAAAAAACGTGCCGTTACAACAAACACAAAAAAGCTGCGAGGGAAAAAAAAACTTGGTGGACTCTTTTATTTTCAGGCAAACATACAACGGCCATTCAAAATAAAAATAAATGCGCAATCAACAAATGATTTATGATTTATATACAGTATATTTTTATACACGAAATTGTTTTTGATAGAGTACATGTTTACATTGACTGTGTATATTTACATTATTGAAAAAAAGTTTAACAAGTCAATCACATCCATCTAACCATTCGTAGGTCATTATCTTACCTTTGCCTTGAACTGAATACATTACAGTTATGACAGACAAACAAAACAAAACAAAACAGTAAGAGTCCAATGAGCTAAAGAGAACGTGGCATAAAAGAAAAAAAAAAAAAAAAAAAAAAAAAAAGAAAACATGGAAGAGAGAAATACGTGTGAATGTGAATGTGAGAAGAGAGGAGAAGAAGCTGTAGACGGAGGCTGAAATGAATGATAAAGACAGAAAGATTGACACCATTGTCTGTTTGTCTGTCTGCAATGTTGCGTTGAATAATGTGTACGATGACGATAGAGAGAGAAAAAAAAAAAAAAAAAAAAAAAAAGAACAATTGTTTAGAGAACGAATGAGATGAGGGAATATCCGCAGACGCTGACTGACTGACCGACTTTGATGAGAAGAGACACACAGATGATTGTGATGTCCATGCGCACATCCTACATCAACCTATTGAAACACATGTATACAGGCCATTCTTTTCGCTCTTTGAAAGACTTGCAACTTGTATTTATACAATAAATATGTAGCATATTTATATCGCTTGTACATGTACTGTATGATAATTATCGATGTATACATATGAATATAGACCAATCGACTATGTATATGTCATGTCCAATGTCATAATGTCATGGATTTGATGGATGTAACAGGTGTGAAGATGAGCAATAATGCATGTATTTATCATGGGTAATAGAATAAGCTGCAAGAATATGCACCACAAAGATAAAAGCCTGACCACCAGATAGACGCACGAGGGAAAATGCATGTATATATATATATATATGTACATGTGTGCATGTGTAGGTTGTAGTAGTTGTAGTTAGAAGTTGCAACAGACAAGGGAACAGGGTTTTTTTTTTTTATATACATGTATATCATGTTGCTTATTCTGATTGTCTACCTATTTACAATGGACGACTCCTGATCATTACTTCTCAATCATTGTCCTGTTTACATAATTTTTATGGTTTGCTGTAACTTTCTCAGGATAAGAAAGCCACGAGGAAGGATCAGCTATTCCGCCCAAGCTGCACGAGAGCAACGTTATTCCTACGCCCAACAGACTAACGAAAAAAGAGTTTGCTGGAGTATGTGATCAATTGGAAGGACATAAAAATATATTCATCCTTGATAGTCAACATTTGGAGTGTAAACAAAAGTCAAAACGCAATGCAGATTGGTGGTGTTTGTTTTGCCATGTGTATGTGTAGCTTTAGTCTATTCCTCATGCATTGTGAATAAATAAAATAAAATTGACAATGACGATCACCATTCTTTCGAACCATTCATGATTTGATTATCGTGATTTTTTCAACACCTCTTCTGCCATTCATCCATCCCACTATGTCTGGATAGCTCTTTAAGATGTGTCACCCTAACAACCAAATGAATGTAAGCGAACGTTTTAAATGTCAGAAACTGAAAAAACATGTATTTCGCTACGCTTGTATCATTTGAGCCGTTTTGACAGAATGGGAAGAAAAATTGAAAGAAGGATTGACTGGTCCAGACTGGTATTGTTAATTTGTATTGGCCATTAAGCACTTGCCAAACATCCAAGCTGATTATTGCTTTAACAAAGCAGTAATGAACCATTGGTATCTCATACACAATGGCATGAAGCCATCGATAATTGTCATTACTCGAAGTTATTGAACAACGACACCAAGTGATGATTTTTTTCTTTTTTTCTTTTTTTTGTTATAACGACACCAAGCGATAATGACAAGTTGCCAGGTTTCAACAAATCACATGATTGTGACTGCTTAGTGATCCTTCTTGTTTACGTTTCTACACGCCACATTCGTTAGCAAATGTTCCTCTCCATACACTTCGCCCACAGGACCAAGACCCGACTGTTACAGCACCTGAAAACCAGTTGAAGGTGAGCAAATGAAGATGGTTACTTTAACTTGGATTAAAGAATTTAATGAGTCAAACAAACTTTTTTTTATTTATTTTATTTTATTTATTTTTCGTGTGAATGTTGCTCTGGGTTTATCAAGTCACAATAATGTGGTCTTGCAATGGAGTCACCATCTCCGCAGGGGATTTCGTTGGTTGATAATGAGCTTCTTATTTTTTTCTTTTTTGAAATAATAATTGAAATCTTTTTTTTTTTTTTTTTTTTTTTTTTGCGGAGACGGAAGAGATATGTTTTTTCTCGTTGTACTTATGACGTCGTGATACTAAAAATGATTGATAGAGCACCGCGTTCCTTTTAAAACAGAGCATTCTAGAAAGTAGTTCAAAAAATTCTTTCCGCCATTATGGATGAGACCGCCCTTGCTGCAGAGTTACTTGCGGAGAAATTCAGCGGAGGGACCCATTCAGCTTCTCAAGCACAACAGCACACACATCTACAGGAGTCATTGCATCACCATCAGCTGCAGACACCATCCCCTTCACTGAGTCAAGCAGACGTGCAGAGTCAGCTTGCTAATAGTGCCGCATACGCTTACACTGGTAACGCACTTGTAACCAATAATACAAACGGTGTTGTTACTTTTCCACAAGCAACAAATAGTAATGTGACAACAGCCTCAGGCGGAGATGCTTCTTCTGAACCGGTACAAGCTTACGCAAAGTTAGAGGGCGATTCATTTTGTTACTATATCAGGTATGGACACGGCTATCGCATCAATGCATGGCTGTACTACATGCCTATATCATCTTGGGGCCAAATGGATTGTTTCGTCCTCTCTCTCTTCTTTTTTTTTTTTTTTTTTTTTTTTGTTGCTGATGCATCGGTGCTTGGTACAAGAAGCTAAATCTGACGTGATTGATGGCTTGCTACTATTTTTGGCCAGAACTCTCCAAGTGACCTTTGGGCGCAAGGCCAGTTCCTCAGACCATGTCGATGTTCATCTTGGTCCGACCAAAGCAATTTCTCGTCAACACGCTCGCCTTTTCTATAATTTCACAACACAGCGGTTCGAAATGATGGTCTTTGGCAAGAACGGCGCCTTTGTGAACGATCAGTTTGTTGAAAAAGGCGTTACAGTACCGCTTGAAAACCGAACAAAAATTCAGATTGGAGAGGTGTCTTTTTCTTTTCTACTGCCTAAAATTGACACAGATGATTCGTCTCATGACGCTAATCCAAAGAACAATGCGACTACAAACGGAACGCATGGAAATCACCAGCGAGGAAGTAGCTATTCTACGAGCACATCCGTCAAAAGAGAAGATTCAGCTCAGCCTGGTGAGATATTCGATTCGTCAGAGTATTCCTCACGAGACACCAAGCCACCTTTTTCGTATGCATCTTTGATCGCGCAGGCCATCAACTCTACACCATCTCGGAAATTGACTCTAAATGGAATATATCAGCATATCACTCAGCACTACCCGTATTATCAAATGACTCAGAACGGCTGGCAGGTATGGGGCTTATTCTTGTACTTGCTTGTTGTTCACTTTGAAAAAAAAGTACTATCAATATATTGTATCCTTAATATCTTAACCTTTTTTTTTTTTTTTTTTTTTAGAATTCTATTCGCCACAACTTATCATTAAATAAGGCATTTGTGAAAGTACCACGCTCCGACAACGAGCCGGGAAAGGGCGCGTTTTGGACTATTGACCAAAGTTGCGAAGCCCAGTTCTCTAATGGGGTTTATAAACGCAGTCGTAGTAGGGTTATGCCCATGAAGCCTGCTGGAGCTCGCTCCGAGTCGCCAATTGATCAGAGCGATAGACCCAAAAAACGGATTAATACAGGAATAGACAGAGCCGATTCGCCAGCACAATCGATCCAGTCTTCTCTGCAGTCCACGATAAAACCAACTCTACCATCTATTCCAGCAACAACGTCCACAGCTCAGTCAACAACCGCCCCAACATCATCGCCAGACTTGTCTCAGATCAGCGAGGCGAGTCTTAGATTGGCAGCGCTCTTACAACAGAACCCAGGAAAGCTTGCAATGAATTTGGCAGCACTGACTCAGTCACTTTCGGTCGCTAACAAGGAAGGTGCGCAGAACGCATTGGTGACAGCGCTGTTGGCTGCGGCCAAGGCGAACAGCGCGCAAGCAGGATCAAAGTCTCTGCCGGCTCACTCGCAACAACCCCAACAGGCTTCTGGAGCTTCCACAGTAGCTACAGCCCAAACACCAACCTCTGTTTCCCCAGCTGCGGTTTCGGACATCACACAATCGCTAGCGACCTTACAAGCTATTGCGCAAGCCATCGCTGCTGCTAGGAGCACCGCTGGATCCACTGTTACCAACCCCGCAACAGCATCAGCATCAGCAAGCATAGTATCTCCTTCTACTATGTCTATGACATCCGAATCCTCACCCGCCACTTCAACATTACCTACACCAGTTTCTTCAGCGTCCTTACCAAATGTGTCTCCGATAGCGCAGTTGGTAGCAGCTGCTCAAGCTCAAGCAGCGGCGGCGGCACAGGCTCGAGCATTGGCAGAAACTCAAAGTCAGGAATTATCATTGGCTACAGGAACAACAGCAACGACAACGACAATGGCTGCAGCGACAACAGCAACAACAATAGCAACAGCAACCTCGACGCCGACACCGGCAATTGCGGCAACATCAGGCGTTTCCATAATACCAATTGCTTCAGGAGCAGGGGCTAAACAATCGGATGATGCACGAACTCTTGGTTTGGTACAGCCTCAGTCTGCGGAAGAAGCTAAGTCTACAGAAAAAGATCAGATTATAGAGGAAGGTCTCAATACTCAACAGCCACAACAAGAAACAGAAGCAAAGGAGCCAATGGAGCTACACAAAGAAGCGCAAATAGGGCCACCATTATCTTCAGAAGCAGTAACAACTTCGATTGTGGGAACAATGGCATCCAATAATTCTTCAACCTCATCGACTGCTACTGCTCCTGTTATAAATGACTCCATTGCGTCTACAGACTCAATAGCTACAGTACCTCTTGATACTTCAACTCTTATTGATTCAATCTCTGATACGGCGGTGGAATCGAATGAAATTCCTCCGAATGAGACAGCTCCTGTACCCGAGCCAACGACAAAAGTTTAGTAGATTATAATTTTTAGACATATATGCAGTTCAAAAATCTTACAATAACTAATATATATTTTTTTTTTTTAAAAAAAAAAAAAAAAAAAAGTATTTAAATGTTTAATTTTATTATCAAGCATCTACTTTTCCCTTATGAAGCATAAATGCTGGAGTAATCCATGCTCCACAGGAGCATTGATCACCCGACCAGTTGAAGGTACCTAATTTGGAGTCGCATTTAGGGCATGAGATCTTGCCTTCTAAGCTCTGAACATCTTGGAGCCACTCAACAGGCTCAATGAAATAAGAGTGGCATACAGTTGGAGACATGGGTGAGGCACTCGTATTATTGTTATTGGATTGAATTGCCTGAGAGACATGAAGGGTCGCATCGCGTTTCCGATACTGAAAAGCATTTTGTCCATGCCCTGGAGCATGAGTAATAATATTATCATGCGTTACCAACGCACGTCGACATTTTTTGCATTTGAGAGGTCTTTTCTGAGAGAATGATTGTAGCTGGGCTTTTGATACTTCTTGAACTGCTGCCGTTGCCGCCGCCGCCGCCGTTTTGGATACTATTGATGGCGCCGATGTCTGTTGTGTTAAAGGATCTGCAGCCAAAGTCATATCCTCTGCTTTAATATGTCCAAAGACTACAAGATGTAATAAATACAGATATGAATATAAGGGATACAATTAATAATATATCAATAATATCCATAGCGAACAGTATCCGTCACCAAAAAAAAAAAAAAGCTTACCTTCTCGTTGTCTTGCCATATTCGACATCAAGAAACGACGGTATTCTGTCCTGTTGATGTTCACATCATACTCAATGGCATCATATAGGATCAGCTGTTTTATGAATCCGTCGTTGGGCCTTTTACAAGAAATAGATTCATTAACGATCAATTGTCGCAGCTGAAAATTGGCGGTTTTTTTTTTTTTTTTTTTTTTTTTTTGACTTACTCGGCAATGGGGCGCAGTTTCTCAATCAAATTTAGTGCTTCAGTCACAGGGATCTTTTTTGTCTTCATCAAGTATGCACATACAATAGTAACACTCCTGGACGCTCCTGCCATACTATTCAGAATGGGTATAAAGTCAGGTTTCTTTCTTTGTTCAGTACTCTGGCCTAGAACGCTTATGCATAGGTGGATTTTAAACTAAATGTCTTTTTTTTTTTTTTTTTTTTTTTTTTTTACCAGTGTACCAAGACCTTGCCGCCTTTGTCAATAGCATTATGAATAAAAGTATAAGTTGCTGGAAAGTGTTCAATCAAGTTGGTTTCATCCATATCAGGAACCGCAATGATCTTGTAGATGAAGTCTCCAGGGAAGCGAGGGGAGTTAGGAAAGGTCACTTGGACAATATGTGTGATGCCCTTCTCCTTCATGTATTCGCGCGACTCTGTAGGCTGCGATCTATCGTTTCCCGAAGATAGATCTCCAGATATTAATGACAGCGGAAGGGATTGGACTAAATAGGACGTTTATTTTATTTTTATTTTTTACCCGCTAAGAAAGAGACCAGGAATGATCTCTTGCATATCACGAATAATGCTGGCATCAAAGAGTGGTTTATCAAACATGTTAGGGAATGAGAGAAGCAGTGAGAAGAATGTTTTTTTTTTTTTTTTTTTTTTTTTTAAAGCTTCCAAAACAAGACAGGTGACTGCATACTTGGCTTAGAATGAATGCTTTTTTTTTTTTGCATCAATCGCTGACATCCTACATTTACCTCACTCATCCTCTTTCTCTCGAGCACCAATGGGATGTCAGATAAAAAAGTAACTCCACACCAGTTGCGGAAAGGGTTGACATATGTATCACAAGGTCCGGACTTTATGCGTATGCTCACGGGTCAATCGTCCAGTGCAGCCGATACGGATCCTCGAAATCCTTATAGAAAACCAATTGGGATTGAAGCCAAGTTCCAAACAGAAGAACAGGACGATGATGATGAGCCAGCACACGATCTCTTAAATGAGCGCGAAGAAGAGCGCCCTACAGTCGTTGTCCTCAAAGATAGCAAGCACTTGGATGAACGGCAGGTTCGAAATGTGCTGAAAAACCTCCCTCCAGGTAGGAGTAATTCTTTCGTTTAGATTTCTATAATTCTTTACAGTATATTAACATCTCGTTTTACTTCACTTTTATCTTGTAATCGGTAGGATTGTCAGAAGCGAAGATCAAGAAACGATTAGAAAAGGAGATGGAAAAACTCGAAAAAAATCTGTCTGGAGGTTCTCATGAGGGACAAGAGAAGGAAGAGGAAGAAGAAGAGGAAGAAGAAGAGGAAGAAGAAGAGCAAGAACCAGTGGATGCCAATGGAAAGATCTTGTTTCGAAAGCCTAAATCATCCAAATTTAAATCTAACAAGGGATCTACCAACACCACCTCTTCAAAAAGTAACAATAAGACTTTTGATAAGACGTTGTTGACTGATCTTGAAGCAAAAGCAAAAGCAAATGCAATGAAACAAAAAACTGCTGGGTCTCTTTCAACTACGTCTACAGCATCCAACTCAAAATCCACAGATAAAAGAAAAGAAAAGGATGAAAGTGATAGCATAAGTAACGCGGGGATGAAAAAGAAAAAGCAAAAGACTGCTAAGACAACGTCATTACTTAGCTTTAATGAAGATGAAGAGTGAATACGACGTGGTTATCCCTTGACCTAGTCTCCAAATCACTCCAATATAGAAATAAATTTTTACTTTGGGTCACCACAGTTAGTGTTGATAACTTGGGCGCTGGAGGGGTGTCGGGCGGGCTATATCCAAGTTCGACCAATGACGACGAGATTATGGGCACCGACGCTATCACGGCCCATCCACCTTTAGCACCCATCACGTAAACAAATACAGGGCTGACTCGCCGCTTTAGCTAGCCCGGCTTTTGATGGGGAAAGCGCTTGAAGGCTGCGTGCTTCGAGAGCAGCTCCCTGGCGCCCTTAAACTGCCCATCACCATATACAAACATAGTTAACCTCGAGGGGCCCTTGTTCGCTTCTCCCTAAGAATCGGACGCGTTCAATGCACCATGGACAGCTCAAACTTTCTCAGTCCTTGGTGCCTTAGAATGTTCCCGGGACACTTCCTCAAATGCTTGGGCCTATAAAATCCGATCAGCGCGCCATGTAGATACCACTATCTCCCAAGTCCTTTCTTGTATACTTCGACTGACACAAAGGTATTGTCAGGTAAGGAACTCTCTAGTTCCCGGATACTTGGCAACTCAACGCATCCTCTAGCGATGTTTTCGTACTGGTACAAGGTGATCCAAATAGTTAAGTTCCTCTCAATGGACTGCGGACGATGCCAGCAAAGGACCAAATTAGTCATATTTACACCGATCGCAGCTCCATACTCCTTGGTTTAGTACTATCGGATAGTATTAAAGATGACACCTTGTTTTTTATCTGGAAAGGTCCGACACTCGCTGTTATTTTGGCCAAACCGCCAATTTGTCGTTTATGGTAGTGATACCAAGTATGTCGAGGACCACATCCTATAGTTAGCTCTTTATTTTTTACTTGTTTTATTTTTCCTTCTGCCCTTCAGATATTCCTTCAAGCCCTTCTTTCTAATCAAAGCATTCCGAACCCTTTGGTATCAAGCGCTTTTTCTGATCAAGGGACCATGCACACACCCACCACATCTATACAAATCATGCGACACAAGGCATATAGGCAGTTTCTATGAAATATAAAACTTGATGACGTAAATGAAGAAATAAGCACTTCGGATAACCAATTTGCTTCTCCGTTCGAGTTTAAAAAAAAAACCAGACCTGACAGATACGCGACATTAACTGGTTAATGTACCTCTATATCGCTCTGCGCGGCTCTAGGAGACACCACTGATATCATTATAAAGATAGAGGTGGAACATAGGCCCCCTAGCTTGCTTCCCTCACTTCTTGTTTGCGACACAGCTTTCAGCTTTTTATTAGCGCCTTTACGGGTCATTTTCTATTTACAAGGAGTTCATTTTCTATTTACAAAGATCTCTGTATCTCGATTGTGTATAGTTCATCAGAGGCGCGCTACTGTCCTCATTAAACTCCTATGTTCCGGTTCTGCCTTAGAAGATGACAGTGATAACGATGGTGGTGTTGATGGTACTGATGATGGTCGAGACTGGGTTAGTGGACGTGGTACAGTGCCATCAGTCCCAATGATTGTGCAAATATCAAATACCGGAGGAGAGCCAAAACCCATTCCCTTGCCACATCTAGCCATCTCTGCAGCAAAGGCATGTGCTCTTCGGCAAAAGTCGATCTCAGCGTCGGACATCATGGTCATAGGTGAGATTGAGGTCCTGACAACTTCTAGTGACTTTGAGAACAAGATGGCTTCACTCTTCTTTTGGTCTTCAAGACCACCGCAGGTTATCGTTGTATCGGAAGTAGTAGGGCCAGTCAATTGAGGCATTTTCGGCAAGTATGACTCCTCAGGAGAACTGGCAGTTGCAAACTCGATCCACACAGCTTGAACTTTCTTTGCAAAGGTCCTTTCGTCTTCATTAAGGATCCTCTGTGTATGCGAGTTGTTGCCAAATGTGAAGAAAAGGTCTGTTCCATGAAAAATGCCAAGGCCTGGCATCACCTTACCCAGCTTTTCAACTCCTCTTTCGAAACGATACTGGGTCAAATGACATGACGGATGAGTAGCGATGGCTTCACAGACCTGATAGACTGGATATTCAAAATTGTAGGATGACAAAGTATTGACGACGGTCGCCATGACCTCTTTGTTTGTCGCAGGGACCCCAAATAGCTGATCAAAAAGATGATAATCGGCTGGAGGACAGATGCGCTCCTTAAAAAATGAAAAATCCGCTATTGTAGTTGCACCGCATGTTTTCAAGAATATGGAAGCTGTTTTTTTTTTTTTTTTTTTATAAAAAGAATAAAAATAGAGGATGAGTGAAAGGCACATCAGGAGCTAATGTGCATGATGGGAGATTTGCAGACAGTATAAGAGTCATGGTTAAAAGCAATAACTTACCTTCATTGGTACAGGTTCCTGTTAAGACCCACTCCAGGTTTGGATTATATTTCCTAAAGTCACATACATCTAGTTGTGCGTTCTCCTTACAGATAATACCATCGATTGAGGGCCTGAAGAAGACTAACGGAGTATCATTCAGCAGCTCTGCAATGACATCTGCAGGCACTGCACGTAGCCATGCTACCTTCTCCAATGGCTCTAGATCATCTGGCATCTGAAGCGACCTGCACAGATGATCAAACACACATTGGCCTTCATACTCAGGACGTACAGCTGGCAGCATTGATACTCCACCAGATTGCATGATCGCACGCTGGTACAGGCCATGACATTGAGGGAGCATATTGAAATAGGATGCAGCTGTAGAGCCTGCGGATTGACCCATCAGAGTCACTCTCTTTGGATTACCAGAGAAAGCACTAATATGTTCTTGAACCCACTCCAGACCCATGATCAGATCCAAGAGCCCCCAATTGCCAACAGAGTTGTGGTACCAAGTACGAAGCTGTGGTGGAATAGAAGAAGCATATTGCTGAGCATCAAGGACCATCTCTTTAGAGGTGAGGAAACCAAAGTAGTTAATACGATAGTTGAGACTGACTATCACAACAGGCTTTTGTAGCTCAATTGCGTTTATGACGATTGGAGTGCAATCTATATAGATATAGCATATTAAGAGTATTAAGCATTAGCTTCAGTAAGTAAAGGTGGGAATGTCCTTCATACATCAGCATTCTCTCCTCAGTCGACAGTTTGGTTCATTAAATTACCAAAAATTGGACATGATACTCCTCCGTTCTTAAAGCCACCTCCAAAGGCCCAAACAATCACTGGCAGATCTGCATCTTCAGCGGTGGCAATGGCAGGCATATAGACATTACAGCCAAGGCAGTCATATTCATCCATATGTGTATTGTAGTCCATTTTCGAAGGATTTCCACTGAAGATAGCAGCCTTGGTCTTGGTTTCTTGTGGTGATAGTGGGCTATTTTTTTTTTTTATTTTTTTTTCGAAATTAGGTATTTGTATTAGCCACCGATACGCTCATTTCATCGCGCGGTAGGTGACCCCTATACCATTGATCCCTTCATCCAAAGCACGGCTCCTTACCCTGGTGTAGTAGCATCACGGACACCTTGCCATGACTGTGCTTTGACAGCAGGACGCCATCTCTCAGGTACAGTAGCTACAGGCACATTCAAGAACTTGGCTACTTGACCTGTTTTGTCGAGCGTTCCTCTGACTGTGCCAAGGGTTGGGATAGTGATCTCGGGGTAGAGACAGGAGGCTCGTAGTCCGCTATAGTAAGCCATGACCGAAGCAAGGATAAAATAGTGAAGAAAGGTGAAGGTATAGAAGGAATGAAGAAATAGTTCAAGATCAGGACGAAGCAATATACTAGATATTTAAAGGGGTGGATCGAAAAAAAACCTGTTTATATTTTGAACAATTTCTAATGCATTCCTATCTCCTAGACAAATTAAGAAACTAAGGGCCAGTTGAAACTACAAATAATGTTTACAATACGTGGGGTTTCTAGGGCTGCAGCAGGGGCCGCAAGCCCTGGGTAAAATCAAGAACGGCAAAAAGTAGCCTCTCAATCGTATCCAGTCGCGCACCTCTTGTGGTTATTGTCTTTGAATTTCTTTTGCTTGACGCAACAAAGAAGGATAATTTGTGAATCGTCATGTTTTGAAGGACCAGTTTATGCGATGTTTGACCTGTCTTCGCTTAAATATGGTTATTCTTGAATTGGATATTTTACAGAAGAATTGGTTTTTCAAATTTATTATAGGTATGACCGACTATAGGTGCCAAGATACAGGGATTTGAGGATCTCATGAGGTGTAAAGTAACTAGGAAGGCAAAAGAGCAAGCAACTACGATCAACTCTGTCAAAGTGCTAACTGTGACAACTCCTTCCGCCCATTTTTAAGCTTTACTATATAATCTTCCACTTTTACAGAGACGACACTTCCTCTCGATTATTTATGGAAGGTTGACCCAGCCTTCCTTAATTCAGTTTGACTCAACTCAATTACACTTTTACTTTATACAGTGCCGTTCATCTAGTCACGAAAATTTTTTCAGAAAAATTTGGCCTGAGGGAGAAGAGGAGCAACACCCCAGTTATCAATCTCAGGTAAAAAGTAGCTCTAAATTCTTCTTCACTTGCCATTTCTCTTTGGTAAAATAGAGGGTTTTTGTCGATATGACTTCTTCTTCTTGAGCTACCATCAAAAAAAAATGAACCATTTTCATATGTGAGGGGCAAAACGCTACATAAATCTCGAAATATGATTGGCTAAACTTTATTTGTTATGACATCAATAAAGGGTGTGATACATATAAAAACTATTCAGTGGACTGTAATTTTAAATCCCCAATTTGCTGGGATACGTCGATGAGACCTATATTTTTTCACTTGTTGCTCAGCAACTTGGCCAGACATATTTTTTCGATATGCGTCCATATATCGAAAGCACTTCCTTGCGTATTTTCGAATGGTGATGATGTCCACTGAGCTTAAAGCCTTTGGGAAAAGAGATATTGCTTCAATAATACCAAATAAATCTATGCTTTTGATTGTATTCGCCAATAAAAAAATAAAAAAAAGTTCAGAATGATAAATTTGAAACGATTTATACATACTTTGTTGCTGATTATGGTTATTGGTAGAACTCTCTGCAGGCTCCTTTGATATCCCAATAAAGCCAATTGAAGTGAGAGATGGTGTGCCCATGGCAGCCGTTTTAAGTCTTTGATTCTTGCGGAAAATTGCAGATCGAGAAGTTCCTGCATATGCTTTTGTGGTCTTCACTGCTTTGGCTGCTTCTTGCATCTGGGGCTGCAGTTTCTGCCAGAAATCGTTGTTGGAGCACACCCTCATAATCCAATCTTCCTCTTCTGTCTCATCCCCCAACTCTCCCTCAGTCCCTGGATCGTTCTTTATATCATCCCAGTCCTGAATATGCTGAGGTTTGACTAAATCCTCCCCGAGTTCAACGCTGCTAAGCTCTACAACAACTGAGTCATCTACGATTTCCATCTGCAAATTCTGTGCTGCTTCGATAGCTCTGCGCTTTGCTTTTTTTTTTTGCGAGCATCGCGCAAGTGTCTCTTTGTTTTATTTAAAGCACCCATTGTATCTTCGATATGCTGCAGTTGTATAAGTGATGATTGATGTACACCAACTTGGTGGCCATTAGCACTTCATAAACAATGTGGCTGCGACGACCCCAAAACGCAACAAATTAAGGTTTTTCCCTAATTTTATTCGTGACTAGATGAACGGCACTATAGTTGACATGGTTATACTAAAGAAGGATAGGGTCGGATGGTTTGGGTGGGACTCAAATACAACCACTTTCTAAGTGCAACGCAAAAGAAATGTGTGGTGGAGATTACTCACTGACAAACTTCCCTTCGGTGTTTGCCTCCATCGGTACATGCCTGATAAGTTCCCTGTAACTTGTCTAAATTGCCTAATATGTAGGAAGTTCCCTGAGATGGAATGACACCTGCTCTTCAGCTCTCCTAAAAAGCTAGAAGTGTGGCAAGTTACAATGAAAAAATTTGTCAGAGAAAACGGTTGGTGAGCCTTCCTACTAGAATCGCTGTTCTATTCCAACCTGACGAAGATCAATCCACTCAGCGATTTACCTACCTTCTTACTCCTTAGTATCATCCTAACAACAAACTGGAAATGTCACCATGCCTGTGTCCACGGTATTGACATTGCTTTGGATCAGGTCATCAAGCAGCTAGAAAAAAAAGAAAGCTGAAGCTGAACTCTCTTTGCCCGGCTAACCTGCCCTCGATCTCTAACATCAATATATTTTAAATGTATTCTAATTTTTGCCTTGCCTGTGAGGTTATTTTTCTCGGTTAACTGGTTCTTTTCTAGCTTTGCTTTATTCTGGTGGAGTGATGGAGATATAGAAATATTATACACACTAAAACAAAAAAAAAAAAAAAAAAAAAAAAAAAAAAAAGTGCAACACAAAAGGTACGCCCAGAGCCTTGCACTGAGAGAGGGTCGACTGTTCCTGGCCCTCACGTTATTCCTATATCTTGATAATTCTTTGGGGTGACTGAGACAGCCATCGTTGCCTCTATGTAGTAGGAAGCCTTCTCGTCCCATCCTCTCTTCTGAAATGGAAGAGTGTTCAAGAATGAGAAATCCATTAGAGTTGAGACCTTTATAGTTCCTGCTGAACTGGAGATTCGGAGCTGAGCCGCTCATACTCTTCTATAATGTGGCATGTACACCGCTCTCGAGAAGACCATCCTTTGTCCTTAATGAAAACTTGCCAGCCAAGCTCCTAGGCGATCTCGAGCCTTTCTAACACTATTGCAAAAGAATATACCGGAACCGAGCCGTCGATGAACTTATATTGAAATTGATATTCCAAATCGGATAGTTAAGAGGCAATCCCTATTCCAGGGACAGATCCCGCTTCAGATGTCATCGGCCTTTATTGAAACCAGGCCATCGAGTGGCAATCCCCCTCCCCTCCCCTCAACGCGAAATATAATCATCTATGACATAGACACCATCTCTGTTCGCGTTGAAGACGGAAAAATTGCTTGAGGACTTCTGAACACGTGCGAAGTATGGTAATGATGGAAATAACAGGAATAATAATGACTACATAGGAGCTGGGGGGGTTTATTTGGTTGGATGAAGAATTCCGAGAGATGGCAAATCAAAGGTTTCTTTCTTCAAATATACTAGATAAAACAATCGTTATTCCCTGGAAAGTTACGGCACTCGGTGTTATTTTGGCCAAACTGCCAATTTGTCATTTATGGTAGTGATACCAAGTATGTCGAGGACCACATCCTATAGTTAGCTCTTTATTTTTTACTTGTTTTATTTTTCCTTCTGCCCTTCAGATATTCCTTCAAGCCCTTCTTTCTAATCAAAGCATTCCGAACCCTTTGGTATCAAGCGCTTTTTCTGATCAAGGGACCATGCACACACCCACCACATCTATACAAATCATGCGACACAAGGCATATAGGCAGTTTCTATGAAATATAAAACTTGATGACGTAAATGAAGAAATAAGCACTTCGGATAACCAATTTGCTTCTCCGTTCGAGTTTAAAAAAAAAACCAGACCTGACAGATACGCGACATTAACTGGTTAATGTACCTCTATATCGCTCTGCGCGGCTCTAGGAGACACCACTGATATCATTATAAAGATAGAGGTGGAACATAGGCCCCCTAGCTTGCTTCCCTCACTTCTTGTTTGCGACACAGCTTTCAGCTTTTTATTAGCGCCTTTACGGGTCATTTTCTATTTACAAGGAGTTCATTTTCTATTTACAAAGATCTCTGTATCTCGATTGTGTATAGTTCATCAGAGGCGCGCTACTGTCCTCATTAAACTCCTATGTTCCGGTTCTGCCTTAGAAGATGACAGTGATAACGATGGTGGTGTTGATGGTACTGATGATGGTCGAGACTGGGTTAGTGGACGTGGTACAGTGCCATCAGTCCCAATGATTGTGCAAATATCAAATACCGGAGGAGAGCCAAAACCCATTCCCTTGCCACATCTAGCCATCTCTGCAGCAAAGGCATGTGCTCTTCGGCAAAAGTCGATCTCAGCGTCGGACATCATGGTCATAGGTGAGATTGAGGTCCTGACAACTTCTAGTGACTTTGAGAACAAGATGGCTTCACTCTTCTTTTGGTCTTCAAGACCACCGCAGGTTATCGTTGTATCGGAAGTAGTAGGGCCAGTCAATTGAGGCATTTTCGGCAAGTATGACTCCTCAGGAGAACTGGCAGTTGCAAACTCGATCCACACAGCTTGAACTTTCTTTGCAAAGGTCCTTTCGTCTTCATTAAGGATCCTCTGTGTATGCGAGTTGTTGCCAAATGTGAAGAAAAGGTCTGTTCCATGAAAAATGCCAAGGCCTGGCATCACCTTACCCAGCTTTTCAACTCCTCTTTCGAAACGATACTGGGTCAAATGACATGACGGATGAGTAGCGATGGCTTCACAGACCTGATAGACTGGATATTCAAAATTGTAGGATGACAAAGTATTGACGACGGTCGCCATGACCTCTTTGTTTGTCGCAGGGACCCCAAATAGCTGATCAAAAAGATGATAATCGGCTGGAGGACAGATGCGCTCCTTAAAAAATGAAAAATCCGCTATTGTAGTTGCACCGCATGTTTTCAAGAATATGGAAGCTGTTTTTTTTTTTTTTTTTTTATAAAAAGAATAAAAATAGAGGATGAGTGAAAGGCACATCAGGAGCTAATGTGCATGATGGGAGATTTGCAGACAGTATAAGAGTCATGGTTAAAAGCAATAACTTACCTTCATTGGTACAGGTTCCTGTTAAGACCCACTCCAGGTTTGGATTATATTTCCTAAAGTCACATACATCTAGTTGTGCGTTCTCCTTACAGATAATACCATCGATTGAGGGCCTGAAGAAGACTAACGGAGTATCATTCAGCAGCTCTGCAATGACATCTGCAGGCACTGCACGTAGCCATGCTACCTTCTCCAATGGCTCTAGATCATCTGGCATCTGAAGCGACCTGCACAGATGATCAAACACACATTGGCCTTCATACTCAGGACGTACAGCTGGCAGCATTGATACTCCACCAGATTGCATGATCGCACGCTGGTACAGGCCATGACATTGAGGGAGCATATTGAAATAGGATGCAGCTGTAGAGCCTGCGGATTGACCCATCAGAGTCACTCTCTTTGGATTACCAGAGAAAGCACTAATATGTTCTTGAACCCACTCCAGACCCATGATCAGATCCAAGAGCCCCCAATTGCCAACAGAGTTGTGGTACCAAGTACGAAGCTGTGGTGGAATAGAAGAAGCATATTGCTGAGCATCAAGGACCATCTCTTTAGAGGTGAGGAAACCAAAGTAGTTAATACGATAGTTGAGACTGACTATCACAACAGGCTTTTGTAGCTCAATTGCGTTTATGACGATTGGAGTGCAATCTATATAGATATAGCATATTAAGAGTATTAAGCATTAGCTTCAGTAAGTAAAGGTGGGAATGTCCTTCATACATCAGCATTCTCTCCTCAGTCGACAGTTTGGTTCATTAAATTACCAAAAATTGGACATGATACTCCTCCGTTCTTAAAGCCACCTCCAAAGGCCCAAACAATCACTGGCAGATCTGCATCTTCAGCGGTGGCAATGGCAGGCATATAGACATTACAGCCAAGGCAGTCATATTCATCCATATGTGTATTGTAGTCCATTTTCGAAGGATTTCCACTGAAGATAGCAGCCTTGGTCTTGGTTTCTTGTGGTGATAGTGGGCTATTTTTTTTTTTTATTTTTTTTTCGAAATTAGGTATTTGTATTAGCCACCGATACGCTCATTTCATCGCGCGGTAGGTGACCCCTATACCATTGATCCCTTCATCCAAAGCACGGCTCCTTACCCTGGTGTAGTAGCATCACGGACACCTTGCCATGACTGTGCTTTGACAGCAGGACGCCATCTCTCAGGTACAGTAGCTACAGGCACATTCAAGAACTTGGCTACTTGACCTGTTTTGTCGAGCGTTCCTCTGACTGTGCCAAGGGTTGGGATAGTGATCTCGGGGTAGAGACAGGAGGCTCGTAGTCCGCTATAGTAAGCCATGACCGAAGCAAGGATAAAATAGTGAAGAAAGGTGAAGGTATAGAAGGAATGAAGAAATAGTTCAAGATCAGGACGAAGCAATATACTAGATATTTAAAGGGGTGGATCGAAAAAAAACCTGTTTATATTTTGAACAATTTCTAATGCATTCCTATCTCCTAGACAAATTAAGAAACTAAGGGCCAGTTGAAACTACAAATAATGTTTACAATACGTGGGGTTTCTAGGGTTACAGCAGAAACTGTAGCGCTGTTTTTGAACTTTATTTTGTGAAAAAAAAAAAAAAAAAAAAACATTTAGCCCGTTTCATTTGGTCATGATACCTTATATTTTTTGAATACTTTCGAGTGTATTGGCAGCCAATTGGCTCGCTTGTTGCGAGTATTGTTGCAAGTCCGTCACGTAGTGAAATGCCACCAGAACAATTCAATCATCGTTTTTAGATTAAAAATATAAGGTATCATGACCAAATGAAATTGGCGATATATAGAAGGATCATTTGCAGAACATCATATTAGATGCCGGGACATTAGGATCGAGGAGCTCATGAGAAAAATGGAAGTCATTAGGAAAATCAAAGAACAAGCAACTCTATTTACAGCACACTCCTGTGGGGTATTTGACAACCTCAGTCCACCAACGAAATCTCGCCTAGAGTCCTCCTTGAAGTCGTATTTTGTATACGTAAATAGAGCATCAAGCTTAAACTAGCCTGGTACCCTGACATAACCATCATGCCATCCAAACCGGCTATTGAACCTGCTCCTTCGCCAGCGTGAGAGTCGCTCGCATATATATAACAATTTATCAAGATAAGCTTAAAGAAAAATCAATGACAATTAGGTGCATGAAATTGTTTACCTTGAGTTCTCGCCAGAAAGTTTTTTTTTTCTGATAACAAGGACCCTCAGAGTCATGGAATTTATTTGAGTTCTCGTCAGAAAGTCTTTGGCCAAAATATATATTTTTAGGATCTGCCTTTGAATCAGATACAATGGCTGGATTGATTCGGTGGCTTATTGTCTGAAATGGAGGTTATTTTATCTCTTATATTAAAATCTCTTATCTCTTATATTAAAATATTACAAAAAATTATGTGACAGCCAAAAAAGGTGACTTTAAAAAGGCGAAGTGACTGGTGGGATACGATGAAACAAAAATAAACAAAAGAGAAACAAAATAAACGATGAAACAAAAAAAAAAAGCATGTATCATGAAGCTTCTTTGATAATTGGCTTCCTCAATCTCTCCACCTCCGAACCTAAATTTTTTAATTTGATTTTTTGCCACACGCTCCGCACGCTCCACAAACTCCACACGTTCTACACGTTCCACAACTTCACCAAATCCATCGGGTGTACAACATATTATCCAAGCACGACGAGCTCGGCGGGCTGTGCAACGTATCAAAGAACGACCCGTAGGCGCTGAAGAGGAACTAATACAAAGCCAACAGGCAGTAAAGGGTTGTATGATGGGTTCTACAGCTCCATCGACGAATACACCCTGCTTGCTTTACTCGAACAAGAGGAGAAAGAAGAGAAAAAGAGTGAGAGTGAAGAGGAGGAAAGAAAACTTGAAGAAAGAAAGGCAAGAAAAACTGGGATTGCAGCTGAGATTGGCTGCAGGGAATGCTTGAACATCGGCTGCTCTTCTCAATATAAGTGTATTTGTCCTTCTCTGGAGCAGCCAGCCCCCGCAGGAGAATCCATAATGACTGGTCAAATGAAAATCATTCTCATTTTGACCAGTTTTTATTTCTGGCGGTGAAATAGAATAAAAATGTCAAAACTAAATGTGGTAGAGGATATAGTAGGCAGGCAGCGCCTTTTCTGTCTTTTTCACCCAATACAATTACAATATTGTCAATTTGAATTTTTCTCTCAGCACCTAGATTTCATAAACACATGGTCCGCACCTGTAGTCTGTGCAACAGTGAAAAGCATGATAGGCGGCTCTGCCCTCAAAAAACAGAGCGTGTTGAGCTTCGCACAAACCTTCCGTCCGCTTCACGCCTGGAGCAGGTTTTGGTCCCACGAGAGGGTAAAGAAGTTATTATTTTTATTTTTATTTTATTTTGTTTTTTATTTTATTTATTTAGCCCTCTATTATTTTATTCTCATCATATATATATAAGGGCAAATATTGTTAGCCAGCCCCAAAGGCCGCATATGTGTAGCACTTGCAAGTGCCCAGGACATAATCGAAGTACATGTCCGAGTGCTGAAAGGTGGGCTCTACGTACTTTAAATATTTCATATAATCATACTCTTCCTCGCCATCGATATGACTTTATAACGGATTATTACTGTCCATTGATCCATTGATTTAGCAGCCATATCCAAATGAAGCCAATCATGGAGCAGTGCGCGAGCGAAGCTTTGACCATGACCTTGATATCGAAAATGAGAGACCCACGCAAAGGCGAAGGTGAGCTACATTTTGTTCTCTCTTTATTTCCTTTTTTTTTTTTTATTTTTTATTTTTTATTTTTTATTTTTTTAATTTTTTTAATTTTTTTAATTTTTTTAATTTTTTCGTACTATATCATATTATATGCATTTTATGTAACATCAGTCTTCAGTTACTCATTAAGCAGATATTTCCGGATATCGAAAATGCTAGACTCCTTCCTGAGATGCTCATTGAGCGCGCTATCTTGAGTTCCCTTAATGAGGATGTCGATAAACTGAATCAACTAGCCACCAGTATGCTCTGTAGCACCCAGCAGTCAGTCAGTTATATTGGTTAAGATAGCCTTCAAGACCCCGAAGCAGCAGCTACGGCTCACTATCCTGTGGAATACCTGAACAACCTCTCCCCGCCAGGCTTGCCTCCGTTTAAACTGGAGTTAAAGGTTGGTCAGCCCGTCATCCTTCTTCGCAATTTGAACCCAAAGCGCGGACTATGTAATGGTGCTCGCATGATTGTACGTGCATTAGGCACAAGAATGATCCAGGCCGAGATTATGAAAGGACAATTTCAAGGAGAGTGTGTCTTTATTCCTCGCATACCGCTTACGACACTTGATGATCATTCTTCTCCGATCATGTTCTGCAGACGACAATTTCCAGTCAAGCCTGCCTTCGCCATGACCGTCAACAAGTCCCAGGGACAGACACTCAAACATGTTGGTGTTTATCTTCCTCAAGATGTTTTCAGTCATGGTCATCTCTACGTTGCTTTGTCACGGTGTACAGACCCAAATAATCTTAAGGTACTTATCGCGAACGGCAAGGTAAGAGATAGGCTAGGAACATACACACGGAACATTGTCTTCAAAGATGCTTTATAGCCACATTGTCTTTTGATTGTCATTTACTGCGTTACCTCCTCGCCGTCGTTAATCTATCAAATGTTGTGATTACCAGATATTCTCCCTCTTGATTGTAGTTTCGACTGTATTTTATTTTGTATATTTTGTATTCTACTTTATTGCGTTTTATCTACTATATTTTAGCTTTGTATTTTAGTTTTGTAATAAAAAAAACGTGCAGTTTACACATAATTTTTACAGTAGTAAAAGGCCAAAGGCCTACGTGAGTTTATTGTCTTCATTCCTATGTCAAAATATAAACCTTTTGCTGCTGTAGACAATGTTTCTTTTTGTTGTCTTACGAGGCTAAGCATTGAATTTTCTAACGAGGCAAGAGCCGGCCGTGGCGAAGCCACGGTCTCCGGCTCGTTCAATTTAAAATATTTGTTGACGACTTTCTGGGGGCTCTACGGGATTTTTTTTTTTTTTTTTTTTTGGCTAAGTCATGCATGTCGTAGGGGAATGGCCTGCCCGTTCCCTCAATTATCTTATTCCTCAATGCCGTCCAAAGTTCCCTCTTTTCTCTCTTCCTCGCCTTCGTCTCTCTTTTCTTTTCATTTTTCTCACTTTAAATAAATTTAAGTTTTTTGATAACGAGGGTCCACGAGATTATGTAATAAAAGTTAAATTAAAATTAAAATAAATTAAAAATAAAAATAAAGTAAAAATAAAAATATAAACAACCACAGCAATAGGAAAAAAGTCTGCTCCCCAGCTACACAAGGAGTCTTCGAATTCATGAAAAAAACATGGACTGTCACTCAGGATGGTCACGAACGTCTGTTTCCTGTCACAAAAGCAAGATACTCAGGAGATTGTTCAATGCTATTACAGAGTTAATGGACCTACTGAAGCTGTCGATTTTGTCCTCGAACATATCAAATGCAAGCTGGGACGAGCCTCTCAGGATAAAAGCCTTGCATTTCCCAGCGAATGGCATTGCACAGGGAAAGATCGAAAAGTTCGAGCTCAAGTACATTAGTGAAGTTTTCAAGGAGAAAGCACCTATCCTTCACCAGTTCTTATCAGACATTGCGTATACAAACAGTAGTTGTTTGAAGGGCCCAGCGCTAACTGTGCCTGTGATTGTCAACGTATTTGTACTCCTGTGTAACTGTAGCTACAGCTATCTTCAATTGATGTTAGGGTTGTATCCGCCCGTCAAGAGGTTTTGTAGAAGATCACCACATTCTTGGCGTGCGCAGGCTTGTCAGTCTCTTATCAATCCCTCATCAGTAGTCAATATCCAAAGACGCGCTCAACCGTGTCCAGGGCAAAGTGAAGGATAGATCCTTTCTAATTGTCTATGACAGTGTAAATACGGCCCACCGCAAGCACAATCAAAAGCTCGACAACCAGGGCCTGTTTGGAAGCGGAGCTGCAGCGACAATCATTATCACAAGCATAGCTCAGAAGAAGAGCAGCATACCAACCCCACTCGTTGCCTCTGTTCTTGCTATTTAATGCCTACTCTTGCGAACGAAAAGCATCTTCGAGAGATAATGCGATCCCAACCCTAAAGAGGACCTTTGAGAGTTACAAAGAGATATCGATACCTGTTCTATCGAAGTTGCCTCTTCCGCTTAAAAAAATGAGGATTTTCCCAGGATCGTTAGCACATTATACAGTAAAGTTAAGGCGGAAGCGAGTGATTCTGATCCATGCAGTAAACGAGTTCCTCCTTCATACGTTTGATGCACTGGTAATTCATGCATGGAGGCTTGTTCCGGATTGGGAGGGCCTAGATGAAGGCACTATGTTTTCCCCGCAAGTGTGCTGCAAGAGGCCAACGAGCAGCATGCGGACAGTATCCTGGATAAGCTCTTAGATAAAGCCAATCGACCCTAGCTCAACGGATCTGTGACTAATAATGCTGCTCTATTTATAAGATATATGCTTATCTTCATAGAATCTTCATATCTCATCAAGACTGGGGGCGTTGGACGCATTAGGGAGGCTCTAGTGAATGCAGGGTTTGTGAATATCGCGCCCGGTATGCTTTTCAAAGGAAGCATTTTCTTCAGTTCTATTTCCTCTCATAAGATATTAATATTGAAAGCTTTGTTTTTATATAGTTATTTTAGATGCACTATATGATCAAACCTGTTACGGTAGGAAGAGAGAGAGCGAAGATAATGCTTCCCGACATAACCGGACCATGATCTCTTCGAAATACAGCTTGATTTTATTTCACTTATAGAAAAGAGAGTTGTGGGTATGCATGTTCACCGATCCTTGTCGCCACCAAGGCCGCTAATGTGTTGGTAGCCTCGATAGAAGTTGCTGTAACGGCGGGTGTAGCAGCAATACCCATACCAACTTATTCTTCAGTAATTTTTTTAGGAGCTCTGCCCACAATGCTTCACTCTCCTCCGATATATTGGGGAGATGTTGCTCTTGCCAACATCGTAGCTCCACTTTTCCACTACCATAAGACTTCTTTCCACTCCTTCCATAATTATACTTCTGCATCTATGCACAACTCCATGATGCAGCTCTGGCCTTTGCGGCAACGCCTCGGAATCTAGTGGTGGCTCCTATGGCTCTGAGTGGCGCAACAGTAGCTCTTTGTCAAGGGCTGGCAAGATGATTGCAAGGAAAGGTAAGTAGTTGAGAAACAAGAATAGGAATGAGCTTAAGGACTAGAATAGATTCAGGAATAGTTTTATTGCAGACTAGGGTTTTCTATGTTACAAGTCTACGATATTTATACTTGTTTGGCTGGAGCGGAGACGCGTTCTAAGAACTCTAAATAAAGCTTACTCAAAATACTTCCTAATGACTTTTATCATATGCGGGACTCTAAGTGTTGAGTAAACTTAATACAAGGGATCCGAGGAAGATATTTGGTGCAATCTTATTTCAAGGTCCCTTGGCACCATAAGCCATGGTCATTGGTCTGTAGCTCCTCTAGAGTTCTTGGAGCTATGCACGGAACTAGAAACTAGAAGACGCGACTTGGCTTGACAGACAAAAGAAACTGCCAACAAGCAGTAGAAAGGATCGCTTCTGGCGCCACAATGCCAAGGCTCTTCCTTACAAGCTTCTTGATCATGTCACTCGCCTTGACAATATTTTCGTCAAAAACAGGTATTTACTTCTGAAGTCGTTAATGAATGGACTATCTCTCCATGCAGTGATTGCTTATACCATACGCTCTTTCTTGGCCGCCGTGTCAAGTTCTATGTTGATTAATTGCTCCGTTGAATCCTGCGTTGACCATCTCTGTGTCTGGTGTAGTCTCTAGTGGTAGGTTGACTGGTCGCTCTTGCATTTCGGGATCATAATTGTCACACAGCTCTCAACAACTTTGTGGACATCGTCAAAAAAATCATTTAAGAATACTCGACGCCAACTCTGAGTATTGACATAGGCATTGATATCATCTTCGACTCTCCCTGAAGTTCTGGCTGTGATAAGCAATATACACTCGCTGGGTTGCGTGCCGCCCGACCAAGGCGCTGGGCGAGCGATGGTATGTTATCAGGATAACCATACTACGCCACTCGCAGAACAGCACTGATATTATGTCCCATACCTGCTGCCCTGGTCGATATCAAAACATTAACGACACCGCCCTCGAATTGCTCCATTAGCCGGTTTCTTTATAACCCAGCTTACCAGGATGATAGCCAGTGGATTAATGCCAGATCTTATATGTCCGAGGCACTGAGCAGCAGAGTCAGCTTCATCTCTCGCCTGAAAGTACACAATGATTTTCTTTCCATCGTTCAAAAAGCCGAGATCCTTAATGAATGTCAACATTTTTGATGTTCTTCCTGTCGTTGCCCAACTGTGAACCTTTATTTTTTGAAAAGATTTGGAACTTGGCCAAAGTACCAATTTGTCATTTAAGGTAGTGATACCAAGTATGTCGAGGACCACATCCTATAGTTAGTTCTTTATTTTTTACTTGTTTTATTTTTCCTTCTGCTCTTCAGATATTCCTCCAAGCCCTTCTTTCTAATCAAAACATTCCGAACCCTTTGGTATCAAGCGCTTTTTCTGATCAAGGGACCATGCACACACCCACCACATCTATACAAATCATGCGACACAAGGCATATAGGCAGTTTCTATGAAATATAAAACTTGATGACGTAAATGAAGAAATAAGCACTTCGGATAACCAATTTGCTTCTCCGTTCGAGTTTAAAAAAACCAGACCTGACAGATACGCGACATTAACTGGTTAATGTACCTCTATATCGCTCTGCGCGGCTCTAGGAGACACCACTGATATCATTATAAAGATAGAGGTGGAACATAGGCCCCCTAGCTTGCTTCCCTCACTTCCTGTTTGCGACACAGCTTTCAGCTTTTTATTAGCGCCTTTACGGGTCATTTTCTATTTACAAGGAGTTCATTTTCTATTTAAAAGGGTCTCTGTATCTCGATTGTGTATAGTTCATCAGAGGCGCGCTACTGTCCTCATTAAACTCCTATTTCCTGGTTCTGCCTTAGAAGAAGAGAGTGGCAATGATGGTGATGTTGATGATACTGATGATGGTCGAGACTGGGTTAGTGGACGTGGTACAGTGCCATCAGTCCCAATGATTGTGCGAATATCAAATACCGGAGGAGAGCCAAAACCCATTCCCTTGCCACATCTAGCCATCTCTGCAGCAAAGGCATGTGCTCTTCGGCAAAAGTCGATCTCAGCGTCGGACATCATGGTCATAGGTGAGATTGAGGTCCTGACAACTTCTAGTGACTTTGAGAACAAGATGGCTTCACTCTTCTTTTGGTCTTCAAGACCACCGCAGGTTATCGTTGTATCGGAAGTAGTAGGGCCAGTCAATTGAGGCATTTTCGGCAAGTATGACTCCTCAGGAGAACTGGCAGTTGCAAACTCGATCCACACAGCTTGAACTTTCTTTGCAAAGGTCCTTTCGTCTTCATTAAGGATCCTCTGTGTATGCGAGTTGTTGCCAAATGTGAAGAAAAGGTCTGTTCCATGAAAAATGCCAAGGCCTGGCATCACCTTACCCAGCTTTTCAACTCCTCTTTCGAAACGATACTGGGTCAAATGACATGACGGATGAGTAGCGATGGCTTCACAGACCTGATAGACTGGATATTCAAAATTGTAGGATGACAAAGTATTGACGACGGTCGCCATGACCTCTTTGTTTGTCGCAGGGACCCCAAATAGCTGATCAAAAAGATAGTAATCGGATGGAGCGCACATGCGCTCCTTAAAAAATGAAAAATCCGCTATTGTAGTTGCACCGCATGTTTTCAACAATATGGAGCCTTTTTTTTTTTTTTTTTATAGAATAAAAATAGAGGATGAGTAAAAGGTGCAGCAGGGGTTAATGCGCATGGTGCGGTATTTGCAGACAGTATAAGAGTCATGGTTAAAAGCAATAACTTACCTTCATTGGTACAGGTTCCTGTTAAGACCCACTCCAGGTTTGGATTATATTTCCTAAAGTCACATACATCTAGTTGTGCGTTCTCCTTACAGATAATACCATCGATTGAGGGCCTGAAGAAGACTAACGGAGTATCATTCAGCAGCTCTGCAATGACATCTGCAGGCACTGCACGTAGCCATGCTACCTTCTCCAATGGCTCTAGATCATCTGGCATCTGAAGCGACCTGCACAGATGATCAAACACACATTGGCCTTCATACTCAGGACGTACAGCTGGCAGCATTGATACTCCACCAGATTGCATGATCGCACGCTGGTACAGGCCATGACATTGAGGGAGCATATTGAAATAGGATGCAGCTGTAGAGCCTGCGGATTGACCCATCAGAGTCACTCTCTTTGGATTACCAGAGAAAGCACTAATATGTTCTTGAACCCACTCCAGACCCATGATCAGATCCAAGAGCCCCCAATTGCCAACAGAGTTGTGGTACCAAGTACGAAGCTGTGGTGGAATAGAAGAAGCATATTGCTGAGCATCAAGGACCATCTCTTTAGAGGTGAGGAAACCAAAGTAGTTAATACGATAGTTGAGACTGACTATCACAACAGGCTTTTGTAGCTCAATTGCGTTTATGACGATTGGAGTGCAATCTATATAGATATAGCATATTAAGAGTATTAAGCATTAGCTTCAGTAAGTAAAGGTGGGAATGTCCTTCATACATCAGCATTCTCTCCTCAGTCGACAGTTTGGTTCATTAAATTACCAAAAATTGGACATGATACTCCTCCGTGCTTGAAACCGCCTCCGGCCACCCATACTATCACTGGCAGATCTGCATCTTCAGCGGTGGCAACGGCAGGCATATAGATATTACATCCAAGGCAGTCATATTCATCCATATGTGTATTGTAGTCCATTTTCGAAGGATTTCCACTGAAGATAGCGGCCTTGGTCTTAGTTTGCTGTGGTGGTAGTGGGCTATTTTTTATTTTTATTTTTATTTTTTGAAATTTGGTATTTATGTTAGTCACCGATACGCTCATTTCATCGCGCGGTAGGTGACCCTTATACCATTGATCCCTTCATCCAAAGCACGGCTCCTTACCCTGGTGTAGTAGCATCACGGACACCTTGCCATGACTGTGCTTTGACAGCAGGGCGCCATCTCTCAGGTACAGTAGCTACAGGCACATTCAAGAACTTGGCTACTTGACCTGTTTTGTCGAGCGTTCCTCTGACTGTGCCAAGGGTTGGGATAGTGATCTCGGGATAGAGACAGGGGAGTTGTTCTTTGTTATAGTAGGTCATGGCTGGGATAAGGATAAAAAAGAAAAGAAAGAAATGAAAAGACTGTGAAGATGAATGTGGGCCTGGATGAAGAAAGATACTGTGTATTTTAACACAATTATGGTGAGATGGAGTGCAAAATATATCTTACGAGGTATTGTATATGAGCATCTAGTCTGGGGGCAAAATTTACAATACATAAAGTTTTAAGGAGGAGAAGGCAAGAAGTCCTGAGCTCTAGGCTATAAAAAACGTGAAAAAACGGTTCTTACGTGCCTTCGGAAGGTACTTTTGATGGTTTAATATGAATTATCCATCAAGCCAGTATCATACATGTGTAGCCTTCTTTTATTATGTGAGTCCAGAAACTACCAGCGAAACAAAGCAGTAAAATGAAGATCTGCTTTACTACTAAATGTATCTACATGTTCTTGACCTATTTCATCTTGTTCAGCATCGAATAGAGGGGATCACATTGACAATGTTATTGGATCGTGATGTGGTAAAAAATAGTAAGGTTGCCCAATAATTTCCGTATGATTTCTTTCACTTCGTTTGTTTCTTCGACAAAATGTCGAAGTAGCAATCGAATAGACCAAAAAAGGCGTCAGAGCCTTTAAATCAGAACCCCACTGGCGCTTTCTCTTTGATGGTTGTGTCACACAACATTCGCCTATTCGATTAATAGCCAACCATTTTCGTCCCTTCGAATGGACAATTTTTGCTCTATTCGATGCTGAAAAAGGCTCCGCCGGGAACAGATTGATGGAGTTTACATGTACCGCACAATAGACACTGAACTTTTTATGATGCCCAAGTTCATTTGGTGAAGCCTCTACCCTAGAGAAACCTATATCTATTTCTTTGGCGACTAGCAGAGGATCTCCTCATGAGACTCAAACAAAGTGGGTCTATATACCGGCCCACAAGTCCACAGAAGTTTGCTAAGTCGCCAAGACACCTGTACGTAGAAGCCATCTTACCTCACTACTTCTTTAATCTCAAAGATCCGCCGATTTGCCATTTATTCTGGTTTAGATTTTAACTAAGACAAAATACCGGCGAGCCTGTTCCCAGTAAAGACGCGTGGCTGAGATGCTTGCGAAATGCCTGAAGGCAAAGTAACACCAGCATCACCTCAAGCCGAGGTATCTTTAATATGATCATATAACATCATTAGAGGCCAATTTGAACTTCTTTCTCCATTTCAAAGAAATATGGAGTACATTTGTACAGAATTTGTGGAACCTACCTTTTCAGTATATAGCTAGTAAAGGGATTGATGCAAACGTGTTATACAATGCTGGGCTCAAACCTTTGAGGAAAGCTCAACTATCACGCGCACCCTGGTGACAAGACACCAGAGCCGCAACTCAGTGTTAATTATCAGTATAAATAGTCCACTACGTTATAGCTAAATAAAGTATCCTTTGACCTTCGATTCCACTTCAGATCACCTTTGATTGTTACTATTTACAATTGAGATCAGCTTCTTTTGGTTGTTCAATCGTTGGTATCTAATCTAATGTGAAAAGGGAAAGAGATCGGTTTCTTGTCAGATGTCATTGAGCTCTACGGCAAATTACTTGCACTCATTACACCTACTATGAGAAGGGTGCAGCCAAGCCTTGCCTTCCGAATGCTCATACATATGCTACCAAGCAGAAAATGTTAACCAAATACCGTTCTAAAAGAGCTATTTCTGTAGGCATTTCTAAGACGGCGCAGCTAAAGTTCCCGCCGCTTATTGAAGAATGGATCTTTTTTTTTTTTTTTTTTTTTTTTTTTTTTTTAATAAATAAGATCCGTTCAATGTTGGGACCAAGCAAAGTTTTTTTTTATTTAATGCTTAGTTGTAGCTCCACTCATATCAGTTCTTTTCTTAGAATATGAAGAAATGAAATGAAAAAGGTCTTTTATATGTCCTCGTACATGACTATATTATGCACTATTATGTTTCATTTCTTACTGGACTTTATTGCTTGCCTGCTCTTTTTTTTCTTCTTCTTGATTACAAGAGGTCAACAGCGGTTTTCTTTACTGCGTCCTTTCTTAACCGACCTAACAAATAACTTCCTTCATACAATTGTACTACGTTTGTTCAAGGTGACCTACACTCGAAAAGTGATTGCCTCGGGTCATGTATAAAAAGAGGACACAAAGCTTAATAGTAGATATACTACCTTTATTTCAAAAGCATAGTAGGATAAAAGAAAAAGTAACAGTAACAGACAGTAGTAGCAGCGTCAGCAGTAGTAACAGTGGCAACAACAATTGCAGCAGTAGTTCCCAGCAAGCAAATCATCAACGTTCGTATTCTCATATTCAAAGCCTTAAATGAAGTCGCATCTAGTAAAGGCCCCTTCCGCCCCATCAAAGTAATAAAGGAGATCCCAACTGTTAAGGATAACGGATTCCGTGTCTAAGCGACCAATATTCTCTTTGGGCCTTTGGAAGTTAAATGGTAATGTAAATAAAACGAAATAAGAAAAAAAAAACGAAACCAGAAATGCACGGCTTTGGCTGGCAACGTTGCTCCACATTTCCCTATACGTCTCTGGAGAGCATTGTACAATTATCAATCGTTCCCCGCATTAAGGAGAGAGTGCTCTATCGCCATGAACATAGGCAGCACTATCCCTCTGCCTATTTCGCGCCCTAACCGTGGCAAGCATAGAGCGCATATACATACTTAATGTCAAGAATCTACAACGACTTTTATATTCAGTATGGTACTAGCTCCCCCACCCCATACTATCACTGGCAGATCTGCATCTTCAGCGGTGGCAACGGCAGGCATATAGATATTACATCCAAGGCAGTCATATTCATCCATATGTGTATTGTAGTCCATTTTCGAAGGATTTCCACTGAAGATAGCGGCCTTGGTCTTAGTTTGCTGTGGTGGTAGTGGGCTATTTTTTATTTTTATTTTTATTTTTTGAAATTTGGTATTTATGTTAGTCACCGATACGCTCATTTCATCGCGCGGTAGGTGACCCTTATACCATTGATCCCTTCATCCAAAGCACGGCTCCTTACCCTGGTGTAGTAGCATCACGGACACCTTGCCATGACTGTGCTTTGACAGCAGGCGATTCACCTGTTTTTCAGAGACAGTAACAGTAGCCACCAGACAAGAAACGCTCAAATGCGTTTAAGATTGGAAACACGAATCATTTAATCCCTAAACTAAAATAAAAGGGATTTTTATTATAATTTTATGTATATTTGAGTATTTTGATTATCGATTTTATTCCCATACACAGAGCTTACGCAAGAGTTGTCATTTGAAAGCTTCTATTACGCTTGCTTCTATTACTGCTACTGTTGCTACTGATGGTAGTAGTCGTAGTGGTTGCTGATCCATTCTTGGTTAACTTTGATTTTATATGGTTAAATTTTACGGATCCCGATACTGTTCTGCTTTCGCCATTACCATTAACAAAAATGCCAATCGGCACAGGTGTGCTTGGTGCGTTGGTGCTACCAATGTCATTGTTCCCCACATCCGCACTACAGGGTGCTTGCACGGACGTTATCGCTTCATTATCAGTCACACCATATTTAGTGTCTATAGTAGCTCCTGTTAATGGGGCATCCTTTGTGAAATAAGATCCGTTGATTGATGAAGGAGACAAAGCATAATCGCAAGAATGTGCAGAGCCGGCCGACGATGATGATGATCTGCGGCTGTTGATCTTCATGCCAATATTGATTAGCAAGCCGTCATTTCCTTGATGAATATTATTCGTGCTGCCGTTGGCATCCTTGTAACCATGACGTTTCGAGGATGATGGGCGCTCTAGCATAGTTAGTGCATCCTCATTGATATCACTTGGCAAGGAAAGACTAGGATCAGGCATCAGTGAATTAATGTTGGCTAGGGCCTCGTCTTTCTGTTCATTAGCCATGCCCCGTTCCTGATGAGCACTTTGTGCCGCGCAAGTCCCCTGTGGTACTTGTAGATGATGATACAGGGTTCCATTCCCTTTAATCATTGCATCTTTGGTGAAGTTTGAGCCCTGGCGGTCCACTGGTGAGGTGCATCTGCTTATTTCAAGGCTGACAGAATTTGTAGGTGAGGCCGGCGAAGAACTGGATCGACCAAAGGCACCAAAACATACGGCCGCAGATCCTCGCTCTGCTACGGCACTATTGCTTAATGTATGAGTAGTAACGCTCGACGCAGGCCGCTTAAGCGGAATAGGCATGCGATGCTGGTGTAGGCGCTGCTGTTGTTGATGCTGCTGTTCTGGCTGAGACTGGAGATTAGTATGACTGAGATTATTTTTAGCCATCTTGGAGAATGCTACAGCTGCTGGCGACTGAGGAAATGCACGGTAGGCTTCAAGCCGGCGTAAACGAAGGCGATATAAAATATCATCAAGGCAATGCTCAATACTGCAATGGTTCTTGATGATGGAGATTTCTAGTGAATTATAGTGTGGCGAGAGGAACATGTCAGCTTTTTTTAAATATATAAATGTGTACTATAAAATAAACATTTGTAACATTAAACTGCGCTTACTTGGCCAAGTGGCTCGCTCTCCCTTCAATGTCGCATCTACCATGAACTGCATCGTAGGGTTGGATACAATGTTGAGATAATCATCAGTTCCAAGGTCTGGAACGATGGTGATATCACCATAATATCGCTGTGACATGATAGCCTGCACCTTATGAATCAATTCTGGCATTACTCCAAGGATAGACATCTACAGATATAAATGATTCAAAATAAGAATAGAAACAGAAGGCCACCCTCCCCTTTCTAAATACAACATGAAGAACGAATTGATTTCACTTACCTGGTTCAGACGGTGCTGCAACTCTGACCTGGCCTGATAAAGCATCCAGCCAAAGGCTCTCCTCGTTGGAGACCGAGCGAGTGAGTTTTGCAGAAAAGGAACGATGTATGGGTTGACTTGGCAGACGATGAAATGGTTCACATTGAATAGCTCGGATAGCTTATTCATAGGGAGGTCACTAGAGTAGGAAAAAAATATAAAAAGGTTTAATATTCTCAAGCCGTGCTTAAGCTTCAATCAGCGGTTCAGAGGCACAGTGATGCTTACTTGTCAACTGACCCATCGATCCAGTGATAACCTGCCATATGCGGAACACAATTTAGCTGTTAACGTTACGCAATAGCATTATTACTTGCAAATGCATTAAGATTGCCTTCGGCCATTTTTACTTACGAGATGGATTCCACTGGACCTCTTCTCCGTGCTTATCCTTAGCCATGAGTGGCGCCGAGTTGTAGATGAAAGGTGCAGCACATGATGTAGCACTAAAGAGGGATTTAAAGGGATATTGAAGGACTGACACTATTAGCACGGCTTTTTAAGTTTGAAAGCTTTTGAGTGAAAGTCTAGCCATAGGATGTAAGACATACACTGCAGACCAAATGAGGACGTTCGGTGCGGTCAAGTAATTCAACAGCCGTGGCATTTCAAATGTAGCCGATGTACTGACTGTCACATTGAGGATTCGTCTTGTTCGATTGTATGCCTCTTGAAAAGTTACATTTCCAATGTTGTCCTTCAAGGCGGCCCTGAGTACTTGTGCATCAAACAGAGCTCCATTCTTAAGGAAATGAATGATGCGAGCAAGGACATCACCCTGCTCTTCCACGGTGTGAAACACTGTAAAGTTGAATTTATCAAATTGTAGCATGGATGGAATCTCTTCATCTGTACGCGTGCACAGAATAGCAGCGATAATAGATCCACAAGAGGAGCCAGAGATAATACGAGGAAGTAGTTGTGTTTCATATAACGTCTTGAGCACTCCAATATGTATAAGGCCTAACAAAAAGTTATATTGGGCTTAGGTTAGACTTGCAGTTCATTAAGTGATGGAAACAAGTCTTTAGTTACATTCTATTTCATATATTGTTTACCCATAGTGGCTCCGCCACTAAGCAAGAGTGCAGTGCGACCAAATGCTTGTCGCGTATGAGTAAAAAACTCTAGTTTGGCTGCAATCGAAAAGTCGTCGCTCTCAGTATCACAAATGATATTAAGCTGACGGATGACCTCTGAGTTATAATCCTCAATAAGTCGTTTGGTCCCAATGATACTTTCTGCATAAAGCTATCAATAAATATAGTATCTGACTCAGCTTTCAAATCATTTGAGTTCTTTCTCGATAAAGGCATGTCGGCAAAATAACAGATAATTTAGTCTTTTTTTTTTTTTTTTTTTTTTTTTTTTTAATATTACCTCTGGCCGCCCGACATTTCCAAGATTTCGCGAGAGGGAAGTGCGGAGCAGAAAGGTCATCTGTCCAAGGTCGCCTGACTCGCGTGCAGAGACGAGTTGTGAAAGTCGTTCTTGCAGCAACTCATAGTCATAATGAGGGGATCTGGGATCATTCTTCCATTTGTCTTTGCCCTGGAGTTGGTCAAGGATTGCAGCAGCTTCGGCCCATTGCTCATAGTTGGTGGCAGCCTTAAGTAAGTGAGCATAATAAGCTTTGGGATCTCGCGATCGAAGTAGGGACTCATAGATTTTCTGGTAAGGATAAGTTCGTAACACGTATGCACGTGCAGAAGAAACAAAATACGAGATCAATAAAAAAATATCATAGTCATGTGTTAATCATGTCACCAAGACACCAAGAAAAAAAACTGAGGAACCAACTACAGATGTTGTTCCAAATTATCTACCATCATTCACTACCTTTGACCAATGCTTGCCAACTGCATATGCAACAGAGCTGACAGCCGAGGTGACTGTCGGGAGTAGGCCTTTGTCTTGCTGCTCTTGCTCCTGATTTATCAATTTCTCTTCTTCCTCTTTCGTCAATTGCTCATGATCCGTCCCTTTCACAAACTCCTCCTCATGCCACTCACCATTCGATTCATACGAATAGGATCGTCGAGAGAGGTGAGGTCGCAATATCTTTGATGAGGGAGATGTTGCACTACCATCCCTGATACCAAGCTCGTTCTTGCGGATGCTTTCGAGTCGACTTTGCAGTTGGATAGGAAGGTCATCTTTGAGAGTCATGGATGAGCGAGAATAGGGGTAAAAGCGGGATACATCAACAGGGTGAGATGGTTCTAGCATGACGTTCTCATCATCGCTTTCATTCCCGACTTGAACTTGACGGACAAAGATCTGGCCTTCCTCATCTTCATCGTCTTCATCCTCATATTCTTCCTCATATTCTTCTTCATCTTCCTCATCATCATCGTTGATATTGAATTCATAAAGACTTGGAGGTCCTGTGCTACAATGATCCGAGTATGGAAAAGGAAGATTTGTCTCAGAAATACAGAGGTCAAAGTCTTCATCCATGACTGGTGTCATCATTGGGGAGGATCTGCTCATGATGTAATAAGGTCTTGTGGTAAGGTGATCAAGAGAGAAGTTACAGATAAAAAGAAGCAACAGAGTTCAAAGTGTGAAGGTCCCTTTCTTTTCTTTTCTTTTTTTTTTCTTTTTTTTTTTGGTAAATGTCTTGTGCAACAGTGATTCAATCGGAGAGATGACAAAGAGACATGCGAATGTGTGCAACAGTCTTAATGAAAGAATAGATGAGCACTGGAGTGGAGATGAGAGTAAAATGGGGGCAATGAGGGGAATGTGTTCAGAAGAGGTTAAAAAAAAGAGGCAGACTTCAATCTGGATATTTTCCCCCGACGAGGATAATATGAGAGCAACGCGTGCCAGTTACGGAATAATCGCATGTGAAAAGGGATCTTTAAGGACACGCGGCGTAGATACAACAAAAGAGGGTTGCATGGCACAGCAGAGCAACGTATTATTCTCTCTCGCGCGCACTGTCTTATTTTTGGATGTTTTTCTGATACATTGTTCCTCAATGGCAGGCCCATCTTTGCTTTGCCTGTTGGTAACTAAATGATTTAGTATGACACTGTGCAGTTTTAATGGAAATCATTACAGCATTTTATTTTTGGTTGTATCAAACAGCAGATGGATCATGTGTGCAATGATTTCTATGCAAGTGTAAGAAGGTGAATAAAAACAACATGATGGGGTGATGACAACCATAGAACATCCCATTGAGCAACTTGGAAAATAAAAAAATAAAAAGTTGCAACTGGGCAAAGTAAGGTTGAGCAATTGTTGTGGGATGTGTCGTTCTTTTTTTTTTTTTTTTTTTTTTTTTGAATCCGGTTTTGGTCAAGTTACAGTCTATTTAAGGACGTCTTTTCATTTTGTGCCACGACTGGAATGAACATTTGTTTTTTAGTAATCGAACTCTTTTTCCCTTGGCCCTGGCTTGCAAATGAACTGTGACTGTAAAAAAAAAAAAAAAAAAAAAAAAAAAAAGTGCCAAAGGTCAGGACAGGATAGGCCAAGTCAAAGTCTTGGCAATCATTTGCTTTCTCCGCTTTCTCACTTCCTCGCTTTCTTTCTTTCTATTTTGCCTGCCATTTTTCCTCCCATCCTTCATTCCTTCCCCCTTTTCTTCGCCATACTTCGCCCCACACTTCTACTACAGCTCAACGCAACGCCACCGTATCCCTTGCATACTTTGTACTGCTATCAGATACTCTTTAACCAACTATAGATACTCTGGTTTTTCTTGACATCAAATACAACAACTTTGCTCAACAACAGCACGGCAACAACACATCACGTCACACCATATTACACAACCATAGAACCATAGAGCTTCATGGAAAAAGAGAATACTCCTCCTTCAGATTCATTCATCTTCTCAGATGAATATCTTTGTCGGTGGGAGCTATGCGGCAAGAACTTTATGGATGCTGAGCAGCTATATGAGCATCTCCGTGATGATCATGTTGGCAGGAAAGCTCACCGTAACCTGTGCCTGACTTGTCGTTGGGAAAAATGCTCTATCCCAACATTTACCAAAAGAGACCATATCACCTCTCATCTCAGAGTTCATGTTCCATCGAAGCCTTATCATTGCAGTGTAAGCTTAATGCTGTAACTAAAATCATTTTCATCAGCTTGTTAAAACTGAAAAAGTTAAGAGGAAGAGTATCATTTATGATTGAATGATTGACTGACTGATTTTTTTCATTGATTCGGATTTAGATCTGCAAAAAGGGTTTTAAGCGGCCACAGGATCTAAAGAAGCATGAGAGGACTCATTTAGATGGCAACGCTGTTATCTCTTGCGAGGCAACCGATACCAAGACAACAGCTACAGCTTCAACCTCAGGGCATCTCAAAGTCAACAAAAACAACTCTGCTCTTCTAACACCTCCCACAATCTCGGATCGGTCTCCTTCAATCTCCTCCACGTCCACTCTAACTTCCTCGGCCACACTTTCACCATATTCTCTACCTCTCTCCCCTGCAGATACACTCGAGTCATGGAACCCTGGTCTTTGTAAGTAATTGCCGTCAGATAGCTGATTAGAATACCAACAACGGATTTGATGTTGACTTTTTTTTTTTTTTCCTTTTCTTTTTTATAAATATATTACCGCAGCATCGCCATCCTATTCAACCAACTCTGATCTATTCAGCTCACCTAATGCGCAGGATTTGGAGTTTGACATGCTCAATGTAGATACTACTAGCGCCTATTATGGAGCACTCCCCATTAACAATGGTTGTGATGATCTTTCACTTATGAGCGCCAAGCGCCCGCGTGATGGTCTGGATGAGATATTATCAGAAACCTTGGATGCCTTTGCAAATGAGGCTAAGAAGAAATGCACGAATGCATATTACAACGAAGGTGATTTTCATTTGCTGAATTCCTGTCATTTGTAAAGTTAAATTAATGCTTCTCATTTTTTATTGACTGCGCTTTACGTTTACATATGATAGATGTGATGGGCTATTTGAATGCCATGAGCGTCATCCTAGAAGATAACCCATTAACTCCAGAACGTTTATTATCCTCATTGCCTGATATTACGGATTTGAGTCAGTATAATCAGTTGAATCAATATTGTTCTTCTCTTCTGGAAGACGTTAGTGGAGAGAGTCATGTATCAAAGTCATTCGATATGGCATTGTTCCCAGAGTATGACCAAAAGCAGGCGACACTCGAACAACAATACATTAATAATTTTGGAAATGGTGCTGTTGATGATGTTGATGTCAATAGATACCTATCGCTTGACAGCACCGCTGCATTCAACGCACCCTCAGCTAACTCATTGTATGGACCAATGACAGGAAATGACGTTTTTACGTCAGGAGCAACGAATGACTCTTCATGGGACTCCTCGCCAGGCCTACAACCTCCAGGAGTCATCCAGGCTATACCGGTAAATCGCGGTATTCAGCAACATAACCGTTTCAACAACCCACAATATGTGACACTTCAGGCGCTACAACAAGGAGCAGACTCGCCATCAGCTCTTGTGAGGATCAAGAAAGAGGAAGACGTAATCGAGCCCAAGATTGAAGTCAAGGAAGAGGGCGCAAGGTTATATGCAGACATGGCTACGCAGACAGGAGCTAATACAGCAAGTCAACCTGAAACCTTTAGCGGAGCCATGATGATGATGGTTATGCCTTCAACTCTAGATCAAACTAAACGGATGAGTAAAGCCCGAGTGCCACTAGATGCGGAAGCGCTCTTGGAATCAGCACCGAACGCTCCAGATATGCCACTACTGGGGATTGACATCAAGGAGGCCGTCTCAGCTAAAGGGGCTGCTTCTAAAGAGGTTGAAGAAACAAGCCAGAGCGGTGAACAGCAGTCTATTCAAGAAGCCGTAGGGTCTGAGGATCGAGGACCTGGCTTATCAAAGTTCGGAAGCTATGTCCAAAAGGCACGTGCACGACAAGCTGCGGCCGCAGCCGCAGCCGCATCAGCATCAGCAACTAATTCAACACTGGATTCAGCAGCGACAATCGAGTCACTTGACCCTATGGAGGCCATGACCCGTCAGTTCGAGCAAACTCGTCTAAGTGGCTCTGATGATAATCATAGCTCTCATAATGCACCAGCTACTGATCTCGATAACGAGGATGAAGAGAGACGGCTCCGCGCTGCCAAGGCTCGAACTTTATGCGCCCAGGATCCAGTTCGTAGACAGCACGCCAAAGTTCTTTGGAATCTCATCAAGAGCTTCAATTTCCTGATGGCACATCCAGAAAAGGTTGCTCAATATAGAGCAGCGCTCTCCAAGGGCAGTTCGAGCGGGGTGTATCGCAAGACAAACGCACAGAGCCTTGAATCTGGTAGAAGTTCGACACCTCACCGTGGAGATGCATCATCAACAGCTGGATCGACAAGTATCGCGCCTCATCGTCCATCACCCCTGCACCAAGAGTATAAGCTTGATTTTGATTATAATCGGCTGAGATCGGCTTTGTTAGATGAGGCATCGTCCTACCACCCATCTCCTCCCCCAGTAGCATCACAGGCAAAACACACCAAGGACACAGGCTCAGAGACCGAGACTTACGAGCAATCGATAGATTCTCCTGTTTTGTATCCTACATCTGATTTGCATCACTCCTCAGTTCCATTCGAGCTTTCGGAGGAGGAGAGGCGATTCATTGAAGAAGACAATGCCAGGACGGCAGCAGCGAAAGCAGCAGCATCGAATGAAGCCGAAACAGAATCTGATTCAGAATACTGCATTGTATAATGGAGAGTTATGTAGCCAGAGGTTCTACATATATTTTCTATTCATGTATTTTTAGTAAATTAAATTATACCAAAAGATAAATCCCATTCAATTGAAAATGAAAATAGCTTTTTTTTTTACGCTTTAATAATTCATGAATGAACGGAAGTTACGAAGGAAGTGGGTATGCTTTTGCACATGGATCAGGGACATAAAATTACAGGCGTGTTGTAGTACTTGCAATGGCTTCTATCATCAGTGACCATTATTTTTCTTTGTTTTTTTTTTTTTTTCTCTTATTATTAATGGAAGGGTTTCTTATTATTACATGTATTCATCTCCATCATGATGAAGAGTGACTAGAAAAAAAAAAAAAAAAAAAAAAGGGAAAAGCATAGCCAGAAAATGTAATCGTTAGTCGATGCCGTGTATTTTTTTTTTTTTTTTTTTTTTTTTTTTTTTTGCTTCCTCTTCTTGGTTTCATTTGAGGTTCAGACAAAAAAAGAAAAATGTATGAATGTGTATAGATGTAAGATAAAAAAAGATGGATGCAAAAAGACTTTTTTTTTTTTTTTTTTTTTTTTTTACCTGAACTAAAGTTCGCAAAGAGATTTTTCGTTCCTGGTTCCTGCAGAACCAACTCCTCGCCCTCGATGTCCAAGCTGATGCTTTCATTCATCTGTCGAAAGTTGATAGCATCGGCTCCATTGCTCTGTTGGGGTATAATCGGAGGGGTCAAATGTCTCAGAAGGGCCCAGTTGGTGGTCTTGAAGAACGGATGCTGCTTCACATCACTGGCTCCTGCATTCGATCCTAGCCTCAGCTGCTCATCTTTAATCAACAATTTCCGGATCAAGGATTTGCAGAGGGGAGAGATTTGTTGGACACCCGGATGTTCTGGAAATTGAACTTCTGTATTAAGGATGGATTTGAAGGTTGCAGATCGATCTTTGCCCTTGAAGGGAGTGACACCATAGAGCATTTCATAAATCAAGATCCCAAGTGTCCACCAGTCCACGGCTGAAGTGTGTCCTGTTCCATTGATGACTTCTGGTGCGATATATTCTGTGGAGAAAAAGAAAAAAAAAAAAAAAAAAAAAAAAAAAAAAACGAGATTAAGATGAGTACATGTATAGGATAGGATTTTATATATAAAAGTGTATATATGTGTATATACATGTGGTTTGCGATCCTACCTTCTGTGCCTACAAAGCTGTTCGTCCGTAAATTGGCAATACAGGATTTAGTATCGATGGCGGGAGGTGTAGAGGGTGATGAGGATTTGACGACTGTTGGTTCTCCTGCTGGCATTGATTGTTTTGATAGATCAAAGTCTGTCAACATGATATGTCCTGTATGGTGTAACAAGATGTCTGCGAAAATTTAAAAAAAGAAATTAAAGTCCATTCTCTGTAGTCTTTGCAACATGTAACGTGTAACAACAAACACATTAATAACTCTTTTCTTCTTTTTTTTTTTTTGTTTGTTTGTAACATGTCTCTCCTGGGCTTACTTTCTGGTTTCAAGTCTCGGTAAATGAAGCCCATCAAATGCAAGTACTCGAGTGCTGCAATCACTTCTGCGGCATAAAATTTTGCATCCTCTTCTACCAAATGTTTTCCAGGTCTCATTTGTAATGCTAATTGTGAAGAGTATTTAAAAAAAAAAAAAAAAAAAAAAAAAAAGGACATTGAGTAATCAAATATGTAATTCTTGTAAGCAAAGCATGAAACCTTTTCTTTTTTACAATCTCCAATGCAATTAGATCCAAACAAAAAGAGCAGATTCAATTATTATTAGTATGTATCTTTTTTTTTTTTTTTTTACCTCGGAAGAATTCACCACCCATGCAATACTCCATGCAAAAATAAAGATATTCTTCTGATTGGAAAGAGTGGTATAGTGTGACGATGAATGGATGATTGGACGTGGCCAAGATCTCCTGTTCTGCAAATGCTCGTTTGATCTTATTGCGCTTGATCATCTCTTTCTTGGATAGCACTTTTGTCATTGTAGTTAAAGTTGTTGACGGTATAATGATTGTTTTCAAGTTGCATAAATTGTGAATAATTAAATAAATAATCAATAAAAAAAAAAAGCTTTCTGTTAGTAATGTACCCTTTGATTTCCCGTGCTGAAATCATTCTCCACGTTGTGCAGTCTCTTTTATTCCCTTGATGCATTGCATTGTCGGTAAAGGAAAAAAAAAAAAAAAAAAAAAAAAGTGCATATTTGATTTCGCCTCCTTCCTTCTCTTTCTCTCAATAGCCTTCACCTCGGAACTTTTTTTGTACATGTTGTGTAGTATAGAATATTTTATGTTACTTGTTGCTTACCTTTCATAGCATAAAGCCGATCTGTATCCTTTTGCTGTACCAAATACACTTTTCCGACATCGCCCTTACCCAACAATCGGATCTTTACAAAACTATTTGGTGAAACCTCAACTGATTTTTTCTTGATAGAGTTGGAAGAATACGTTCTTCGAACAGTTCCTAGACGCCTTAGATCCAGAGTGGAGCCATTGGGGCTCTTTTCATGAGGAAGGCCGAGATGAAGTTTGGAGGATGGTGAAGATGCTGTGGTCGCTGCTGTGAGGGATGATGCCATTGTCATGGTGGAACCCAAGGTAGTATTGGATCTGGCGGCAGGGGAGGATGGATTATAGGCGCCCAAGTAACCATTTGCACTGCCAGCGCTCCCCTTTGAGGCACTATTGGTCTTGCGGAGAGAATCTTCTAATACTGTGGCCTTGGCATTTGGAGTCGAGGCGACTCGTCTAAGGAACTGAGGAGTGGTCAGGATATCAGGTAGTAATGTTAGCATGAGTTTAGTAAAAAGATATACGTGAGAAAGAAAGAAAAGAGGAAGAGAAAGTGGAAGTGGAAGTGGAAGAGAGAGATATAGATGGAGATGGAGATTAATACGATTTGTTTGATGGAAATCAAAAAAAAAAGGGTTTAATAATTGTATCAGTTTGAGAATGTGTGAAAGTGAAGAGTGTGACAAAAAAAAACACAGTGACAGGTGCGATTGATCTTTTCTTTAATGCATTACAAACGACATGGTGATAGTCCCGGAAAGAAGCGTTCTCAATGAAAGGAGAAAGGGGAGAGAGGAAGGGAAGGGGAAAGGAAGGGGAAAGGAAGGGGAAAGGAAGGGGAGGGGTTAGAAGAGGGTGGGAAGGGGTGTGCAAGGTGTAGGGTAACGGGTGAGTTATGTCAGTCAACAAAGAAAAGGAGAATTGATTGAAGACAGGTGCTTCAGCCTGTTAGGTCAGCGACGAGAATATAAATAGAAAGAATGTGTTTGTGAGAGAAGGTTGATGGAATGTGAGTGAATGGAGAGATGATGAATAAAAGGATGTAAGCAATGAAGTTGCGAAAAAATAAAAAATAAAATAAAAAAGACTAGTCCAGTCGAGGTGGACAAGTAGGAAGAGAGAAAGTGAATTCTGTTGCACAGTTTTTGAAAGTGGGGCACAGGCACAGACACAGACACAGGTACAACAAAAGTATAAATACAGACAAAGTAATCACTCAAACGGAAAAAGGGGGAAAGGAAGGGGAAAGATTCATCAAAGCAAAGCAATGTAAAGGAATGGGATATGTACATGTACAAGTGTTGATGCAATGTCTTGTGTAATGTCATCTCTAGAGATGCTATCCATATTGATAACAGTAAGAAGAGTTGGAACTGTTTCAAGTACTCCTCTCTTGATTCTTCCTCTATCCATCCTCACCTTCACATTCCCATCACTCGTCTCGTCAAAAGACAATACATCCTATCGGATCGTGTTATAGATAATGTATTATAGATATTGTATTATAGATATCGTATATGCCATGCACAGTATACTAAAAATGACATGACATGACAACCTCATCCGATGTTTATAATTATATATAGTGGCCTACACGCGGCTAGCACGCTGCGGAAGGCATATAGTTCTATATTTTGAAGTAGCTCTCTTTAAAACGGAAAGGAAATGCATGCAGACATTGAGCAAAAAAAAAAAAAAAAAAAAGGAAAGAAAAATGCAAACCCAGCGAGTGTAACATGCTGTAAGAGAGCACCAAGTCACCAAGTATACCATTATTAATTAAAAATCAAACCCAGGAACCAGAACCAATAGTCCCATGCTATCCATGCTAAAGCTGTTGACAAGGCCATTGTTTTTTTTCCACGTTTTCCCGCCCTTTAGTTGTATAATTTTAATCATAAAATGATCGTACTACTGTGAAGCAAACTTTTGTTGTAAAAATAACACAAACAGACAGACAACAATGACAATAACAATAATAACAATAGTAATAATAATAATAATAATAATAATAATAATAATAATAATAAAAGAGCTCAGTGTAGAGACTATTCCATTTAATATCACAGACAAATGTAAACATTCGTCCGAGTCTCAATTCATTGAACTTGAAATATCAAATGTGTCTAGGAGAAGGATACCTGTCGTCTTCTTTTTAGACTAATTATAATACATGATATCATCTCTTTTCTTCAAATGAACAATGGGGGAAGAATGAAGGGAAGTGAAGAGAAGGAGATCATAAAAATAAAATAAAATAATAAAAAGATAACTTACCGATTTTTTATTGTCGGAAGGAAGGGCATGTGGATCATAAAAGTCTGCTCGAGAGATTCTCCTGCCTCCAAACCCGAAAAACGACTTTAGTTTAGAAGGCAATGGGGATGAGACATAGGACGGTGCAGGTGATGCAATGATGGTGGATGAGGATGAGCTCGGTGCGTAGGTGGAATGGTAATCACCAGAGGAGGGCATCGTTGCTTGTCTGTGTTTCCTTCAAATCGTTGTCGTTGTTATCGTTCGTTGTTATCGTTCGTTGTGTGTTGTGGTTTTTTTTTTTTTTTTTTTTTTTTTTTTCCCACTCAATTTCCTTTGCACGTCCTTTATGACTTTCTTTTTTTTTTTTTTTTTTTTTTTTTTTTTCCCTTCTTGCTTGGATGCTAAAGACCTTCTTTAGTTTTTTGAATAACTTTAGAAAAAAAGAAAAGGAGAGAAAGAGTGAGGGTAGACAGAAGGAACAAGGAGAGACGATTGATCCGCAGTGGGGCAATGAGTGAGGTGAAAGGATAGAAAGATAAGGAAAGAAAAAGGTGTAAAAAAAGAGAAAAGATAAAAAATAAAAAATAAAAAATAAAATAAAATAAGAATGGGCTGTAAGGTTGAAGGAAGAGACTAGATAATCGTGTCCTTGAGTATGGTCATAAAAAAAATAAAAAAAAAAAAAAAAAAAAGAGAACAGGTGGTTAGTGAAGGAGAGAGGGATGAAAGAGATGAGGACGAGGCAAAGAGAGAAATAGGAGAGAAAGTGAGCAAAGAAAAAGGATTGATCTAATGCGCCCTATATTAGAACAGAAACCAATGTAGTCACTGTAAGAGTGCTAAATGAAATGGGTAAATGGTTAGACCAGATTTCTGTTCTGTCAGCGTCAGGAACGATTAAAGAAAAAAAAAGATTGACGGAAGAGTACACAGATACAGAGGCAGGGGTAAAAAAAAAAAAAAAAAAAAAAAAAAAAACACCTCAAAAGTCAGAATCACTGCTTTTTTTCTTTTATTGATTTTATTTTTATGGATGAACCAACATGTACTCAAAGAGAACCGATTGAGGCCTTTAAAGTCAATGAATCCTCTCTTCGCCTTCAGCCATTCTTTGTCATTTTCTCGGTATTTAAGGACTGAACAATGTAAAGATTAAATTTCTGATGGGCTTTTAAAGTCACCCATAAATGGTAACCACACTGCGGGGAAAGTTCTCGTTTTACTTAAAGCATTGAAACAGCCAGACTGTTACTGAAACTCAATTAAAATCTGTTACACTGAACACTGAAGATGGTACATTATACACCTTCCTTTGTAGTTTATTAGACTTAATCTGTACAGGAGTAATCTAACGAGCCAATAAATAAATGTTGGAACTTTGAAGTCCCAGTGGTTCCGTCGTCCCCTTCGTTACTGATATTCCTCAAATCGAGCTTGAACTGTTCTACTGTTGGGAGGGTTCGCAACAAAGGATGGGACCATGACTTTGTAGGTGCAGACGACAGATGTAGCAACTTCCAGAGATCGCCATACCTCTCACCTTTAAATATAGCTGCATGCATGTCCGCCCGCTGGCTCTGTTGCCTTTAGATGGTGGAGTTTGTGCTGGGGAAATCTCAGGCATGTCCACCAGATTCCAGGTATGCTTGCATGATGGGTGCCGCCCTTTTGATCATGAAGGCACATTCTAAAGCAGTCTTGTCCTCCTTCAACGGCAAATACTCTAGAAGCATCTCCAGCATGATCTTTGCCTTCTTATTACCAGGCATTAAAGGAACCTCTGCCATCATTACTTCTACCATTTAGGTACAACCAATGGCCTTCATGATGCCCAGTATCATTGACTTTCAATGCCTGGCTATCCCAGTCGTGGGCAGAGCCGGTGTGAAGACCCCAATAACGGCCATAACGTCCGCTATCTGTACCCGCATGATTTGGTATCGCGGAGTGCAACAATGCAGGCTCGCCTATGATTGGCGAAAAGACATGCTATGTATGCACCCCAATCGAACTGAGCGTGAGCGGATACCCTCGCTTTCTCAGTCTGGCAGCTGCTCTGGCTCAGGAGTGTACTCGGCCTCATCAGCTGAGGCTGCTGGCGCTGATGCTGGTTCGAAGGTGATGCCAATAAGAATGCTCTGGGTCGGGTTTCCTAATAAAATGAGATAGAAAACAAGCTAGCAGGCATGAGTATAGTTCAAAAATAAAATAAAAAATAAATTACACAGATAATAGAGAAAAAATCGGTGGCGCGATATAAACAAGTGTTTCTTATGACTGGTAAGGCCATCCTCATCCATCATTATCTACTATGAAAAATACAACTAGAGCACCAACTTACACCGGCCGACCGAAGAGCTGGCTATTGAGGAACTGGCCCTTCAAAGAGTAGGGTACGCATGTGACATAGGAAGGCGATTTCTTAACGGCCCAGGAAAGTTGGTAATGTAAAATCATGGTGAATGTTAGTGACCAGTAGTTTTAATATATGTCGTTCCGGTTATTCAGAAACAATAATGAAATCTAAAGGAGTGTGGTGCATCACAAAGATCAATATATACGTACCCAATGTAACAAAGAGGCCAAGGCTCTGCTGGGTGATAAAGTAGAAGGTAAGGAGTGATAGAGTAGATGGAAGGAGGAAGCAGAGGTTGAAGAAGAGAAGCTGCACAAGGGTTTTTACAGCATTTGGTTGTGCTCGACCTTGCGCTGAAGTCTTTATATGCGTTAGTTGCTGATAGATTGGCCGCAGTGTGCACATGATTGCTGGCGATCAGCATACCAACCAAAGCAGTGATTGTTCATAGTACGTGTAAATTGTGACGCAATTTAGCACACATCTCTATTCCTTCTTTTTTTTTTTTTTTTTTTTTTTTTTGAGAGTCAAGGAATACTTGATCAGTTTTCGACAATGAGAGCTAAAGAGGATGATTATGAGTATATTATAAGCTCATGTAGTAAGTGTAAGTTAAGTTGATTGTACCAATCATTTCTCATCAATGTAAAGAATGTCTGAGGATCAAACGTTCATATTGTATTGTGTCATACAGGATGTTTTCATTCTTGATCCCAATAGTTCGTGGCTCGTCGGGCTCCTCATGGAAAATTGCATTTTTTCGTATTCTTGAAGACACCTTTTCCCGCACAAAAAATTTCGATTCAGGTGGACGTACAGTAATTTCTAGCTAAATAATAAGTCACCTGAACACAAATGTAAGGAAATGATCAATTTGTTTTGCATGGCGCTGTTTTTCCAAAGCGGAAGACGAATATTTTTATCTCTGCGGCCGACAACAGGCATTGACTACGGGTACTGCTAATTATGCAACGCGCATTAAACGAATTTGTAAAGATTATGATGAGCGAATAACACCGCTAGTTTTCTACTCCACACTGCATGTGTCATTTCATTTCATGGATAATAATGAAGATGTTTCTAGACACGTCGGTTGTGAGTGTCTAATTATGCTCTATACTATTGAAACGTGCGATCTAGATGTGTTTCAGTGCAGTGAGGCTCATTATAAAATATTTGGCTCGATCTGGCATGAGTTGACAGACCATTACCAGAAGCGACTGGGCCCATCCAGTACTTTAATTTGGATGACTATAATGATGTATATACTCACAGGAGAAAGGGGTCGGGTAGTGGAATTATAAGGAAACTCTCTTATCAATCGGTGGTAACAGAATAATGGAAAAGCCGCCAACACGAAGGTCTTTTAGCTCTGGATTATAGGACGTCCTTAACATTTGCTGCGATTGATTTGCGGACCAGGGTGCGAGCTGACAATTGAATCCGTTTAAGCTTCTGAAACAAAAAATGGAATGCTTACGTTGGTGCGCTTTGGTCTCACTTGCAATTGTCAAAAAACAAAATCAAACTTTTACAATCTACCAGATTTGATTTTAGGATACCAAAGTATACCACAGCAACGAGCGCACAGTCTCTTGTGGACCTGTGGAGTAGAAGCAATGTGGGGCTAGAATATAACTTCGGCATGTACAAGGTATACAACAGGTTGGGACTTACTTGAAATGGTTTGGTCGATGACACAAACACCGAGAGTTGGCTAAACGAGTCTTACTTGTGGATCATGAGAGTGAGCAGTAAAACCCTACATTTCTACCGCACCGGCGCCTAGTCCTTTGTGCAATAAAAAGTGGAAACAAGAGTCCTTGATTCTTTTTTTTTCTTCTTCTCTCCATTCCTCATTCATTTTCTACATTTCACTTTTCTTTTTCCCCCTCCCCTCTCCTCTCTCCCCTTTTTTTTTTTTTTTTTTTTTTTTTTTTTTTTTTTTAATTTTGCCATTTGCCACGATGTCATGCAATCCAGTTAACGTTGCAAAGGATCGCTTGCAGCAAATCTATCAAACAATAGGTGCCCCTGGTATGTCTGTCTCAATCACCCTGTTTTGAATTCTTATTACTACAATCAGTATTTTCCTACCGATGTCAATATGCACTCTTGACATTGTACTCAATTATTTGTCTGTTGGTTTGTCATAGGCCGTATTAGACCATCGATTAACAAGGCCAACAGAACAGAACTTAACCCAGTGTATTTTTTGGCTCGGAGTGCTACCGTCTATCCATCAAAGACTGCTGTTGTCCATGGAGAGAGACGCTACACCTACAAGGAACTCAATCGTCGAACAGTCGCATTGGCCTATGCGCTGAAGGAACAATTGAATGTCAGACGTGGAGACAGGGTCGCAATTATTGCGCCTAATATCCCTGCCATGCTCGAGGCTCACTTTGCTATCCCTGCTGCCAATGCCATCATCTGTGCAATCAATACCCGTCTAGTACCATCAGAGGTCGCCTATATCCTCGAGCACTCTGGATCTACAATCGTTTTCTGTGATGCCGAGTTCAAGGATCTGATTAAAGATTCTCCTCTTCCCAAGATCATCATCGAGGACACAGGTTTGGCCTCAGACCCCTATGAACAACTTTTGCAAACAGGTTATTCAAAAGCTGACACACTCGGATGGAGCGGGCTAGATCAGACAGATAATGAAGAGGAGGAAGTCTCGCTCTGCTACACGAGGTATTATACATTCATTTTCACTTTGATTCTTTTGCATGGGAATATTGTGGATGAGCTATTGCATTATTTCACTGCAGGGCAATTGGGGAAAGTTTTTCCTCCCTTTCAACTGATTTGTTAAAACCTTATTTGCCTCCGTGCGAATTCTTTTTTTTTTTTTTTTTTTTTTTCTGATAGTGGAACAACAGGAAAGCCAAAGGGCGTGGTCTTCACATACCGTGGTCTATACCTTGCAGCTCTCGGGAATCTGATCGAGGCTCAACTGAATTTTGATTCTGTACATTTGTTTATTGTACCGTTGTTCCACGCCAATGCTTGGATGTATCCGTATTCCCTCACTGCTGTTGCAGGTAATTGACATTCATGCACATTGTTTACATTTTTTTTTTTTTTCTTCAAGTTCTAACATTTATTCTGGGCCTCGCCTTTTTTTTTTTTTTTTTTTTTTTTTCATGCTATCAATAGGGACGCACGTAATGCTCCGTAAGATCGATTACGATCAGATTTGGAAGGTGATGGTAGACGAAAAAGTTACACACTTGAATAGTGCGCCCACAATTTTGATTCAATTGGTACATAATCCTAATGCCCGCAAGCTACCAAAGACTGTCACATGCATTGTTGGAGGATCTGCTCCAACAGCAACGTTGATTGCCAAGATGAGGGAATTCGGCATGGAGGCTGCTCACGTTTATGGACTCACAGAGACTTATGGACCAGTTGTCAGGTCATACTATCAACCAGGGTTTGAAAAGCTTTCAGCGGAAGAGCTTGCTAAGCAATTGGCACGACAGGGTCATGTTTACGTAGTTTCAGACGATTTGCGCGTCGTAGATAGTGAGATGAACGATGTTGCTTTGGATGGAAAACAGGCTGGAGAGATCGTTTTCCGAGGCAACTTGGTGATGAAGGTAAAGTTAGTTTGGTGATGATACCAAAAAAAAAAACAAGAAACAGGCAATTTTTTGCGCCGAAGGCTAATTATTATTATTATTATTATTATTTTTTTTTTTTAAAAAAAAAAACTGTAGGGTTATTACAATGACCCAGAGGCTACTGCCAAGGCGTTTAAAGGAGGCTGGTTCCACAGTGGAGACATTGCAGGTGCGGGTTGAAGAATAGCTTTTTTTTATTTTTTTTTTATTACAAATAATTGTAAGCAGTCTCAAATATGAAATCATGTTCCTAGTTTTTTTATTATTACTAATTTTATTTGTAATCACTGCCGTTTTCTTGTTGGGATCACAAAGTTCGCCACCCCGATGGATATATTGCAATACAGGATCGTTCAAAGGATATTATTATCAGTGGAGGTGAGAACATCTCAACACTAGAGGTCGAGTCCTGTATCTCTCAACATCCTGCGGTTCTCGAGGTAGCAGTTGTGGCAACACCGAGTGAGCGTTGGGGAGAGACGCCCAAGGGTTTTGTGGTCCTTAAACCGGATTTGGCTGCGGACAAGATAGTGGATGGTCAAGCATTGGTCAAGTTCTGTAAAGAGCGCATGGCTGGATTCAAGTGTCCATCTTCGATTGTGATTGTCAAGGAGTTGCCCAAGACCAGCACAGGCAAATTGCAAAAGTATGTGTTGCGTGAGCAAGAATGGAAGGGACAACAGAAGCGGATCAACTAGACTAAAAAGAGTAATGCCATGTAAACAAAATAAAGCGAAGAGTGATCTCCACATTGCATCTTGACTATCAACACGTCAACTCGAGCTGGCTTTCAAACCCGGGGAAAAGAAAAAAAAAGGAATTCATTTACTTCATTGAAAAAAAAAAAAAAAAAAAAAAAAAAAAAAAGATTCCATCAGACATCTAATCTGATTCTCATTAGCACGAAAGTATTGAAAGCACTTAAGCACTAAAGTACTGAAAGAAGGACAAGGGTACCATTAGAGATATGCTTTTGTGCTTTGGATTCAGGACAAAGCTTGTTCCTGAAACGGCAGCACGTATGCTGTTTGCAGGCTGGGCCTCCTTCGTGATCGGTAAGTCTATGGTTTATTCCTGGGTTAGGAAGCAAGAAAAGGCTTTTGATCTTTGTAATTTTTTTTTCTTTTCTTCAATTGTAGAGGACATCAACGGTGAAATCAAGGTCTGTGGCGATTATAGTCCTGAAGAAGCAAGTTTAGTAGAGACTTTTTGCTCCAAGTACTCAAAGAGTTCTGAACCAGGATCCCAGGGGCTTAAAGCCAATAGTTTAAAGTTTTTGGGCCAAGAGGCATTACAGGGGTTTCTGACCTCTACAGGAGAGGTTTTCGTCAAGAGCAATAAGGATAGTGGAGATGAGAAGCTGAGGGGAGGACCTTGCTTGTTGTTGTTGAGCAACATCAAGGATGTGGCTACCTGTGGACAATCAGCAAATCATTGGACCGTGGCGATCGACCGATCGACAGGTGGACTCTTTGAGTGGATCGCTACGGATCTTAGGCCTCGAGTAGTGACGTTGGCATCATCTTTAAATCCGTTGTTACCGTCATCATCGGCATCGAATCCAACGTTGGTGTCCAAGACGAAGTTCAAGAGGGTTTGGGCAGGAGAAGCTCATATGCTTGTTTTAGCAGAGGATGGGACGCTTTATAGTTGGGGACGCGGCAGACACGGACAGCTCGGACATGGCGATCTTGGATTTGAATCGGTCCCAAGGCCTATTGAGGCACTCCAAGGTCTTCGTATTATAGACGCTGCCTGTGGAGCATCGTTCAGTGTAGCGCTTTCAGGTGGGTGTGGGAAAACTAAAAGAGTTTAGGGGTTGTTCCTTAAAATGCACAGGTTCTCATTTTCTTTATTATTTCTTATTTAGAATCTGGAGACATCTATACATTTGGTCTGAATGACCATGGGCAACTTGGTATCGGCAAGGGTGCAGATTTCGATAGAGGAAGCTCGCAGGAATGGGAATCACAGACTCCAAAGCACAATACTGCTTATCCTCAACTAGTTGATTTTTATGATTCAGACTCTGGGAAGGAGCTAGATGTCCATGTTGTCAAAGTCGCGTGCGGCCGTGCACATACTGTTGTACTGGATGGTATGCTCCCCAAAAAAAAAAAGAAAAAAAAAAAAAAAAAAAAAAAAAAAAGAAAAGGGAAAGGGTGTGTCCTTCTTTAGTCATCTTTAAAATGAAATCCTTTCCTTCTTCTTCCTGATAATACTAGATCAAGGAGGAGTATGGAGCTGCGGCTGGGGTAAATATGGTCAGCTTTGTCCTTTGCCACCATCAAGCTCAACATTAGCAACATCTCTGGACATGGACAATATGTGTTTAGAGACGAGGGAACAGCAGATGCTATACAGGATGGGATGTACTATTCAACAGGCGGACCAATATCATTTTGTCAGAGTGAAGGACAAGAAGAGCAAGGGAGCTTTTGGATCGACAGAGTCTTGGGAGGATGTCGTTTGTGGCCCGTGGAATAGCTGTATTTGGGCAAAGGACTGACATAATGAGCACATTGCGCATTGCTTGCATTAGGATGGTCGCACACAACACGTCATTTTCAATTTATTAATTTTATTTCTTTTTTTATTTTATTTTTTTCCAAGAAATATACCGTTTGATTTGAAGTTGATGTAACTGATGGAGATGGAGAGATGACGATTGGTCCTTGTCTTTGAGTTCTTAAATATATATATATATAAGGATGTTGTCGTTTCTTTTTTTTTTTATTATTTTTATTTTATATTCTACAAGGAAAAGGATGGACAAGATGGGATGGGGCAAGGGCAGCCACATCAACTCCAACAGCAATGCGCGTCATTTTCTTTTTTTAACTTTAAATGATCAAATGCAGACCGATTTCTTTTACTTTTTTTATTCCAAATGTTGGATCCAGGATTTCAGATGTCAGTAAAAGTAAATGTATACCAGAGCATATTTGCAGGGTGCTTTTTATTTGTTTTTTTGGCATTGCAGAGTAGCAGAAGAAGGGGAAACATATAAAAGGATACACAGTTAGACCATGTAAAAGTATAAAATATAAGATATAGAATTACACAGTTAGACCATGTAAAAGTATAAAATATAAGATATAGAATATAAGATATAAAATATAAAATGTAAATTGTAAATTGTAAAGTGTAAAGTATAAAATGTAAATATAAAAATATAAATTTTAAAAAAAAAAAAAAAAAAAAAAAAAAAAAAGACACATGAAAAGAGAAAGAGAGAGAGATAAGACAGTGATGTTCATGTATAAACGTGTAAATAGCAAGTGCTGTTCAAAGAGGAAATCGCATGCATGCCAACCATGAATCGTTTATAAACTGTCTGTGCCAAAGAGGACCCAAGGCGATTTTTTTTTTTTAAAGTTAGTAAACAACTTTAGGAAGGTATGGATGCCAAGTACATGCATGCAAGTCACGGGGAAGTGGTTGCCAGGCATGGTTTTCTTTCTTTTCCCTCATCTCATCCTTGTTCAAAGAGAGAAAGAGACAGCTTGGGCAGTAAAGAAGACCATCAAGAGACAGGATCCCATGTCATGATACACATGGCATAGAGACTTTGGAGGCATTGCAAAAGAGATTAGGCGTATGTTTAGAAGATTAAATAAAAAGAGACCTACGCAACTCTTAATTTCCCAATTGCCCTTCTTTCCTCCCATTCCTCCCATTCCTTTCTCCTCTTCTCCTTCTCTCTTTCTTTCTCTCTCTTTTCTCTCTTTTGCCTTGTCCTGTCTTTGCTTTGTAATCCTTCTCTTTATCTCTTCATTCTCCTTTCTTCTTTTCTTTTTTCTTTCGCTGTGCTTTTGTATTTTTACTTCTCCTTTTTTCCCTTTTGGCAGTTCCATTCATAATATTTGCAACCCACCGTCCACTTTGCTCTCATCCTTCTCTCTCTTCTCTCTCTTCTCTTTCTCTCTTTCTCTCTCTCTCTCTCTCTCTCTCTCTCTCTCTCTCTCTCTCTCTCTCTCTCTCTCTCTCTCTTAAAATGGAAGATTCTGATATTGCTACAGTCCAACAGGCCATCGTTCTTACTATCCGTCCATCCTCTGGCCCTACCTTTACAACTGCAATCTCTACTGAGAACACTGTCCTGCAGCTGAAGGAGAAGCTCGCCACTCCAGACCTGCCTGCTTCCTCCATCCGACTTGTCTACTCGGGTCGGGTTCTTAAGGATGAAGATCCATTGTCATCTTATTGTAAGTAGACATCATTTCAATTCCACCCTTGAACATCCACCACACGACATTGCCACATTTTTTTTTTCTTTTTTTTTTTTTTTTTTTTAAAAAAAAAAAAAGAAAACTTTTTGTATCAATGGTTGCCCCGCAGGATAGGTCGACAGAGTAAGGCAATCCAACACATGCGACACATACACCCCACAAAAAAAAAAAAAAAAAATTAAATGACAAACAGTGATAATGATATTCATCATTTTCTGTCTTCTCAAAGCCTCGTTACGCAAGCGCCTTTTTTTTTTATTTATTTTATTTTTCTTCTTTCCTCAATGTGCATGCACATGTTAGAATGAGGTGCGTATGCATTGTGCATCGCAACCCTTTTCTTGGATCCTAGGGTTAAAAAAAAAAAAAGCTCTCCATTAACTAGGGTCTATTCTATTTTTTTTTTTTTTTTTTTTTTTTTTTTTATTGTTTCTATGATAGCCATAAAGGAGGGTCATACTATCCATATGGTCAGAAGTGCGACCAATAGGGCTAATGAACAAGCAGTGCAGACTGTCCGACCTCTCAACAACAGCAACGCACCAACAGATGGGTTCGATGAGCAGGTAAAGAATAATTGGGATTTGACAGAATCTCTTCATTAGTGTGTGAACTGGAGTCAGTCAATCAGTCAGTCAATCAGTCAATCAATCAGTCAGTCAGTCAGTCAGTCAGTCAGTCAGTCAATAAGGCGACAAACAGATAAAAAGTCAGCATGCCAAAATGAGGAATTGAAAGGATATGTATACATGCAAAAGCATATGATATGATAACAGCTGCATCTATCGAGCACAGACAAGAGAGTAGCAAGGAAACAGGACATATTGATGATAACAAACAAAGAGGCATTAACATCGACAGTAGGAAGCTTGGAGCATGGATGCGTTTTCACATATTCTCGACTATCGCCTAATGGATACTACTTCAGTCAGTCACTCAGTCAACGTACTATACAGACTTTCAAGGAGAGGATGAACTATTGGACCAATCTATCCTTCCTGCGATGACAAAGGACCGTGGGCACAACTTCTTTCGATTCTGATTGCTTGTAGTAGATATTCACCCTTTCATTCTCATACATCTGTTCAGTTATGCCATGCAAACCAAAAAAACCATGACAAAGAATTTTTCTTACACATATTCTAATCACCCACATCCACAAGCCTTTGTCTGAGTATCTTTAAATAATTGCGCGTTATCACAGACATAATTCTACCATCAGAACCTGTCATACATCAACACATTTCAACCGCAATAGCCACCAAAATAATAGATAATCTCTAAAAATTCACAAAAAGTGAAAACAATCCACACTGATCAAAGGAATAGAATTGTATTGACCTCTTTTCTTTTCTTTTCTTTTTTTTTTTTTTTTTTTTTTTTTTTTTTTCAAAAAAAAAAAATAATATCATCGATAGTCATTCATGTCAACTCTATTGGAAAATCCGGCTATTAGGGTGAGTGAACGCATTATGACAATCACACATGTATAGTTATATATCCTTCCTATGTGGAAAAAAAAAAAAAAAAGTCTATTCTGATTTTGTTTTTATTTTTTTTATCATTTGACAGGATATGATGGCAAACCCTGAAGTAGTTCGGAGGATGATGATGGCGAACCCTCACACAAGGGAAGTGATGGAAAACAATCCCGAGGTCGCACAAATGCTCAATGACCCTTCATTTCTCCGTCAGGTAAGGACATCTTTTTTTTATTTTTTTTTATTTCTTCATCAAGCTACAGATAACGACTGATAATGCACTGGTGACAATTTAATGCGAACGTCTGCATGTGCTTACAAAAAATGATCCTTGAATAGTCTATGGACATGGCTAGGAATCCAAAGTTGATGAAACAGGCACTGCGGAACAATGACAGAGCACTTTCTAATCTGGAGATGGTTCCCGGTGGATTTAATCATCTTCGTCGAATGTATCACAGTGTTCAAGAACCTATGGAGGCTTCACGAAGCATGCCAGAGCCTTCAACTGACGATCTTAATGCACAATTCGCTGCTCGGCTCAATGCTGATACCCGCCCTCAAGCTGGACAGCTCAATACCACTGCTCTTCCTAACCCTTGGGCACCCCCAAGGAACCAAAGCCAACCGACGAGAGGTACGTAACTTTCAACAACTTTTTTTTTCTTTTTTCTTTTTTCTTTTTTTTTTTTTTTTTTAAAAAAAAAAAAAAAAAAAAAAAAAAAAAAAAACTAACTGTAATTGACATAATTGGTGGATTGATTCAATATAGGTTCAATGTTTCCAGGATTCGGCATGGGTGGAAGTCCTTCCCATGGAATGACAGGATTTGGTGCACTATCTCCTTTTGGAGGTCTTGATAGCCCTACCGCAGGAACCCCAGGGAGCCAACCTGGAAACACAGGTGCTCATGGCTTCGAGAGCCCCTTTGGATTCATGATGAACCAAAGGACAAATGGATCATCTCAAAACCAGTTTGGCTTCCCAATCTTCAACAACGATGGTAATTTATCACCCATGGGTGGCAACAACCCAGAAATGTTTCAACAAATGCTGCAGTTCCAGCAAATGATGAGGCAGATGCAACAGCAACAATCCACATCATCGCCCCCATCCTACAGTGGTTTTCCTCCATTTGGAAACATGTAAGTCTTGAAGCTTGTTTGACATTTTGACATTGTTTATTATGCTTTTTTGTCTTTGACATTTTCAAAATATTGCTTTCTGACTTTTTTTATTATTATTATTTATTTATTTTGGACGATAGGTGGCGCAACAGTAACAGCAACATTAATAATAACTCCAACACTTCATCAAACATTAATTCAACGACACCTGCCGCCAACAGTGCTACCTCTACTGCGACCACTGCAACTACCATCACTCCTTCTGCAACAAATACCACTGCGACCACTAACACAATCCCTAATCCTTCGACCACGTCGACACCCGGTTCAACGCTTCCCCCGCCAGAAGAGCGATTCCAATCACAGCTGGCATCGCTGCGTGACATGGGATTCTCAGACAATCAAAGAAATATGCGGGCTCTACTGGCCTCAGGAGGAGATGTTAATTCGGCGATAGAGTTTCTTTTGCGGATGTAAAGAAAAAAACAATATTATATATATAAAAAAGAAAAGAAAAGAAAAAAGATATCATTCACCTAACCGAGCTAGTGTAGAAATGCCTATTCATCCAATTTACAAGAGGAACTAGAGAACGCTTTTTACACTATCCTACTCTGTCGCTCTCGATAAAAAAAAAAAAAAAAAAAAAAAAATGAAATGCCAGGACAAAAATACTTTTTTTTTTTTGTGATTGTTTCATACACCTGCATGATTCTGCATGCTGCAGATCTTATTGAAAAACCCTTATATTTCAAGTAAATGATAGTAGCTTAAATAGTTCTAGTTATTTGCATAAACTGAAGTGAGCGTGCTCAAAGAAGATCATGGCCTCGAATTCTTTGCATCTATACTGTTATATTTGGGAAGTAGGGAATCTGATCCATCATCAGATTGAATATAATATGCAAAAACTGTTCGATCCGTTCCTCATCTCCTGTGTTGAGCATGGCCGCAAACCGTGGAGTGATCGCAACGGACCCTAAACGAAGGACCATGCGCTTGAGCGAGTCCCAGACTAGGCCATGGAATGGATGAGACGGGGAGGAAAGACTGCATTGGAGTGGAAGGTCTGAGCAGGCCTCATAGACCATCAAAAGACATTCTTGAAGAGATTCATCCTCCTCATCCTTGTCCTCGTCTTCGATATCATTGCTGTCCGTTATTATATCTTCAACATCCTGAGGTTCCTCATTTCTGTCTCGAGTCTTCTCTAGCTTTTGTCGCTTATCCGTCCGTTGCGATCCACCACTCTGTGGACTCGATTCACGATCATGCTTGTTGGTTGTATCTATTTTCGACGAAATGTCCACCCGATCTACGGTCATCTCACTGTCTGCTACAGTTTTAATCTGTTTCCTTGTCATCTCTTCTTCTTCGTCCTGTTCTACAGGAGAGTTGTTATGACCATCCATATCATAATATTGCAACTCTTTACGGCTTAATGTCTTCAAGATCCAAGCCTCTGCTAACCGCCTTACAAAGACCACCATATACCGTTCTGCACATACCATCAGTTGCACCACTAACTGGAACGGTAAATCCTCAGGAAGCAAGTGCTGCGCCGTCATTTGAGACTCTTGTATAACCTCCAACAACATCTGGAACACATCCGGGTCCGTATCATGTAAGGTAATATGCTGTTGAGTGGCCTCCATAAAATCTCCAACTAGCAATGTGTGAAAGAACATGGAGGCTCGCGAGAGGAGATAACGATCTGGAAAGGATATAACATGACCTTGGATCAGAAACTTGATCTGAACTGGAGTATCAAGGCTGTTGGGCTTATTGCCGTTGCTGTTGGTACCATTGTTATTATCAGAGCCATTCAGAATAGCCACATGCGCCTTCCATTCGGTTGTCGTCACTGTTTTATAAGATTGTACAAAGTTCTGATGCTGTTGTCGCCATTTATCCCAGTGCTTCCAGCAGACAGACTGGATCGCTAACCCTGCACTGAGTCGTCTCAAGAGTGCTTCTTCTTTTTGAGCACTGATCAAATCCTTCTCCTTACTATGGCTATTGCTGTTATCGTTACCGGTAGCTGTTGTTCTGGTGTCTTGAAGCAGACCATTATCCCTTCCGATAGTACCTTCATTTCTTGTTCTACCTTCTTCTTCCTCTCCTTCTTTATGTTCATCCTCATAGTCCATCTCTAATGTCAACATCCTGCCTATGATCCCTAAAATGGATTCTGTTTTCAGATACGTTGTCTTGTCGTCTGTAGTAGTCGTCATTGGCTTTGGTCTTTGGAATAGTATAGAGGGATGATGACCTGGACGAGACAAGGGTCGATCTCGATCAGAAAGATAAAAAAGGATGAGTGCACAGTACTCACGCATCCAATAGAATGATTCCGCAGTTTCATCCGGTTCTTGAAGTGAACGGTTCCCGCCAATGTACTGATAGATCCGCTCGAATTGAACTAAGGACGGCTCCATGATTGTCTGGAGGACTTCCAGAAGCTGTTGGTGAAACAAATAGTGATGAGGTGTAGGGAGCATGCGGGGTTGAATTTGCTCCGTAGGAGCCATAGCACCAGTAGGAATAGTAACCATAGTAGTATTGATGGCAGAAGTAAAAGTGGTATTAAGAATCAAGCCACGATCGTGGATGTGATGCTCTTCTTTGCTGGGTGCAAAGTTGCTATGGTCATCATCACGGTGGCCGTTGCTGCTATTATTGCTGCTATCCCTGCTTTCACCAAAAGTACTCGACGTCGTGTCCTCCACTCCTTGTTTTGTTTTTTCTTCGGTATCCGTAACCACGGCCTCAGTATCAGCAGTCATGCCATCTGGAATGGCATTTAAGGAAAAAAAAAAAAAAAAAAAAAAAAAAAAGAGTCAATTGGTCAGTTGTGAAGAGGTGCTTCACGTTCAAAGTCTTTTTTTTTTTTTTTTTTTTTTATTTTTTTTTATGAGGTATTATTAAATAACTAACCTTCAAATTTCATTTTCCTCGCATAAAACCTCAAAGGCCGATCCATCTCCATGATGGCTGCAAAGGCTTCAGTAATAGTATTATTCGAGACAAGCTCCTTGGCTAGATCACGGTTTGAAAAGATAGATGAAAGTGCTCTAAAGAGCGCCTTCTCCATCAGAGTCTGTGGGTTTTCATCAGCAGTATCAACACTTATCGTCGTATTCCCAGGAGGATGATGAATATCAACTTTGAGTCGATGGCGAGCCTGGTTGGGATCTCCCAAATGTCCAATAAGCGACCGCTCAACCATTAATCGGGCCAACATCCAGATAGCCCCTGGTTTTGAGACAAGTCGTCGTTGGCATTCCAAAAACTGCGAAAGTGGAACTAAGATCAACGCCGCTTCCGCCAATATAGGATCTCGCTGCTCAAATAACGGATGTCGTACCCTTCTCTTAATCTTATTCTTCCTAATCCTTATAACCTCTGGGTCATCGCCTGGAACTGAGAGAGCTAAGCTAAGCATAAAATCACTTGTCCATTCTGTACCTGGCGGTGCTAATATGGAGAGTAAGACTGGAACGATGGATGGTGAAGGCAATGTTCCTACTGCTGTTCCTGCGACTGCGTCGGTTTTTGTGGTTTGGTATTCAGCTGCCACATCTGACGGCATCAACTTCCTCCAAAGCTCCAAATAATCGCCATCCTCACTATCGCCAGGTTCATTCCCAACTCGATCATTATGTGGCTGTTGTTGTAGATGTGGAGAAATTTGTAGATCGATCAATTGTCGAAGACCCACATGGTCATACCAAAAGTGTCGCAAAGCCATAAAACATTTCATAGCAATGACCCTAGGTAGCTTTTCTCTGGGGCTGTACTGGGCCCATGCAAGGCGTCGCATGCTTGCGCCTAGCAAGCTTACTAGGAACGCCAATGATGACCAGGCCTCCCGCATCTTGATTCGCACACTTGACTCGGATCCAAAGGAAACAATGGTCTCTAGCAATAACATCGCTCGTTCCTTCCTCCATCCGCTGTCAGTACTTTTGCTATTTTCATTGTTGTCGGAATCGCGTCCGCGCAATTGACCGCCATTTCCCTTATTACTGTCCTTTGGGAGGCATACTAAAATGGGTACCATCTTTAATTGATGAAGCCGAGGTCCCAACAAATCCGCTAATGTATTGCGAGCCTTTGGATGAATCTTCCAGAATAACATAAACACTTTCAATGCTTTCATACCCATTTCATCCGCTTCTTCTGCTATAGCTGAGGTTGTTTCTGAAGTCTCTGCTCTGCTCATTTCAAATTCAAGTGGCTGCATGATGATCTCTACAAGTGCCTCATATCCAAGTGTCCAATGTGACATGGGTACATCTGCCATGATTCCTTGTCTAAAAAGAGTGGGTCTCTCATGTCCCTTCGTCAATACCATTGATAACAAAGTCAATGAGAGCTCTCTAATTTTTTTCAGACTTGCCTGGGCTGAGGAAGGGTACTGGACCCCAAAGAGGTCCTTGAGGTCCAAGAGTAACAACAGCCAGACATGGATCAAATTTTGAATGTGAAGGAAGACTAAATCCGTGCCTTCAGAAGACCCGTTAATGGATCCAAGCAAAATCATAAGCATAGCCTCCAGTACTACGGGCCGCAGCTGGATCATCCTGACAGAATAAGACACTGTTCCTTCTGTTGAATCTCCTCGGATAGTTGCGGTAATTGTATTAGCAATAGCATCCTGATCAAAAGGAGGGTTAGGTAGCGAATGGGGATGAGATGGTGATCGGTCATGAAGTGGTAAAGGGGTTGAATCAAGGATCCCTTCCAGAAACTCGATCGTTCTTCGCATGATCGTAATCCCGATAGGTCGTTTTCCAGAGAATAATAGTGAATGATATTTTTTTAACGTGACCATGTTCCGTATGAGTTTTGTGAGATATTCAAGAATGATGCTATCTCTTTGGGAATTTTCGTGCTTGTCTTTGTCGCTGCCTTTGCCCATGTCCTTGCTTTGTGTTTTACGAGAAGGATTAGGATTATCTTCCTTCATCGTCAAGGATGTCGTTAAAGAAGCAGAGGCAGGTATTGCTGACAGAGCGTTGGTTTCACAGTCGTGTGGGACGACGTAATACCCGAACCATGCCATCAATGTGTCTGCACGTTCCGTCATCACATAAGTCATCACTGTGGTGTCATTCCGAAAAACCCAGCATAACCAGTAGATGGAAGCGCTGACAGTGAGCACGAGTCGCTCTATGGACCGATTATTAAACAGCACAATGTGTTGGATGGTTTCCCAGATATCAATCAACAATTCTGGGAGCGCTGCATCCTTTAATTTCTCCACTTTAGTAACACTAGCAGTCATAGCAGCGGTAGTAGTAATAGTGGTAGTACTATCACTCATTGTTGGAGCTGTGGTGCGATTGACCGTATGGTCTGTAGGTTTCTTGGCAAGTAGGTCCCCTTCAGCTTCCTGAAAGAACCATTGGAGGAGGCTGAGGGCTTTAGCTTGGGTGTTGATTGCCATCTCCAGCTCCTGGGTTGTTGTTTTTGTTTTTGTTTTTGCTGAGGCTAATGATGATGTGGTTTGTTTACCACCATCATTGTCCTTGTTCTTGTCTTTGTCCTGATCTTTATTATCGTCGTTGGGGTCCTTTTCAGGACTCAACTCTAGTAGATCAGTCGATAAAGAAGAAGCCAAGTTGTGCTCGAGCCTTTCCAAGACGCGTTTCAGAGGATCCAGCATTTCCCAAGTTGCATCTAATTGCACTAAGGATCGATACGAGGTCAAGATGCGAAGTCCATATTCCTGCAGTTTGACCAGAGGTGACCCCAGTAATGCTGAAAGCCCCATGATACCACTAACAGCCAGCTGTTGTGGGGCCGTTGACTTTATTGAGATGTCGTCGTTCCCTGGGGCTGCAGGAGATTCGTATGTCATTAACCGCATCGCGAACGTGTATGGCGGACATAATGCATTTGAGGTTGGTAAGGGAGTAACGACCGCGGTAGGATTACTAGCGTTGTTGTTGGGGTGAGTACAGAATGAGAGAATCTTTGCGCAAAGCAACTGTACGTCCGTTGTATCAATGTTGGGGCCACCGAGAGGCATCGTACCGATTAAAATAGGTTTCAAAAAACTGGCAAAAATCTGAGTCTTCTGCTTCTCGTCGAGAGGTAATAATGTCTTGAGTGTATCATTGCTACTGTTACCACTACTACTGACATTATTATTATTATTGTTATTTGTGACATTTTCGTCCGCAGTGTCGAGCAAGATCTGAATGCCCAATAAAGTGTGTTTGATCTGGCTGCGTATGGAGCGTTGCTGCGGTGTCTCAGAGGGTGTAACTGAGATTGTAGAAGCAGTAGAAGCATAGTAACTGTTGCCCTTATTGTTGTGATGATTCCTATCATGGTCGATCTCTAACCGTTGCTGCTGCTGTCGACCATGATATTTTTGTAGCTCTACCAGAAGCCAATTGGAGAGTTCACCTAGAAGGTGAAGTCTCCTTGTGACGCCAAGGGAAGCAAGGAGAGCATAGGTGGATGGGAGAGATCTCTCATGGCTTCGCAAGAGATGAATGAGGTCGGCTGTTCGCATGAGAAAAGATGGACTCTCATATGAAGGGTTGTCCTTCCTGGAATAAAAGCAACGCCGTCAGTAAAAAAGATGCGCATGCACGTGATTATCACAAACCGTTCAACAAGCTGTGTGAAATTTCTCAGACATGGATCTTGTGAGAAGAATTTGGATGCCCAGGCACCGAACAGCCACTATGAAAATATGACTCTTGGGTATGAACTTAGCTGCCGCCTCGCAAATTCGTTTTCTAAGAAGAGTGCTTGCCAGTTGATGACCTCCTGGGTAAACTAGCTCTCGAGAAAACTATGATGACATCCTTTGGAGATATTGGGAGATAGTGACAGACCTGAACCACAATTAGGATATTCTCCACCTAATATTAAAAGATACAATATCAAAGATACTTAATAACCTCCAGTTCGGTTCTCTCCTCCTAAGTAGATCTAGTGAGTAAGGAGACTTTGTCACTGTTGTTGCTGCGAAGGAGAGTACTGTGATGATTGGGATTACAGCCGGCGAAAAAGCTGAAGTCAAGACATCGACCTAAGACAGAGGACTTGAAGCCCTTCAATGCCTTGCAGGTCATGAGGTTCAATTTACTCCTAAAGCTCTTGGATTTAGAAAGACCGACGTCAATTGGAGGTAAGCATTTTCTTTAAATGATTGTTATTTGTATATGCTTAGGAGATCATCCTGAAGTGCAAAAACATACTCTAAAGACGATTCTGCAAGATGCTTTTGATGTTGCTAATACTCCAAAGACTGCTAACCAACACGATATACTGCACTGCGGCGTCAGCCATTCAAATTTAATTCTCTATAGGAACAAAGGGTATCTTATCGACTGGGGCATTGCAATACGTCCGGGGACTGAAGAGGCAAATGATCTGTCAGAAACACTGCTATATAATTCCATATTTTCCATATTGGCTCTACATCTACATTCGTATCAAGGAACGTTTATCAATGAATAGCTTTGGGCAGTGGTTTATTCAGCAGATGCTGAATGTTAGATGTACTATCCCAAAAGTACAAAGCCATGCCACTGCAAACAACCCGACTCCAAAGATTCAAAAAGAGAAGTTGGCAATAGTCTAGTCAAGGAGGGGCGCCAGCAGGTTGCTAATTCAAAATATTTAACACCTGAAGTATATGAGAAGCTGCGTGGAGCCCCACGTGCGATAGCTTAATACCTTCTGAAGAATGCTTATGATATAACTAGTCATGAAGTTGTTACCGCCTAGTGGGTTATGAAGTATAACAGTGAAGAGGAGATAGATACATACAAAAACTTGTATGCTCTGTCTACGAGTGATGGGGTGGACCTTCAAGACAGTCTAAGGATCATCCAACCAAAGGGGTTGATGTCGCTTACTTTCTGTATGAACAATGCTGGTATATATACTCAATCCCACATAAAACTGAGAGACTCGATTTACAAGCTAGCATATGCAGCTAGGGTCTTTGAAGAATAGAGTATCAACACCCCAATACATCAACTGGGGGACTCATTTTTGAAAGTTAATCAGCGCCTTTTTTAAAAAGAACTGCTATCACGATAACTTTACTTCCAAATTCTTTCAGATGTTGCTTGGAACTTCGGATGCTACTTGGATATCCACCTTATTGTCTTAAAATTAAACGGTAACGGATAGGTATATGGATATTTGAAATTCCCTATGGAGAAAATAAATTGTCCACTCCTGGCATATTTCATCGATGTTCACAAATCAGTTGGAAGGATAACGCCGATGTTGATCGACAAACCACTTGTCTGACAGATAAAAATCGATACAATGGAGTTTATTGCATTGGCGTGCCTTACATATGTATGCTCACTGCATGCGTTTTGTACAGCGCTCAACATGTATTCTTTCTATACACGTTGTTCCATAGCCAGATGTGTATGAAAAGTTTTAGACAGACAAGTAGACACTAGACAGGTAATAGGGTAAGCGTGAAAAAGATAAAGGTCCGTACATCAAGGGGTATATACATAGTTTTTTGTATTAATGAATATCTAGACTTTTATTGAGGAACATGTGACTTATCGATGAACATTAATCTTGTATTTGTATTGATTAACATTCCGAGCAATTTTTGTTAAGCATTTAACATCTATTCCATTCATGTTACTCATATACAGGCATGTAGCAATGTTGATATAAAAAATTTCATCGATTTTTATCTTTTTCCTTTCGATTGATTTTGGAACGCGGGTGAAATACGCCAGGATCACATAAAATAACGAGAACGAAAGAGGATCTAGGGATCATCACTAAATAAAAGGGTAAAAATCCTAAACTGCGGTAAAAACTCATATGAAATGACTGCTGATCGCAAGAGCAGTATCAGCATCTTTTTAGTAGCTCGCAGATCAAATGTAGTCTCTGTGGTAACCTGTCATGAGTCATGGGAGCTTATACAGAAGTCTGAAGTGCAGCTGACAGACATTTGCTCTGTCGTTGATCCACAAAAAGCTCCTATGGGATCTTCAGAATGTTCGTCAACTACGCTTTTATTCTCCGCTCCTTTGTGCCCCAAGTCTACCTTGGATCATGACTGCCAACTTGAGTGAGAGGTAAAATAAGGTGACTCTATGATAATGAACAAGCTTTATCCGCCTCGTTACCTTGACGGTAGAAGTATAGACAAATAAATAGGACCTCCTCCTCTGCCTGCACCTGTGAGGTACCAGATGAGCGATAGTGAGCATTTCCAGAATCAGAGGGCTTCTGGACAGTGGTTGAAAGTTCACACCCGTCTGGATGAACAGCTGGGAGCTGTTCCAACTATTATAAAAGACGTGACCTCGGGAGAGGAGAGTGTGTATGAAGGGCGCGATATTATCCGGATCATACACGTAATAGGAGCTCCCATTGTGCTAGTCTGAGAAGCTAAAATTGCTCCACTAAGGGATCTCATGTCTGTCCCTTCGTTTGTCGTTAAATTATTTTCTTTTTCATTTCATTCACATTCCTTCCTTCCTTCTCTTCCTTTTTTCCCTAGCATTCTTTCTTCCTATTCATTTTATTGTACCTCCGATATATTATCATTATTATTCATCCTACCTCTTCTCTTCTCTTCATTTTGAATCAGTTTCCATCATGTCAGAGTCCGTCACACCCACACCTACACTGCCAACCAATACCTTGATGGTCACCAACCTCGAGGCACCTCATTTTGAGAAGGAGACCATGCTCAAACTCAAAGCCAAAGTTGAGGAATTTGGAGAGGTTTACTACTTTGCGCCGATCAAATCTTTCTATCGAGTCTTTGTTGTCTACCACTCTACCTTTGATGCTCAACGAGCTAAAGCTCTCCTCCACAATACTACCTTTGAAGGCACGACCATTCGGGTCTACTTTGGCCAGGTAAAAATACCATTTTTATTTCAGATGGCTTATTCAGTACAATCTCATCTTTTCTATCTTTCTTATCCTTCTATCCTTCCATCGTTCCGTGCTCGCTCAACTCACAAAACTCGCATATTTGTTTGAATATATGATCATTTTTGAATTTTATAGCATACAGAGATCTCTGCTGACCCTGCAAGCCGATATCTACATCCACCAGAGCTCGAAAAGAACTGGCTCATCTCACCTCCAGGATCACCCCCTATTGGATGGACCCAAATTCGGGAGGACCCACCTAATGCTGTTCATCTAGCGGATGATTTGGTGAAGGCATTGCTCGACATGGGTCAGCCAGTCTATCAGCTTCCAAGACCTGATGGGACTTTTGCAGATCGATCCCATCTCTTCCTCGCACACGATGAAATTGAAGACCTCTCATTGGGTGAGGCACAAAAGCCTCAAGAGTATGAAGAGCACGAGCAGCATGTTAACGCCACCAGTTCTGGAGTAGAATCAAAAGGAGCAACAGAAGGAGCAACAGAAGGAGCAGGAGCAGGAGCAGGATCAACGAAAACAGAAGCAGAAGCAGCAGTGCAGCAGCAACAAGGTGCAAAGAAGAGCCTTGATGAGAGCGAAAAGGAAATACAGGAAAGATTGCAGCATCAAATTCGAGGTCTCAAGATCGATACCCATAAACCTCCTGCGACTGCTACATCCTCTACCCCAGCCTCTACTAACGCCCTTGGAGATGTCGGCTCTCCAGCTTCGTCACTCTTCCCACCAGCAACACCTACAGTCTTGGCATTCTCGCCTGCAAAAGAGTCTGCGGGTGATCAGCCATTTATCACTGTGCAGGACTGGGGGGCTGATCCAAACTATGTACCCACACCCTTGAAGAGACGAGGCACTATCCCAAAGACAGCTTTCCCAACTGGACCTATTCGTAATTCCACTCCAACATCCCCATCTCATTAATCCCATTTAGAGATAAAAGAAAAAGGAAGAGACCAATCATCGCAATCGACGCTTACTTGCATTTTAGTTTAGCTGCTTTTTTTTTTACTGTCCAATATAGACAAATGTATTTTATGATGCATTGTAAGCTCGTAACACTTCATGGGCAATGACAGATTCTTTTTTTTTTTTTTTTTTCATATTTAATCTGGTGACGCGAAATTTAGAGGAGTCTAAAATGGTTTGAGGCATCCGTCAACAGATGCAAACGTTCTTGAATAAGCTTTTTTTTTGTATATCTTCCCTTGATTCCTTACAGCGTTGTTTATGTGTTGAACCTTTCCACTTTTTGTACAGTAACACACCTCGAATAGGATCGATTTTCAAACCATCTCAAGGGTTTCATATCGAACCTGGGTACGTGAATACCGTGCTTTTCGAAAATAATCCACCAGGATAGCCAAGCAAAGTCCGACGACAGCACCTGTAGCATTGGCTTCAATATCATGGCTATCATACGTCCTTGTCTATGGATTAAAAAAAAACCCTCCAGAAAGTATCATTGGATTGTTTTCAACAGCCAATTAAACATTTGCGCAAATAAAAAAAGAAGAAAAGAAAGAGACCAATCAATTGCGTATATATATTTTTCTTTTCTTTTCTTTTCTTTTCCTTTCCTTACAGGCGAGAGAATCGGCTGGAATATCTCGGATCCAAAGGCCAAAATGCTGACGGGTAAAGCAGTCAAGAGGATGTTATATAGAGACTGAGGATGGTCCCAGATAAAGAAAACCAGAAAAGTCAAGATGAGGAATCCTGTGAAATGGAGAGTCTTGTCTTGAGGAAGAATCTCATGGTAAGGAATCAGGTCTGTTGGTAAAAAGCCCAGTCCTGCTAATAGGAGACACTGCAACAAGACTAGAAAGACAAAGAACCAGCGCATTATAAAGGAAAATAATTAGGTAGACCCGTGGATCGTGGACCGTGGACCGCGTTTGCATAAAACTCTGAAAAGCTAGAAAAGAAATCAAACTTCATGTAACTTCATGTAAAACCCACATGGTGAACGTGTCACCTTTATTACAATGACAATGACAAGGGCACGCGATTTACTTTTTACTTTTTTTACTTTTTTATTTTATAATTATTAATTTTTATCCATTACATGATACAGAAAGACATTTTTAATCGGGGATAAGGGTAATTAGAGAAGTGCCAGGATCCGATGATAGTCTTCCTCAACTGCTAAAAATGTCTCGTGTAGTTTCTCAATTCTTTCCCCTTTGTCAAGTGTTGCTAGAGCCTCAGCATTGTGCTTATATAAACGACCTTTTACTTGTAGGCGGAAGGCCTTGTATTGTCCCTTGTTCCGTTTATCCAAATTCCTCAACAATGCCATCTCATAACAACGCGCTACTTGTTTCTATTAACCAACATTCATCAGATGGTAAAAAAAAGAGAGAGATTCTTAATATGGACCCATTTATTGTAGGAAGTGTCCAGCAGAAAATGAATGGATTTGCAAACCTTTGTCAACTTGTAGGTCTTGGCAACTTCTGCTATCCTATCTGCCTTAATAGGCGCCTGTATATCCTTGAAAACACCTTTTGCAGTCAAATGCTTCATATCGTTCCTGTCTCTCAAATCACTAAAATCATCATTTGGATCTTCAACTATTTTGCCACAATATTAAGTGTCGAAAAAAAAAAAAAAAAAAAAAAAAAGCCTTTAATACATCCTTCATCTGAGAATGTAAACATTCAATGATACACGGATGTATTATTTCTAACCACTGAACGGAAGAAGTCTCACCTGTAATTTCTCTGATCTCTTTTCGACTGCAAAAATCATTATAAAGTGATTGGTAGAGTCTACTTCCATGTCCTTGTTGTTGATATGGTGGTAAAATCAAGAATTGGCTAAAAAAAAAAATTCAGTTTGATAAAGTTTCATGAAATCCTCAGTTTCCGGTTTTTTTTTTTTTTTTTTTTTTTTTTTTTTACATCTGATTTTCAATCTGATGTCTATTATCGTACCTGATCCGCATACGGATTTGATCCGGATAATAAAGATATGGATACATATTACAATAGCCAACAAAGTTATATGATTCCTGTCCGTTCTCTGAAACTTTCTCAAATACTAAACGAATCTCCCATTTCTCATCTGTATCCTCGATAATGGATGCGCCTTCGATGAAGAAAATTGCAAAACATTGTAGCCTTTTGTGGTATTCCAAGAACCTTGGCGTTTCAAAATTGGCCTGGAGAGGGGAAAAAATAAAATCATAATAAGTAGCTGATCTTTTGTCCTCAACAATTTATAGCTTGCTTTTGTCCCACTTCATTGTTTTCCGAAGATAGTTCCTTTTTCTTTTTTTGTTCTTTTTTTTTTTTTTTTTTTGTCCTGTACCTGATAAAACTCGAATACACTGTTTTCTGATCCTTCACGGTCGATAGTATACTCTGCAACCTTAGTACCCATTGGTCTAAACTCTTTATGATCCCGTTGGGCAATTTGTGAGAACAAATCATGATTGTCGATAATGTCTATTGCCAAAGGAAAAGTTAGTTAGTTGGATCTATTTATCATTTTTTAGCCATAAAACATCTTCACTAAACAAATAGTAATAGTAATAATAACAGTAATAACAACAAGAGCATGGGTCTTTAGCTGCCTTGATATTCACCTTTTGGTAAAAAGCCCTTCATGGAGGTATAGATTTTGTCCGCATTTGGTTTCTTTTCCTTATATCCCATACTGAAACATGATGCCAGAGATCCAGATGCAAATTCAACCTGTAATCAATTGATCCAGTGAAGAAAAAAAAAAAAAAAAAAAAAAAAAAAAGCATAGTAATCATAAAGATTAGATGTGAATGATAGCGTCCTGTAAGACATGGTACAACATGAAAGTTTGATCCTCAGGCGCCCTTTACATTGATGAAAAGATCCTTGTATCCAAAAATTTGTTCCTGCTCCCCGAACATCGGATATGTGTAAGCAGGATTGAATTCAATAATGTCTTCGTCTTCCTCCTCATCATTGATGACAGGTATACTTTTCACTAGAAGAGAAACCCAAAATTGATAGTGGTAAAAAAAAAAAAAAGAAAAAAAAAATCTCATGAGGGTTCATTCCTGAGACAAGTGAACAACATTCTATTCTTGTGAAAAAAGGTATAGCCTTCGTATATATCCCCGTATTAAAGTACTCTCTCTTTTTTTATTCTTTTACCAAGACGAATGTTGACTGCCTCTGATGAGTTTGTAACCCATTGTTTAAGAGAGTTCATGATGTCGAGTCAAATTTATGTCCTTGTGGTGCTTATGAGGAAGGGTTTACTTTACAAAAGAAAATGGAGGCGCGTTTTAATTTTTTTTTTTTTTTTTTTTTTTGAATGTAATGTGGCTTGGTTTATTGATACCACACGCGTACAACGCGCGCCTCAGGAGAAAAATGCCAAAGCCTTTGCACTTGTGTACTTGGGACACTTGAACTGCCGGAAAGCGAACTACAGCAACTACAGCAGCTCAAGGTAGTGGGCTCCAATAAGGGTTTTGGATTACTTTCTAGGTTTCTTTTTCAACACGCTTTTTATGTACTTCATCGTCACCTTCCTTCCACAATCTCGTTCAGTAGAGCACATAGCCCGTGGGAACACTTTGCTCGTAATAAATAGAGGTACGACAAAATCACCCGATTATTGTTTAAGGACAATGGCGGAACAGGCAAGTGCCAATCTGCTTTGGATAGTGTGATAGAAGAATGTGGCTCCTTGACTTACTCTAGTGAAAAAAAAGAACGAAAGAAAGAAAAAAGAAAAAAATAGCGTATGTCTCTTATTGTAACAAATAAGCTTTTGTTGATATTGGATCGTCATGTTAAATAGTAGTGAAGGAAGCCCCCTTGTTGCTTTGTAGCCTTGTGCTTTGAGAGTTGGTTGTCAGTTAAACATGTAGATGCATGAATGAAAATGTATTTTATTTCAGTTACACCAGGCGCGTCGTACGCGTTAAAAATAAAAATAAAAAAGCGCGACGGAATTTGTCCCGCCACTTTTCTTAAAATTAGCTTCAAAAGCTGTTGATTATGCAAAAATGTGTTTTTCTAGATTGGCCATCTGCTCCTTGAAGTCAATCTTGACAGAAGCCTCAATCTGCATGTATCGTAAATGCGTTGATGGGGACTAACCGAAGGATTGAAAGAATAACAGGGGCAAGGGAAGAGGACATGAAAGGAACAAACTATTATCCGTATAGTCCGTACTCTCCTTCATGAACGAGTGTCTTCACCCTTTCTAGCATAAAAAAACAGGTGGGCTCTGCATAACACTACAAAAAAAAAAAACCCTAGCCCAATTCAATTGATTCCATAATCTTAGAGATGGCCTTGGCTGTATGGTCCATTCCGTTGAGCACATGGTCCACGGGAAGGCTCTGCTCGCGACATGGTGCGACACGCGCTATTTCAGTCAGGCAGTCTAAAGGTCCATCAATACACTGTTTATATTGTTTACATCCTCAGCTTAGTTCTTTTTTTTTTTTTTTTTTTTTTTTCCTTTTTCTTTTCTTTTCTTTTTCTTTTTCTTTTCGTTTCTCCTTTCTTTATCCTTCAATCCACACTTTACATACGCAGTTCCTTCAACAAGCAAACAGGCACCAACTACTCACCATGTCTGATGTCAAGCACAACTCCATGTCTGAACCTCGTCCTGCTGATGAAGAAGCAGTGAAAGGTAAGTGAATGGGCATTACTCTTTTTTCTGTTCATTCATCTATTTTGAGATTTCATTTTTATTTTTTTTTATTTTTGGTTTTTTATTCTCACTCTTTAACTTATTCTGTTGAACGTTTTTTTATTTTTTTACGTTATTTTTTATATCAGTTTTCAGAAGCATCAAGGACGATGTCTTGAAGGAGATTCACCGTCTTAACCGTGAGGACGCTCGCCATGGCCTTCACGAGATGGACAAGCGTAAGCATAGAGAGACCAATTGATGAGAAAAATATACTTTTTAAAAAAAAGGATTAAAGGATGGAAAGAGGATCAATTGCAATATTTCAACTCTGGAACTCTCCACCAAGGACTGAGGTTTTATTGTGTGTGGGAAACCATCAGGTCCATTTTTTTTTTTTTTTCCTTGCAGACAATGAACTAAAGTCTAAAACGTTTTTTTTTTTTTTTTTTTTTTTTTTTAATAGTCAAGCACATCACTGAGTACACTCCTACTCTTTATGCCACAGAGGATGTTGCTTTTGGCCGGTAAGTGATATGATAATAATGACCCATGACTGTAAAAAAAAAAAAAAAAAAAAAAAGTTGCATGATAATAACCCTCTCATCCCTTCCTATCCCTCGACTTTTTTTTTTTTTTTTTTTTATTATTATTTAAACTGTGAATAGCACCTACTTTGCCAAGATCCATCTCGGTGATGGCAAGTACGTCCATGCTCGGTAAGTTTACATTTTGATTCTGTGTTTATTTTATCCTAGCAATAAGATGGATATGATGACTACGACACGAATGTAGACAACAACTCCATGGCTGAAAAAAGAAAAAAAGAAAGAAGACTTTCTGGTCTGCTTTACTCACAAATATATTCTTTTTTTATATATATATTTATATCAACTCGGTAACAAAAGTGCCCACAAGAATCATAATGGAGAGATCAAGTTCTATTCTCTCTTGACCACCCCAGAGTGCGCTGTTTGGGATGAGGACACTCCTCTTGAGTACTTCATCGACTAAAAAAAGAACCATTCTTTCTCTTTTTGTGAGAAATGAGCATTTGTCGATATGTATATAATCGCCATCTCTTGAATAATATTCTTGAAAGAAAATATAAAGTAAAATAAAATACGTCAACAGAAAGTTGCATCCTTGAATGGCAGTGTCAACTTTTTTTTTTTTTTTTTTTTTTTTTTTTGCTTTGCAAAGTAAATGGACTTCAATTGTTCAATTGTCAATTACAAAAAAAAAATGATAAAATGCCGAAAAAAAAAAAAACATTTTACTCTTGAACACCTCCAATGTCATTTGTGCTGTCAGCACAGCTGATCCGCGCTCAGTTCTCGTCATTTCAGCAGATTCGTCTTCCTCTTTCTCATCACTCTCTTACTTCTTCTTATTGTCATTCGTTGCATTCGTTGCATTCGTTGCATTCGTTGCATTCATCTCACTCTCAAGTGCGTGTACCTGTTGCCTCTCCTGTCTTCCGTACTTTCACCCTTTCGGCTGTACACAATCCACCGCTCTCTGCCACTTGTCCGCATTTGTTTCTTATTAATAAGCAGTCGCTACATCATCCACTTCATCATCATTATCGCCTTTCTTTTGCTCCTTCTTCTTCTTCTTCTTCTTCTTCTTTACTTTCTTCTATCTCTTCCCCTCAAATCCATCACTCTACTTCAAGCGATTGCTCGGCCCCTTTATTATTCATCAGATACTATTCTTCAAAAGGACCTGTCAATCGATTCATCATGTCTAATCAATCTTCCCACGATGTCTTTGAAGCTGCAGCCTCGGGTGATTTGGAGATGATCAAGGGTCTAGGGCGGATCCATCTCGAAGCCAAGAATGACCGTGGTTGGACTCCAGTAGCTATCGTTTCCGTCCTTCATCTTTCCTCCTTCTTCCTTTCTCCCTCTTTCCTCTTTCCTCTTTCATCCTTCCTCCTTCATTCTTCTTTCTCCTTCTATTGACAAAGCTTTTGCCTTTGCCTTTGCCTTTGCCTTTGCGTTTTTCTTTCTAATCAATTGGGTCCTCCATCATTTACAATTACTTGTTTCTGCTACTTTTGAATAAACTTTGGATCAACTGATTTTTTTTTTTTTTTTTTTTTTTTTACAACAGCTCATGTTCGCAGCGCGCTACGGACATGTAAGTGTAGTCGAGTACTTGTTGGCTACAGCCAAGGTGGATGCAGAAACCGAGAACAAGGATGGCAAGACAGCAGCCGAATTGGCCGAGTTCTGGGGATCGACTGATTGTGCCGCAGTGTTTGATCGATTGGCACCCAATAAGAAGAAAGTTCAACACAGTACTGGATCTCCTTTTGCTTCATCCAATACTAACAATAACAACAACAACAATAACAACAACAGTGCCATGGCGGCAGGAGCAGGTCTTGTGTCGTCGACAGGCAACAGCAACAACACAAACACTAATACTGAGAATGGTAGTATGGCAGATTGGTGGAAGAGAAGAACAGTTTTAGAAAATAAGCCGTTGCATTTTACAGGATCTACTCATAACAGGTATATAGATGTCTCAATTGAAATGTTCCTCATGTTGGCATTGAGTTTGACAGAGGCAGTTGAAAAAAAAAAAAAAAAAAAAAAAAAAAAGTCATCTGACAGTTCACGGTATGTTCATCGAATTAGGCTGAGTTTTCTTAGAACAGACAAAGAATATCTTGAAGAATCTGTGAAGGCGCCCTCGACACGATTTTTGATCCTGGCAGATCATGGAGTCATGTTCAAGTCCAGTACAAAACATCTTGCATTTGCACAATACGAGGATGTCCAGCATTTGATTGGATCTGATCCTTTAAATAACCTGCCTGAGGGACTTGTGCTTGTCTTCCTGGGAGCTGATGAGACGAACGCAACATCGGACAACGAAGTTTTGGTTAGGGGTCGTCGTGGCATTGGCTATTGGGCATTGGATATGTCTGCGAAGGGTCCACGAGTTACAGCAGAGTTGAAGGACGCTGTTGAGAAATTCATCAATACATACACTGAAAAACATGGTCACTACATGGCAGAAATGCGACCTGCTGCGTTTGGATTATCGTTTGCAGAGAGTGGGTTGGTAGCTCAGGCCAGAGCTGTGATCGATTGGAATAAGCGGAATCAATTCTGTACAGGCTGTGGGCGGAGGAATCTGTCACTCGATGGTGGTCATAAGCGGACATGTCCGCCAATGATCCAAGAGAACGGCCAAGAAGTACCTTCAGATTGTTTGGCACATAAGGGCATTCAAAACTTTACTTATCCTCGTACAGGTATAAAAAAAAAAATCTATTCAATCCATTTGACGACCAACTACTAGAATCATTATCCTAATTTTTTTTTTTTTTTTTTTTTTTTTTTTTACTTTAGATCCCGTGGTGATTGTATGTGTCATCTCACCGGATGGTGAACGTGTCATGCTTGGTCGCCAAGCTGTGTGGCCCAAGGGTATGTACTCTTGTCTCGCGGGATTTGTGGAGCCAGGGGAGTCTCTTGAAGAGGCTGCGAGACGTGAAGTGAAGGAAGAGTCGGGTATTCGCCTAGGTCATGTCATGTACCACTCATCTCAGCCTTGGCCCTTCCCCAACTCACTTATGATCGGCTGTCATGCTGAGGCCCTGAACGAAGATACAAATGTGACTTTGGAGGATAAGGAGCTGGAGGATGCTAGGTGGTTCACGAGAGCTCAGATCCTTGAAGCCCTCAAGGGCTCGAGGACTGCGGTCTGGGGCAAGCCATCAGAAAATGATAGTCTTCGGCTGCCTCCTGCTACTGGTAGGTTCTTGTTCCGACCAAGTGTTTGAAATGGTTTGTAGTTAAAAAAAAAAGAGAAACTAACCCGGAAGATACTTTTTTTGATCTCAAATGAATACGTTATTAGCCATCGCACACCACATCCTGAAGGCATGGGCTACAGAAGAAGGAGAGATCCCACACTCGAGGATGTAATTTAATTGAACAAAAAATAAAGTTTGAAAAAAGTGATCGGTCTTTGCGAATATCAAAGCTTTCATACCCGGTCCGGTTTTATTTGTCTACTGTTCTCTGTTCGTCCCTCCTTTCTACACACATTCATTCATTCACATTCATTCACATTCATTCATTCGTTCACCTTCATATTCATATTCATTTCGTTCTTTGTTTCTGCCTCTGTCTTTCCTATTTCCTTTCTTCTTGCTTGCGCCTTGCACCCCACAAGACCATCATGCCCAATTCTTTTGACAAACAAACTATCGCTGAAGCAAGACCTTATAAGGCCGTCTTCTTTGACATTGGCGGAGTCGTTGTAGGGTCTCCCTTCAGTGGAATTGCCGAATATGAAAAGGAGCATAACTTGCCTCACAACTATTTGAATATCGCCATGTGAGTAAACAGTTTTATATACGATATATGTATATTTATTCGCATGGGACGTACTTCGGATGTGCTATTATGACGTGTTAATCGTCATTAATAATCGACAACCCTTCATGTACATACATTAGTGCACAGGCTGGGCCCAATGGTGCCTTCCAGAAATTGGAGCGCGGTGAGATTGATCTGTGGTCATTTTATGATGCCTTCTCGGAACAACTTTCCAATCCAGAAAACATTGCTGCATATTCGAAATATGCTCGATTGAGAGGCAAAGGTATTCTATCCCTATCCTTTACTTATTTATTTATTTTGTTGGGATCCTTATATTTTTAATTTTTTTTTTTTTTTTTTTTTTACTTAGAGTTTGATGAAAAGTCGTTCAAAGCTCCTGTTATCAATGGGCGGGAATTGTTTCATCAAATGATGCGCAAGACAGCTGCGGCCGTCCCATCCATGGTCCAAGCCATTGTAGCGCTTCGACAGGTCGGATACAAACTAGCAGCGTTGACGAATAATTTCGACTTTCCATTGGACGAGCGTGGACAACGTGAGCAAGAATTGATCCTAAAAGTCACTGGTCAACCAATTATGGCAACATCAACATCAACGTCAACAGGGACAGAGGCTACAAGAGGATCGATGGTGATGGCACAGGGTCATCTCAAGACACTTTTTGATTACTATATCGAATCCACTGTTTTAGGCCTTCGGAAACCAGATCCAGCGATTTTTAAAAAGGCATGCGAGCTTGTGGGCGTTCAACCTTCAGAAGTAGTTTTTCTCGATGACATTGGTGCTAACCTAAAGTCGGCTGAAAAGTTGGGAATGAAGACTATCCGAGTTGAACTGGGGAAACCAGAAAAGGCTATTGAGACATTGGAGAGCATTCTCGGCATCAAATTACTAGTTGGATCATCTCCAACGTCTGTAGCCAAGCTCTGAATGCTATATTGTATTATTATTATTATTATTATTGTAACCATTGACTTTTATAGTGCTAGACTGCAGAATGAATATACTAGCACAGAGCTATAGATCGCAATATCAGCCATAAGTAGCATTCAGATACTCTAAAAGGGTTCCTCTGTTCTTCTCGCGCTTCTTGTCTTGACTGGATTTAGCAACCTTAAGTTTCAGCTAAATAACGAAACGAATAACAATGATGATGAAATAGAGAAGATTAATCTCGTATAAATGCATATTAAAATACATTTATTTCAGCAGGCCATCTAGTTATATAACAGTGACTGTGTCGATATGCTTGTTTTTGTTACCTTTTGTCCTGTAATAACACTCCGACGGTTATCGTCCGAATCATCGGATGATGAAGAGGGGGATCGACGGCGATGGCGTTTACTCCTAGATTTCTTGGAACGCGATCGAGATCTAGAGCGCGATCGCTTGTGCTTGCGGTGTCTGCGGCCCCTTGAGCGAGAACGATCTAGGTCGTATGAGTAAAGCTGAACCATTAAGCCTCGTGGAAACAATGGCAATAGTAATAGTAATAATAATAATAATAGTAACATATTAGCGTTCAAATTTACTGTCAACTTCTTTACCTTCACTGTCGCTACTACTGGAACTACTGTCGACAGATCGACTCCTACTGCGACGATGGCGATGTGATCTGTCATTCTCCCTGGAACGAGAACGACGATGGCTACTACGATCTCTCGAATCATCCCTACGGTGTTGACGATGGTGGCGACTAGATTCGGATCGGTGACGAGAGCGTGAGCGTGAGCGAGAACCAGACTTTGACCTTGACCTTGACCTTGATCTTGATCTGGAGAGATGATGTTTAGTTCTGTTGCTACTGTCGCTTGTACGGGTAGACTTTCGATCGTCCCTGACATCTCTCCTGTCATTTGAACGCGACCGGTGTCTGCGGGCTGCCAGAGTTTATTTCACATTGGAGGAAAAAAAAGAAGGATAATTTATGGAGATCAAGTTCCAAAGCCGCACAGAATGTTGGTGTCAATTGAGAAATATGATAAAAACATCCTCAGTTCGATTAGATGGACAATCAGCCGTGATAGAAAAGTTGTGTGCGTTGTTTTTTGTCAATTTAGTCAAGTAGTAAGTCCAAGGAGTGCGAGAATGATATCGCCAAGTCAGGTCCATTCCGTTGATGGACAAAGGAATACAGGAAAAAGAAGAAAAAGAAAAAGAAAATATAAAGAGAGGAAGAGGTTAGTTCTGGTGCGTGACCTGACTTTTATAGACTTGGCAATACAATAACGAAGATGAGTAGGATTGACACTGCCAGTGAACTTACAAGGAGACCTGGAGCGAGAATCCTTCCTCTGTCTGGAGGTACTCTTGTGGTGGTCATGATCCCTGTCCCTGTTCCTGTCCCTGTTCCTGTCCCTGTTCCTGTCTCTATCCTTGTCCCCTCCATGGGTACTGTTGCGGCGTACAGATGAAGGAGATTGGCTTCTACCACTGCGTTCCCTGGATTCGCCCATTGAGCTCTCTTTCTATCTCACGCTTTTTTTTTTTTTTTTTTTTTTTTTTTTTAGTTTATATATAGTAAGATTCAAGGTTGCGTGAGAAAAGTGGATACAGAGTACTAGACGGGAATGACGTTTCTTCCTGGCTATTAGAATTGCCTTCAACAAGTCAGGCTCTAAAGCTTGGAGGTTAAAGATAGTGAAGGGGAGAGATGGAAAAGACTAATCTAGGCAGTCAAGCAATCTCTCTCTCTCTTGTTTCTTGTTTTTGTTTATTGATAGCAACAAGAATAAAGACGGCAATGACAATGACGACAGGTTGGTGATTAGCAATGGATGGGATGGAAAGATGGAAGAGGGGAGACCAAAGGAGGAAAAAAAATAAAAAATAAAAAATAAATAAAGACACATGCATAGTCTCCATGTACAGAATACAAGACAGAAATCAAGGGCGTCAGTCAGACCCCTTTTCTCTTGTATCTGCGCACACGTACAGTTTACTTTCCATTTATTACCTTCTCTTATTCCATTCCCATTCTCATTCTCATTCTCATTCTCATTCTCATTCTCATTCTCATTCTCATTCTCATTCTCATTCTCATTCTCATTCTCATTCTCTCTTTCTCATTCTCATTCTCTCTTTCTCTTTCTCTTGTTTAATTATCTTTATTACTTTGCCATGAGCACTCCCGCCACTCAGACCCCTATTAAATCTCCAAAGTTGAGACGTATCGCCTTACTAGGTTCACGAGCAGTTGGTACGTTTTTTTTTTTTCTTATCTTTCTAATAGGCTCGCTCCGGTCACGGGAAATATCAATTGCATCGGCAACATTGGAGCTGGAAAGGACGATAGAAAGCAACAATGGAAAATAGGGCGCTCTTCTCTTGAATATCCAACCTAAAAAAAAAAAAAAGATTGTCATATTATTAGCAGTGAATAGGTTATTCACTCTCGACATGAAGCATGGAAAATATCGTATAAGCTCTTGAGGACAACCCGTCTCTCCCTCTTTCTCTCATACACTCGGTCACCGGATATCAGAGGCAATTAGCACACCACGAATCAAATGGAACATTGTAGCATTTTGTAGTTATGGTCTGGTAAGACCACTCTGTTCTGCTACACCTCACGAAAATGTTCTAGTTGAAGGAGATTGAGACATCGAGTCCTTTTGTATGGTTTAAGCAGCAACGGGTACTGAGGATGAAGACACCGTACGCTATTCGTATGTCATAACAGGATCATCCACATTTGCAACAACACAACAACGCCGATCTATGTGATCTTCTTGTTTTCTTATTGACTGTTGATCCTTCCATGCATGACTACTGAGACTTAACTTATGTTTATTTGTTTATTGAAATGGATTCTTTGTGTTCATTACTATCTTTCAAAAATGGCGTAGGCAAATCATCCATGACAATCCAGTTCGTAGAGAACGTGTTTGTGGATTCTTACTACCCTACAATTGAAAATACATTCACCAAAACTATTAGTCATCAAGGTCAAGAATATACTGCAGAGATTATTGATACTGCAGGACAGGCAAGTTAAGAATCGTCAAGAAAAAAATTTTTTTTTTTTTTTTTTTTTTTTTTTTTTCTATTTCTATCTTTCCATATGTATACCAACAAGCATGACCTTGTTTTACTTATCGTAACGATTCGCCTTTTTTTTTTTTTTTTTTTTTTTTTTTGCTTTCCTGCGACTCTGCCCTGGATTAAATGATATTCTGCTGAAAAATTCAAATAGGATGAGTTCTCTATTTTCAATGGCAAACACGCACTCGATATTCATGGATACATTCTTGTGTACTCTGTCACGAACAAACTCAGTTTTGACATGATCAAGATCATTCGTGATAAAATTTTGAACTACACTGGTACTGATTGGGTTCCCATTGTCATTGTTGGTAACAAGAGCGATTTGCATGGTCAACGACAGATCTCGACCGAGGAAGGTGAAGAACTTGCTGCGCTCTGGAACTGTCAGTCTTGCGAGTCATCAGCCAAACACAACGAAAATATTGGTAAGTCAAAGGACCCTGAATTTAGTATTTATCATTTTGATGGGTTTCCTATCTGGAATTCAAAGGTTATCCTGATTTAGCGCCGATTATTTAATGTGTCCAGCAGATTTGGAAGAACAATCCTACTTATTAACATCGTCCCTATATTCATAGGTCGAGTCTTTGAGCTCATGATTGGTGAAATTGAAAAGTCGACCAATGTACCTGAGGAACCTAAGAAAGAATGTATCATCCTCTAAAGCATCTTGAATTTACATGATAAAGGCAAACTTTTTTTTTTTTTTTTTTTTTTTCTGCAATCCATAGTTCCATAGTTCCATAGTTCACACAGCCACAACATGTGACGGCTTTATCAAATACTCGTAAACATTAAAAAAAAAAAAAAAAAAAAAAAAAGACTTGTCAGTTCATTCAGCAGCTGTTTCGAGTTTCTCCGTTTAATTGTCTTTCTCCTGGACTCCCTTCAACTTGACACCCTATCCCGCAATGTTCTCAGGGGCATCGGATGCATTTGACGTCTTTGACGACTCACAAACTGAGGACTTCTCCAACTATACCATCACAGATACAGTACGGCCGTCATTACGAAAGAGAAAGGACCATGCCGATGAGAGTAATAACAAGCAAAAGAAACATGCCCTTTCGACGGGCTCAGTCTTGACAAAAGAGGACGCGGACAGAGATATGGCTGACTTGACCGATCCTGATGGTGAAAATGTTCCCACAGAAAAGAAGACTCGTACAGTCCATCAGCCATTGCCTACAGTCACGGATAGCTTTGAGCAGGACTTGGAGCGCGAAGTTGCCTCTGCTGCTGGACTGATGCCTTCAGCAGAAGGTGCAAACGTCGTTTTATCCCATCAGGTAAAGACTTTTTTATTTTTATTTTTTATTTTTTTATTTTTTTTTGATACTATTCAATCCTTCGTTTGCTATATATCAGAGATAAAATGGAATTCATTGATTTCTCTCTCTAAAAAAAAAAAAAAAAAAGGTTCGCCATCAAGTAGCTTTACCACCAAACTGGAATTACGTTCCCATCTCACAACACATACCAGAGAACCCTCCTGTTAGATCATATCCTTTCACTCTCGACCCATTTCAGAAGCTCGCTACCTATTCGATTGAACGGGGCGAGTCTGTATTAGTCTCTGCTCACACCTCGGCTGGTAAAACAGTCGTGGCTGAATTTGCAATTGCCACCAGTTTAAGAGGCAAGCAGCGCGTCATCTACACAAGTCCAATTAAAGCGCTTAGTAACCAAAAATACCGAGAGTTATTAGAAGAGTTTGGTGACGTTGGGTTGATGACTGGAGATGTAACCATCAACCCCAGTGCTTCATGCTTGGTCATGACAACAGAGATTTTGCGATCGATGCTTTACCGTGGCTCTGAAGTCATGCGTGAAGTAGCATGGGTTATTTTCGATGAAATTCATTACATGAGAGACAAGGGTATGTTTTTTTTTTTTTTTTTTTTTTTTTCTTTTTCTTTTTCTTTTTTTTTTTCTTTTTCTTTTTCTTTTTTTTTTTCTTTTTCTTTTTCTTTTTTTTTTTTCTTTTTCTTTTTCTTTTTTTGTTTTCATTCTTGCGATTGTGATTAATGTGATCAAAAATGGATCAATACCACAGATCTGTTGTTGCTAACGCTTTTACTTTTTATTTTATTTTGTTTATTTATTTTTGTGGCCTGGATTTAATATGATATCTACGATCTTTTATAGAGCGTGGTGTTGTATGGGAAGAAACCATCATTCTGTTGCCGCCAAAGTGTCACTATGTCTTTTTATCCGCTACTATCCCTAATGCCATGGAATTTGCAGAGTGGATCTGCAATAACAAGGAGCAACCTTGTCACGTCGTCTACACTGATTTCCGTCCTACACCGCTTCAGCATTATCTGTTTCCTCAAGGAGGCGAGGGTATCCATTTGGTCGTGGATGAAAAGGGTAACTTTAGGGAAGACAATTTTCAGAAGGCGTTGGGTGCCCTGACTGATTCTCAAGGATTACAGGCGGATGATATTAGGGGTCGAGGCGGGAAGAAGGATGCTAGAAAAGTAGGCAAGAAAGGCGCTAGTAAAGGTAAATTTATCCCTATTTTTGTTTTCGTTTTCGTTTTCGTTTTCGTTTTTATTTATTTATTTATTCATTCTCATACATGAAAACATGCAACATTCGCTCTTCCTCTTTTACTTTTTTCCGTGCTAATGGCTGCTGTTGTTACCGTATAATGTAGACGGTCCTTCAGATATTTACAAAATCATCAAAATGATTTTGGTCAAGAATTACCATCCTGTCATTGTCTTCAGTTTCAGTAAGAGGGAGTGTGAGGCATTAGCAATGCAGATGAGTAAGCTGGACTTTAATGATGACAAGGAAAGTGAAATGGTCAACCAGGTGTTCACAAACGCCATCAGCTCATTGTCAGAGGATGATCGCTCTTTGCCCCAGATTGAGCATATTCTCCCTTTGCTTCGTCGTGGTATTGGTATCCATCATGCTGGTCTTTTGCCAATCTTGAAAGAGGTGATCGAGATTCTGTTTCAGGAAGGTCTTGTCAAGGTATTGTTTGCCACAGAGACGTTCTCCATTGGTTTGAATATGCCAGCCAAGACTGTTGTATTCACGAGTGTGCGAAAATGGGATGGCAAGGAGCAACGTTGGGTCTCTGGGGGAGAATACATCCAGATGTCTGGTCGTGCTGGTCGTCGTGGTCTGGATGAACGTGGTATCGTCATTATGATGCTGGACGAGAAGATGGAGCCCGCTGTGGCCAAGGGAATGGTCAAAGGAACAACAGACCCGCTGAACTCTGCCTTCCACCTATCATACAATATGATTCTCAATTTGACACGTGTCGAAGGAATTAGTCCGGAATATATGTTGGAGCGATGCTTTTATCAATTTCAGAACAATGCCAACATCCCACAGCTTGAGAGAGAGTTGACGACACTAGAGAGTACTAGAGATGGTATGGTTTTCGAGAATGAGGCTTTGCTTGCTACCTACAATGATATTCGCCAGCAACTTGCATCGCTCAAGAAAGATGTATTGGATGTTGTCAACCACCCCACACATGCGCTTCCTTACATGCAGCCCGGACGCGTTGTCAAAGTCCGCTACGAAGACCAGGATTTCGGCTGGGGAATTGTTTCAGGATACACAAAGAAAATGCCCTCGGTTGCTCGCGGGGCTTCTGCATCAGCGAATCTTGAGCCTACTTTTATTTTGGACGTTTTGCTGTACTGTGCACCCAAGACGACCATCATTCCTGGATTGGACGGTCTCGCAACAGGAGTTAAGGCTTGTCCACCCGGTGAGAAGGGTGAATTAATGGTTGTGCCTATTCTGTTATCGTGTCTGGAGGCCATTGCAACGCCTCGTATCTTTTTGCTCAAGGATCTGAGATCCAGTGATGCTCGGCATACAATCCATAAAAGCTTGCTTGAACTGCAGAGGCGTTTTCCTGATGGAATCCCCCTATTGGATCCTATTGAGAATATGAACATCAAGGATGAGGCATTCAAGAAGGTGATTCGTAAGATCGAGGTCTTGGAGGCAGCTATGGCTGCGCATCCATTAGTACAGACTATGGCAAAGGATGTTCTTTTGGATACATACAAGCGTTACCTAGAGAAAGTGGAGACAAACAACAAGATCAAATCCATTAAGAAACAAATTACGGAGGCTAATTCGATTGCACAGTTGGATGAGCTCAAGTGCCGAAAGCGTGTGCTGCGCCGTTTGGGATACACCTCGAGTTCGGATGTGATTGAGATGAAGGGTCGTGTGGCATGCGAGATTACATCAGGTGATGAGTTGCTATTGACGGAGATGATTTTCAATGGTGCATTTAATGATCTGACGGTGGAACAGACTGCTGCGTTGTTGAGCTGTTTTGTCTTCCAGGAGAAGGCAGAGGGCAATGCTTCGATGAGAGAAGAGTTGGCAGCACCGTTGAGGTTGATGCAGGAAGCAGCACGTAAGATTGCCAAGGTATCGCAAAGTTGTAAGCTGTCATTGGACGAAGAAGAATATGTCCAATCTTTCCGCGCAGAGTTGATGGATGTTGTCTATGCATGGGCTAACGTAAGTAGCACGCTATCTCTTATCTCTCAGTTTGAAGTTGAAACAACAATGGATCCGAGTTCCTGGGACCTTTTTTTTTTTTTTTTTTTTTTTTTTAATGATATTTTGAGTCACGATAAGGCCATTATCATTTGCTGATACTAAATCTTTTTTTATTTTTATTTTTATTTTTATTTTGTCGATCAGGGAGCTAAATTCTCACAGATCTGCAAGATGACAGATGTATTTGAGGGTTCAATCATCCGTGCGTTTAGACGTCTGGAAGAGTTGCTTCGACAAATGTCCTCTGCAGCAAAGAGTATTGGAAATACTGAGCTGGAGAGTAAATTTGCAGCAGGCATTGTTTGCATCAAGCGCGATATTATCTTTGCCAATTCCTTGTATCTTTAAAACACCTTTCTCTGTAACGCATTGCTCTTTTTCTTTCACTAAAATAAATAAATAAATAAAAATCCTCCTCTCTCTAATCGGATGGTATATATCGATATCCATTGAGATAGGGATTTGTTGAGCATCATTAAGGACGGAAGAACCAAATCAGGTAACACACAAATAAATACTGCGGCAGAAGAAAGAAGAAATGAATGGAACAGCCCATGTAAACATTACATGGCTCTGTCCAAATGGATTCTCTTTCTACGTACGCGAAGGCAGGCACTGTATTGTGAACTAACTGGGGTGCTCCAATGTCCTAATGTTTAGAGCCGTGAGACAACTTGATTCAGTCTTGCAGTGCACCCCAAATTAAATAAAACCCAGGGCTGATTATCCCACGCAGCTTTCCTCTTTTTCTTTCTTTTTCTCCTCATCTTTCCTCTTCAACTCCTTCGTATTCCCACGCATAAAACATTATAAGTATTTAAATCATGGTTGTCAAGATTGGTATCAACGGGTAAGAAACACTCCTGTAAAAGAAAAGAATCATTCTGACTTCGCCCAATCAAGGAGAGTTTTTTTTTTTTTGTGTAGAAGGGTTCCTTATTCAAGTTTAAACACTGTAGTCCTGCTATAGACTTCATTACTTTCACTCACTCCGTTCGATTTTCCAAAAAAAAAAAAAAAAAAAAAAAAAAAAAAAAAAAAGAGGGAAAGAAACAAAGGGCCTTTTATGATTGTCTATATTGACTAATAGTTTCCCATGTAATTTCAAACTTGACTGTTTAGATTCGGACGTATTGGTCGTCTTGTCCTCCGTGCTGCTCTTCAGAACAAGCAGGTCGAGGTTGTCGCTGTCAATGATCCCTTCATCGATGCCGACTACATGGTAAGTTGACCATTCTAAAGAATAGTAAGAATAAAAAAAAATTAGAAAAAAAAAAAAAATAGATGAAAAGTATTGCACACGAGCAATTGTCCTCTTAATGTCTGCCTACATTCAAGGAAGGAGTATGGAGGGATAAGATGATAAGAATGAGGATGGGGAAGGATGAGACGTAGTCTCCGTGTATTCACAAACACGTCATTATGTCCAACCTTTTTTGTTATTGACATCATTTACTCATTTATTCATCATACCATAACCGTATGTCTCGGATAGGTCTATATGTTTAAGTATGACTCGACCCATGGTCGCTACAAGGGCCATGTCGAAGCAAAGGACGGCCACTTGATCGTTGACGGCCACAAGATTGCTGTTCACGGATTGTAAGTCTTCGTTCGATTACAATTGATCGTATCGTAAAAAAAAAAAGAAGGATCTTTTGATTAGACCGATGTTTGATAGTCTAAAATTGGTAAATGAATGATGGATTGGTTGACTGACGTATTTTTTCCTCTTTGTATGAAACAAAAAAAAAAAAAAAAAAAAAAAATCAGTAAGAATCCAGAGGAAATTCCATGGGGTTCTGACGGTGCTGATTACGTTGTCGAGTCCACCGGCGTGTTCACCACGACCGAAAAGGCTTCTGCCCATTTGAAGGGTGGTGCTAAGAAGGTCATCATTTCTGCTCCCTCGGCTGATGCTCCAATGTTTGTCTGTGGAGTCAACTTGGATGCTTATAAGCCAGAGTACAAGGTTGTCTCGAATGCTTCCTGCACAACCAACTGCTTGGCTCCTTTGGCCAAGGTCATTCATGACAACTTTGGTATCACTGAGGCCTTGATGACCACTGTCCACGCCACGACTGCTACCCAGAAGACTGTGGATGGCCCTTCTAACAAGGACTGGCGTGGTGGTCGTGGTGCTGGTGCCAACATCATCCCTTCCTCTACTGGAGCTGCTAAGGCCGTTGGCAAGGTCATTCCTGACCTCAATGGCAAGTTGACCGGTATGGCTTTCCGTGTCCCTACTTCCGATGTCTCGGTTGTTGACTTGACTGCTCGCTTGTCCAAGCCTGCGTCTTATAATGACATCAAGGCTGCCATCAAGAAGGCTGCTGAGGGTGACATGAAGGGCATCTTGGCCTACACTGAGGACCATGTTGTCTCGACCGACTTTGTTGGCGACACACATTCTAGTGTCTTTGATGCTGGAGCTGGCATTGCCTTGAACGACACCTTTGTCAAGCTTGTGGCCTGGTACGATAACGAGTATGGATACAGCAACCGTTGCATCGACCTTATCTTGTACATGGCCTCCAAGGACAACTAAAGCATTAAAATGTACATCCTCATACACGCACACACGTACACACATCTTTTTTTTTTTCTGATGTTTCCAATTCCATCTTGTATATTCGAAATAGGCAATGATGCTTGTTTGTGTAAATATGAAATAAAATAAAATACGACAAATATAAAAAAAGTATATGTTCTTTAAGTCAGGTGATTTCTCCACACGAAATATTTTACACTACGATTTTTTCAATAAAGGCGGCGATCTCCATGAAGAGCGAGCACTACATTGCCATAATTTGTCTGTATCTACTAAGATTGTCCTCTAATTTGATAAAATGATACTTTTTTTTTTCTTTAATCTGATTATACAACAGTTGGAGAGAAGTTAAATAGAATAAAAATATCTATACAGTTGTTGACTATTATTAAGAAGATGTTTAACCAAAAAAGAAAGAAAAATGGAGATGAAATGCTAAAAATGCAAAAAAAAAAGAACCAATTTTGATATACAACCATTACAGTTCCCTTTTCTAAATCAAAGAGACGGCAATGTCACCACTTCTGTTCTTCACCATGATCAAACCAGCGCCATGACCAATTGTGCCAATCAATTCTTTTACCACTGACTCCTTCTCCTTGTCTCTCTTCTTCTTACGATCCTCCTCTGAGTTAGTTGTAACAGTCGATTTTGTTTCAATGGTGGATTCATAGATCGAGTTGGTGTACGAGTTGACTCCAGAGGGTATTATGGTCGATCCAGGAACAGAACTGCTGTTGACATTAGAATATTGGTCAAAAGGGTGCTTTTGATGATTAAGATCGTTACTGTATAGGATATGACGAGGATCATCACGATCCCAACCTACACTTCCTTGAGATGATGTCCTGGATGATTTTGCGACGCTTTGGTGTAAAGAAGAGATGGATGAGGATGATGAGGATGAGGATAATGAAGATAGTCCAGTACCAGCACCCGAAGGTGGAAAATTCAATTGACTGGACAGCCTTAATCCGGATGTTTTGCAACCACTAGGGGAAGGTAAACTAAGCGTGGCACCCTCAAGTTTTTTGAATTCTGGCTCATCAATTATGATCCTGCCATAAAGTGTCCTAGTTTCGACTCTGCCTTGATAATTGCCTGAGAGCCTGATCCGAGCAGGGCCTCCAAAGTTGATAAAGTTGCCTAAAAGTCTCTGGTGTGGGCTTGCAAGCAGGACCTTCACGTCCAAGGGTTGACATTGAGTCTTGGCTTCGACTGCGAATTGACCAAAGAGATCTGTACCATCAACAGAGAGGATGACGGGGTGGTGCAAAGTGGAGCAAACGACTTTTGGGTGTGGTTGAGATTCATCAGTGTTGAGAAGATGGACCTCAGATATAATCTTGCCAGATTTAGCATTGGCGAGTAATCGCGCGACTGAGTATTTGCCACATATACTGCCAGCGATCGTGCTCTTGATAATAGCCGATTCTCCGTAGAAGCTCTATTGTTGAATAAAAAAAAAAAAAAAAAAAAAAAAAAGCATTCTTAATGCCATTCTTTACGTGTATCTTTTTTCATTAAAATAAAAAAATATGACAATTACAAAAAGGAAGAGGGCTTACTTCGAGAGTGATATCACCACGGCAATTCTGGATGGCCAGAGTCCGGATGAAAGTATGAGAGATGTTTCCGATAGACAGTTCGATATTAGATCCATGGATTGTAAAGGACTCTAGACTTTCGAGATGTCGAGGGATAGTGATGAAGACCTGGAAGGTCACAGCGCTTTTTAATTTGTCCTCTAAAGGTGTATGGATTGTGTATGTGTAGTGATCTCCAATTTGGATGGGCTCCAATGCAGCACCATTGGTGAGGATTGACTCCTTGGCCTGAACACTGGTCTTGATATGAATCATGTCCTCATTCCCACTCAGGATCGTGATTTCACCCTAAAAAAAAAAAAAAAAAAAAAAAAAAAAATGGATAGAACAAATATATTCATTCATAAAATTGTTAATTATAAAAAAAAATAAAAAAAAAATCTTGTGCTTTTGTGCTCACAAATGGGAGAAGCAGTCCGTTGATTTTGATGGAAAAAGGGCTCAACCAAAGAAGAAAAAAAGAAAGAAAATAAAATCGGCTTTTTTTTCCTTCTTCTGCCTAGACTGGATCTTCCTTTGTCCGCTTACATGTGTGTAGATGCCTTATACTGATGTGACACTTTGACTCCGATCCTTCATTCTCAAGTTCAAATCAAACATAAAAAGAAATAATGAAGAAATAAAAAGAAAGAAAAAAATTGCCTTGATGGTGTAACCAAAAGCAAAAAGGGAAAAATGCAAGGTGTAAAACGTTAAAATAAAATAAATAAAGTAAATAAATGCATCGCCATTCTTAGTGGTCCAGATTATTCCCAGGAATAGGTGTCATTAAAAAAAGAACCCCACATGAAATAAAACAAAATGAAAACAATAATAACAATAACAATAACAATAGCAACAACAGACATATCGAGGGCAAGAATAGAGGAGGGCCAATATAAAAGTGTGGATTCCTTTTTCTTTTTAATCCTTCTGATCCCAGACAAAGGCCAAGAGTAAGGAGGATAGATGAAGGGGAGAAGAACATACCTTGGCAAGTCCAACAATGATGAGAGAAATATTGGAGCAGAGCTCTGCACTAATCTGTACATCTTCGTTGTCATAGCGAGCGGGCAGGAGTGGTTTGTTGAAGAACCCCATAATGTATGATTTTGTGCGTGGGTGTGTAGTTCACTGCGATGCTTTAATACGGTTGATGCAGCGGAAGTGGGATTGATTGATGATGTACTGTTTCTGCAAGGGGATAAAGACGTGAGTGGGGCAGAATAGGGGGTTGTTTTTGCTGGTCTGCAAAAAAAAAGGAATGAATGTGCTAATTGTCAAATTTTGGGAGATCGGATGGTCAAGAGCATGTGTTTGCGTGCTTGTGTATAGGGATTAGCAGAGTAATAAAGGATATTAAGAGTATCGGACGACTGGATGGATGAGGACGAGGGTGAGGGTGAGGGTGAGAAGAGTAGAGAGAGAGAGATGTTTGATGGTCGTTAATGGATGTAAAGGAGGATAGGCCAGACAAAGTAAAGAAAAAAGGAGAAACAGATCAAAAGAAAGAGAGGAATGTTGGCCAACAGAAAAGGAGGATCTGAATATGTACAAAGTATTAAAAGAAGTGGAGGTTGAATTTGAAATTTAAATTAAAATGAGTCGTCTGCTGTGGGGACGACTTAGATTCATCAACTCTGTATTAATTTGGGTGTAGTAAAACAACTCCACTTCCCGTAACTCTCCATTCTTCATTCATATCGGACTACGCGAAACAATACTATATATATATGTTTTATATTGCTAGACCGCTAGACCGCTAGACAAAAACAAAAACATGCCATTGTGTCATCATGTATGTTTACAAATTCATGATCAAGGTCAACTTTAAGCAATAGCTTCGACCAGGCTAGAACTCATTTCTTTTATTCCTTTTTTGTCTGAGGTCAGGCCACTCTTTGCGATTGAATTCAAAAAAAAAAAAAAAAAAAAAAAAAACGAGCCCAAGAGTAGTAGAATAAATGATGACGGCCAAAACGGCGTAAAAAAAAAGATTGTGGCTATATGACCACGAGGCGAATGAGAGAAAATAGCCTAGAAAGGACAAAAAAAAAAAAATATATAGAAAAAGTATATGTCTGTCTGGATAGAATAGAGTGGGGTAGAAAAAGAGCGCCATCTTGGAAGAAAGAGCTACTTGTCCTGATCAGGAAACGATATCAACTAGCCCAGCAACAAGAGCAAACGTTAAAACCGGCTGATCTATCATCATGGCTTCTATTTGTTCTCAACCGTCTTTAAAGATGCACTTCATGGTGTTATACAACCACTTTCAAAGCACAACTTGGTTTGGCTCTCATGAATTTTATTTTGCTGTAGGACAGCTTATCATTCAAGTAACCAAACGTTGTTCCTGTTGCTCTGCATGTCTGTGTATCTGTGTTAATGAGCGAAAGAAAAAAAGAAAGCTCCCGTCGGACATCAATTATCAACTCTACAACCGTACTGGGGGCGTGGATAAATCAATTCTTCAAAAGCAACACGCAACATCCAAATGCGTCCATTCATTAGCATCATGGCGTACATTTAATACAAATTATTATTATATCAAATTAATGAAAAATAGTACATTCCGATCAGCTGCCGCTGAACCTCTCATGTTCATCTCATGAGGTGCATATTTGTGCTATTTGTGCGTCGCTTGTGTGTATGTGGCGATGCAAAGTTGCGTTTCGTATGGGGATTAAAAGGCTTCCAGGATATTTATTCAACCGACAGGAGCCTTGCTTCCTTTGTTCATTACAACGAATGTTACGACAGTCGAGGAGGAGGACTGATCAATCGATGTCATGTCATATCTCTTTTCCGGCCCATGCATCGGATAAGATTACATTGAAAAAACCTAACAGCTCTATAAGGTGCATGACTAGATCTGAAAGACATTGCACCACAAGTTTCTGTTTGCATGAGGACTGGTAATGAATCGATCTTGCCTCACACAGATTGTCGTATGCGGGGGTAAAGTTGTGATGATATTGAAGGGAACTGATAGAAACTGATGATGGCGAAGGGAGCCAGGACTAATCTATAAGGTTTCTACTTCCTTGGACTGACCTTCTCCATATAATAGCCGCTGATTTAAGGTATTAAACATTCCCACGAATGAGTACCCCAATCAAGTACATGAATATAAAGGTATATTATATATACCTTTTTTTTGTTTATACAAACCTGAAGGTGTTATACTCACATCCATGTATCTCCTCTGCACTTAAAAGTACCCTCCTTCAATTAACGACTTTTATACGCAGATGTGTACAGTACCAGGCCCAGAGACTCAGCAGCAAAGAATTCCTTGATCCGTTGACGAGCCCTCTTATGCTTTATGCCATTGATTCTCCAGTCATCAGCCCTGGCATGACTCTCATTCCACAGGTAATGTTATAAAAATTTGGTGGCGAAACTTAAAATTGCCTTTCTTCCCCTACTTGCAATAGACGTTCTCTCTGAAATTTAAAAATGATATAGCCATTAGCGTTAATAGGCCCAGTACAAGGCCTTCCTATCCTGGTTCAAAACACTCAATTATTCGAGTTGCTTTTTGTATAGAGCTCAATCATCCTTGGATTTCAACCGTTTACAATATCACTTGAAGCTACACTTGTTGCTTCTCGTCAATCTGTTTTTGTGGAATGGGAAATTATAAGCTTTTTATTTTTTTTATTTATTTTCACTATGATGCAAGATTTTAAGGATATATTTTGGTTGGAATAAATTACAAGTGTTTTTTTTTTTTTTTTTTTTTTTTTTCTTTCTTCTTGAGGACTTATGCAGCTACACGTTTTGCAGTGTTGTTGGCCTGAGGACGCTTCGCCACGGCATTGAGCTTGTTCTTTGGTAGCGCTAATTGCTCAAGTCTCTGCAATCTTGCAACCTGCTGTTGTTTAGTGAGGGAAGTAGGGGCCGGGGGTGAGGTAGACAATAGGGATACAACTGCCGAAACAGAGCTAGCGGGGCTGGTGGTGGTGGAAGATATAGGGGATCCAAAATATGAGCCCGAACTATTGTTGGCAGTGGTCTCGGTCGTGGGTGAGTTGGATGCGGACGAAGAGACGGAGGCTGGAGTCATTGAGAGCGAAAACGCCGATGACTTTGCTTCCACAGAATCATTCGAGCCCAAAGATTCAGTCGATACATCAGAGATACCTCGTTGATGCGAAAGAAGATATGATTTAAGGGACGAGAAATCGTCGCTCAATCCTAATTTTAACTTTTGCTCCTTGTTCTTATTCTTGACTGGATCCAACAGTTGCGATTCATGAATCGACAATGTAGAGAGACTGTCTGGCATCGATGAAGGTTGTGGTGGGGATATTTTGGATTTATTGGTCTTTAATGACGGCCCAGAGGGTGAAGAGACTAAGTGTGTAGAAGTAAGCGAACTCTTTGAAGTTTTCTGAGGACGTGATACTTGAGTTGGAGTAGTTGGTACAGGGATAGGTGAAAAAGATCTGCCCATGATTTGGATAGCTTGACCCTTGGTTGGAGCAACAATCTTCGGAGTGAACTTTGCGAACACGGTCTTATTGACATGTCGTTTTGAAACTTCGGACTGAAGAGTTTCGATATACGGGACGCCATCATACATGAACTGCTCTCCATTTTCTAATCGGTCATAAAAATCAAAAAAAAAAAAAAAAAAAAAAAAAAAGAGATAGTCAGAACGACAAAACAAAGACATGGCTTGAGGTACCGCAGGATAAATGCAAACCTTTTGTTTCTTGAGTCTTTAAAAGTTCGCTTACCGGTTTCAAACTGCTTGATAGCTGCTATCAACGACTCCTCAAGTTTCAATAGCGTTGGATAGGCACGTCGTCTAAATTTTTCTTCATCGACTAATCGGAATGACGGTTGGAATAAGCGCTTGGGATCACTGGCGGTCTGCTCAAATGATATCATTCGCTATGGTTACAAGAGAGAAGACAAGAGCAATCAGCATGTTACTTGACCAACAATTTACATGTTACAAAATCAATTTTGTAATACCCTAGAATGCCTGTCTTACCTTTATGTGGTTGCTTCGTATCATCATTAGTTTGTAGACTGCCTTAGATTTTGAGAACCTCGTCCGACATTTTTCAATCTCTGACTGGATCGTTTTCACTTTCTCAATGAATGTAGTGCCTATATTATATACTTAATATTAATAATACATAACAAAAAAAAAAAAAAAAAAAAAAAAAAGAAAAGAGAAAACGAGACTGTTTGTATCACTAACCGTCTTGATCAACCTGAGCCTTAAATGCCTGTCGCTCCTGGTCACTGATAAGGCATGCATCCCAAACAATTGTCAATACTTCCCAACATTCTCCAGATAAATACAGTTTACGTGCATTCAATTCCAATTGCAGTCCTTTGAGTTCTCTTCCGAGCTACAAACGCGCAAAAACAAAATAAAATGAAATAAAATAAAACAAAGAGCCATTTTTAGTTAAGGCATCAAGCATGGGCTTGCTCATATGCAGCAGAAAGTAGTAACAATAATGGCCTCACTCAAAGAGTGGGGCTTTCTTTTTTTTTTTTTTTTGGTTTTTTTTTCTTCTCATTACCTCTGCGGCATACTTGACAGTGGCTTCATTCCTAAATACCACTCTTTTTTCTTCTGGTATTCTGAGATCTTGATAAATCAAACTAAGGATGTGTTCCATTGCTCTGATCCTTGCTTGTCGGGTATAGTAGCTTTGATCCAGATTCGCCAACTTTGTGGAGAGACTCGCCAGACATTCCTGTGATAGACACAACGGAGCCTCAATGCGGACAAATGAAAATTCCATAGTTTCATCATGGAGCTCAGCCAGCTCAAAGAGTTTACTGAGAGCATGGTCGTAATTATCGATAGGAAAGTAGGCACATTGATCCCATCGTACACGTAGCATGCCCACCATGGACTGAAACCGTTGCATTCGTTCCATCTATCAATACAAAAGCACGAATAAAAGTTAAATTAATCAACATTGAATGCTCTTGGGCTTTTTTTTTTTTTTTGTAAATAATCACAGTTATTGACTTGGAAGAGACTTGAGGGCCTTACCCATTCTTTTTCCAGTGTACGATAAGTCCTCTCAAGCTAATGATAGCACGTAGCAAGCAACAATATGATGAGACGTTAGAGAGTCCTTTTCTTTTATTTTTTTATTTTATTTTTATTTCTTCTTTTTCGTTATTCCTGCAAAAGGCTTATTACCTGCAACACACGTGCCCTTGACATGGAAGGCATATCTGTCTATCAAAAAATAGAATGCATAGAACCAAATTTGCATTAGATAAATGCATGAGAGGAAGATGAGAGGGGGAAGAAAGGCTCAGGCACAGCACATGGATACGAAAATAGTCTTCGATCATGTAATATTTAAAACTTTGCATTAGAGAGCAATTGTCATTAGAAATTTTAATACCTTGAGATACCGTTCGGGTGGCTCGCAAATATTCTCTGCGATCGTGATGATCCTAGAAACCCAACGCTCAATCCTTACTTTGCGTCTTAGGATATCCTATTGATAAAAGCGAAATTGGCCCACATAAGCATTGATACATTCAATATCGAGATCATAAGCTCACTCTAGTCTCTGATCTCTGGCATGATGCTCATGGCTACAATTGCTTTCTTTGACTAACTGTCGTTTTTACTATTTAAAGAGGGAAAAAAAAAAAGTGCGTAGTTACCTGGTAGAGATCGTCACATGCTCGATGCAAAGTTCGCCGTGTTGTGAGAGTGATAGGTGTGGTTATTGGAAAGACCAACAGATGCGTAACATTTGCAGGATCTAATCCAAGCTGACAGCAATGATCAACCAGCCTTGTCTTTTTTTTGTATGTAAATGTTTGATTCAAAACCGCAGCAGATATCGCGTTAGGGGGTGGGGAAATTCAAGGGCGAAGCAATGCAAAATGATGACAATTTTTTTTTTCTGTTTTTACTTTAGGGACGGTGGCAACACACAGTCAAGACTAATAAAGAAGAATTGGAATCACCTACCATTAAATCCTCAATCTCCGCAGCAAGTAAAATATGATCCTTCCTGGCCTCCTTGACATAGCGATCCAGATCAGCCAACACTTGCTAGATGAAATAATGCCGATTGGCCAGACAATAAAATCCCATGGACAGTCCAGGATAGCAAAAAAAGAGCACCATAAAAAGTTGAGCATACGGTTAACACGCAAAAAAAAAAAAAAAAAAAAAAAAAAGAAAAGTATATGGCAGGAGAGAGCAATTAGCGATTAGAGTAAGTTGTCGGCTGTCAGTCAATAACGGCGTATGTGAACAGGACAAAGTGGAATCGATCGAAAGACAAAGAGTTATAAGAACATTCACTCTCTCTTTTCTTTTATCTCTTTTACTGCCCAATTATTTTCAACAGATGTTCCAGTCATTACCCAGATTGCAGCGTCCTGACCTAAGTCCTGATCTTTTGGAGGTTCAGGGCTATGACATAAGGTCCCAGCAGAAGTATGCATAGCAGCCAATGTTCCAGCTGATGAACTGCTGGTTGTGCTTACAATTGTTGAACTTGTGGTGGATACTGTTGTAAGAGGCAAAAGTGTTTTTGCAGCGGGTACTGTAGTGGTAGTTACAGCATTGACTGCAGTAGGTTTTGCAGCCTCTACAAATGCTGTACAACTGTAAATGCTATTATTATTGTTGCTGTTGTTTTCGTTGTCAATGCTTTTATTATTATTACCCTGTGCCCAATGACAATGCGAATCAATGCCCATTAATGTAAGAGTGTTGTCGCATGAATCGTCAGAAGTCATTGGGAGGAGTGTCAATGAATGAGCACTCAGGTCAGGTAACAATAAATTCGCAGTAGTGGTTGTAGCAGGAACAGTGAGTAGCCAGTTTAGAATAAAGTCTCTGTAGTGTGGCAAAACCAATAGAGTGAAATAAACGATAAAAGGATCAATTCACTTTGCAAAAAAGAAGAAAAGAAGAGTAAGAGGAGAATTAAGAAGAAGGTAGAAGGTAGAAGGAAGGAAGAAGGAAGAAGGAAGAAGGAGAGTGAGAAGTAAAAGAAGTGAGTGAGGAGGTGTGAGAGAAGAAAGGTGTAAGAGAAGGTGTGAGAGGAGAATGTTTAAAACCTTTGAAGTTTAGAATTTGAATGAGGAGACCAAAGACGTTGAGATTTGTAAAAAGACAGAAGCAAAAGGCAAAATAGCTAAATCATGTGACTTACACCATGCTCCAATGTCGAAAAAACACTTCTTCGCTTTGCCTCCTTCTCCCTCACTTTTCCCTCTTCTTTCTCCTTGAACATCATTCCTATCATCGCTATTTTTGTTAGCCTTGACCCTTCCTCTGGCTCCCTCTAGTCGAAGCAAAGAAGCGCATACAGAAATTTAAATTTCAGTACAATTAAGCATGGGTGGAGCCATCAGCTGTCTCGCACTACCCGCCTTGAGTAGTCTTGGCTCCATCCTCGTCTCTTGTTTCTCCGCTGCAGCATGCTCGCTTACTTGTCAATCGTGCAATTACAATAACTCTATCGCCACTCGTGTCGGATATGCAGTAATGCAGCCCATACGTCAATCCTCTTTTTTCGTTTGTTGATCTCATATCCAACAGCCTTTGCTGCTTTTCTGACATGAGAAGAAACCACATCGTCAATTTTTTTTTTTTTTTTTTTGCTATTAACCATCGATCCCCTTATCTTCTCTACGCCCCTATTATTTATACTACATCAATATGATCAAGATAATTATGCTATTCAACTCCTTGGTACGGTATTGATTACATTCTGGAAGAAAAAAAATCCCATCAATTATATCCTATTCATCTTCTTAACGCCAATATATCTCGTATTGAGTCTTATAGCTAGCTTGGGCTTTGCTACATGATTGGGTTTCTAAACAGCTCGAAAACATCACTTATGGATATCTCAAGTTAAACTGCGCGGACAATTCTTGTTACGGAGTGTTTGGGGTAGAGTGAGCTCTAGTAGATTTGCAGCACAGATTGTTACAACAACAATGAGATCCCTTTTCCTCGCGACTCCTCTTTCCTCTCTCTTTACTTTATCCTTTATTGTGTTTTGACTAACAGACAAATTGTCTGAAATATATCTCTCATTCTGGCCTTTTATATGTCCGCTTCCTTTTATGGTGCAAATCAGGTTCAGCGCACTGGATTTGGCCTTGCACTCTTTCATTTCATCCTTGGAGCTCTGTTAATCGGTGTGCACGATTCACGGTCAAAAAGAGCAGCGATTCAGAATGAATAAAAAAAGAAAAAAAAGAAAAATGGAAAAAAAGAAAAGGAAATTATGCTTTTTTGTTTTGGTAAGTGCCACCAACTTTTTTTTTTTTTTTTTTTTTTTTTATAATAGATGGTGGGGACCAAAATTACTTACCTGGATGGCTCTGGTGGTAGCATCTTTTTTTATTCCAGTACGGTTTTTCGTTTTTTACGGCAACTATGTTGCATTGATAGGAGCTGGTGTTTTCATTCTCTTTGGACTCATTCTCTTGGTCGACCTTGCACATACCTGGAGTGAGACTTGTGTGGATAAATGGGAACAGAGTGATAGCAACATATGGCGGTTTATCCTCGTAGGATCCACGTTGGTCATGTTTCTCGGCTTCTTGGTTCTCACGGAGATCACATATAATTATTTTGCAGGCAAAGGTTGCGGAATGAATACTTTTTGGATAACATTCAATCTGATCCTTGGTATCATTGTCACGATCTTGAGTATTTTGCCTGCTATCCAGGATGCGAACCCACGATCAGGGTTAACACAGTCGTCTATGGTCGTAATATACTGCGCTTACTTAGTATTGAGCGGCGTGGCGAATGAACCGGATGAGGATACCAATTGTAATCCTTGGAATAAAGCGAGAGGGACAAGGACCACGTCAGTTGTCCTCGATGCTGTCTTTACTTTCCTTGCCGTAGCCTATTCAACCTCAAGGGCAGCAACACAGAGCGGAAAGGCCACGATTGATAATGGCGACTATGCACCTCTCAAAGCGGATTCAACGGCACAGCAATCCGATGCTATTCTGGCGGCTGTTGAAAGAGGGTACATCTTGATTCTCAGTGACTTTGAGTCCAACAAACTATGGTATTAAACTCTTTGAACATTTTTTTTTTTTCCTCCCCTAACGTTGTGATATAGAGCGCTTCCAGTGTCTGCGTTGGATGATATTGATGAAGAAGATGATACGGAATACGACGCCAAGGACGATGAGAAGAATGGATGTCAATATAACTATAGTTTTTTCCACATTGTGTTTGCATTAGCAGCCATGTACATCTCAATGGTGCTGACGAACTGGAACACATTCGAAGAGGTAGATAGGAATGGAAATAACCTTATCTTGATTGACCAGAGCCGGCCTGCAGTCTGGGTTAAGGTGGTCTCGTCTTGGATCTGCTATAGTCTCTATGCATTTTCACTTCTTGCACCCGTTCTTTTTCCTAATTGATTTCTTGATTACTAGTGGTATAAAAACAGAATCTGTATTACAACAGCAAAAAGCTCAACGAATTTGATAAGCTGCTTTGAGAAAGAAAGGATATCATGAAAGCTCCGAAGACTGATCTTTGTTCCACTATTCCAAAATCTGAAGATGTAAAAGCAGATTGTGGAAAATGATCGGTTGAATGTCACAGACACTTTGTGAAACATTTAATAAAGGCTCTCGGGTCTAAATACAGAGATATAGACTGATGGAAAAACTGAAGTCTGGTACCCATGCCTATTGATATTTTTTTCCCTTATAAAACTATATCCTACGGCGTCTTCCGCCACCGCCGCCACCTCCGCTATTGCGGTCACCACCTCCTCCACCATTGCGATCGCTGCTACCACCTCCACCACCTGAAGAACCACCTTGTCGGCTACGACCACTCGAGTTCCCGCCACCACCATTATTGCTGTTGTTGTTATTATTGCCATTACCACCACTACTTCCACGACCATGTCCAATGTTAGTAGCACCGTCTCTTGATCGAGATGATTCACTTCTGTGACTACCAAATAAAAAAGGCGCATGAAACATGTCGTTAAACTATCTGATAGACTTCCATAAACATTTATCAGAATCCTCAAACGCTTGTATATATTGTAATATGCAGACACTTACTCTCGCTCAGAACCTCTTGAAGATGAAGACGATGCTGCATTCTCATTGTTGCTAGATCGTGCACGAAGAGAACTCGTAGTGAGACCCATCTCTAATATAGACTTGGATGCTGATTCATTATCCTTACGTGGGCTTGCTGTGGGTGAATCTGCAGAACTGCTTGGGAAAGGTGAACTAAGTGGGCTATCACCATCCGTCGGTCTGTTCAACTTGATGCGCTTAGATCCTGATGTAGGCGAAGGCATGACGATGGAGGTCCTTGTACTTCCAGAAGACTGACATAATAAGAGCGAGTTTGAACAATTGAGGAAAAAAATTCTTTAAGCTAAAAAAAACTTTTCAAGACAGGTATAAATGCAGATTAAAATAATAAAAGCAAACCTACGTTGGAATTTACAGGGGCTGATGGTGAAGAAGATGACGACGGTGGTGGCATAGCAATTGCATCGACAACTGGAGAAGAATCTTTTGAGCGTTCATTGAGAAGTGGCTCCCGGTCTATATTGATAAGGAGAAAACATAAGAGTAAAGGTTTTAAGCATCATGACTAAGGCTTGAATCAGAAACCGTCAGGGGCTAGAGCCAGGCAAAGATTAACACATACTATCATCTGGCTCGATCTGTCGCTTGCGACGCGAACCTGAGCTTCCTGTATTCGAATCCTTTATATATATACATATATAGAAATAAAAGAAATATTAATTTGAAACCCACTTTGCATGCCATTGCTATCATCCTCCCGGAAAAAAATGCATTTCTTACCTGCCGCGACGAGTCCGTAACTGAGCCTTCGCGCCGACGCTTTGAATCTTTTTCTCTCTCTAGACTACTATTTCTACTCTCTCTGCCGCGCTTGTGGTCTCTTGAATCGGAATGACGATCGGACCGGCTCTGAGGGTCCCTAGAAGATCTGCGACTTTCAGCTATGTTGGGAAAGTAGAGAAAGACGACGTATATACCCATATTAATTCATAATTACCAATAAATTAAGGCTCAAACATGTTGTTCGCCTTGTTGAAAAGCGTCCTACATTCTTGAATGGTATCTTGGCGACGGGAGGACCCTCTTCCATCGCGTACTGATGCTGATTGTTCATGTCGTGATGAGGTTGACGAAGAGCCTGTCCGGCTATGTTCTGGTTCATCTCTATTAATACGAGCAGGCGCCTGATGATCTCGAGAGCCACTACTTTGTGACCCAGAGTCTCTTGTGTCTCGGTCACGAGCGTCGCTCCTTGATTTGTCGTCTCCTCGTCTCGAGGGTGAAGCTTTGTTACGGCTGCTCTGAAAATCATCATTTCTCTCATCTCCCCGTCTAGGCGACGGACCACTGGCTCGATTGTTCTGAAAAGTATCCTCTCGATCTCGGTGTCCTTCTCTGCGGTCTAATGAGCGCCGATCCAGATCACGGGAGCCTTCTTCTAGCCGCCGCCGATCCCGAGCAGATGTAGACATGGGAAATTCAGAGGAGATCTGATCAGTATTCTCTCTTGCCTTTTCTCGCTGGGAACGTTTATCTCTATCGTCAGATCGATCACTGTCGCGGGTGTCTCTAGCTTCACGTCCTGTTCGAGTATCTCTCGGATCAACTGGCTCTCTCGAATCACGTACTTCTCGGCTAGAGCCTGTTCCCGATCGAGGATCACGGCTGTCTCGTGCATCTCGAGCAACCAAATCCCTTGGATCTCGGTCGCGGGGATCTCTAGGAGCAGAATCTCTTAATTCTTTGCGACTTTGTGCAATGTCCCGCGGATCGCGGCGATCGCGAGCTTCTCGCCGATCGCGAGAGTCACGTACATCTGACGATCCGGTATCCCGCGTATCCCGATAAGGATTGTTTTCCCGAGTAGAATCCCTTCCTATGTCTCTGGATATCTCTCTAGGACCATCTTTAGGCACTTCTCTAAATCCATCTCTGCCTGACTCTCTACCTGTTTCTGATCTCATAATATTGAGAGGGTGTGGGATATCTCTTGGCATATCCCTGGTGTCTCTAATATCCCTAGTGTCTCTAGTGTCTCTAGTGTCTCTAGTATCCCTGGTATCCCTAGTATCCCCTCTAGTATCTCTAGTATCTCTAGTATCTCTAGTATCTCTAGTATCCCGAGTATCCCGAGCATCTCTACCCGCGTCCCTGCCTGTATCTCTAGGAGTTTCTTTGCTCGAACCTTCTCTTGCCAAATCTCTGACAGTGTCGTTCGTTGCATCCCGTTGACCTTCTCTAAGACCATCTTTAAGATTCTCTCTGGAAGCGTCTTTGGGAGTATCTCTGTTGGAAGTATCCCGCCTGTTGGAGTCTTTGCTCAGATCTCGGCTCTCCTGGGCGTCCCGACCGCTCGGCCCACCTTTCAATGATATTACAAGCAGCTCAGGTGGATTGTCCGCACGTGGCTGATGAGAGGATGGTGGATCCCTTTCCCTCGATGGATGATCACGTCCATCCCTGTTAGAGACAGAAGAGGAGTTTTCATGCCGGTTTTCATAGGACGGAGTTCCTGGCTTTGGCGGCAAAGGCACAACACTTCTTCGTCCACCGATGGGTGACACAGTGCCACCTACTCGAGAGTCCTTAACAGTTGATACACGGTCACGTGTACTTTGTGAAGCTTTTCCAACATTTGATGCCATGGATCTATTGTTGCTGCCGCTGTTACTGTTATTGTTGGTGTTGGTGTTAGTGTTGATGTTAGTGCTAGTGCTCGCGTTAGCGTTGGTGTTGGTGCCGGCATTGGTGACATTGGCATTGGCATTGGTAGTAGTGGTATTGGTGGTGCTATTTTTTTTTAAAAAAAAAAAAAAAAAAAAAAAAAAAAAAGTAGAGCGATGAGATTCAAAATATAAAGTCTTATACAGCCTGAATAACATGGAAAGCCTGACACACCGATCTCATACCTTCCTTCCTCAATTGCGCTAGCCTTGACAGATGGTTGCTTATTTGACTCAGACTTTGATTGATCAATAGTGGACGATTTGCTGGTACTGGACTGGATATCGCTTTTCTCCTTCGGTTGAACGAGATGGAACTGGCTGACAGGCAACCAGGCCCCAGAATTTTGTCCTTTTTTCAAGACTCCCAGGTAAGATGCTGCCATGAGTTTCAAATCGTCTCTCTTCTCACTCTCAGCAATAGGTTTGAAAATTGACATGAATCGTGTACCGATCGCCACCAACTCTGGGTAGCGCGGAGCAAGTTCTCGAAGCATTAAAATCGTGTTTTTCATACGCATGTATTCTCCGGTTCCAACAGCGGATTGGAAAGTCTATAGCCATTAGGATTTAACAACAATTAAACTATGAGCACAAAGTATACAGTTATCGACTATAGACACTTCATATGTCTCCCATACAGCTAATAGCAATTAGCTGACTTACCTGGAATAACCTGACATGCCATCTAAAGAGGCCATGTCGAAACATTTCAAAGTTAAGCAGGTCCTCTTCACGAATCACGCCGCTGGTACTATGTGGTCCCCATTTTTCTTGGAATCCAGGCAGATTATTACCACGACCCTCTGAGGCATATAATTCTCGGCTTTTATGCCAACGAGCTAGATTACTTAACACCTTGAACAAAAATAAGCCATACGATTTGGCTTCAGACTCGGAGGAGAGAAAAAGGATACGATCGACCTCCAAAAATAACTATTTAATACACATAAAATAAGGTTGACAACATTAGTATATCCAAATATTTGGCTCCTGGAGGGGGAAAAAAAAGAAACTGAAGTCAAACATACTTTATCAAATAGCGTTAATGTCGAAAAATTGATGGTTCCAATTGAATGCATCAGTTGAATGAACGTCGAGCAAAAGATAGCATCCATACTGGACATAACAGCCCTTGGATAGATACAGTGCTGGATGACCTGACCAATGATCTCTTCACGGTCGGCTTCCACTAGTAAGAGAAAAAGAGAAAGAGAAAAGAGAGAGAAAGACAGGCAGCTCAGCATTAACTTATGGAACATAGAAAATGGTGCCTGATTAAATTAATGCAATGGTAGAGGTTTTCCTTACATCCTTTAAACCAGTGGTCTTTCTCGCGCTTCAAACGCTCCATGATCACCTTATGGTGAGCTAAATGGCGGTCCATCTCAAGCTGCAATTTTGATGCTGTATTTGCCAAACGGTCTCGATCTCTGCCCCTCTTGGCTTGCACACTAGAGCTATATGTTGCTCTATCATTATCCATGACGCTGATAGATTGTTTTAACCTGTTAATTTCAGAGCGATATTCCTGGACAGGAACATAGATATCATACATAGTCAACTGCCAGAAGGTAATGTAGAACTGTGGTTTCATAGAGCGCCAAGCTTTAGGTGGGAGAATGGATTTGATCTCTAAAGCTGCAGACCGCAAGCATGGTAACCAAGGCTCCTCATCGGCAACAGTGGTTGATTCGTTTGACTTGTCGCCGTCTATCTCCATGACAGTGGCGTCACTTGAGTTGGGGTTAGGGTTGGAAGTGGACTGCATCACAGTTTGTGCTGTTTGCTCTTGACGTATTAGTTCCTGTAGCTTTGGCCGTACAATATACATAGCAATCGCAGGGTCAATCTTATAGGTTTCACAAAGATCCGTGAGACTGGGAACAAACGTTGGATATGCTCTCTGGAGATTGGACGAGAGAAAGTCTAAAAATTGCAGGAAAGTAAGATGCGCCTGATCGAAAAGGTTGCTCAAGACTTTCAAGTGGGGGATTTCAACTGGTCCGAAGATACATTCCTGTCTCTGTTGAGCAAGTAAAACAACAAATTGAGCAGCAATGTTGTCGCGCACCATGGCCTCCTGTAGTCGATTACAGCTTCTTGCATTTTTTTTCATGACAGTTCCAGTAACGCCTCCAGCAAGTACTTCATTTCTTAACAATTCACCGCCCGCCATCGCAAGATGCTGCTCTTTAGTCAAGTTACTCAAATCTTCTACTCCACCCATCTTTGACAAAAGTTCTCGCAATACCACTAGATCATGAGCATTACGTTGTCGCAACTGATTAACAATGTACTGTAAAATGCCCGTCAGTTCACCCGAGGGATATTTTCGATATAAGTTTCCACAGAACGAGGCCAATGCTAGGATGAAGAAAAATGATCGACAAAGTGAAAAATAAATCAATGTTTATACAATAAGAAACGATTGAGTACAGCAATCAAATATTTAAAAAATCTAGGATCAGGATTGCCAAAAAACTCACTGTTCATCCACTTTGCGATAGAGGTCCCATCCTCCTGGACCTTGCTACGTGTTTTCTTCGATAACGATTCGAGCAATGAATAACCGAGAACATCATGTCCAAAATCAGTCAAATATTTGCAAGCATCTACGAGTGGCTGCACCATGTTGTCATAACCACCTTCCAGTTGCTTGATTGCTGCAGCAAATACAATCAGTGGATTCGAATGGGCATATTTCGCAAACATGCGTCCATACTGTTTCACATCCTCCCTATTAATCCTCCGCATCATATTCTTGGCATCCTTCTCCGTTGAGGCAGTTGTCACAAGAAGTTCCGGATATTGTTTGGCTGCCTCTGACTTCCATTCTCCATACAGAGCAAATCGTGTCTGATAATTTAGTCCCTTTATCACTTGCCATACTTCATGCACAATACCTAGAGAATAAAAAGTTAAAATATTTGTATAGGATTGAATATAACCTCCTTATTATACACCATTATGGCCATTGTCAAAAGGCGAGCTCGTATCGGTTAGTGTTAGCAATATTTTGTAGATGTAGTACGTACCAGGATTGGAGTATGCAAGAGACACTGTCGGCAAAAATAAGGATCTCGTCATGTCGATCCATATGCTTTCAATAGTTTCTTTCTCTGATTTGAGTGTGACTTGCTGAGTATCGTCCTGTCCACCAAGCATAGCAATTTCGCGACGAAGTCGATTAAGAGTTCCAGCTCCAATACGGCACAGTTTGGCCACTAGTTTTAAGTCTCGATGAATGCGAACACCAACAACAGTCAGTATTGGATACACATAGTCAATGATGTCCTGCACCGACTGGCACAATATAAGGCTGTCTCTCCATCCTTGATAAAAGTATTCGTAACGTTCAGTTCCTGTAGAAAGTGGAAGCCATGGATTCAATGTGCGTACAGTTTTAACCTCCTGTCCCTCTGGAGTAATAGGATAGCGGTAAGTGAAATCTTTGCGCTTCATTAATTGCGGATGGCACGTGGTTGGTGAGAAGGTTGAATATACAGGATCGATCATCTCGTGGATAAGGCGACAGATCAAATCAGCTGTTTCAGGATGAGAAGCTGTAAGGTTAGGAACCCTTGCAAGAATAAACATTGCGTGATCCAGATCTCCTATAGATAAAAGCGCATTCAAGACTCCAATTTTTTGATTAGGAAGTGGTAACTCAGGAATGGCCTCTGGTAGTGACTCCTCTACCACTTTATCATTCTTATTTTCAGATGCTGTAGTTGATCCAGTCACCGTGTCATCCTCTAATGCGCCAGCCATCTAGATCACAGAAAAATCATCGTAGTTAATTATTTATATGGTTCTCCAATGTCGCATTACAATTAGCATGATCCGCCTCGAGACTTACCGCAAGTGGGTTGCTTTTATATTCCTGGGCTTTGGATTTCATACTTTCTATGAATTTCTTGTAGTCTTGGACCATCTCATCATCAGTTGGAGAGAGCTACAGGCAATGCAATAAAGATGTTAGCATGGCTTTAAAAAAAAAAAAAAAAAAAAAAAACTATTCAAAATCAAGAGATTCTTAATTTACGTGGTGATAAAGATCATCTAAACTCATGATGGAGTGCTTGGTCAATAAGGCCGAGATTGTATACAGTTCGATTGGGGATTTATGGCGGTTTTCAGGACGCTAGATTATCAAATGATATTAAGGGAAGATGATGTTAATATTGGTATGGAGTTACCCATGCATTGAAATAATAGTTTTGCTCATTGATGCACTGACTTACCTGCAAATCCTGAAACATGAATCCAAGAATTTGAGCACAAGCTTTGTTTTTGAATGCTGGCAGGTCACCTGTCGTTTGGAGACACCATGGTGATATCAGCAGAAACTCAATAAAAAAATGATGGTGCGTGATGATATTTGCAGAAAAGACGTCCAGAACGATGGAAAGGACGCGGTTTGGGTCAAGATCGAAGTAACCTAGGATAATATGATAAAATTAAAATTAAAATCTCATTGGCCTTAGTCAAAGCATTCAAACAAGGATGTTCTTTTTATTTAATATTATTATTATTTTACTTACCAATAAGATGGATCACATTGCTAAGAACTGACTTAGCCCTAGAAGTGATTTGACCGACATTATCGCTGTCAGCTGTACCACTCGCAAGTTCCGTTATTAGTTTCGAATAGCCTTCGGACTCTTCTCTTAAGAGATTGAACTTGTGCTGCTTGTATCTAGAATTATGGAGGGAGATCCCCAATAGATGATGAGAAAGAAAATCGAGTTTGTGATATGAGATACTTTTGTCCTGTATTGTAAAGACGTTCAAGTAGAAAAGGATGTCAAATGATTCTCGACTCGAAAAACCATGACAACGCTTTTCCAAGGGGATTTCATAATCATTGCTTATGCGAAGGTTATGACAGTATTATACTATGGTGCCAGCACCGTAGCACTGACTTACAGTTGAGTTGTATTGATACGGATGATACGCTTTTTGTAGAGTTCAATATTTGAGATGACGCCGGTTTTTTCCAAGAAAGATAGCTCCCAGCGCTCCTTCATGAGACGTTCTGGAATGAATTTTTGGGCCTACATAAAACAAGTAGCAGTCATAAGGTATGAGATGAGTCTGTATAGACATTGCAGAGTTATACTTAAATGCCAATATTCTATTGCATGATGCACAACGTATACATTATCTGAGTCTGTAAGGACGCTTAGATCATGGGGTTTTGCCACTTACAATTAACATTTTGGCGACCTGAACGAGCCTTTCTGACTTTTTCTCTTGGATCTTTGGGTTATGTGCATAAATATCAAGCTCAACCTCCATGAACCAGAAGAGATCAACGATGATGCTAACTACATTCCCTGATGTTGATTCTGAAGGTTTGGTGGCAAGCTGACGAAGAAAAGCTGCAACCTTATCAGCCGGGAGGGTATTACTAACAGCCTCAAGTAATACAAGCTGAATGACTGTCGTGATCGGATGTGGCAAGATGTCGTTGGGAGCACTAAGTAGCCCGGCAGAGTAAGACATTCTATGGTCGATCCAACAAATAGTTTGAGATCGTACGTTAGTTTGCTTAATATTAAAAATTATGAATATTATTGAATATGACGAAACTAATGCTGCGTATGATGGCGACATGAATCCATTAACGTACAGATCCTCATAAGATCCCGTTTCTTTCCATCGAGCTATATGCCCCTCTTCGACGACTGGATACAAAGCATCGAGAGACACTGGGGAAAGCCCAAGTTCCATCTGAGTATACAATAAATGATTAGAATCGAGTTTGGAAAGAAAAAAAGTGGCAACAGAGAGACGTTTTTTTTATTCAATATTGTGACTGTTAAAGACAGCCACAGCGATTTTCTGCTGATACCCAAATGTTAAGTAATCGTATATGAGCTAAAACTAAAAGTGCTCCCATGCCAAGTTTGGTGAAGGCGCTGTCGTTGGCTTGGCCGAACCAATGTTCTGGTTTAGTTTACATATCTCAGAGACCAAGTATCAGCCGGAGCAAATAAGTACACTATGATTAGGATATAAAATATCGAGAATATTTTAATTTGTTTTTTGCTTGCTTTGCTTGTTTCGTTGCCGGTTCGCCAACGCGATAAGATGGAATAAACAGGGGTAGCCAAAGAGGGAAATCAAGATGAACCACTGAATAATGTCAAGTAAACTGAAGAAGCCATTGCCCACGATTACAGTGAAATAGAGTGAGACTAGTGATTCAAAACAGTGCAATCCCGTGATCAACAACACTAAGCGATGAATCCAAGCAGCACCAACAGTCTTTAAAATCCATTGTAAGAAAGAATTTGTTGTATTGGGGTAAAATTCAAGATAGAATGCTGTCAATCCTCCTATAAGGAGCAGCGTTGACAGCAGATTGCCTTCCGGAAGTGTTGCTGATGGGCTATCAGGCATCAATCCCTAAATAAAGATTAATAAATGGGTGGATGACCGATTTAGTTTGGAAACAAATCAAGCTCATTGTCAATATAAATACATCGAGTAGTTATCTCTCTCACTTTTCGGCACTTTTATATATTAAACACTGCTGTAGGAATCTTGCCATTATTTCATATAAAGTACCTGATTGCTTGAATCTCTTCCACGTAACGCAATTTCTGCTTCTTTCGCAAGAGTTGTGAGTGTATGTTTGACCTGACCAACAGCGAACATGGATTGGCCAAAGGTGACTCTGACTTCTCTTTCCTCACCACTATCTTCACAAATTATATCGAATCCGTCCTGATCAATACTTGTCATAGTTGCTTTTGTGGCAGTAGGATATTCTCCAAAGTAACGAGCATATGCAAGAACTGTCGTTGGATGTCCATTCATATATTCACATAGCGAATCAGAGTGCTCTGCTATAGGATCCTGAGCGCGACGAGGCATGACTAAATCGTTGAATGACGACAATGAACTAGACTAGAATGCAACAAAGAATGCAAATCTGATGAATCAGATGTAAGCATTTTTCTTTACAAAATCATATTTTAGTTCAATTCAGTCTATGATATTAATAGTAGTTATTTAATAATTATTATAATAATACAATAACACAGATAAAAAAAAAAAAAAAAACGATCGATTGCGTGTGTTTGGCATCTGCATTTTTAAAAAGGAAAAAAAAGGCCTTTCTACATTCCTATTCTACTGAATCCAAATAAATACATCTCCTTCGGCTTTTTGTCTTCTTTATCTTTTTCTTCTTCGACTTCGATTTCTACCGCCTTTGTCTCCTTCCACCTTTTCTACTTCTTCGTCTTCGTCTTTTTTTCAGCTTGTTACTCTACTGGTCTTGATCCATCGATATCTATTCCTTTAGGCAAATTCTTTTCTATATATTCTTATTGTTATTTAATTATCATCACCATCGCCGCCATTTCACGCCTTCTCGTCCGTCCCCGATTCCGCTTCCTAATCATGCCCGCGGAATCTCTTCCTCCTGCTCCTGAACTCTTTTCCCGCTGGGGTGCCTTCCAGACATGGTGGGGTCGATCAAATAAGGAACAAGCTCAGATCGCGGAAGCTCGTTTACTCTCTCGACTTCAATTCTTCTCATTTAAAGGTGTCGCCTCCTCTGATGCGGAAAAATCATCTACAGTGGCCCGTGTGGGTCTTGTTCAACTCTCTGGCAAGAACCGCCTCATAAACACACTCATCATCCATCAAAACTCCAATCCTGCTGCTGTTGATACTTCAAATGAAGGAATCGAACGTAAGGACATGGAAACAGACGATCAAGGACGCACTCCTATTGCTCAGACAAATCTTGATATGAAGACAGCCACAGATAAAGATGATACATCCATGATCTCGCCACCCGCACCAGGTGAGCGAGCTATTGTGGTCTGCCATGGCTATGGCGCTGGATTAGGCTTCTTTTTTCGCAACTACCTCAGCTTGAGTCAAATACCCAACTCTAAGGTTTATGCTATTGATTGGTTGGGGATGGGGGGTAGCTCTCGACCCGACTTCAAATTCAAGCACACATCCAAGTCATCGATGAAGGAAGTCGTCAGGAACTCCGAAGACTTTTTCATTGAGGGATTGGAAGAATGGCGACAAATTCAACGAATTGAAAAGATGGTTCTTGTTGGACATTCATTAGGAGGTTATCTCTCGACGGCTTATGCCCTAAAGTATCCCCAGAGAGTTGAAAAGCTAGTTCTTGTCAGTCCAGGTAAGGAGCTGATGATGACCAGATCACGTGAACCCAGGAAACTACACCAATGGTGATTCTAAAATGCCATCACCTATTTTGTCTATTTTGTTTTTGACAGTTGGTATTCCAGAAAATCCGGCAGCACAAAGTGCCCCTCTTCCGAATCCACCCTCGCAGGATGGTACTTCAGAAGAGACAAGTGCCCAGGTTCAGAATGGCCCTAAGGCCGCCTCCTCCGCAACCCCATCAACCACTTGGATACGGAGACTCGCGATGGGAGCGTGGGAGCGCAACATTACCCCACAGTCCATTATGCGCTTTACAGGACCATTTGGCCCTTCACTCGTTGCTGCTTACACGTCTCGCCGGTTTGCGTACCTTGAAGAGGATGAGCAAAGAGACTTGAATAATTACATCTATCATATTTCTTCCAAGAGTGGTAGTGGCGAATATGCACTTGCAACCATCCTAGCGCCAGGTGCATATGCCCGCTGGCCCCTTATGAACCGAATGAAGGACATTAAAATGCCTACAGTCTTTTTATGTATGTTGGTCTTTTTTTTTGCTCATCTCATAATCCTCGATTTTTGAACGACTAATATAAGTGCAACTTATTAACATCGTCTCGATTTTGTAAATGGCTCGATAGACGGAGAAAGCGACTGGATGGACTACAAAGCTGCCGAGAAAGCCAGGAAAACAATGAATGTACCGACTGCTTTAATGAGAATCCCTAATGCAGGCCATCATCTCTATCTCGACAATCCACCGGCTTTTGATAGGGCTATTCTTCAAGTCATTACAAAACCATGGGATCGCACAGCTTAGAATAATGCTCTTAATTTGTTTTGTAGCCTAATCATTTAATAATATTTGTTTTACAGCTTAATCACTTTAACAATAATATTTTTTTTTTAAAAAAAGAAAGCATTTACTTCAATTTATTGGCGTTCATAGCTATCCAGAACGCGCTCTGCATATCTGTCAATTGTCTCTTCAAGCCAGTTAAGATGCCGGAGCTCAGTCCACCAACCCTCTGGAATACCTTTTTCAAGCCCAAAACGTGTCCCCAATAATGAACCTAAAACAGCACCGTTAGTATCAGCATCACCAGCCTCTAAAGTGACCTGCTCCATGATTCCACGGAAGAGACCAGAGGGACCGGTATACTCTTTTGTTCTCGGGGACGGATCCTCACTTCGAGTAGCGCCGTAGTAGGCTATCCCAATGCACTTTAAAGCATATCCCATCGCACTAGAACAACCCAGATTCAATTGTCCCATGTCTCTTGGAAAACAATGTCTTTCCAATTCTTGAGCCCAGACATCTTGTATATTCTCTCCATCATTTTCAGGGACGACATTTGTCTCTTTGATCATAAATATATAATCTCTCAGCACAGACCTAGCCAATGCGCCCATGGCTTCATCTTCACCCACATGATCAATACCCGACCAACCAATATCTGAGCGAAGAATAACTTGTGGACGATCCTTGTTTGTTTGTGATCGGCTTGTAGCGCACGCTCTTTCATTCACATTTCTCTGTCGATTTTGGGCTAACGCATTGTAGTCTTTTGGTTGAAATTGATTTGCTGCCGTCTCATCTTCATAAATGGGATTGATAGAATTACTACCTCCAAGGTCTGTTCCACGTTGCAGATAGGCAAGAAGCCCTTGCCGATATGTTGGGTCCGAGAGTTTAGGATTCCAGGGCGTTAATTTGTCATGTTTAGAGTCGTTACTACTATTTCGAAGAAGGCGTGATATTAGCACGGATGAAAGAAGAGCACTCAGCACAGAGCGCGGGTCTGCATGAGTGACCTTTGCAGCTGCTAGAGCGTTCTCCACGACGCGTGGCTCGTCCCAAAAGGATTCAATGCCTAAAACAGCTGTTCGCATCACGGCGCCATTGGGTGCCAAGTTGCGTCCTGCAGAGTCCCAAACCTTTTTTTTTATCAAAATATCAAACATTAAGTCGTTTGCACATATTGGACAGTGACACGTTTATAAAACCAGAGTAGAATAACAACTACCTCGTAAGCAGCACGATGAGGATTGGAGGTGAACGTTGGGTGTCGCAAGACTTGTCCTACAGTGTAACCAAGTCCACGGCCAGGATCTGTCCCAATCTCAGGAATACCGTATTCGACCCACTCACGCAACGCCTTGGAGAAGTGGATGGGGTGTAATCTACCATCGGCGGTATGTTCCAGAGATTGAAGGATAACAAGCATTTGGTCTGTGTCGTCCGTAAAGTCATTGCTATCAGAGGCGGACCGATGACCATCTATCCAAACAGGATATCTACCATAGTAATCGGAGTAATATGGACAACATGAGTTTTGTGAAAAGAAAAAAAAAAATTGGTTTGTCACCTTACCCTGGTTCTCGACCAAAAGCAATGGGACCATTCCCATAAACACAGGCAGCCTGGTCAGTGGTCATGAATTCAGTTGCCAGGCCATAAGCATCGCCCACTGCGGATCCCAATAGACAACCGCGGATGCGGTCTTTGAGCTGAGATCGAGTCTGGGTTGAAAGTGCAGGCATGGCAGGAAAACCGCAGAAGTGATGAAAATGAAAGTTCTCATTCTTCAATGATTGCATATTTACACCACGTGCAATGTGTGAAGACTCTTCTCTTTGCATTCCATTAGAATAAACCTCGTGTGAACACAATGAACAGAATATGTTTCTTTCCTTCATATTCCTTCACTCACTTATTACCTGTTAAAAATCCTAGCTTAGATAACATTACATCCTTCACTTTCTTTCCCTTTCGCATCTGTTTCCTTGATAAAGACATTTACAAAGTAGCTTCCACTTCTCGATGGCCTCAAAACAACGCAAAAGGAAACATTCTCGCAAGGAGCAATCCATTCGAGACAAGGCTCGCATTCTCATGTCTGATACAACGGTAAAGAGAACAATGCGTTTTCTGTTTTACTCTTTCTTAGAGATCATGTTACTCATTTCTTTACATATGTCAATCAATCCGTTCCCTGCTTGCCCTAGTATGCAGAACCTCTGCGCGAGTACACTAGTTTTCTAGACCACCTCAAAGGCAATGGATATGCTCGAGACGAATTCACACGAATTCCGTTAAACCTCATAGGTTAGCTAGTCATCTGAAACTTTGAATCCATTTATGTTGAGTGCTGTGGTAAACGATTTATTTTCCTAACTTACTTTTTTCGGGAAATAGACCTCGCAGCTGCAATTTTTACTTCCATGATTTCTGGCAGGGAACTTTCTTTATTTGGTGGTCAAATGTACCAAACTTCAGACACTGATAATCAACAATACCAGGAAGACAAAGGGCTGTATACAACTACTATGGATGATGAAAGTGATGCTTTTTACTTTATTCAGCGTATTCTAAAGCGGACACAATTGTCATGCACTACTTTGGTTCTGGCACTCATTTATATTGATCGTTTCAAAGCACGACTGGCACGAGTAATGAAGCGCAGGACGAAACTTGATCAAGGCCCTGATTATGACCACAGCTCCAATTCAAATACCTTTCCTGCTATGATAGAAATCTCCCGAGAAGACAGAGAGGTCGTAATGAGCAGTGTCACATCTTCCTGCTCATCCTCTACAGCAACTTCTCCATCCTCCTCAACATCTATTTTAACGCCGCAGAGCATTGGCAGCAGCAATTCTACTGACGCAAGTGTAGGAACGAACAGTGGCAACGACAGTGGCAACAGTAATAGTACGAAGCAAAAACAAGAGTCTTGGTCAAGTGTTTCGCTGTTTTTGGTCTCTGTCATTTGCGCTGATAAATATCTCTTTGATGCAACATTCTCCAACGCTGAATGGGCCGACTTCTCCCGTGGCCGATATACTACATCGGAATTAAACACTCTGGAACGACGCTTTCTTGGACATCTACAATATAAACTATATGTCAGCGAGCCAGAATTTGATGGTTTTCTCTCGTATCTCGAAGTTATTTTGGCACTAAAGCAAGTCTGGGGCCGTGGATTGATTACATTTTCTTACAGCGATGTCAGAATTCTAACACAACGGCTTATGCCGGCGTATGCGGATCGCCTTCATTTCAAGGCTCTCCAGGGTGATATGATAGCGATTGTGTGGCAAGTTATGGCGACTTTCTCGCGTGTATATCTGACTATTGTTGGAGCAATCCTTGTAGCCTGTGCTGGATACACTGCTATTATGGAGCTCTCACGGCTAGCAAAGCTCAGTGCGTTGAGCCATCCATTGGATTGGCCATATAATCCTCTGCTGACATTACCCTCTCTGGATATAGCGACCTTCCATCAGCCACGGAGCTATGCTGACGAGAGCTCATTTGGCTCTACATTATCCTTATCTAGTGAAACGGAAAGATGTAGCCATAACGATAGGCGGTCAAATGACGATGACATCCACCGCTCAGTGATGGATTGGTTTCTATCGCAACCAGCTGCTGCCCAATACATTACCTGATCTGCAACAAATTGATTTCACGTGGCAATTGTTAGGTTAATCATAAAACAACATAAACAAGATAGAATGTATAACTTGAAAATATTGAAAAAAAAAAAAAAAAAAAAAAAAGTGCGCTTGTACTCCGAACACACTCATTATGGGAGCAAAAGCTAACATACATGCGACATATTTCTTAGAGCATCAGAATCAACTTTTATTACAACGCACGTTTTTCTATATTCCCAACACAACGAACGAAAAGAGAAACAAAGAAATATCACAAAGTTAGTACAAGAAGTGGGACGCCTAAATTAAAAATGCAAAAAACAAAACTAAAAGTATATTTTGAAAACAGAAAAAACTATACCATCATAATACCAGGTCCGGACTGTTCGGTCATCACTAGAGCTCACAAACATGCTCTGCTTCGGTGACCATACGGCGTTATAAACCATTGCCTCATGTCCCTGTAACTTCTGGAGAATGTCGCCAGACTCTTGATCCCAAATGTACACGAGGCCATCCTCGGACCCTCCTACTAACAATGAGTTGTGAGCAAATCCTGCACGGATAAAATTCTTTGACGTATTTTGGTGGCCCTTCAACTTCCGGAGTGGACGTGTCTAATTATAAAGTTATTAGTAAGGATAAAGGAATAAGAACAACAAGGCTAAAACAGATGCAAAATGTCTAGTTTTATGATCTTGTCTTTACCATACGGACATCCCAAAGACGATTAGAGTTATCTTTAGAGCTACTAAGGAGAAGGGTACCATTCGAGTTCATGGCCACTGACGTGACCTCTCCAAGGTGTGATGTGATCGTCTTAATACAAACGCCTGATACCAAGTCCCAGAATTTGATCGTATTATCTTTAGATCCACTAACGATCAGGTTACCAATAGGATTGAGAATGACTTTGGACACAGCAAGTTGGTGCCCACTAAAGGTCTTTATAACCTGTCCAGTCGCCAAGTCATGCAGTCGAACAATCTTGTCGTATCCACCAGATACAACATAGTTCTAAAAGACAGATAAAAGGTGGGTGAGCGACTCTAGCTTTGGCTAGTCTTCAGAATAGGTAACTTGCCAGATAAACATACATATTCATCACTAGCATACATTAGAAGGACCATATTTGACAGTGTATACGTCACCAGAATGGCCAGTCAGAGTAGCACGACAAGATGCTTTAGACCCCTTGATATCCCAGATCTTGACTGTTGAATCACCACTAGCGCTGGCGATGGTTGTACCGGCATCATTAGATGAGACGTCCCATATCCTGGACGAGTGTCCCCCTAGGATATGAAGACAGTTTCCTGTTTCTGTGTCCCAGACGCGTAGAGTATTATCGCTATACCGTATAATCAATTATACATCCCATGAGGCATCAGTAGGATTAATAGAATCAAGCACATTGTACATATACAGGTATCTGATTAATAAAGAGAAAAACGCCTCTATAAATAAAGGATCCCATACCTAGACCCTGAAACGATAGAGCGGCCTTCGATGCCCACAAACTCTGCACATTTTACATTTCCACGGTGGCCCTGCATGATTGTTCTGGTTGCATTTGGGATGACAAAAGGCGAAAAATCTTGAAGGAGTGTTTCAACAATGGGTGAAATCCGTGGGTGATACCGGGAAACTTCGATCTGGTATGCAACGGCTTGACGAAGTAAGTTGAGCAAACGGTTGGGCGGGACATACACTGAGCCTTTTTTTTTTTAAAAAAAAAAAAAAAAAAAAAAAAAAAAAAAGACCACAATAGTTTAGTTATCTAATCACTATTTTGCCATTACTTTATAGTAGAAGTGTATTTTTTTTTTTTAAAAAAAAAAGTGCATACCATCCTTTACAGAGTTTTCGACATCAAGCATGCTCTGGAATTGCTCGACAAGCCTGTCTCTGCCTTGTGCGATACCTTCCCAATTCTTGAAGGATGGTGCATCATGGATAGATTTTGTAGTGAGGAGATAGCAGAGGTCCTTAAATTCGATCGGTGTTTTCTGGTGCTGCTCCAGAGGTTTGAGGCGCTTTTGAAGAAATGTGAACGCCTATATATTTGATAGTGATGCTGTTAGTCGAACATCTAACGATGCTAAGAAAAAAAAAATTATAGAAATATATCCTTAATGCTATTTTTGTTAATGTTAAGACATTAATGAGAGTGTTCTACCTTTTGCATCTCACGATGCTCAATGTATTCAAGGTATTGCTGCTTGTATACCGCAAACAAGAAGCTCTTTTGGTTTTTGAACAGTGGTTTTGAACAGATCTTGTCAACTTCAGCCCATTCTCCATCTAGATAATTTCAAGAAGTAAAAGCAAGGAGTTCGGTAAAAGTTCACGACCACGTATGTAATTCAAACCTTGTAGTCAAAAGTAATCGTTACCAATAATGGCTTTCTTCAAGCGACGCGTCTCGTGTGTGTTTTCCTCCCGCTCATGCCACTTCACATTTGACTCGTCTTGAATCGTCATTTGCGAAGCATAATAGCCTTCATCTGAGAGATACTGCATTATCATGCGGATAATATCCTAAATTTGAGACCCAATGAGCGTTTAACTACTTGATAACTAAAATATAAAGAGCGTTTATTTCTCTCATAAGAAAAAAAAAAAAAAAAAAAAAAAAACTTGCCTCGCGAATATGCGGATCGTCGGCATTAAAGATATCTTCGGTTGGTCGTATCCTGTTAGGGTTCATCCCGACGTGAGTATGTGTAGCTGCCATGGCAGACATGCTGATACCATAAATATATATATAAGCACAGTATTATAACTCAAAGATTCAACTAACATTGCATGACTCCATACATTCATATACGTATCCCTATGCTCATTGCTTAATGAGAAACTTCTTTTAAATGATGCAAGGTATCTTACGTTCTTTTGGTAGCACTTAACTCTCGCTCCCGCCCCAAATTCAGCTGTGCTGTATCTTCGACAAGTTCCCTGTCTGGTAAAGTCATGATGAATGGAAGCTTATAAGAAATGGGAGCAAAAGATGTATCGATGTTTCTAGCCTTTCGAGCTCCTGTTTTTACTCTTCTCCCGGTTCTCTCCTTGTATCTCTCCTTGTTCCCTCGATTGTATCCGGTTTCTCTACAATGGAGCCAACGAAGAGATCGCTTCATTCTGCTCTTCATGTGCTAAGAAGCAGTCACACCTTTTTTTGTAAATTGTGGGCGATTGTCCATGGGCTAATCCTTCCACTTGCAAGTCTAGAGAAGAGTCCTAAATTTGCTTTGCATCATGATGAACAGGGACATGCTCAAGCTGCGGAAGGATCCCACTATCCCATATTACGTGGGTACTGTTACTTCCACTACTACCGCGTTTCCCGTCACGCAACGTTTAGGCAGTCCAAGTAGCACAGAGAGTAGACCCGTCAATGCTCGTCATCGGCCTTCGCCCAAAGGATCGGGAACACAGGGATCAGGACAGAGCCATGGACAAAGTCAAGGACAGTCTCATGGGCAAGGACAAGGGCCAGGTGTCGGATCGACATCAGGATCAGGATCCACCATCTTGACTGTTGCATCCGGCACGTCGGCTGCATTAGCAAGTCCAGTGACGTTAACCCCTACCACAACTTCCACACAAACAACCAATGTTTCTACAGGCATGACTTCTTCTTCAACCCTGACAGGAGGCTCAAGTATAAGCTCAGCAACGGGGAACCCAGGCGTAGGGATAGGAACAATGTCAGGGACCTTACAGGGATCAGGGACTGGAATTACTCAGCAGCCTTTTACTGGAGCGGGCGGTGCACAGGCAAGCAACGTTCGCACCTTTAAGTTCGATACGAATGGCGCGCTCTCGGCTTTGTCAGCATCACCGGATTATTCTATGGTGGCGGTAGTGGGCCGTGATGGTAAGGCAAACTCGTACTTCAACTATCAAGTCATAACAATGAAGCGTGGTGCCTTTTCCTAACTATTCTCTTTCTATTTGTAAACCATTCATATGCAGTAATTAAAATTTTAAGCGTCACAGATAGTGGAGCGGAGGAAATGATCAACCTCAAGGCTGCGGTCGGCCGGAATGCTCCTACAGGGAGCATGGATGTTAAATGGGGCCCAACGACGGGTAAACAGAGAATAAATTAGCTTCCATGTGAAGCGATTTTATTTTTATTTTATTTTATTTTTCCCTCATCCCAGAAGGGATGAGTCTGGATTGTGGATGATGAAGTCTCACGGTTGGTATGCATAATATGGCGCTATTAGGACGAGATGCCAAAATTGCTACAACTGGCACGAATGGGCCGATTTTCATCTGGGATATCGGCACGCACAACAAGATCGGTAAATAACCTCGATAATAGTTCTTATAGGCCTGCGACTAATAACCAATGGTTAACAACCAGGACACTCAAATCCTTCGCTCCTAAACTTGATGAAATTATCGATTAGATCGCATAATCAAAGAGCACCCACGATCCGTTCATCGTATATGCTTTTCACCACAGGAGCCTAACCTTCTATTGAGCGCATCGTCAGATTCCACCATCCGTCTCTGGGTAAGCAGCATTTCAGTGGATTCATGGAGAAGATATGGAAGAGTATTGTTGCAAGATGGATTGTTATTGACCTTTCCACATTTCTATATACAACATCAGGACCTCCGGATTCGCGATCGGCCGGGAATAATCATGGATGCAAAAGACGTTGTGAGAGAAGTTCAATTTAACCCTGTATCTATGAATGACATTGTAGCTGGATATGAAAGCGGAAATATACAGGTGAAAAAAAAAAAAAAAAAAAAAAAAAAGTATTCCTGGTGCTGCGAAAGCTATGGCTATTGAGTGTATGACTGACGTTCTGTGCTTCTGCGTTCACAACTAGCGATGGGACTTGCGCAATGTGAGCACAAGCGAAAAAAAATTTATGGCACATATGGGTTTTGTCACATCATTGGATTACCATCCAAGTGGCCGGTTCTTAGCTAGCGGCGGGCGTGACAGAACAATCAAAGTATGTATTTTTGAGCATATTATTCTACTGAAGCCTGTCTACAGGAAAAACCTCGATGGATTATCGAAACTCATTTTTTTCATCGTGCCGATATTTACGTATCAGGTCTGGGATATGGAAGACGAGAAACGAAGAGAAATCCACACCATTCCTACGGCCCAATACACTTCCAAAGTTCAGTGGCGTCCACATAAGCCCTATCAGCTTGCGGCGAGTTTTAAGGATGAGTCTGCAGTACAAATTTTTGATATGCGCAGGCCGTTTGTGCCGCTCCATGTCCTCACACAGCATGATAAAGATGCAACATCAATCCTTTGGAAGGATACAGATGTACTTTGGAGTGTTTCCAAAGATAAAGCATTTGCTTCAACGTATATCAGAGGACAAACCTCGTTTGCTGATTTATTATCAAGCGGCAAGGCCACTATGAACTGTTATGGACAATTAGCGTTCACTATTGCTAGCAAAAATAGCTACGACTCATTCGAGAAAGACCTTGTCCCTAGATCCGGACGGCCTAACCCGAGATCGGTTGCACTTGATGGAAGCGCGGAAGTAAGATTCTTTTTTTTTTTTTTTTTTTTTTTTTTTTTGTTTAAAGTTGGTAGGGAATACACTTCAGAAAGATTCACACATCAATTACTTCTCCATTGGCACAGGCTACAATATATCGTACGCGACAGGCAGGAGGTGTATTCGATTGCGAACTGTTCAACCATGAGGCGTTTATCTACTGCGCGCAAAACTATTCGTTGGATTCAGACAATGTTCGAGCTGCATGTGAGCATAACTCAAATATAGCTTGGCAGGCAAATAAATTCCGCGACTCACAGACATGGACAGCTATCAAGCTGTTTTATAGCGATATGGCGGAATCTGCAATAATTGTTTCACAAGGCGAGATCCGTATACTTTTAAATAACCATAACTAATGAACCTGAAGAACGTCGGACTACTTTTACTCATCACAAAATAACTTTTTATTCTTTTTGTTACTTCTCGTAGTGGATGCCGCTTCGACTGAAATGGCTGCAGTATGTGTGACATGTGCTGAAGTCTCTAACATCTTGCTTGATTAATCTATATCGGAAGCTGAATCGGCTTTACTCATATTTTTTATGGTCACTCCTTCCAGGCTGCTAATAAACAGAGGAATGGGCGTGCACATGAAGACGAAAATGAAGGTTCCGAACTATCTGGGACACGGACAGCAAAGCCAACTGTACCAAGTTTATTCGCTATCAAGGTATCAGATGCGCCTATAAAGCGGGATTGGTCGCATGTAGAAACTATCCGTAACCTTTTAGAGTACTATGCGGAGCAAGGCGAAGTGCAAATGTGTGTAACTATTTTACTTGTACTAGCCAATGAGAAAGATTTATCGGAATTTAGTCGGTCACAACAATGGTTTGGATCGTACATCGATCTGCTTTCCAGGTTCAAGCTCTGGAGCATCGCCACGGCTGTTTCGCAAGCTTGCAAGGATCCCGAAATTCACACTATGAATCAGGACTCAACTACAATCCACACATCATGTTCAAGTTGTATGAAGCCTTTAATATCTCGAGCACCAACATCATCTGGGTTCTGGGCCTGCGATAAGTGCCGCAAGGTTCTGAGCTCGTGCTCAGTGTGTCATATGACAGTACGAGGAGTCTTTACGTGGTGCACACAGTGTTCACATGGATTTCATTTACAGCATGCACAGGAGTGGTTCTCGCAATCAGCAGAATGTCCAACAGGATGCGGCCACCAATGCTTTCCAGAGATGCTTAAGATTCAGCTAGAGCAGGAACAACAACTGGATAATGATAGAGCTTACGATTCATCGTTTTCATACCATTATCCGCGTCCCCTTCATCTGCAGCAGGAGCTGGCCTCTTATTCCTCTCATAGTCACCATCGCGGAGGTGAGATAAGCGAAGGCAAAGAGTCGTCCCCGATGCAATATTCAACATACTCAAGCATGATATGATCTTCCATCAACAATAATAATACTATTAATATTAATAAGAAGCACCACTTGAAATTCGAATATGTTTGTGATTAAGGAGGAATCTTGCTTTGATTGTGGTTGGGCGTATGTCGATTTCCATTAGCGATAAAGATACTCTTGTATGATTGAATATTAGTTCTCTCATCTCAGGGTTCAAAATATCCAATATTGTATTATTTATTTATGATATAGTGATGATGCTAAAACATGAATACAGCGAAATGTGTTAAAGAGATACAATCGACATCAATTTTATGACATATCGACATCCATGAGCTTGCTCTTCTGAGCGACCTTTTGGACCTGAGCCAAGTTCTTGATGGCAGGTGTGTCGACAAGATGGATGTGCTTCTGGACCAATGCCTGGTTTTCGGCCTTCTGGCGCAGCTTGTTGCCTGACATCCTGCTCTTGTAGAACACACGCTCGCGCTTGGCCTTGATTTCTTGTGAGCGTTTGAGGGCTTTGATGGTGGTTGCCATGAGATCTCGGTCGTATCTAACAGGAATATTGCGACGCTTCTCGAACTGGAATGTAGAGTCCTATTGGTTGACACAAGCCAAAAAAAAAAAAAAAAAAAAAAAAAAAAAAAAACGTTTAGAGGGCTTATTCAACTATATTAGCTTTGGATATGATTGAAAAAGGAAAACAATAGTCACTACTTACGATAGTCATCTCCTTGCCCGCAGCCTTGCGGAAGGCTTTAGTCCAGCGGACCTTACGAGGGTTACGCTTCATCTTGAAGTTCTTGTGGCATTTTGACCTGCAGAAGCGAAATGTCTAGAGGTAGCAGTTTATAGTAGTTTATTATATAAGAATCGAATAAACAAACTGTTAGCGAAAATCTTTGACCTTTTTACACTTTTACTGTTCCAAGTCCAGATGTAAATAGGCGTTTGTATGAAGCCAGCTGTTGCTTTCATATAACTAATATCTTTATTCAATTTTCAGGGGCGCACCTTCGAGTCATTGCGCACAAACATTGTACCATGTCCAGGGTAACAAGTGGATGAGCAGAAATAGCACTTTTCTAAACGCATGGTTGGTAATTATATTTATATGCAGTGTAAAATAGACCAATGAAGCTGTTATTTCAAAGAGAATAAGAAGAAAGAAGAAAGAGAAGTAGGGAATGGTATATCTGACTGGAATGCTTGACAAAAGATGAACCACATGAAATAGCATTTCTATTTTTTTTTTTTAGTGTTTATCTTTAATTATAAGTACGAGTCACATCACCTGACATTATCTTGGGCACGCCGCGTGCATCACACAACGGTCTCTCATCAATTGCATTTTTTTTTTTTTTTTTTTCATTTATTATTTATTGGGAATAGTTCATTCAATTTTACTTTGTCAACGCATTAGCCACCAGATACGCGTCCTTAATAGTCAGTTATGGAATCTACAGAATGTAATGAAAAGTCCCATCAGGAACCCGATGGCTCATCAATACAAACCAACAATTTAGTCGGGAACTCTGCGCCTGCTCAAGCAATAGTTTCGCCTCAAGACACCACTTCTGGCATTAGCCAATCCGACTTGGATGATATTCAGGATAATATTCGCTTACTGACAGAAGCACTCACCAAATCCATTGAACCTATCCATGCTGAGCTGAAACCCATCACGAATAAGGATTCCGATGTTGATAAAAAAATATTGAATGCTGCCACGGCCACGCCTGAAAATAATATCTTGGAAGACACAGTTGCTGCTGTTGCCGCCACAGTTGCAGCAGCCAGTACTGGATTAAAGGAACCCATCGAACCTGACCCCTTGCCGTCATCAACCCAGCTAACAGCCCTTCCGTCAAAACTATCACCATCACAGTATCTACATCGGGAGAACCCCGAAAAGACTTTACATGACGATCAGTCTCCAAAAGAAAATACCGACGCCAGCAAAGCTTCAGCTGTAGGATTTGATGCTAATATCACCCTTAGCCAAACCCTTTCCTCATCAGCGCCAGCAAATGAGAAGCCCTCGGGGAAACGGTCAGCACAGGAAGCATTCGAACAAAACCAAGCAGCAATGGCCTTGCAGCTCATTGCACGCTCACTCAGCAACCCATCTGCAGTCTCAATCAATATGCCTTCCACGACCTCGGCATCAAGTCTAGAGGGTGCATTGACAAAGTCAGAAACACTACCCACGACAACAGCAACGACACAGGGGCAATCTATGGAGGATACCTTGAGAAACCATGAATCTGCAAAAAGCGTGTCAGATACCCTCATGTCCATTACCCGTGCCATTAGTTTCCCGACGCAGTCAGAGTCGCCTAGCAGTATTAAATCAGACACAGAAGCATTTACGCGCGCTGTCCTCACCGCGACGCAGAATGAAATCAATAAGAGCAAGAATAATAATGATAATAGTAATAACAACGGGACCAATCCCACACCTTCTGCTGAGAATAATGGTCATAATAATAGTGGGCTAGACCACACAGCGCTTGAAAACCTCAGTCTTCATCAAAATCACTATATAGCAGGGACCAGCGCTGCGACTAGTCATGATCAAACTACTTTGACATCTTCTACATCTACCAGTGGCCTATCACAAGGACTTTCGTTTTTTTCGTATGATGAGGCCACCGGGAAAACACAATTTAAATGGGCACCTGACCCTAAGGATGAGAGCAATGATGAACTTCAGGATGCCAATGCAAAAGTTATCCAGCAAGCAATAGCCACCATTATCGCCAACACTGGAATTCCTGGATTGTCTGATCTGAGCGCAACTAGCAATGCACTTTTGAATCCTCCACTTGGAACTTTCCCAGTGCAGGGCTCTGATTTCGGATCAAGCTCTGACCCTGCCAAACCAGATCCGACACCACCACCCCGGAAAAGGAAAAAGCCAAGCACCACAAAGACCTCGACACAGAACACAGCTGCATCGATCCCTGAAGGAGCGCCATCGTTTCCATGCAAGTTTGCAGGATGTGATAAGGTCTTTGCACGATTGTACAATCTCAAGTCGCATTCGAGGACGCATACAGACGAGCGACCGTTTATTTGTAGTGAATGCAGCTTTGCTTTTGCACGTAATCATGATCTGAAACGGCATGTCAAGATTCATGGAGGCGATAAATCGTTTATCTGTAACGGTTGTGGCAAGTCGTTTTCGCGCCTGGACGCACTCCGTCGTCATCGTACTAATTCTAAGAATCGGCCAGGATGTGAAATGACGCCATCTGAATCATCTGAACCAAAGACATCATGAAAAGATAAAAGGAAAGGAAAAGGAAAAGGAAAAGGAAAAAAGAAAAATCAAATCATAAAAAAAAACATATTGTTACCCTTTCTGGGATTCTGTATTGAATATTGTCCTTTATCTAACATGTTCCAAGAATGGCTCCAAGGATGTGTACCACAATATCTGTTGTAGATGTAAAATGCTTTAAGAATGCTCCTGTCACAAACAACTTTGTCTTGGCGGGATCATTGTACATACACCTGACTACATGTACAATCTGCGATTATTATTGCCTACCAAAATAAACTCATTGTCAATATCAAGTCTTTAACGTGACGATCTCCTGAAATTACTTTACAACCCCACTCTTCTTTCCCATCCTCCTCAGTTGTCCTTCTCTCTCTCTCTGTCTCTCTCTCTCTCTCTCTCTGTGTGTGTGTGTGTGTGTGTGTGTGTGTGTGTGTGTGTGTGTGTGTGACATTTTCAACTAAATCTATGACTCGCCTTCCTTTGGCCGTCGTCAATTATCCTCCGACTCTAACCTGCGACATAAGAGACTAAGGATGTCCGGTCAAGGACAATTAGCCCAAAGGGATCTTTTAAATGCTTTCGAACTTGTTCTTGCATTTGCCTACGGCCTATATGTTCTGTCTTCTCGACAGGGGGCCGCAACCATTGACAGCGGTAGTTACTTTGGACTATTGGACCAACTGAAGGAAAGATAAAGCCTGGATGACAATACTGGAACGAACCAATCTGTCAGACCTATTTCCGATGGAATAGCGCGTTTTTTTTTGTGTCACCAAGGGCAAAGATGGTTTAATCTACGCGCGCATGTTGGCGGTCAGGTTAAACTCGTGTTCTTGCTCTGGAATCCGGGGTACTAATCCTATTCAAGTCATAAAGATCCTTTTTTTGGGAATAATATACAACTAATGGAGCTAAATCACATCAAGAAAGTGTAACAGGCACCTTTCAACTATTTCTCTTTTGCTATTCCTTGCTTTTGATCTGCCTTGAGTTTGCTAGGATGAATTGACCATTGTCAAGATTTTGTATTCACCAAAAGGCGTAGAACAAACCCCTGACTTCAGATGGGAAACTATGTTGTCCATATCCAGACATACAGATGATAGGATCAAGATAAAAAAAGAAAAGGATGTTATATATACATGTACAAACAAACAAACGCAAGGAAGGTGGGTCGCTTCAAAGGAAACGTGGCACGTTTTTTTTATTGCAAACGCTTGAAAGACATGTAGAGAAATAAAAATGGCATCCGCTGATGTTGCCCTTTTCTTATCGTCTGCAATCTTTCTTTTCCAGGGACAGGTTACAAACAGACAAGACTCTCCAGTTGTTTAATTCTTTAGTTGAAAAGCTTTTCAGTTGCAAGATTGCCTGTGATAATTTATATAATCTAGTCGTGTATTGTGATGTTCTTGATTGGATTGATTGGATGGGATTGTGTTTGTTTGTATGCAGGCAAAGGCAATGGCGATGCTTTGTTGGCCCAATTATTTTTAAACTCCCTTTTCTTTGATAAAACCTCACTCCTTTCTCTCTCCCTTACTATCACCTTTAGCGCATTGAGGTCTCTTTTCTTCCTTCTTCCTTGTCTGTATTATTTTATCCTTATTATTTTGTTTCATACATTAAAACCTTTTTTTTTGTCATGTCTTCGAGTTTTGTCTATTTGTCCTGAACTTTTTTTTTTTTCTTCTTTAGTTGTCTCGTAAGTCTGAAAAAGCCCATCACTTCATCTCATCTCATCTCATCTTTTTTTTTTTTTTTTTTTTTCTTCCTTGTTAACCATATAATCTATAATGTCATGTCAATAGAACTTCATCTTGAATCACAAGTAAAACAATAATTAGGATGACTATCAACTCAGTCCTACCTTTCACTTCGGAAGCAGTATCTAACCATGGAGGTCTATACAGCAAAATTCCTTGGTCCCGCCGTTCTTTATCGTACCCCATAAAACTGGGCCTAGGCCTAGTGGTCTTCATCATGATGATGCTGATCGTCCAAGAAAGATATCAAACCAGTCTCAGCTCGTCTTCAAAGTCCCACAAAGATGTCTCTATCCCTACACCTCATACGACTCAACCAATATCAACAACCAGATTCCCTCGTGTCTTCGATATCATTCTCCTCAACAGCGAACTCGAACTGCTTGATATCCGTCTGAATGAACTGTATGATGTAGTAGATTACTTTGTGATCATCGAGTCGCCTATAACCTTCTCCGGTATTACAAAGCCTCTTCACTATTATGAAAACCAAGAGCGCTTCAAAGTCTTCCGTAAAAAGATTATCCATGTAGTCATTCCAACATCTGACTTTGCTGACAAGCCAAGGGGCTGGGAGATTGAAAGAGCAACTAGAAATATCGGTTTTTGGAGAGCACTAGACATCCATCGCCCTGTCGAAGGCGATTTCTTGGTCCTCTCGGATCTCGACGAGATTCCACGCTCGTCTGTTATCACGGCTATGAAGCTTCAGGATCCGCAATCTAACTTGGGAACAATCTTTGGCGACGGAACTCCAGGGTCAGGAGGCGATATCTTCCGTTTTGGTTGCCAATTTTACTACTACTCATATGAATTCCGTCACATTCATGGCCAATGGAACGGACCCGTTATTGTGCGCTATCGCGAGTCTGATTCTCCACGTCTCGATAGACAAGCGAGCGAGAAGCAAAGGCTAGCAATGCACGATTTATCAAGAGATGATTGGAGGAACGCAGGTGAGAGGCTGAGGGGGTTCCGTAACTTGGATGAAGCCACCTACATAAGCGATGCATGCCATCATTGCAGCTGGTGCTTTCCCAATATTACCCAGGTTATCACCAAAGTCGAATCTTACTCGCATTCGGAGCATAACCAGCCAAAGTACAAGGAACGTCAGTGGATTCTAGAACGGTATAGCCAAGGGTTAGATCTGTTTGAGCGCGATTGGGACCGATTCGAGTATGTTGCGAACAACAAAGATCTGCCAAAATTTATCCTTGATAATCCCAAGAGATTTGAATACATGACTTCAAGAAAAGGAAAGGCCAATGCCGGCTTTGTGGATGTTGACCCATTGAACCCTTAATAGACCTATTTTATCAGCATTAGAAGCAAAAATAAAATATCACGTGCATGAGATCACTAAAAGAGAAGTAAGCTCATGTCTGTAATTCTCTTGTTAATTTCCATGATTTGCCTTTAAATTTAAAAGCTAAGACCCAGATTCTACTTCCTCTTTATCCTAACCTTTTGTCTTGTTTTATCCAGTAGCGGAAAAAGTATAAAATGCATCCAAGTCAAAGTGGACGGACAGTTGATAAAGAGAATGACATCGTCTCTGAGACTAGTACCACTGCCCGTGGAGCTGGTCCACACGCGCCACTGTTCAAACAGAACTCTTCCCTCATAGGCACTAATCGCACTCAATCAACAAAGCTACAGAACCCTTTAAAGGGAGAATTACCGAAAACACCCTCATTGCAGAGAAAAGGATCCAATTTGACAGTAAACTCACCCATGGGTATGTTTTATATGGACATTCAGCTCTCACTGGCCATGATTGTAATCTTTTTTTCTTATTTTTTTGCACAAGGGAGTCAGCGTTAACAAACTAAATTTCTGCGCCGAATATCGTTTTATTCATTATTTGCTCCTACATCATATTAGCCGCAAGCGTGTTGAGAACAAAAACCAATTTCCAACAACCTTCTCCAACTGTTGACTTAAGCAACACAACCAACAGTAAGGGCAAGAGTAGCCTCACACGAACCTTTAGTGCTCTCGAAGCCAACCAAAACAATAGTAGTAGCAACAACTTTTTGAGTACCTCTCCTACTCAGTCGGAATCCAGACGACGCTCTCTGACCAGACGAGGCTCTGCAAAGACCAGACTTATTATTCACAAAGATGAACCTGGCACTTCACAAGTTGAAGAACCAAACATCATACCCATGAGCACCAAAATAAGCACCAGTGAGACTATTACCGCCACCGACAAAAATAATACTAATGGCAGCGATAAAAATAAGGTCAAGGATGCTGAGAAAGAGATTAGGCCTGCAACGGCTCTTGTTAGGTCCGCACCGGTTGAGTCTGCGACAACATTACTATCTGTCGAGAGAGCTGCAGAGTGTCAAGAAAAGATTGTGGTTGGTGCTGCTGAGAATACGACTAAGCGGAGGGCATTGGAGAATGAGGATGACTTGTGGGACATTGAGTACTGTCCACCGCCAGTGGAGGAACAGTCATATGATCCAGGATTTGATCTTGATCCCTTCGCCCTCACGACCGCCCCACCTGATCTGGCATACAATCTACGGTCTCTTAAAGAATTAGATGATGATCTTGATGAGACTACGCTCCCAGTTATGGATGCAAATACCAGACGTCCATCATCGCCCCAGAAAATGATGACTGGGGCAGCCACAGTTGCTAAAGACGCCGATGCACCAATGCCGAAATCAACGATCACAAGCGATGGATATTATGACATAGTTTGGGAAGATGACAGAGAAGAGATGTGTCATGTACAGAATAAAGGCCACGGAAAAAATGGTCTTTGTTTTGGAATCAAGGATTTGGAAGATGAGAGCAAGACTCGGCCACCATTCGACGGGTTTGTATTTGATTTAGATGAAGCATCAGAAGAATCGCTGAGCGAGGATGAAGACGATATCTTGGGGGTGGAAAGTAATCAGGAAAAGGTCATCTCAAAGACGAAAACAGCTGATCCGGTGGTCAAGGATGTGGGCGAGTTTAATGAGACGTTGGGATTAGGTGACTTGGAGAATCAAGACAAAGTACAGGTGCCGTTTTCAGATTTTACATTTGATGTTTAAACCCCTTTAAGTGGAGAGAACAAAAGAGACTCTTGGCAACAATTCTACTTCTGCTTATTGTACATATTAATCTACCCTGTGGAAAATCAACCGATCTTGCCAGCACTCTTCCCTCACGTAACTCTAATTATTTCTAAACAACGATTGTACATTTTGCATGCGTATTGTTCTTTTCAGAGATCGCAATGCCTTGGTGTCCAGGAATGAGCATGTTTATTTTGATTTAATGTATGGTGTGAGTATAAACAGGATGAGATGATCTTAATTCTATTCTATAGTTTACTGAGTACGTTCAGCAATCTTGAGAATATCAGAGTAAATTCCAAAGGCGGTAACGGCAGCACCAGCGCCGGATCCTTGGATGATCAAGGGGCTCGGGAAGCGTTCTGTAGTGAAGGCGATGATGTTGTCGCTACCCTTCAATGATGCAAAGGGATGGCTGGCTGGGTATCTATTTCGAATGCGTCCCATTTTCAATAGTTTATTGTACATTTTGTAAATCATCAATAGAAGAGATAACCATTAAAAAATATAAAAAATAAAAAAAAAGTAAATTCTTTTACCTGGCAAGGGTGACGCTGCTCTTGCCATGAACAGGGTCAACAAGGCCAACATAACGCAGGACTTGGCCATTCTGGACGGCTTCTTGATTCAAATTTTCAAAGTGTTGATCAAATTCAGGCAACTTGGCCATGAAGTCCTGTGGGGAGGCATTGCGGAGCTCTTCAGGAACGATGTTCTCGACCTGGACGGTCTCCTGAGTAAGATCCAAGCCAGCTACACGACCCAAGATAATAACCTTGCGAGCTACATCCATTCCATTCAAGTCATCTCGAGGATCCGGTTCCTAATTTTATTTTTATTTAAAAAAATATAAAAAAAAATAAAAAGTCAGTGTGAGTATAAGTGTTATTTCGACAAGACAACATTTGATCAATGAACTCCTAAAAAAATAAAATAAAATAAACGTACAGTGTATCCAAGCTCTTTGGCAACAGAGACAACCTCGGAGAACTTGACAGGCTTTGCAGAGGCGCCGAGGGTCGAAAAGTTGTTAAAGATGTAAGAGAGGGTTCCAGAAAAGATACCTTCAATTTTAACGATCTTATCACCAGTGTTGATCAGATCATTCAGGGTGTTGATGACAGGCAAACCAGCACCCACTGTGGACTCATGATAAACTAAAGGAGAGCCCTTTTGACCATTGCTCAATTGTTTAATTTTCTTGTAGAGATTTAAATCGCCCGAGAAAGCTTTTTTGTTGGGGGTTACCACATGGAATCCAGCCTCCAACCAGGTTGGGTAATAAGCAGCGACAGATTCATTTGATGTGCAGTCCAAGACTACGGTGGAGTAAGTAGCCTTGGAAGTGGCCAAGGAAGCTGTGAAGCTCTCGAGGCTGAAGGGCTTGGTGGCTGGTCCTGCAGAGGAGAGATCATCATTCCAAGAGGCGGTCAAGGGGGTGGATGAAGTGAGGAAGTTACGGGAGTTTGCCACTGAGATAATGGCAATCTTTTTGGACTGGGTGGTCAGTACTTGGCGAATAAATTCTGAGCCAACAAGGCCTACACCGACAATGGCAACATTGACAACCATGATGTAACTGTTTTTGGAATGTAATAAAGAATGTGGTTTGAATTAAAGAAAAAAATGAGAGAGAGAGAGAGAGAGAGAGAGAGAGAGAGAGAGAGAGAGAGAGAGAGAGAGAGAGAGAGAGAGGAGATAAGACGGGGAAGTTCCGAGTCGATGTGTCATCTGTGACGGGCAATGGTGCAACTTTCTCACCAACAATGCTTCTGTTTAAAAAATAAAAGGCAGATGCGCTTTTTACTATTTCTTTCTTTCCTTTTCTTTTTGTTTTCAACAAGTGTAGTCAGAGATGACCAATGTTATGTGAATATGAATAGCATTGTATTTGAGCGTTGCAGGATTTGCATTAGGATTCAATTGCACCTATACACCTATACACCATGCTCTCCTATTACTGAACATTGCATATTGCAGATGGTGTCAATTGTTGCCACCAAAATTCTTTGATTCGTTTAAGGTTTTTGCATTTGCATTCACAGGGGAAAGGAGAAATAGAACGTCTTTTTTTTCCTTTTTCATCTCGACCTTAATTACCCATTCACACTCTTCATCATCAAGCAAACAAAGCAAAAGGGGACAAGCGAAAAGGATATAGAGTAAAATGCAAGCAGGGCAAGAGCACCATCGTCTGCTCGACATCAGCTCTCATTCAGCAGAGACCCATCTAGGCCAAGATGACGCGGCTGCATTTGTTGGACATTCCATTCAATCTCATCATCATTATGAACCCATCTCAACGAACAAGCACTCCAAACGTGGACAGGATAGGAGTACAAACCCAGCATTGTGGAATACCAAAGAGTTCTATTTTTACTACCTCGTCTTTGCTTTCTGCCTGCCATATATGTTTAAATCAGCCCATGATGCTAGCTCTGGTAAATTAACGAAAAGAAAAAAGAAAGAAAGAAAGAAAGAGTAAGGGCAATTGCAGCAGACAAAGAAGATGCATACTGAACCATTCTTGGCTCAATTTTATAGAAGATAACCCTAACTATGAAAAATACAGCGATCTACTCTCGGAGGGCTTCTTTGGTTACAAAGTGGTATGGGGTATTAAAAAAGAGTTGTAGGACAAAACGATTTACTTCGTGATACAAGCATTTTCTTACCTTGATTCATTATTTGAAATGTTCAGGATAATAGTGATGGCCAGTATGCAGGCTTTAGGAACAACCTCCCAACACTCGTCGGAGTCGTCTGTGTTTACATCCCTCTCAGTCATCTCTTCAAGGCCCTTATCCCTTCATCATCCTTTCTCCCTTTATCATCATCAATGTCGACATCAGTATCCAAAGGCTTTTCATTACTACAACAGCCCCTTCAACCTCTTTTCCGGACCTATTTCTTCCTCATGTTCTCCTTGGTATATCTTTATTACATGTTTGGAAACAGTATCCTCAAGATTGGTGCTATTGTTATAGTCAACTATCTGATCGCCAAAATGGGTCAAGGGGCCAGGTGGATGCCTGTAGCCACGTGGACGTTTAATCTTATCATCCTATTCTTAAATGAAGCCTATGATGGATACAACTTTAGGGATTTTCATGAATCGTTGGCCTGGTTGGATGAGAACAGAGGTGTCAACAGACGATGGGATGTCCATTTTAATTTTACAATGCTCAGACTCGTCTCTTTCAACATGGACTACTATTGGTCTTTCCATCATCCTACATTTAAGGGAATTATCACGGTAAAAACAACAACAACAGCAAAAAAAAAAAAAAAAAAAAAAGACTTGAAGAACATCTCATCGGACACGGATTGTCTTTCCAGAACCAATTGAAACGATGACTCACGGCTCCACTCCACTCTTCTTTTTTTTTTCTAATGGCCCTCCTTGACATGTTGGCATAGAAAAGGTGGATCATGATAACAGAGTGCCTCAGAGTGATAAGGAACGAGTCTCAACACCTTCTGCTCGTGGAGACTATTGCTTTACTTACTACTTGGCCTATGCATTGTATGCGCCCTTGTTTATTGCGGGCCCCATCATCACCTTCAACGACTTTGTCTCTCAGGTACATACACCTTCTTTTGCTTTACACATATATATTTTGCCCAGTTGTACATACTATTGCCATTTGCCTACTTTTTTTTTTTTTTTTTTTTTTTTTGACCTTTTATCTACTCTTGTTCATCATGCTAGTTACGACATCCCAAAGAGATCCCTCTGAAGACATTAGGAATGTGGTTCGGCCGTCTGGTGTTCGCGCTTCTGACGATGGAATTCATTAATCACTACATGTATATGGTTGCCATTAGTAGACGACAAGCCTGGGACAACGATCCTATTCTACAAATATGTATGATCGGTCTCTTCAACCTCATCCTGATCTGGCTCAAGCTTTTGATCATTTGGAGGTTCTTCCGACTCTGGGCCATGCTAGATGGGATCGAACCTCCGGAGAATATGATCCGTTGTGTCACCAATAATTATTCAGCCTTAGGATTCTGGAGAAGTTGGCATAAGAGCTTTAATCTTTGGATCATTCGCTATCTCTACGTCCCCCTTGGTGGAACGCAATATGCCATGTACAACATTTGGGTTGTTTTCACATTTGTAGCCATTTGGCATGATATTCAGCTGAGACTCTTAGCCTGGGGTTGGCTCATCTCGCTCTTTATCCTGCCTGAGATTATTGCAAGTAAAGTCTTTTCGAAGAAGAAGGTAAAAAAAGAAAAAAGGGAAATTCAATCTTGTATACATATCTATTTTACTTTTTCAACATAAAAAAGCGCTGACGGATCTTTTTTTTTTTCTGGTAATTGATACATACAACTAAAAAGTGGGGAACATGGCCCTACTATAGACATCTTTGTGCATTTGGCGCAGTCGGTAACATTCTGTTGATGATGATTGCTAACCTAGTTGGGTTCTGTATTGGCCTCGACGGCACCAAGCATATGCTCTTAGATCTCTTCTCCTCCTTCGATGGCTGGTTGACCATGTTAGGCTGCTGCAGTGCTCTCTTTGTCTGTGCGCAGATACAGTTCGAGGTCCGAGAAGCTGAAAAGCGCCGTGGGATCTTTTTAAATTGTTGATTTTTTTCTTTATCAGACATATGATTTACTTTTTATTGCTTGTAAGAAAGATAAAAAAAATCTAATATTTATACTCTTGATTAAACATACTCCAAATTCTTGGCTCTTTTATTTTCTATGTTTGCCCTTTCCTTTGCCCTTGCCTCTTCCAGGTGAAGAATTTTCCACAAGTTCTTTTTTCTCTAAATCATCCGCCTGTTGTTGCTTTATCACCTCAGCCTTCTCTTTCTTCTTAGCTTCTTCCTCTGCTGCTGCTTCCATATCTCTGGCAAAGTCATCACTGTTGAACATCTTTTGGACTTGTCTGTAGTGCTCAAGCTCCTGTGCTGACACGGATGGAATCAATTCTGCAAGGGCTTTGTCAAAATCCTCTTCCGTTACTTGTACTAGAATCTCTTCGGGTGTTGCAAGATGATCAAGGTAGTACTGTGAAGTGATTGGGCGTGGAAGTGTCGATGTTTCGTCGCCGTTGATTGCAACTTGGACATATAAACAAAACAAAAAAAAAAAAAAAAAAAAAGGTTAACTAGTTGTTGCACCAACTATAAACTCATTTACCCGTGGCCTAGTATGAAGCTGTGGACATACCGACACGGCTCTCAATTGAATTTGCAGTACGGGACATGGCCTTAAGCATGGCGTCCGAGCACAGTGCATAAAAGTCTGCTCCTGTGTAGTTGAACGGGCATTTTTCAGCCACTTTGGTCAAATCCAATGAAGGATGAAGACGGAATCTTAAAAGAGTAGAATACAAAAAGTCGTACCAACTTAATATCAGATATAACAATATTAAAAAAGAAAAGAAATTAAACCCGTGTCTTCTGGCCTTGTCATAAGTGCACTTACTTGCGTGTCAATGCCTGGATGATACGAAGTTGTTCTTCATGCTTGGTGCTGACACTTAGATAGAGTAGTTTGTCAAATCGTCCAGGTCGTAGCAGAGCGGGGTCAAGTAGATCAGGCCGATTCGTAGCTCCAATCACAAAGACATCTCCAGACCCTTCGCCACCATTCATACCATCCAGTTCGGCAAGCAATTGACTAACAATACGATCCATAACACCACCAGAGTCTCCCTTCTCTCCACGCTTAGGTGCAACAGAGTCCAACTCATCAAAAAAGATGACGCAGGGTTTTGCATCACGAGCACGCTGGAAGACTCTGCGAACATTGGCTTCAGACTCGCCAATATACATGTTAAGCAGCTCTGGACCCTTCACAGAGAAGAAGTTGAGTGAGCACGATGTTGCTACAGCTTTAGCAAGCAAGGTCTTGCCAGTTCCTGGTGGACCATACAGCAAAATACCAGAGCGCTTTTTGAGCCCGCTGGCGAACAGCTCTGGATGCTCTAACGGTAATTGAATTGTGTCAAGAATGTCATTCTTGACTGAGGCAAGACCTCCAACATCATCCCAAGTAACATTTGGGATCTTTGGCGCACCAATCGAATCGGAATAGGATGCGCGAGCCTTATTCAATGCAACGTCAAAGTCTGTTGCGGTTACTGTCACACCAGCATTGACTAGACTCTGCTCAGAGATATAGCACTTATTCCAGCTCTCACTATGTATTTAATGCGAACATTCAATTTAGACCAAATTGGATTATCAACAATATGAAAAAAAAAAAAAAAAAAAAAAAAAATTGGCCAGCCTTACATTGACTTTTCCACGCGCTCAATGGCGACGAGACCAGCGCGTCCAGTCAAATCAACCAAATCTTTAGCTACAAGGGCAGCTGTCTGGGTCGCAAGCGAGTTTAGAGAAACATCTGGTCCCAAAGGTGTGGATAGAGTGAGGTTCTTGAGGATAGCAAGACGCTGTGCTTCATTAGGGGCGTCGAATCCGATCTCGTGCAAGAAGCATCCCAAGACTGATGTAGGGACCTTATCAATATCACTTGTTGTTGCAACAACTGTTACTGGATGTCCCATTGTCTTGAAGGAATCCCCCAACTGCGTGAAACAATCTTTGAGGACGGTTGATAAGATGGGCTCTACATCAACAGAATGATATATACAAGTCAGTAAGCCACGACCGATAGGCTCCAAAGATTTGTCATTGAGAAATCACATGCGTAAAGGTCACGGCCCAGAATTACCTTGACCGGTCTCTAAAGCCACACTCTTCCTGGCCAATGCATCAATATGTTGAAGAAGAAGAATGCATGGTCCGCACGCCACAGCCTTGTCAAATTTAGCACGCACAGCCACTTCGGTCTTGGCGTCTGTATCGTTGACGATATCGAAACAATTGACTTCCATTAGATGGATTCCTGCAAGATCAGCCACCCAACCTACAACCGTCTTTTTTCCAATGCCTCGAGCACCGTGTAACAAAACCGTGCAATTTAGGCCCAGTTTGGAAGAAAATGGATGCAATCCTGAAGATACAAGTTGATAAAGCTGAGAAAATGCCTGAGGTGCTGAAGGATCATTCAGTGCCGGGATGGCAGGACTTTGGGCATTACGTCTCAATTTTGAAGGGACCCTTGTATGTTCAAGTCCAGACTGGATCATCTTTGTGACAGAAGGGTCAACAAGTTGAGTGTGTTTGTTGGGTTTTCCAGAATCTTCCAAATGTGTCAATTTGAAGTAAACCATTGTCTTCATATCGGATGGGTCCAGAGGTAAACTTTCAATCATTGTGGACAGAATACGACCAGAAAATAGTTAGTGGTCTATAACATTTCTTCATTCTTTTTTTTGTCTTTCTCTGTCCCCCCCCCATCTTTTTTTTTTTTTTTTTTTTTTGCCAAGGGTTAAAAAGCCTACCGAGCATCAATGACGGTTGCGTCTGTTGGGCTGAGCTGTTTGGGGATGAGTTTAGCAGCCTCTTCGTCAACCTCAATGCCGATGATATCACCTTCGCATACAACGCGCTCGTACTCTTCAAACCACTCCTTCAAAGCCTCAAGACAGGCTGTTTGTAATGCTTTATCAACTGTTGCTGGTGAAGCAACCCTAGCGACTGTGACTGCTTTGGCGACTACTGGCTCGTCTGGTTTGAGGTGTGCTGCATCAATAGTGAGGGTGGATGGTGTCCCAAGATTGAAATGAAGTCCTGCAGGCACATAGACCCTTGGCTGTCCTTTGGTGGAGTTTAATGTAGATAATGATAACCCATAAATCCTGCAGAGCCTTTTGCATGCAACAGGTTCTTTGGAGGATATAGTAACCTATAAGTAAATCATAAATATTAAACACCTCGTCTTTTTTTTTTTTTTTTTTGCCTTTATGCAAATTATTACAATCTCTAGAGAACATAAAGAATGAAGTGCATACCCAGTCACCACTGAAAACCCTTAGTTTACCCAACTGTGCCACATCGACAAAGATCCGTGCTTCAGGGTCGTCTTCAGGGGCAGGCTGAGGCGACAATTTATGTGAAGAGTAGTGGCCATTTTGAATCCATGGTGAAAAGTCAATCGATGTTCTCTTGACTGGCATTTTCTTCTTCTCCTCTACAGGCCCTAATTGTCCGGATAGAGATCTGATGCGTTTGGCATGCCCATTGACCTTCCTGTGGATCTTTCTGCCATCGATCTCATCGCCAGAGTCCTCCATCACATCCGAAAAGGTATTGTTGTCCTCTTCCTCTTCTTCATCCTCGTCATCATCATCCTCCAAATCCTCTACAGAAAAGTGAAGGTCCTTAAATGTGCTCTTAGGACCTATGTGATGGGTATCTTTATTGAGGAAGCGAGAGGCGATAAAATTTCCATCAAAACCAAAGGGATCTGCCTCGTCTTCAAAAATGTTTAACTGACTACTAGGGATCACTGATCTGAAAATGTCGACTGTAGTAGGCTGATCCAGAAGCTGTCCTGCCATATCTGTAAAAATGATGCTAGTTTCTTCTTCCATAATTCCTTGTAGAACAGAGTTACACATAAGGACTTTGACAGGTAATAACACCCCCGAAGGCCCTTGGATGTTGTAAATCTGCTCGTAACGGATGATGACAGGCTCGCTCCCCTCTGGTAAAAAGTGGTTTGAGATCAGTGTTGGATCTATCATCAATGAGAATTGTGTTAGCTTTAACTCTACAGGCTTTGTTGTAGAAATAGTAAAAACCTTTTGGAACAATGAAATAAACCTGTGGAAATAATCTCGTATGCCTCAGGCGTAGTTGCAGCTAAAATGATTTCATCTAAAACTATCAGGTCTGTCTTCTGAATGGTGATCTGAGTCTGGTTCTCTAGTCCGATCAACGGCATGTATGTCCTAACAAACTCAGCAGTGACAAAGCATTCACTTTCTGTACTCTATAGTACCATTATTATCATTGCGGTTGTTAATATAAAGTGGATAGACAGTGTTCTTGTAATGACAAGCGATGATATGCCAATGGCGATATCTATGACCAACCTCAGGCATATATCCGTCAATGGAGGAGATAAGGGGTACGGCTCGGCTGATGATAGCTGTCATCAAGGGCTTTGGGGTGTCTTCAGTGAGGTGCATCTGAAAGGAGTCGTGGGAGACTACGATCGCAACCGGAACCGAACCTGATTTGTTACATTTGTTACAATGTTAGAGAATGGAATGAAAATTAGAGAGATAAAATCGAATTTCGGCCGAGTCACAGGCACGCTAGTTTTTTGACGAAGTGGGGACTCCACTCTGTTGAGCGGGGAAAACCTGCAGTAACTTTAAACAAATCAATTGGCCACCCACTAATCCCGACAGCTGAATCAATTGATATCTTTACCATTTATATCCGCAGCATGTCCCCTTCCATCTCCACAGAGCTGGTTCCAGACAGCTCGAGTGACCTGGATAGTGTTGTTTAGTCTAGCGAGCGTGGCAGCAGAGCTCTGGTCCCGTGGTAATGATTCCTCAGGACGGATCATGAGCTTTGAGTGGATACGAGCAAATGTCTGCTTAATAGTGGCAGTAGTTGTATCAGCATTCCCATTACTGATGGATTGGTTTCGTTGTGAGTCTACGATAGGCGACATTATGTTTGGTGAAATGATAATTGTAGAAAGTTGCTGAATACTATTAAAAAAATAAAAGTAGAGAACACAACCTCTGGAGAGGATGAATGAGTGAATGAATAAAAGGATGAAATACAGAATGAAGCAAGAAAAAAGAGAAGAAAGGAAAAAGGAAGCTTTATTGACAGTTGGGGGACATGTTCACATGGGAAGACGAGGATCATGGAGCAAGCCACTCTATTAAAGCTACTCGTCTACAAGTTCTTTCTCACCTTTTGATATTCTGAAGCTTCTATACACCATTCACCGTTTGTATTTCATTCTTTCTAATTGGTTTCCTCATGCTGCTCACTCGACCGACGTGTTTCCTCAGAACAACCACTTTCAATTTCAACTCTACTCATTTGTTGCGCCCGCTGTCCACAATCGATTCCACAACCTCTGCTACTGATATCATCCATGATTGGAAAGTTACTGTCCTTAAAAAATCTGTCCTGGTCGAACGCGACACAATCCGGTCCCAGACCGTACATCAACTAGCTATGACCCTTGACAAAACTACTCCTTCTTCACAATCACCGTTGTTTAAAAAGGGTACAGTCCTGCCTGTCAATTGGCACCATATCTTCTTCCCACCCATGATTGGTGAAAATGATCTGGGCCAAGATGGATATGAAATAACCCACGCGCCTCCTGCACCCTTCTTGGCACGTATGTGGGCAGGTGGTGGTGTGGAACAGAATCCTTCTAATCTGCTTCGTATTGGACAAGAAATATTGATGAAAACGAAGTGCACTGGTGTCGATATCAAACAAAGCCGATCAGGCGACACCATGGTCTTTGTCAATCTTGAAAAGCAGATCGAGAACGAGAGCGGCTGGGCCTTGACAGACACTAGGACTTTGGTTTACATGGAAAAGGATCAAAAGAAGAGCACCCATACAACCCCCAAAGTTGTCAAACGTAAATCTCGCTTTTTGTTATTTTTTTATGGAATCTCGTCTTTGTCATCTTTTCCCGGATCGACAAGATAAGCTGATGTTTTTTTTTTTTTTTTTTTCTTTTTTTTGGATAAAGCCCGGAAAGAGGCTGATTTTTCCGCGATGATCCATCCCAGCACCATCCTTTTATTCCGTTATTCTGCCTTGACGTTTAACAGCCATCGCATCCACTTTGATCATGAATATGCCAACAAAGTTGAAGATCACCCAGGTAAACTTTTGGATGTTATTATACTTTGTTAAATTTATTTGTTCGAAAACTTTTCGCTTTAAACTGAACACAAACAATTACCTTGATAAAAAAAATGGTAAGGCTGTTTGGTGCATGGTCCTTTGACAGCGACCTTCATGATCGAGAATCTGCGTCGACATCTCAAGCCAGGATTGATCATCAAAAATTTTCATTATCGTGCACTGAGTCCACTCTATGTCGATCAGCCCATCAAAATCTGTGCGAAGAGCATGTCCGTCGTTCCTACTATGGATGCTGATGTCGCTGAGAGCTATGAGGTCTGGGTTGAGAATCCACAGGGTGGTTTGGCCATGTCTGGCACCATTGAAGTTGTACTCGAACAGAAATCTTAGCTCATCTGCTTTTATTGATTCTACATTTAACTAACTAATAAAAAAAATCTATAAAACATCGAATCTATGCAGTTTTTCAATGGGGTATATTATGAAAAGTATTGTATCTTCCACCCTTATAATCATACACGCAAGTTTCTCTTTATGGAGCCCAAGTCTCGCGATGATAATCAACCTTCCATGCCGCCTTCTTACAGCTTTCCCCAATCATATTCACAAATGCATCTGGACCACCTCCAAAGACGAGTACATCGCCGCCTTGGCCTACTAAATTATCGTTCATGTCCTCTAGTCCTATCCCCATTCCCTTCAGCTCTTGAATATGATGGTTCACTTGGATCCTACCACGCAAGAACGGAATGCTTTCTTTAGGTACCTCGGTAGTACGATGACTATTATTATTGCCATCGGAGGTACGACGGTCATAAAGCAGAGAGCGATCAACTGCTGCCTCCAAGTCTAATGCACTTAAACCATTCAAGAGATTCTTGTATGCGTCTCTAGCTGATAAATTAGATCGTTTTGTGCTTTTGCTTTTCGCAATCGATCGTTTGTCTGAACGCCCAAACAAGTTGGTGCTCCTTGCTACCCACAGTCCCAAGTAACCGAAGACGCATGCGGATATGATGTGAAGGAATCCAGGAAGCATAGAATACGACCACAAACAACGATTGGTCATATGTTGATCATGCTCTATGGTTGTTCGACACCAATGTGTTTCGCCCCTATATGTTCCCTCCCAGGGAATAGCTCTGGCCCATACATAAATAAACATAGGAACTATCAAAATAAGTGTTGTTGCTACTAGATCCTTTTTGGCATGAACTGTAGCAATGATGGACGAGGATGCTGCTGGGAAGGTTGGTAACGCTCTGTGGCGATAGATCGCATCATGATCTGCTGCTGCAGCTGCAAATGTCACAATCGTCTGTGCCTCTGGGGCACATGGGGACGTATTGCTAGTGAGGGTGATAGAGCTAGCGCTGGAGCCCGCAGACACAGCTGTATCCGCTTCCATGCAACAGCCTTTGCCACGGTCATTACGTCCACTACAATTTGTTGATATTGCACCGTACCGCGATTTGCCCTTGAATCCATATGATAACAACGATGTCGACTCGCTCACTTTAACCTTGACGCTCTCAACTATATCTCCGTTCTCTTCATTTTCGATGCGCCCACAGACAAATTCGCTCGAACACTGTCCACTTGGACACTCGACCGGTGGAGTGCCCTTATCTGGTCTGGAAATATAAATCTGAGTGTGCAACCAAGAATTGAATCGATGGTCATGTATGATACGATGCATAAAATCACCATATGCGTACAATTCGCTCTCATATCGGAATGTGCAAATCAGATAGACTCGAATTGTTTCAGGATTGTCCAGCACCTTAGCTGCAGCTTCGATCTGTGCCGCCATTGCTTTCAATAATGGCATGAATGTAGTAATAGCAGCGCCCGCAGAAAAAATGACCATGTATTTAGTACTGAGGTAATCATGGTTTCGGTCACCAAAGACACCATCCACTTTAGCCTTTAGTAGTAATGGTCTATCCTGGTCCTTCTCCCTTTCGCAGCACATGTTTGCGAGCGCACCTGTCCAACTGGTCCTAGTCTCTTGGAAAGTCCTGATGTAGAGTGTCATTGAGTACGGATCCTCTGCCCAGTAGGATGCAATCGTGAATGGATGAGGCACTATGCTCAACTCGGGGATCTCCACATTCACATAGTCGCCTGGATAGTATGGCTTCAAAGGCTCCATCCTATCTCGAGAGCTCAACACCATAGTCAAGATATCGGCCTCTTTGTTGAACGAACATTCTACCTCGGGGGCCATGGAGATAGATTGGATGAACTTTGGTACAAAACGGTCTGCAAGGTAGAGACATACTGAGGGGAGTACATAATACCAAATCATGTAGTAAGGAAAATGCATCAGTGTGCCCACAAAGGTGATAACTGTGAATACGCGATGAGCCGTGATAAAGAGCAGGTAGCAGTTCCTTCGGACGCACTCTAGCGCGGTGACCGCCAGACCTAGTAATGATGCCTACAAAACAAAAAACCTCCTTCCTTTTCAGTGTGAAGCTCATGCTCATTACATGCACTACAAAACAGAACACCGATGACATGAAGTTGCAGACAATAAGCGTTAGCCTTCGTTACTCACCAAAGCTGCAAGGGCAAAAAGATTCTGCGGTCCACGCGTATTGCCATCAAAGTTGAAGTTTTCCCAGAAATGGTTGATGTGTATGTAGTAGAGGATATAGCACATAGTGTGAAGGACACTCCAAAAGACAAAGAGAAGACCCATTCCTCGATGCATCGGTAATAGATCTGCATAAGTAAACCCAAGGGCCTGAAGCATTGATCGCCTGAGAATTAAGAGTAGCAGCATGCCACAGCACCCCATCGCAGCGTATCCACTGCCAAATGCAACATATGCTAATCAGAGATTGAGTCATCCCCATTTGGCAGAAAGCAAAAGATGAAATAGACATTCCTCCAAATCAGCTGAGCAGTTTTTTAAAATAATAATCGCTCAAAGGATGTGAAAATACCATCAATCTTACCAGTGATTGCACCATAGAGCCCCAAAAACTTGACACCTCCCGGTAAATACACTGCTATGGGTTGAATGAACCACATCAAGTTCAAGACAAAGGCCAGAGCGACGAGCGCCCAGTAGCGGCCTGTGTATCCAAGCCATGGGTCATGTTTATCCCATTTCGAGATCCCTTTACGTTTTTTGGGTGCAGCTGTCGAGACCTTGGCAATGCTCTTTTGAAAGAGAACATCTGCCTTATAATAATGCCCCCAAATGGTGATGATGTGGCTGACAAATGCGGGCGTGACAAACAAGAGTATAAAATACAGATCTCGTTTGTTGTAGTAATAGAGTTCACGAATACCTGTACTTGTCATCCATGTTAGCCGAAAGTCAACAAGGAGGAAGAGTGTGAAGACAAGCACAGAGGCCAATGCGATTGTTTGGAACCTCATAATCTACAATACACTGACGTAGTTGTTCGGGTGTGAGGCATGAGATAATGAGAAAGGACAGGCTGATGGAAGTGGCAGAGCAGTCAGTGATGAAAAAGTTGATGGGCTGAACCAATATGAAAAGAAGGGACGGACACAACAGCAAAGCGGGTAGGAAGATTACCAATAATCCCGTGTCTTTTGGCTGTAGGCGTTATAATGATCAAAAAATTAAAGGATAGCAATGACAGAAGGAGGAGAGAGTAAAGAAAAAAAAAAAAAGAGAAGAAAAGAGAAGAAAAGAAAAGACCGCCGCGCTTTTAAAAGTGGGAAAACAGTTGATTTTTTTTTTATTTAGCTTAGCGATTTGTTTGTGGGAAATGAATGCAATGAGTAATAGCTGTTATCTGAATAGGTGTATGAGCATTACTTTATTCTTTATCAGATGGTTTGTTTGTTTGTTTTATTGCCTGAGACCAACTTTGCTGGGCGTAAAATAAAAGGTGAGGATCTGATAAAGTGGATCACGGGTGCCTTTTTCTATCCAGGCAGGTTCAACTTTACAAACCAATTTCCTTCCCTGAATAATCCGATGCATCTTCTTCCTTGTCTTAATGGCTCTTCTATCTAAATTGAGCACATTAAGGTTTCTTTTATAACGGACTATTGAAATCATGTGTTTTCATCAGGCATTCCGTTAGCCTGAATGGTGGATACTTCTGTCGTACACGCCGTACACGGTTCCTCTTTTTAAGGAATGGAGGTAGGTATATGATGGACATATCATGGTATAGTGCTCTACTTCTTTTCTCCCACAGCAAAAACGACTGAGATAAAAGAATAAAAGCGGGCCGCTCCCCTGCAATGTGCATGACTTAGAAAAGAATTCATTATAGCCATTGTGTTAATAAACATAAAGTCGTTCTTTACATTTTAATGGCGAAAACGAAAAATGAACACTTTTCCAATTAAGCTGATGTAAACCCTCGATATATACAAATTTTTTTACGAATACTTCCTGTGATAAAAAGGATAAGAACAGAGCCACGTCCAAGTGTTGACAATTTCGTTTTCTATCAATTGCTATACTGGCTACATTGTCCAGGGCCATCTGGAGCACACCCTGTAGCGTCGCGGAGCGTCATCAATGGTCCTTCCGATATTTGTAACAGCGTTAACATCCAAGGTGGTTGCCGGATGTTCTGCTCCTAATACAGCTCGAGTTCCTGGAGCAGAGGTCACCGTTGGGTCATTTGAGTCTAAGATGAATTATTTTTCATCTATCTGACAACATGCTATACAGTGAGGAATCCGTTCTTTGCCTTAATCGTGGATTCCTCAATAGGATACAAGTGTTGATGTTAGTAGGAAATAGACATTCATGACCAAGGCAAACATCTTAGCCCTCTAAGATGCCACTAAAATAGCGCCACTAATATTCAGCTTGAGAGCTATCGAAGAATGACTATCGGCTAGACAACGTCTTCTGAGAGTGTAGACACATCAGTGTGGAAATGCTTGCAGCTTAAGGAAAGCAATGTTCAGGACACAGTATTGCGTGGCAATAAGCTTACAGCGAAGTTTTAAGTTTAATCGCAGCTACAAAAAGCAATACAAAGGGCAACGATGTGGCCAAGAGTGTTGAGTGCTGGGTGGGGGAGATTTAAAAACTGGACTACTTTATCCCCTGATGCCCAAAGTTCCAGTTGCAGGTAGGGTCACTTATGGTCTGCGAGTTCTCCATCTTTGTGCATCATCATGATACTACTACTCTACTACTTATGGCAGATTGTGTCAGATAACGGATTGATAACCTGCTTAGACTCCACGCACAACATATGTAAATCCTTGAGACATGATGCAGGAAATGGGTACACCTTTTCATCTTCCTGAGAAAAGAGCAGATAAAGAAAGGCATACTCATTGTTCATAAAGTGAGCCAATATAGATTATATTGTTATTTCAGGGCCAGGGTCTTCCAATTAAAGCAGCTGAATTTTTGAATCCAAAACTCCAAGTTCACGGTGGATTGCAGCTCATTGCAAACCGATGCAATGAAGTCTATGTTCCCCGGCGTAAATGGCTACTACTACTATTTACATGTAGGAAACAGCAACTTGCAGGGCAAGTCCGATGATCAAGATGGACTGATAATACCACATGCAAGCATTTAGCAACGCTATTTGCTACATTTCTCTGTTGTTTGAAGAAATTATGTCAGAGGATGCGGATATGATGGCACATGTAAGGAACTGAGTCGTTCCTGATGACCAATACGACTAGAGTCTTCGCAAAAAGTCATAAACTGGATATATTTTTCATGCTTTTAAATTGAATAGAATACTTCCATTTTTAGATGCAAAGAAAACACGTACAAACTCAAAATTTAATTTTAACAGAAGCGTTTTCTGCTATCCTCTACCACATTAAACATGCTTCCAGTATTTAGCGTAAGATCCACCATCTAAGGACCAAGGATAACAGCCTCAGCTTGTTCTTGGTTTACTACTCTAAGGAGTTCTGCATCCCACTTACTGATGTCGACTTTGAAAGTGTCATTAAGGTCCACAATAGGCTCTTCCTCATCAAAGACCTCTTGATAAACCTCCTCGGCTATTTCTTCCTGTACCCAACTCCTCTCTTTATAGTACCTCATACCAATTCTCACCAAGTTCTTCCATACAGAGTAAAAGACTTTACACGGACTCTGGCAAAACAAGCTTAGTGGCCTTCCCTTCAGCAAGATGGATGTCATTGTCACCGTTGCCTTCGAAGCGATTATGTTTTTCATTACGGCCCAGATCTTCTCAATAGGTTGTAGCTCGCAACGGTAGGGTGGAGTCTTGAGGATTTCATGTCCACCGTTCTCCTGGGCTATTTTAATGATAGAGAAGTACGACTCGTCAGGAAGAGCATTAACCAATCCCATAAGCTCGTCTATATTCAGTGCTTTCACATTTCCCCCTGTTGGAATAACAATGTCCTTGTCCGTAAGCCACTCTTTATGGTTTTTACAGTGTCGCTCCTGGTTGGTCTTTTGTTTTTCTTGTGAAAGTGATATGAAGCACCATCAAGATAGAGTTTACAAGGCACGAGTTCCATCTTATTGAGATTTTCACAAAGTCGCTTAAAAATACTAACGAACAAACTAGCGTTGACGTTTCCATGATAACCGTGATCTGTTGCCACGACCGCTGCATTCCTGATCTCCTCAGGCACATCATCTCATAGTTCAACCCCTTACTCTTGACCTTTTTTTGATTAAGGATTTGGTCCTTTTGATAGGCATACATACATGCTATCCTTAACGACTTTGCCTTCAACCCTTCTAGCGACTTCATCATAGTATACAACGAATGTTGCGAATATAACCATGATTAGTTTGCTTCCTGCATCGTTTATGGCACCACCGCCACTTTGCGCTCAACCTCTTACTGCAGCGTAGTCAATATGGCTGTAAGACTCGTCCAAGCTTGTTTGTACATATTTAATTACTGTCACACAAGTATTTCTCCCTTTATCTATCAGAATCGATAGCTCCTTCGCTCTGTTATCTGTCTTCTTAAACCAATCATAGACTGCTGGCAGTGCATTCATTATAGCATTATACGTATGAGCTAACATCGCGTATTCGTCTTGAGTAACGGGCGCTTTACTGCGTGTAAATGCCTTTTTTTTCTCTCCAATCTGTTCGTTTGACAAAAATGGATTAAAATTGAGGGTTTTGGGACGCTCACCGAATTGCTTTAATGAGGGAGAACCCCTTGACTCGTTTCTAGGAGGAGTAATCCATTGATATTCGATAGGAGACCTAATGGGGTGAGATCGGCTTCAGTGGGCGGTTGTGGCGATCTTCGAGGTGGAGTGGAGGTGTACCTGAAATCGTTTGTCAATATTTCCTTTGCTATACCAATCACCTAGGCCATTGTATGAGGGTAGGCTACTGATATCAAAAGGCGATGAGATTGAAAAATGAGATCGAGAATGATGGTGTCCATTCCTAGCAAATTGATATTTTTAATTAAAAACGACGATTGAATTGATTTAGTGGCCATGGCATCCAATTAATTCATTCTATTCAAAAAGTATATAGATTTCTGTCTCATACATAAATTTTTATTTTCAGATTCAGTTTATGACTTTTTGGCGAGGTTGCCAGAATATGTAGTTTGCAAGCAAGCATAGAATCAGCCTGGGTATAACATTCTACAGTGCCTGTTATATATTTGACATTATTTTCTTTGTTCACTCTTGAGCTGATTTGGTGCAAGCCTTGTTGTGCCGTTGTATAGATACAACAAGCGCATATTTCAAACCCATTGAAACTTGAATGTTTGTATCACTGTTCTACCTAAACTAAGAAGAACCTCCGCTTCCTCAGACATTGATTGCCTCATTTTATCTTCCTTTTTCTTTGTCTCTCGACCTTCACTTGAACACTGGACAACATTCCTATTTATTTCCTTACCTTTCTCTCTTTCATTAGTGATATTCAAATCAAATCTAATATACCAGCCATGGCTATCTACCAATCTCCTATTCCAGACCAAGTCATCCCTCAGACCAATGCTTATTCCTTTGCTGTCTCCAACCCAAACAGCATGAAGGATTCGCATCCAATCCTTACAGATGCTCTGACAAAGAGAGTCATCACTTTCGGCGAGTGGAAGCGTGATACCCGCCGTTGGGCCACTGGTCTCCAGTCTCTTGGCTTCAAGCGTGGCGATGTCGTGGCACTCTTTTCATTCAACCAAGTCGACTACTCCATCACTATGTTTGGCCCAATCCTTCTTGGAGGTATCGCCACCACTGTCAATTCAGCCTACACTGCAGATGAGCTGGCTTTCCAGCTCAAGGACTCAGATGCGTCGGTCATTGTCACACACCCTGAACTACTTCCTGTGGCTATTGAGGGAGCCAAGAAGGTTGGCCTTCCCCTCAGTAAGGTCTTTTTGTACGGCAACAAAGAAGTCGATGGCTTCAAACCTTATAGTGCTACCTTCCCTCCAGAAAACATAGCTGAGGACCTGTTGGCCCCTGTGGAGGATCTGAACGGCCAGGCTGCTATTGAAAGCATTGCAGTGATTTGCTACTCCAGTGGCACCACTGGTAAGAGCAAAGGCGTAGAATTGACGCACTTTAACCTGATTTCCAATATCATGCAAATCGCATCGGTAGAGAGAGGTATCGACATGCTGAAAGTCACCGCCTTGGCAGTAGTACCGATGTATCACGTGTAAGCGAGGAGTCAACCTCTATCTTGTTAAATAGAAAAGAGTCATGCGTGTTACTGTTTACGAGCCATTACTGACAAAAATGAGGGGTGTCGATTGGAATCTACGTTAGTTATGGTATTCAATTCCACATCATACATGGTGTCTATAATGTAAGTATAGTTTATTGTGAGTTTAGTTACAAGGATAATGAGATATCAGGGACCAATTCAATAAGTGGAGGATATAACAATTCAAACACCCATCCTAAAGCCATGCTTTTTCTTTACATCTACATCATATCTTTGTTGGTATTCCTTGTTATACAGGGCGTCAAGACCGTTGTCCTTCAAAAGTTTAATCCAGTTGACTTCCTGAAAGCTATTCAGGAATACAAGAGTAAGTTTTCTTATTTTTCCTCAATTTATTTGGATAACGGGCTGGCTTTTGATATTCTACAAACCTATTAAATTTGATATTTCAGTCGTGTCTCTCAACTTGGTACCACCTCAGATTCTTATGCTGGTGAAAGCACCTATTGTCGATCAGTATGATCTCTCAAGCCTCCGTTTTATCACGTCTGGTGCTGCTCCTTGCTCGCGTGAATTGAGCATGACTCTCTTAAAGAAGTTCCCCAAAATCCAGCTTCGCCAAGGGTATGGGATGTCAGAGTTGTCCTCTGTCTCGCACCTAGGACTATATAACAGGGCTATTCATGGCACCGTTGGACATGTGTTACCTAATCAAGAGATTCGATTGATAGATCCTGAGACGGGAAAAGATGTCGGGGTAGGAGAGCGCGGAGAAATTTGGGTACGTGGACCAAACGTCATGAAGGGCTATCGCAACAATGTCAAAGCGACCAAGGACACAATCGACTCTGAGGGATGGCTACACACTGGAGATATTGCTACTGTGGATATGGATGGGAACTTTTTCATTGTAGACCGTCTGAAGGAGCTTATCAAGTATAAAGGGTTCCAGGTGGCGCCTGCAGAGCTGGAAGCTTTATTGTTGGATCATCCGCTGATTATAGATGCAGCAGTTAGTGGTATCGAGAACAAGGAGCAAGCAACAGAAGTGCCTCTTGCATTTGTAGTGAAAGCACCTGGTGAAGGCCAAGCCTTAACAGAAAAGGATATCCAAGACTATGTGGCCTCGAACGTCGCAGCACATAAGAAGCTGCGTGGCGGTGTCCGCTTTATTGAGGTAATCCCCAAGTCTGCAGCAGGCAAGATCCTCCGGAGGGAACTTCGGGTGCTTTTGCAGGAGCCTATCATGGCTAAGCTTTGAATGGAATATAGAAAGGGGTGGCAAGGATGGTGAAGTTATAACTAAAGAGCCTTGTTCAACAGTCCATGTTTGTATGAAACTTTATTTGTATACTGAACATTTGCAATGCGCTAAGCACGTGATTTTGCCCCCCAGTTCTAACCCTAAGACCTTAAAGGCAGCTCTAAAGTCTCTGCACATCGGCCTAATAATACTGTGCATCTTTGAAAGGTGATGGTCGATTTCGCCAAGAGTCGATGGGATTCTGGGACATAGAACCTAGTCGGAAGACGGTTCTCCGAATTTGAAAGCCAACAAAATCGTGATGAGAAAACTGGGAGACTTTCTCGCGAGCCATATCAGGGTGCCTTTCTAGGAACTAACGTCGCTGAAATTAATTTGGACGAATCCCTATGGATGATGTTTGACTGTATTATTGCCCCACAGGATCAACTTCAGAAAGTATAAAAAAGGGACTTTGCTTAAAGTCATGGGCACGATCTTGCGCTGGTTAGTTCAGGTTCAGGAAATTTTTGGCCATAGATTTATTTGTCGTTAATCTTATTGTTGATGTCATCAGCAGTTGGCTCCTTGATATCTTTGGTTGAAACTGCCAAAGAGGTAGTGTTTCTGAGATTATATCTCCACCATGATTGTAGTTCTTGCCTTGTTCTGGAATTCTAGCGCACCTACTCAATAGTGTCGCTTCATTTCTGACGCTGTTTGTGGTACTGTAATTAACAAGGCGATAACCCTGGGAATTGTGACCTGCTGTTCAAAATCTCTCTTTTTTTTTATAGACCCGGATAATTCACCCGTTTGATGAACTTTAGCAGGTTAACACTGACGATTCCCTTAGTGGGAATGTCCCTAATACAAGAGTCCCATCAGACTTCGTATGAACTGCCTCTATCGTCATCAATGGTCCTTCCGATATTTGTAACAGCGTTAACATCCAAGGTGGTTGCCGGATGTTCTGCTCCTAATACAGCTCGAGTTCCTGGAGCAGAGGTCACCGTTGGGTCATTTGAGTCTAAGATGAATTATTTTTCATCTATCTGACAACATGCTATACAGTGAGGAATCCGTTCTTTGCCTTAATCGTGGATTCCTCAATAGGATACAAGTGTTGATGTTAGTAGGAAATAGACATTCATGACCAAGGCAAACATCTTAGCCCTCTAAGATGCCACTAAAATAGCGCCACTAATATTCAGCTTGAGAGCTATCGAAGAATGATTAACGGCTAGACACATGCAGCAATCAAGGTTAGTAGCCAGAATCAGTTCAAGAAAAGCACCAATTCAGTATCCTGCTCCTTAATTGAATCAGAGATATAGGAGAAAAGGAACCAAATACTGGTTCTTACCAGTTCTAGGAAAAAATTATAGATATTCATCAGTGCGTGTGGCTTCTTGTGAAAATTCAACTATTCTACTTTTTTTTTTGCAAGTTGGTGAACCATAGAATGCATGCAACTGGGCTACATCAAAAAAAGGGGGGAACATGTGCAGAATGTGCTGGTTGTTCTGTTTCATTTCATATTATTGAAAGTGGCGAAATGAACCTTAGTGGCATATCCGATGTTGACGAATCAAATTGCTTTAAAAGTAGTGACGCTTTTGGACAATATCGCATGGCTATTTTGTTCAGACGAGTGCTGGTGAAAGAACAAGGGGATTGAATAAGCTCATTTAATAAGATGAATAAAGCACGCGTTGTATCAAAGCTGTCAACTCGAGCCTAAGAGGGATGCAGTGGTATTATTCCAGCTCCTTCCCAGGTCGCGTGCATTCTGACTTTTTCTACATGTATAGGAACAGAGCGGGCATAAAGAGATCATTCGGAGCCTACATCTTACTCCTTGAACAGCAAAGATAGCTCTGGTATGATCAATGAAGGTGTCGTGTCGTTTGTGAAAATACGCGTCTAGTTGAAAACAATTATCGTAGCCAAGACACACACTAAAAAATAATAAAAAAAGAAAGAAAGAGGAGCTTTTTTTATAAAGAGTCGTATGGCGTGGTCATGTTAATACTGTGTATTAATATCAACCAGATCCAGAGTTCAGAAATAGCATGCGGGTTACCATTCAAAAGAGAGCGAAAGATCGCAAGTGAGCGAGATCAGAGCCATTTGTATAAAAAAAAAAAAATAAAAGTTAGAGCATGAGCCTTAAAAACATGCCATTGAAATGGATTTCTATTTTTTTTCTTTTATTTTTTACACTGGAAACATTTAAATATAGAATTAACAGACTTGACCTGCAGGATCCCAGAAAATGAACAACGGTTTTACGTTTTTTATTTGAGATACTCGCCAAATAAAAAAAGTAAAGAGCAAAGCAAACAACGAGGCAGGTGGGAAAGCAAAACAAATCAAGAAACCATAGACCAGCCATTGTTTCTGCCTCTGTACTATTAATATAAATCTATTCAATTCATTATTCAATGATTTAATCAAAGTTGTGTCGTCTGTCGTACACTCCTCAGTATATATAATCCCCCATCTTTCCATCTTTTTTTTTTTTTCTTTCTTTCTCATTTCTCATCTCTCCACAACTCACTCTCATCTCTTTCTCTAGCCTTTACTTCTTTACTTAATTCTAATTTACCACTACCCCATCTAATCACATTAAAGTAAGCTTATATACATTTTATCCTGTTATTCTTTTGTCTGGATTGTCCACCTGTGCACTTGATCCCATGGTTTGCCACCACCTTGGCTGAGAACTATCCTGTTCACAACCCACTTCGACTCAATCCAACCCAATCCAGCCTACGCCGTTCAATTCTCTTTTGTCTATCTACCATGTGTCATTCCATACCATGTTCTGCTATGAACAGAGCAGAAAACAGAATGCGTATCAGCGCTAGAACAAGAATAGGCCTTTTCTTGGTCTGTTTATCAAGATGTAAATCTATGCAGTATCACTAACTTGCGTTTTCTTTTTTTTTTCTTTTTTTTTTTATACCAATCATCAATCCTCCGTGTCATCCAGAATGGTAAGCATCTTAATTTTATTATATGAATTTACAAGAGAAAGGCTTACATTTACTACAAGCGCAGGAGCTAAAAATGTCTCGTTTTACTTTTTTGACTTTTTAGGAAGACGAAGTTGCTGCCTTGGTTATTGATAACGGTTCCGGCATGTGCAAGGCCGGCTTCGCTGGTGATGATGCTCCCCGCGCAGTCTTCCCCTCTGTAAGATGCTATGAATATATGGAGATGCTGGATGTGATTGTGTGGCGCGTGCTTTTGTTTCCCCGCAAGACAAGATATCCCTCCAAGCGTCACACATTCAAAATTTCTTACTGTACCAACTGTTTCTTTGCCTTGAAATGATTGTTAATTTTTTTTTTTTTTCCCTCTTCATAGATTGTCGGTCGTCCCCGTCATCAGGGCGTCATGGTCGGCATGGGTCAGAAGGATTCCTATGTTGGTGACGAGGCTCAGTCCAAGCGTGGTATCCTCACATTGAAGTACCCCATTGAACACGGTATTGTCACTAACTGGGACGATATGGAGAAGATCTGGCATCACACCTTCTACAACGAACTCCGTGTCGCTCCTGAGGAACACCCTGTTCTTTTGACCGAGGCTCCTCTTAACCCCAAGTCTAATCGCGAGAAGATGACCCAAATCATGTTCGAGACCTTCAATGCCCCTGCTTTTTACGTCTCTATCCAGGCCGTCTTGTCCTTGTACGCTTCCGGTCGTACCACCGGTATCGTGCTCGACTCTGGCGATGGTGTTACCCACACCGTCCCTATTTATGAAGGTTATGCTCTTCCCCATGCCATTCTCCGTCTTGATCTTGCTGGTCGTGACTTGACTGACTACCTCATGAAGATTCTCATGGAGCGTGGTTACTCTTTCTCCACTTCTGCTGAGCGTGAAATCGTTCGTGACATCAAAGAGAAGCTCTGTTATGTTGCTTTGGACTTTGAACAGGAGATGCAGACCGCTGCTTCATCGTCGGCTCTCGAGAAGTCATATGAGCTTCCTGATGGCCAGGTCATCACCATTGGTAACGAACGTTTCCGTGCTCCTGAAGCCCTCTTCCAGCCCTCGCTCCTTGGTCTTGAAGGTGTCGGTATCCACGAGACTACTTTCAACTCTATCATGAAGGGAGATGTTGATATTCGTCGTGACTTGTACGGAAATATTGTCATGTCCGGTGGTACCACTATGTATCCTGGCATTGCTGATCGTATGCAGAAGGAGATCACTGCCCTTGCGCCCAGCTCCATGAAGGTCAAGATTGTTGCTCCTCCAGAGCGCAAGTATTCTGTCTGGATCGGTGGTTCTATTCTTGCCTCGCTCTCGACCTTCCAGCAGATGTGGATCTCCAAGATGGAATACGACGAGTCTGGTCCTTCGATTGTTCACCGCAAGTGCTTCTAAGTGTTTAGTGTGTAGGCAAAGGAGGATAAGAAACCGAAGTAGTTGTAAAGTTTTAACCCAGCAGAAAATGCTATTAATTGTTACCAATACAAACCAATATAAACATACCATTCAACCATACATATTTTTTTCAATTTGAGATGTCTCACGTGCATCACCTAAAAAAAAGGAAACATCCTGCATAACATCCTGCATCGATCTTCTCCAACACACTCACACTCATCCCCGTTACTCCATCTTTTACTACTCTTTTTACCAGCTCCATTCTCTCTTCTGTGTTTACTTATTACCTGAAGCATCAGGTAACTAGATGCATTTGCATTCAAATGCCTGCTCTTCATTATTTCTTACCATTAGGCTCCACGAATCTCAACAAGGACAATTCGTTCAAACAATTTTAGTTCAAAGCAAGGCATATAATATTTTTCAGCAATACCTTAAAGAAAAATCTGATTAGTTTGTACAGGTAATCATGGCACCATCCTTGCCTGGAACAGCAAGTCGTCGCTCTGTTACACGTGGCTCTAGCTCGTCGTCCACGCCGTCTGTAAAGCGTGAAGGATCAGTCAAACGCGAAGCACGTTCCTCCAGGGCATCCTCTGTTAAGAAACAGGACTCAGATTCGGAAGGCCATGAAAGCAGTCCAGTCCCTACGAAGTCTCGTTCTAGAAAGGCCAGTGACCGTACAGGAGGACACTCAGTGGGCGAGGAGTCCCAGGAACAGAATGGTGGAGATGAAGGAAGTGACGACGATGAGAGCAAGAAAGATGACAACGATGAAGAAAGTGGCGCAAATGACAGCGGTGGTGAGGAAAATACTGATGAGCCCCCAGCAGACTTGGAGGAGATTGAGGGAGAGATTGATGAAGCGGGCGAAACCAAGATTACAAAAAATGGCGAGCTCCTTGGAGGTAATCTTTTTTAAGCTCAAACTTTGTAATAGTAACGATAATTATTATCATTATCGTTATTTTCTAAATATCCTAAATATGGCGTCTATCCTTTCCTAGGCCGACAATACAGATGCAGGAGCTTCAAATTACCAGATAGAGGAGACAGGATCTATATGTTATCCATGGATCCAGCACGTGTTCTTGGGTTCAGAGATAGCTATCTGTTCTTCCTACGAAATCCTCAGCTTGTACGTGTCAACACAACTGTAGAGGAGAGGCAGTGGATGATTGAAAACGGGATGCTCATGGCCAATTTCAAATCAAAGCTCATTGCGGTCGTCACAGCGCGTTCAATTTTCAAATCGTTTGGTGCCAGAATCATCAAGGGCGGCAGGAGTCGTGTGGATGATTATTACGAATCTAGAGCAGGAGAAAATGAAGCTGTGGATGAATTCGAAGGCGATGGTGCATCTCGTGCGGGGGAAGATCTAGCAAGCGGTAGTCATCAGTCCTCTAGTGAAGTGATAGCTGGGCAATCATGGGGATCGAAACGCAAGCTCATGCGTGATGACTCAGCACGTGTGATAACGGACCTTAATTGGCAGTATGAGAGCGCATTGGCGGTTCGTGCGCTTAATACGCGTCTCAAAGATCTTCGAAAGGATAATCCTAAATTCTTGGACCCTCACACTAATGTTGAGCAGATCCCAACATTACTTCAACCCAACAAGTGTGAGGTTCAAGTGGTCTCATGGACAGCCGCAGAAATTAGTGATCAATTGCGACAGCCCTCTACTGCATTCATAGGACCGGATGAACAGTCATCAGCAGCACATACAGGAGTGGCAACAGCGACGAGGGCTATACTCTCTGCACCTCATTCTATTGGACCGCTTGTTGACACGTCTGTGAAAGTTAATATTAGAGCAGGAGTACCACCACCGCCCATGATCCATGATCCTAGTATCTGGGCAGTCATCCCAGAAGACATCCGCCAGGCGTTAGAAGATGCAGAGAATACAACAGGGATTTTTGAGGACTATGGAAACGAAGATTTGACGAAATATCCCATATCAATCTTGAGCGGTCAGTATCAGGCATCGTATCCTATCCATCAATCACGTTTCCAACAGCCATACAGAATCACTCTGCCTCAAAGTATGGCATCGCACGCTCATTATATACATCATCTCTGGACAGGTCAGTCAATAGAGGAGAAATCGGCTGTGACAGGGATACTGCTGAAAGAGCATCCCCTTGCTCAGCATCGAGATCAGCCAACACAGCCTACTTCAATATCGACCCGTCAACTTGGCTATCAGCAGGTTGATTCCCAATTGCAGCAACCACAGCAAAAGCAGAGGCAACACCAACGAAGCCAGCTGATTACATCACAACATCAAGTTCCTATTCAGTACTAACCAATGTAGCCATAAGCAGCACTAATACAACATAATTCTAGTCAATGAAGATGGGATCAAAGAGCTTTGTTTTATCTTTCTATTAAGAACTCTCCGTTTTTTTTTTTTTTTTTTTTTTTTTTTTTGTTTTTTTTATCATCTGGATGTTATGTCACTCCTTTTTTCCTTACTTTGCTTGCCATTATATACATGTACTTTTAGTCATATCAGTCATATCAGTTTTTACAAACGCCTATTTCTTTTTTATGAATGCCCGAATCCCATTTAATAAGTCTTCATGACAATGCAAAATAAAATAGAAGACAGAATAATTTACATTTGGCCAGTGCGAACATGATGCGTGATACTTATTTCCTAATAATTCCACTAAGATGACCATGGTGTGCGCCTACAGAGATAACAAGGGTGATAGAGCAGTCTGTTTAGTCTTGTTGAAGGGAAAGCTTTTTCATTAAATAAGGAAAAGGGTATCTAGCATAAGCCTTGATAAGTATTTAAAAAGCATGTATGAGGGAGAAAGAGAGATATAAATGAGAGCTATGATCACGATAGTAATCATGATTAGAAAAATCCGTTCCATATTCTGCTTGGTATGAGTTTACTGATATGGATGGGAATTAGGGTGAGAGCAATAGATATCATAAAAATATATATCATTCTTTTAATCTATACACCTCAACCCGATCATTTGCACCTGTTGTGGTGGAGCACTTGCTTGTACGCATTATCAAGCAAGGTGGTGAGCATGGACCATATAGCACCAGAGAATAAAGTTGGGCATTATAAATATATGAAGTTGAATGATGGGATTGACAAGAGAGCATTGGACTAAAATTAAAAATAACAAAGAGCGACCATGTTGTTGTATGAATTGAAGGTACAGCATCAATATCTGCTCATGCTCTCTGCATTCGAGTCTTGCTCTTTTAGTCAGATAGAATAACAGGCAAGAGAAGGTAGTGTATTCTAGTCCCTGAACGGATAAGCAAGGGTATAAAAAAACGAAAAACGAAAAACGTGGACCATAGCCCTATGACTCCCTTTGTTTTCGCCTGTTTTTCTTGGAATAATTTCGCCCATCCTGTTCCTTCCTTCTTTTCTTCATTCCTCCCAATTCCAATTCCTGCGAGAACAATAATACTAAAGAAAAGAAAGGAACGAAGGAAAAGACGTAGCCAGGTGGGCCTTCTATCTGTTTATCCTCTTGTCCACAGTAGCACATCCATTTACTCTTTATTTATTATATTCTATTTTTTATTCCTTTTATTTTTTTTACTTCTCAATCGACAACGATTTCCGCCCACCCTTTATTAATTTTTAAAGAACCGAGTTATGACAACCGTGCAGTTGTCCGTTAATCCCAACAACCCTTCTCATACCTTTATGGATTCAAAACCGCCATTGATGCCTCGGCAATCCACCAGCGATGTCCTTATGTTTACTCATATTATTGCAAATCGTCTAGCTCCGGGTCAGAATGTCTGGGATTACTTCTCTCCCGCCCCTGTACCGACTACAACAACCACTGCAGCCTCAAGCACATTACAGCCCCCAATGGACGGAGCAACTTCCCCAGAGTTGTCTCTATCATCTAACCTTCCTGATTTTCTTCCATCGTCCTCTTCACCAACGATGACGACAACGATAGCCTCTTTTAGGCTCTTCGGCAACAAGAGGCAAAGTATCGTGATGGATACGAAGAGTTTGCTTCCATTGCCTTCATCTTCGTCACATTCTCGATATGCACCGCCTAAATCGCCGACGACTGCTCCCCCTGCGTCTGCAGCTTTGGACTCAAGCGTCTTCACAGCAACAGCATCGTCTTCGAACATGAATATAAAAAATGTTACATCCAGGGCCCAAAAGCGTGGATCTTTTGCACAATCATTCCGCAATAGCATATATAGCCTATCGCAACTCATTTCACCAAGTACAAATGTTCTCAAAAACAATGGTGTAAGTGTTACCGCACAGCCGGATGGACCACCTCACTATAATATTTTGGTGCTTGGATCAGATTCTGCTCCGTTGGCGAGTACACTCTATAAGATGTCGAGCGTGCTGCCAAGCACGAATAAGGTCAGGCATTACCAAGAGATCTCAGGATTCTTCGTTGCGTACTTTAGATCAGATGGGTCCTTTACATGTTCGCCAAAGACTTCGACTGAAGCAAATCGACAATCCAACTCGCTCAGACAGTCTGATGAAAATAGAGATGAAGACGCTGAAGTTAGAATTGGTGGTCATAGCGAAAGTAATGGACTAGAGGAGATTGATCAAGCATGTGGAAGAGAAGAAGAAGAAAAGGAAAAAAGGTATTCGGTAACTGTGCAACGGTCCAGACCCGAAGGCGAAGCAGAACTGCTCCAACTGCAACCTCATCTCAAAACTGTATCAGAGTCACTTTCGTCATTACGAGCGACACCTGTAGCTGAGGGAAACGCACTATGTCAAGAACCTCTATCGTCCGCAACAAAAGAAGCAGATATGGATGACGATTCTCCATCTGTGGACCCATCAAGCAACAGCAATGCTAGTCTCTCAGTACATGCATTTTCGCTCGACACAACATGGCCTGTGCCAAGGATGTTGGCGCAAGCTTTCTGGTTCCCGCATGCCCATGGAATCATTTATATAGTGGATGCGACACGCAAAAATGATCCTCGAGGTATAGATCATTTGCTAAACGCTCGACAGTTCTTGGCTTCACTGGTTATGGATCCTCATTTCAAGCGCAAGGATATTCCGATTGTTGTATTCGCAAATAAGGCAGGCTTGAATGATGAAACGTGCTTCCGAGTGGACGAAATTGCAGATATTTTGGGATGTGAAGAATGGGAAGATGAGAGGGATAGGATTGTGTTGCAGGTTGCAGATCTCAACGATGTGAGTAATGAAGGTACAACAGCAAGAACAATGACGACATCCGGCAGGTCAAACATAGAAGCTGGGGCAGAAAGTAGACCTGTGTTAAGGCCATGGTGTGTCAAGAGCACAAGATCGGATGGGGAAGGCGAAGGCTTGCGTGAGTCAGTGGAATGGCTCAAGAGTCGGATGGGTGAAATCTGGAAGTCTACATAGGATCCTTTCTACATTCCCTACATATTGGATTTACAAACAATCTGTAGTATACTAAGGACTACCGCTTTCTTTAGGCTTTACATTAATTACTTCACTTTCTTTATTATTCTCGCTGTCTACTACCGTAGGATTTGTAAGTCCATAGTAAAATACAAGTTGCTTTCCCCTGGATTGTATTATACAGTGGAATCTCGATAATTGTACATTTTTGTACAAATTTCGAATTTGATATATTTCTAGGCCATTGGTTGGCTAAGAGCCTCTCAATTCAAAAATACTATTGTAAGCTGACCTCTCTATGTCAAACATGGCAGGAGGGCAGATAAGTGACTGGCAAGTGAGCTAAAGGAAGGGATTGCAACTGAGGGAAGGTGATGGCGTAAGCTTGAAAAGATCTTGTGGTATTTTTTTTTTTTTCTTTTGTCAATCATCAAACACGACGATGTCGGCTACTCTCTCGAGCAACAGACACAGCTGCAGCTGCATTGGTCCCTCTCTACCCTTAGGGCAGGGAGAGTTTAACAGCCATCTTCGCGGTGGCAAAATCCCACCATCTTCGCCATGGTGATGATTGTTAGTGACCAGCGCTGTCTCTGCAGTTGGTTTTCTGTCTGCTTCGAGATGGAGCAAGTCTTGATCCTTTTCACTGTCGCCTCTGTCATTCTCGCTGTCAATTGCCATAATAGTAACCACCTCAACATTTTTTCAGTCTACAGCTGATATAACATTTTGCCAGTACTCGATTCTAACTTTTTTTTTTTTTTTTTTTTTTAATAATATTAATAATCATATTATTACTATTATCAATATTATAACATACAAGACAAAAGAAGGAGGATCCGGAGCATCCGCAGCCGCACATGGACAAGAATGTTTGGCCTTTGTTGTTCACTCACCACTCACTCCCTCATACTTATTCGATATATAACATTTAATAAATCTACAGCTCGTCACTTTATTACTTTTTCCGGGGGGCTGGGAATGTGAAAAACCAAGTCTAAAAGTACTCCTCATGGATGGCACTTTGTGTACATTGCATTACATTATGCTGTCCCGAGAGCTCCGTGCTTTACCGTTCCAAAAGATAAACGCTGCACTATTTATAAAAAGAGCTGAATCACCCATTATCCAATTATCCAACACTCTCAATCAACATTTTCTTCAACATGCCTAAATTCACTACTGCCAATAAAATTACTGCCAATAAGAAAAAGAGCAACTCTTCAAAAGTGTGTACTCTCCCTTTCAATTAGATTGCCAAGTGCTGAAATAGCATTCCAAAAACATTGAACTGCCAACTAATATGCAACTAACATGCAACTAATAGGGACTCTCTATTGTTACGAATCTCGTCGGCCGAGGAACAACATCTTGCCGCCTTTCCCAAGAACACTTGATTATTAATAACGTAGATGTTTCGTTGAAGGCAATGGAGGCGCGGGAAATATTTGTGAAGAAAGAAGCGACTTTGAAAAAAGCTGATGAGTTATTGTATGTCACTGTGTTCGCAACTGTGTTCGTAGAGCGTGGAATGCGGAGTTGATACTTATATTAAAAACTCCCTTGCCGTAATATCTCTAGAACTCTCAACTTTATCTTTTCGAAATCAATTCTTAAATCGCTGGTTAGTGACCAGGTTCTTGGAGAGATATTTGGGACCAGGAAAGTAACCAGGATACCCGAGGAACATTGCAGTTTCCTTAAAGGATGTACCCGAACTGCGGGTACCCAGGATTATCAGCATTTCCAGGATAAGCTTTCCAAGGCACCAAATACTGTCAGAAATTCGCTCACGTTCAAGGTAATCCAGAATATGACCTGTACCGATCGAATATGGGGGACCAAGAAAGGCCAATCGCTCAATGAAGCGACATACCAGCATTTCTTCGTTACTCCTGTAATTGAGACGCTCCTGCATGGATTGGGAGCAACAATTGCCATGTAATCACGAATTCATTTATAAGTATCTGCCAACCGGCAAAGTTTCCCCTAAAATCGTTTAACGCTCGATTTATGTCTTACATCTGCTAGAGATTCTCGCCTCGAGGAGATGCCATCCCTGGATGCCAGTCTGGAAGAATTCCGACCCGACATCATCGCACGGGTAGATGACTTTCCAGTTCTCCTCGTGAAAGTGAAAAAACCTGGGATCAAGGCTGGGAAACTCCTATCGTTTGATTATCTCAAGCTGCTCTCCATGATGAAGCTGTCTTTAAACAAGATGGTCTGGGGTAACATCAATAACCCAGTGGTTGTTGGTGTGCTTGTCCAAAGTAGGTTTCAGATATCTGTATTTTACGTATGCACATATATATGTTTTTTAACACTATAAAGCCAATGCGTTTTAGGTACAGCATTGAGATTTTACATGATGGAGTTGAGGTCCGAGGCACTATACATCCCGAAGGAAGTTGGTCGGATGCATTTGCCCACCGATAGATCAACTTTCTCACGGATGTGTGGTGGGCTTGGGATTCTGGAAGACGTGCAGGTACCCTTGTCATGTTCGAGCTTTGATCCACATTGCATTATAAATTAGATCTATTATTAATCAGCTCAATGTTTTCTTGTTACTCGTAGCCACTTGTACAGCGCGTGGCAGAGGCGGTTCGTGGGCGTCAGGCTTCGCCTCCTGGGTCTTCACCCCAAGAACCCCAAGATCTGAAATATACTCGCCCTTCGTATTTCATACGTCGTCGCGAATAAGGCTGAAGCACTGGCAAATGGTTGCCCGGGTTGTTTTTTTACATTCCTTTCAGAAGTCGGAACTTTTGGCAATATTGACACCGGTCTAAAGATGCACAATAAAGCCCAATGATACAGCTTTCAAACACCACTTGCTGAAAAAGGTTCGTGAAATTCCGATTTTTGTCACGCTCTCCATCCGCAGATAGATTTATAATAATATCATTGATGATTGTGGATGATTGTGACTCTAAGTAGCCCCATGGAGCCACCTGGCCTCTGAAAGCGATGTGTGTTGCGTATCGAGGCAAGCACCTCAGGGGCACTTTCATTTTTATTCATTAGGTTAGAACATGGTGTGACGGTCAGGCGAGACTTTAATAAAAAGTTCTGTCTGGCAACAATCTCTTTGGCTTCAAGACTCGAAAATATCGGCCTTGGAACTCATGAGCCAATAATAATCATAACAATCATCTCTAATTAACCTTGATCAAAGTTTGCAGAGAGTCAACTCAGCATTTAGCGCTTAAACATGGCAAAAGTCCTTGAATAAATACTGGCATAAAAATCCTCAATCTACAACAAAACTATTCCTGCTTCACCCATCCACTCATAATCTCCCTACTTCTTACCATTTGCATTTATTTACAATGAAGTCTCAAACACCCATTCAACAGCGCTTGATATTTGTGAACTACAACGAGACGAATATGCATAGCGATCTGCTAGCTTCGCCTAGTCATAGAAAGTCTCAACAGCTTTCCACGAGTTCTCAAGAGGCTCCTTTGGACTTATGGAAGTATAGGCAGCAGATTCTTGATGCACAAAAGAAAGACTCCTCAATGCAAGGCTCATCAAAACAAAACTCGTCAGAGCAACATCCCCCATGGCTTAGTTCCGTGCTGCCTTCATCACAATCTTCAGAACAGTTTCCTGCACCGCTTCCACTAGCACAGTATCCACTCCTCCCTCCACCGCAAACTCCATATCAACTCCCTCCACCGCTCAATCTACAGCCGCCCGCACCACAACTTCAACAGCAGCGCCCAACGCCACTGAATCAACTATCTCCTGCGCCCCAACTTACACAGCGGCTTCAAACACCCCTTCTACCACCACCACCACAGTATCCGCTGCTGTCCGCGGCACAGCCCCCACAACAGTTCCGACAACAGCCTATACAAAGCCCCCAACGGTTTCAATCTGTCGGCTCTAAACATGGGCCTGCGGGACGCATCAATAAGCCTGTGGTTTTAATGCCCAAACCATCCACTTCAAAGTACGAAATACATAGCTTTGACGTGAAGGAATATATCCTTCAAATGTGGAAGAGTCATGTAGCCAACCATCAGCTGTTTGGCGGAAAGCATTCCTTCCCAAAGCAAGGACCGTTTGAAGAGGAGCATCACCTTCGCCGACATACCATTAATCGCTTACTCGATTGGGAAAAGAAAGTCAAGCTCGAACCGCGGGCCAATTGGGGCAATAAGTTCAAAGTTGTGCGCCAGCCCTTTTATCCAGTGGAAGTAGTTCTTGTCCGAGCGCCGACTGCCTGTCAATCAACCGTTGATGAGGATAATGGCGGGCCATGTTTATGATATGCTTGTGACAAAGTTGGGTCCTTTGGAATTTGCAAAGCCCTCATTTTCATCAGGGTGGTTCGACTCATTCAAGGCCCATTGGGGTATTACATACCATAAGATGATGGGAGAAGCGGGCGGAGTTGACCTGGAAGCTATTGCGGAGGAGGTTGAAAAGATAAAGATTGCTTTGGAGGCGTATCGCATTGAAGATATCTATAATGCCGATGAGACTGGCTTGTTTCTCCAGACATTATCTTCATGGACTTTGGACTTTGAAAAGCTGGCAGGGATAAAGATTCCGTCTACAAGGGTTTCTATACTCCTTTGTACCAATGCTACCGGGACAGATAAAAGAAAGCCGTTTGTCCTCAGTAAGTGTTTGAGAGTATTTTTCATATTTTTCCCCTTTCATTTTTCAAGCGTGTAAGCATTTCAAACAGTGTATGTAATAACCAGAGTATTTCTAGGCAAATATCTTCCACGAGGCTTCCATAATGATAGCATTCTTCAGGAACTTATAGAGATTCATCCATGGAACGAGGCTGCTCAGGGCCATGGCAGCGATTTTGAGGATCATGACGAAAGTCTGAGCAGTACTCATACGAGAAGCCAAAAGAAGCCTCGCCATCGCCCTGACTACATGACAAGAATCGTGTTTTTAAGTTGGCTAGAGAGGTTTCAAGAATCAATTGCTGCCCAAAATAATGAGCGAAAAGTTGCGCTACTTGTTGATAATGCAGGCTGCCATAAGCT